TGCTTTCACTCTTTTCGCCAGTGTATGACTGAAGGAGACGGTATGCGATTTTTAGCCGTAGCTAGCCAGCTCTCGATTGGAATATCTTTCCCCAGGTGATGGTTGCACTCGTGGGTTTATGAGTCTTGACAGAATGGATAGATTACTGGGAAATATTGGGACCCTAGAGTTGCTAACAACTTCCAAGTAATACTGTCCTGAAGTTGGCTTCACATGCAATGGCAGTATTCAGAGCTGGGTGTTTGGAGCCCGAGTGGGTAGGACAGAACAGCTTTTCACAGAGCTACAGATATGGAGACCTACTGGAAATGGAGTCTACACTAAAGTTGGATACACTACAATCAATACTGCCAGGAGTAATTCAGAACTCTATGAGTATCCCCTCTCCCCTCCCCTGCCTTCCAAACTGGGTGATGTTCTGGGATACTACCAGCCCCCAGCCTTCTCTGAGTCAGTTGAGACTGCTGCTTGCACAAGATGGAAGAGAGAGTCAAGTTGGATACCTGTATTCCAGAACCGGTCCAGCCAGTTCGACTGAATATCAGTTCAGGAGTTAGGTCTATTAGAAATTATCAGTTGTTTGTCAACGTAGTCACAGGTAAGTATTGTATTTTCCTTGCTCAGTGGGGTAAAACTAATCTATCCTTGCATCAGATCCTCCAGGTTGTGGGCGTGGCTTCATGAGTGTGAAAGAATGAGACTTTCCCTAAACCTGACCTCTGTTTCACTGCCCACTATTTCCCCCAATCAACGACAGCAGATCTCACCAGAAATGAGGTTCACATGTGATGGGAACATTACCAAATGGATCATTGGAGCTGACCATGGAGGGAATGACAACTTGTATCCTGAGCTACAAATATGGAGAAAAAGCTGGAGATGAAACCTATGAAAGATTAGTGAACATTTATTGAGGCTCTCTAACATTAGTGATTTATGAATATGATAACTTCTCCCCGATCCCAGTAAAGTCTGGAGACATTCTTGGAATATTCATACCTCGACATGCCTCCTCCAGACTTCGTCCTCTTATCTGAGCTACTACCAGTCCCACTCAGTATTATCGGTTTCACTGCTAACTTTGCCACAGTAAATCACCTCACAATGTGTTTGACATAGGAAACCAGTTTGTGGGAACATCATCCTACATCCATTGGTGTCTGTGGACAAGTTTTATACCTGTATTCCAGAACCGGTCCAGCCAGTTCGCTGAATATCAACTTAGGAAGGAGGTCTATTACGTTTCAGTTGTTTGTCAACGTAGTCACAGGTAAGTATTATATTTTCCTTGCTCAGTGGGGTAAACTATTCCTTGCACCAGATCCTCCAGGTTGTGGGCGTGGCTTCATGAGTGTGGAAAGAATGAAACTCTCCCTAAACCTGGACTCTGTTTCACTGCCCACTATATTCCCCAGTCAATGTCAGCAGATCTCACCAGAAATGAGGTTCACATGTGATGGGAACATTACTAAATGGATCATTGGAGCTGGATATGGTCTAAATGACGACTTGTATCCTGAACTTCAAATATGGAGGAACGCTGGAAATGAGACATATTGGAAAATCAATGGTACATTCCTAGAGATTAATGCATCAGTGCCATGGCAAGTAGAATTTATGAGTATGCGGACTTTTCTCCAATCCCAGTGAAATCTGGAGACATTCTTGGAATATTTTTACCTAGATTCAGCTCATCCAAACTTCGTCTCTTATCTGAGTTGGCTGACAGTCCTGCTCAGCACTACCTCTTGACTGATGTTAGTGCATCATCATCACCTTATGATGAAATTGATTTAGAACAGGATTCTGTGACAAGAGGGGCCTATGGTCCCTTGGTGTCTGTGGAATTTGGTGAGTCAATCTAATCATCCATAAAGGTGCTTTGATATGGTATTTTTATGCAGTGAGGGAGTCTGCCCATTCTATCTTGGTACGTTTTATTACAGTACGTTTCATAGAGTCTGACATAATGTTGTTCCTAGCAGAAACTACCATCTTATGGTACTGCACCAACACCAGTAGAGTCAGGTGTTAAAACATCACCTTTTCCTGAAGTGAAACCAACACCCACAGTGCCTACACAGTCCAGTACAACAGGAAGTGGAGTTTATATCAGTGTAGGAGTGGGTGTGGCAGTGGTGGTGCTGATAGCTGCAGGTCTCATCCTCATCTCTGGGACTGTGTGTCTCAGACGAAGGTCAAAGAAGACGAGGCAACTGATCACATCCAGTAATGTGGCATATCACTCGACCAGTGCTCAGCTATCAGTGACACATGAGACCTCAACTGAGGAGTATGACTATGTCTCCAACCACCGACCCCACCCTGACCACACCCACAGTACCAGTGAAGGAGGTGTAATCATCTCTATCAATGAGGCATATGGGGCCACATTGGCAGAAGGCATGACTGAGAATGCCGCCGCTGGTCAGAATGATATGGAGCTGAGTGGTAATGTGGCCTATGGTGTGTGTCACATTGCTGTCAGAGAAAACGATACTGTGGCCATTCCTAGCAACATATCTGGAGATGTCGCTAATGTCCACCAACAGAAGGCCCTTGGAGTGCATCACAGCTAGAAATCCTTTGCATTTATATGTTCTGTGACAAAAACATTGAAAGTGTAATGCGTGCAGTATGTGTAAGAAGTTTTGGTAGACATAAGCGATGACCATGTTGTGAAGAAAGAGATTCGCACCGTTTTATCGCGCTTCAAATATGGAGGAATGCGGGAAATGAGACATATTGTCCACAGCTGCCTCTCAGACAGTGGCTGGTACCGACACTATATACCTCCAGAGCTCCTGTACCTTCCACTGACCAGCCCTCCTCCTCCTCCTCTGGCCAGTCTTCAGCTGCCATTGCTGCTGGTGTGGGTGGTGGAGTAGCTGTGGCTCTGGTTCTACTGATAGTGGTCCTCGTCCTTGTCATTCTGGTGGTGTTTGTCAGTAGAAGAAAGCTGAAAGGAAAGCCCCGGGCAGTGGAGAAGGGGAAAGATAGAAATGGTGGCAGTGCTATGGACAACCCAGTTTACACAGGCAAGCCCTGGCTTGTTCAGTTAGCTGCCTTTGCCTGAGACCTTGTTGTTGACACATACCTTTACTCTCCACACCGTTGTAGATTTACACACTGCTGACACTAAAGTAGAGTATTACTTTCCTTGATGAAAGACATATATTACACATACACACAACAGCTACAGTTTCAGGTGCAGGCCCTACTACAGCCACTAAACCACTGGAAGAACTCTATGACCTCCCTGGACGGGATGAGGGAAGGGGAGATGGTGTGTATGATCTACCTTCTGAAAATGGCGGAGTCTATAGTGAAGTCACTAAGACTGAAGAGCCCCCTCCTTCACCTGGTGAATACGCCAGATTTGATAACCCACTATATGAGACTACATAACTGATTTTTACATGTCACGGTGTGTTTTCATTTTCTGAAGTGACTTTGTTGTGCAAGCGGTGTTTTAGTTGCGCATGCGCAACCGAAGTTTCGCGGATAGTTAGTCTACCAAAAACAAGGCCAGGCTTGCGACAGTGCTGGTGTGCGTCGGACATGGACCAATTGTTAACCCGTGTGTTACTGAGTGCGGGTGCTCTCGTTCTTTTGTGCCAGTGTATGACTGAAGGAGACGGTATGCGATTTTTAGCCGTAGCTAGCCAGCTGTCGATTGGAATCTTTCCCCAGGTGATGGTTGCACTCGTGGGTTTATGAGTCTTGACAGAATGGATAGATTACTGGGAAATATTGGGAGCCTAGCATTTGCTAACAACTTCCAAGTAATACTTCCTGAAGTTCGCTTCACATGCAATGGCAATATTCAGAGCTGGGTGTTTGGAGCCCAGTGGGAAGGAAAAGAGAGCTTTTTCACAGAGCTACAGATCTGGAGACCTACTGGAAATGGAGTCTACACTAAAGTTGGATACACTACAATCAATACTACCAGGAGTAATTCAGAACTCTATGAGTATCCCATCTCCTCTCCCCTGCCCTTCCAAGCTGGGGATGTTCTGGGATACTACCAGCCCCTGGGCCTTCTCGAGTCAGTTGAGACTGCTGCTTGCACAAGATGGAAGAGAGAGTCAAGTTTTATACCTGTATTCCAGAACCGGTCCAGCCAGTTCGCTGAATATCATCTTAGGAAGGAGGTCTATTACGTTTCAGTTGTTTGTCAACGTTGTCACAGGTAAGTATTTTATTTTCCTTGCTCACTGGGGTAAACTATTGCTTGCATCAGATCCTCCAGGTTGTGGGCGTGGCTTCATGAGTGTTGAAAGAATGAGACTTTCCCTAAACCTGGACTCTGTTTCACTGCCCACTATTTCCCCCAATCAACGTCAGCAGATCTCACCAGAAATGAGGTTCACATGTGATGGGAACATTACCAAATGGATCATTGGAGCTGACTATGGTGCAAGTGACAACTTGTATCCTGAACTACAAATATGGAGAAATGCTGGAGATGAAACCTACAGGAAAATGAACGGCACATTCATTGAGTTGGAGACATTACTATCAAGTAGAATTTATGAGTATGAGGACTTTTCTCCAATCCCAGTGAAATCTGGAGACATTCTTGGAATATTCATACCTAGATTCAGCTCATCCAAACTTCGTCTCTTATCTGAGTTAGCTGACAGTCCTGCTCAGCACTACCTATTGACTGGTGTTAGTGCATCATCATCACCTTATGATGAGATTGATTTAGAACAGGATTCTGTGACAAGAGGGGCCTATCGTCCCTTGGTGTCTGTGGAATTTGGTGAGTCACTTGCTTCAGTAAATACACAAAAATGATTTTGTTATTTTTCTCTAGTGAACGCCCCCACCTCATCAGTTAAGGTGTGTGGTATGTGCTGTGTGAATCATGACCATTACAATGAATATTGACTTACCTTTGATCACTACTCACGCTCATATAAAACACACATCACTTAGTTAGCTACCGCTCTGTTTCCTTCCTCTCAGATGATTCCCAGCTCCTCGCTGATCTCCACAGCTACCAGCCCTCTCCCCACCTCCAGAGCTCCTGTACCTTCCACTGAGCAGCCCTCCTCCTCCTCGGGCCAGTCTTCAGCTGCCATTGCTGCTGGTGTGGGTGGTGGAGTAGCTGTGGCTCTGGTTCTAACCCTCCTCCTGGTCATTCTGGTGGTGTTTGTCATGAGAAGGAAACCAAGAGGAAAGCCCCAGGCAGTGGAGAAGGAGCAGGATAGAAATAGTGGCAGTGCTATGGACAACCCAGTTTACACAGGCAAGCCCTTAGCATGTTAAGTTAGCTTGGCTTTGCCCTGTTGACACATGCCTTTACTCTCCACACCCTTCTAGATTTACACATTGTTGACACTAATTATAAAGTAGAGTATTATAGGTTTCCTTGATGGAAGGTATATTATACAAGTGGAAAAATCATTTCTTCAAAATGAAGGGGTGATATAGGGATGGCTTGAAGCACCAAAAAGGAAGAAACAAGGGGTCATTACACAGCAAAGATGCACCAAGCTACATGACACCATCCCTATATCTTTGTCTCATAGTAAACTTTACTTGTGAACTATAGCTATTATTATAACACAAAGATATAGGGATGGTGTCATGTAGCTTGGTGCATCTTTGCTGTGTAATGACCCCTTGTTTCTTCCTTTTTGGTGCTTCAAGCCACCCCTATATCACCCCTTCATTTTGAAGAAATGATTTTCCCACTTGTTTCCACTATTTTTCATGCCTTCTGCATTTTCAGTCACTCTGATGTTCATGGGTGTTGTGTATGCGTAGTGTCTCCAACAACGATGCAATTAGGTTGTGGCACATATGGTGGGGTGGTTTCGTAGGCAGGCTCCAGTAATCAGACTACAATGATAGCTATAACCTGGGGGACAAACAATGAAGGCGCTGGCAAGGCCCGCGTAACACGGCGCACACTGCCAAGTTGCTCCTCGTACAAATCAACAGCAAAACGTAAGCTAGCCAGTTAAAAATGTGTATACTGACTTACAGAAGGCACTGGAGGATAAGAGTTCCTCTGCAGGCATCCCGGCTTAGTCTCGTAGACCAGGTTCACGCACGAGATGCGCGCGCACCGCATTGGGGAAACGCCCTCCTCGGCGCATGCGGCTCACTGATGCTGAGTTAGCAGCAAATGGCGTTGTCCAGTGACTACTGTGGAAGAGCTCAACGATCTACCGTAGTGACTTGCGGCAAGAAACAAGCGATCGCTTGATATGCGTGCACACCTCCGGCAAATTTGGAGACGTTCTGTGAAAAAATCAACGCTTCAACTGCTTCCGGTAAGGAGTTAGCGGGTCTGAAGAAGAAGAAGAAGAAGAAGAAGAAGAATTATGATGATTATGATGATTATGATGACACGAAAATCGCGAAATCGCGTAAGTGCGAATTCTCTCGTGGGAACTGAGGGCACGTAGGAAGTCTTGGGGCATATGTATAGCTAGGTATTGGCCTCTAGACTATTGCTAGTGATTTTGAAGCCATGGTGAGTCATTGTCGCTGAGTTTTGAGGCGTTTTGTACGTGGATCACGTGAGATTTCACTCGTGTCATCCCTATCAGAGAGTCGGTAGACTCTCTATATATATCAGAGCGTCGGTAGACGCTCTATATAGGGATGACACGAGTGAAATCTCACGTGATCCGCGTACAAAACGCCTCAAAACTCAGCGAGAATGACTCACCATGGCTTCAAAATCACTAGCAATAGTCTAGAGGCCAATACCTAGCTATACATATGCCCCAAGACTTCCTACGTGCCCTCAGTTCCCCACCAGAGAATTCGCACTTACGCGATTTCGCGATTTCCGTGTCATCATAATAATAATAATATTCTTCATCTTCTTCTTCTTCGTCAAACCCGCTAGCTCCTTACCGGAAGCAGTTGAAGCGTTGGTTTTTTCACAGAACGTCTCCAAATTTTCCGGAGGTGTGCACGCATATCAAGCGATCGCTTGTTTCTTGCCGCAAGTCACTACGGTAGATCATTGAGCTCTTCCACGGTAGTCACTGAACAACGCCATTTGCTGCTAACTCAGCATCAGTGAGCCGCATGCGCCGAGGAGGGCGTTTCCCCAATGCGGTGCGCGCGCATTTCGTGCGTGAACCTGGTGCACGAGACTAAGCCAGGATGCCTAGCCTGCAGAGGAATTCTTATCCTCCAGTGCCTTCTGTAAGTCAGTATACACATTTTAACTGGCTAGCTTGCGTTTAGCTGTTGATTTGCACGAGGAGCAACTTGGCCGTGTGCGCCGTGTTACGCGGGCCTTGCACAGCGCCTTCATTCTTTGTCCCCCAGGTTATAGCTATCATTATAGTCTGATTACTGAAGCCTGCCTATGAAACCACCCCACCATATGTGCCACAATCTAATTGCATCCTTGTTGGAGACACTACGCATACACCCTGCTTCAGGTAGGAGCAGCCCATTAACTTCTGCTTTCAACAGTTATCTCTACAACACCCATGAACATCAGAGTGACTGAAAATGCAGTGTTGTCATAAGGCGTGAAAAATAGTGGAAACAAGTGGAAAAATCATTTCTTCAAAATGAAAGGGGGATATAGGGATGGGTTGAAGCACCAAAAAGGAAGAAACAAGGGGTTATTACACAGCAAAGATGCACAAAGCTACATGACACCATCCCTATATCTTTGTGTTATTGTTCACAACCAATCTCGCCCTGCTGACATTTTCCTCCCTAATTGGGAAAGAGCCGCGCTTGACGTCTCCGTCATTTCCACTCTGCAACAGTTTACCTTGAAGTAAAGTTTAATATGAGACAAAGATATAGGGATGGTGTCATGTAGCTTTGTGCATCTTTGCTGTGTAATAACCCCTTGTTTCTTCCTTTTTGGTGCTTCAACCCATCCCTATATCCCCCTTTCATTTTGAAGAAATGATTTTTCCACTTGTATATATAGAGCGTCTACCGACGCTCTGATTACACATATATACACACAACCAAACTGCTACGTTTTCAGGTGCAGGCCCTACTGCAGCCACTATACCACTGGAAGAATTCTATGACCTCCCTGGACAGGATGAGGGAAAGGGAGAAGGTGTGTACGTTCTACCTTCTGAAAATGGCAGAGTCTATAGTGAAGTCACTAAGACTGAAGAACCCCCTCCTTCACCTGGTGAATACGCCAGATTTGATAACCCTCTATATGAGACTACATAACTGATTTTTACATGTCACGGTGTGTTTTCATTTTCTGAAGTGACTTTGTTGTATACTATTACTCCTATCAGTAAAACGCATGCAGGTTGTCTGTGTGCAAGCGGGGTTTTAGTTGCGCATGCGCAACCGAAGTTTCGCGGATAGTAGTCTACCAAAAACAAAACAGGCCAGGCTTGCGACAGTGCTGGTGTGCGTCGGACATGGACCAATTGTTAACCCGTGTGTTACTGAGTGTGGGTGCTCTCGTTCTTTTGTGCCAGTATATGACTGAAGGAGACGGTATGGGATTTTTAGCCGTAGCTAGCCAGCTCTCGATTGGAATATCTTTCCCCAGGTGATGGCTGCACTCGTGGGTTTATGAGTCTTGACAGAATGGATAGATTACTGGGAAATATTTTGACCCCAGCAGTTTCTAACAACATTCAAGTAATATATCCTGAAGTTAGCTTCACATGCAATGGCAGTATTCAGAGCTGGGTGCTTGGAGCCCAGTGGGGATGAGGAGAGAGCTTCTTCACTGAGCTGTATACAGATATGGAGACCTACTGGAAATGGAGTCTACACTAAAGTTGGAAACACTACGATCAATACTGCCAGGAGTAATTCAGAACTCTATGAGTATCCCGTCTCCCCTCCTCTGGCCTTCCAAGCTGGGGATGTTCTGGGATACTACCAGCCTGAGTTTTCTCTGAGTCAATTGAGTCTGCTGCTTGCAGAAGATGGAAGAGAGAGTCACGTTTTATACCTGTATTCCAGAACCGGTCCAGCCAGTTCGCTGAATATCACTTTAGGAAGGAGGTCTATTACGTTTCAGTTGTTTGTCAACGTAGTCACAGGTATATAAGTATTTTTATAATTTATTTCTTGCTCAGTGGGGTAAACTTAATCTGCATCAGATCCTCCACGTTGTGGGCGTGGCTTCATGAGTGTTGAAAGAATGACACTTCCCTAAACCTGACCTCTGTTTCACTGCCCCCCGATCAACGACAGCAGATCTCACCAGAAATGAGGTTCACATGTGATGGGAACATTACTAAATGGATCATTGGAGCTAACTACGGAGGGAATGACACCCTTTATCCTGAGCTAGAAAAGCTGGAGATGAAACCTATGAAAAGATTAGTGGAACATTATTGAGGCTCCAACATTGTGATTATTAGGATTTATGAAATGATAACTTCTCCCCGATCCCAGTAAAGTCTGGAGACATTCTTGGACATTTTTGTAGGAGTGAGGGTTTGGTTGTGGTGTTGATGGCTGCAAGTCTCATCATCATCTCTGTGACTGTGTGTCTCAGACGAATGTCAAAGAAGAAGCTACTAATCAATACTGAAAATGTTGCCTACGGCAAGGGTCTGTAGCCTAATAACTTATGTGTTGGGAATATGCGTGCAGGTGGTGGGTACAGTGCTGTATGTGGTGACTGCAGCTCTGCACAGAAACAGACAGAGACACGATGAGGACAGTCTGCAGCAGAGACTCATTATTGAGAACCAGCTACACAGCACGCACCATATCCACATAACTAGATGGGCACACTTCACGTCATTCCCTTCCCTCGGCGCGCATGCGCAGCGAGGGTTACAGTAGTCGTTCTGTGTGTGTGTGTCTGTCTGTCTGTTACTTGTCTCACTTCTCCAGTGTTCTTTAGTCTCACAAACGATACTACCTACTTAACGGGCAATGAAGGTCAGAAATTTGTGCGGCTTTCTCTGAAAATGCTCCGTTGCAAAGCTAGAGCGCGAAAAAGCCAATTGCAATACACAACGGCTTCCGCGGTCTGATCGATCCGCGTGCTCTGCGTACTTCGGAGGCACCAGAAGATGCAACGCAGGGCGTGTATGGCCTCTCGCACGCTATCTAGTAGTGTAGTTAGCCCGCGTCAGACTCTGCGCGAGCTGGCAAGAGACCACGAGTAACAGCTAAAACTAAAGCCAGCGCATCAATTAGTGGTACCGCGCATGCGTTTACTTACACGTGCGCGTCACAATGCGCCGAAGGTTTGCAGTTCAGTGCTTTTCATATTTTAACATGCTTGCTAATTCTCTCATGGAACTTACCATGCAAGCAACAAAAGCGACCCTGCCAATTGGCAAAGGTATTTTTGGCTGTGATAATAACTGTAATGGGCCAACTACAGTGAATGCACTCTAAGACGAACGTAAGGGTCTCAGTCGATATATATTATTTGAAAAACAGTCTGTACACTCTTGTTGTTGGTCCATGAAGCGTGTGTACAGTTTCGGTATTCCAAGAACTGCAGTTAAGCAGCTCAAGTTGATAGCAGTAATAGCAGTCCGTGAAACAGTAAAGTTTTGCGGCAGCGGACCCCAAATGGCAGCACCTGTCAGTCAAGTCATATGTCACGAGGCATCAAATGCTCCTAGCAGCAGGTATGCCTTGTCCAGCAAGAGTTTCGGTAGCTGGGATCGCAGTCGAAAACGACCAAGAGATTCCCTGGAGAAGACAAGAGAGAGAATCAACAGTGTAACAGTACCTGGGGTTGCTATTGCGGATGCCAGGATCTTGTCGGTGCAGAGCCCAGACGAAGAGACAGATCAGAGTTTCGGGAGTGTTCCTCTAATAATTCCTCGTCACCTTAGAATAAGTCGCAGGAGTGTCTGTGAAAGATGCACCAGGGGGAGGTCCTCTCTACTGGTGTTTGTCTTGAGTTTCATAGCTTTCTATGCCTTCGGGGCAGCCATCAGTGGTCTACTTGATTTCTTCTCCATTGAAAGAATATCAGGAGATATTAATCACGTGCATACCCACTTCATCAAGCACGTTGTTCAGTACGGGATCACCCGTTTATTCTACCCACTCTCCGGTTTAATAGCGGATGTCTACATTGGAAGGTGCAAGATGCTCCATACTGCCCTTCTACTGCTGTTGATTGGTTACTTGATCGTAGTTGTGCTGTTTGTATTGGTAGGTCAGAGCAGCATACCGAGTTCCCTTTTGAGCAACTGTTTTGCTGGAGTGGCATTCCTGTTAATTAGCATTGGTGGAGGGGCTTTTGAGGCAACTATAATCCCTTTCGGTGTTGATCAGCTCCAGGGAGCATCGTCAGCTGAAATCAGCTCCTATTTCTACTCGTTCTATGCAAGCTGCAACCTGGGGATGATAAGTGGTGTATTTGTGCTTACTCTGTCTTGGGCATAACTCTCTCGCAGAGCAATGGACTTGAGCTGAAGCAGCTCTACAGTGTTTTTGAGCCGCTGGTCACGACAGTAATACTGAGTGTTGGACTCATTCTGATGATCTGTTTCCACCACTGGTTCTTCAAGAACACTCTGTGGGAGAACCCAGTCAGACTCATTGCCAGGATCCTCTGCTACGCTGCCACGGTCAAACGTCACCTCCCAGTCCGCAACAGAGCCTTCAGGTACGGAGAAGAGAGGAAGAATAGAATCGAACTGGCAAAGATCACGTACGACGGAAAGTTTCCCGACGAGAAAGTGGAAGACGTGAAGGCTTTCTGCCGCATTTTGTTCATACTCCTCACATTGTTTCCTACCTTCTTCTGCAAGAGCTCAGTGAGTTCATTCGTGATCAAGACACGTTCAACCAGGCATAATTGCATTCTATTTTGTCCATAATATAGTTTGATACCCTACTTTCTCAAGAAGCTGCTATGGCTCTAGAGTATTGGCATCCTAACCAAAAGCTCAACATTGACATGTACCCGAGTGTGTACTGGGGGGTGAACAGCATCACTATCCTACTGTTCCTACCAGTAGTAAACTTCCTGGTCATTCCGAGTTTCCCAAAGCTGACAATAAGAGCAAGGATTGGAATTGGACTGGTTCTGTATTGCATCGGGAGTGTGGTGGTTTTGGTAATCCATGCAGTCCCACTGGCCAGCCACAAACAAGGGACCATCTCCAACGTACAACTTGGCTGTATCTTCATCCCCATTGTTATATTTGCCATGGCTGAAGTAACAACCTTAGTCTCAGGTATATAGACTTTGCCAGTCGATATAACCTTGCCCTTTGTAATACGCTTTAACTTTGCAGTGCTAGAGTTTATATATGCACAGTCTCCAGAGAGTATGAAGGGACTCCTGACTGGACTCTACTACCTATTCCGCGGTCTATCTTCAACGGTCTCATCTGCCCTGTTTTTACTCTACAAAAACAGCATCAAAAACAGAGAGCTCTCCCCATTCTACGCAGTATTCACAATCGTTCAGGTAAACTACCAAAACTCCTCATAACATCCTGAAAATGTATTGAGGATGCTAGTATAGCATTGTATATATGCAAAGAGCCGTCTACTGTCATAATACACTTGTTGTTGCATGCAGGTTGTGGGGTTAGTCTTTTATGTGGCGGCGGCTACTTTCCACAAGAATCGACTGCGACATGACGATAACAGTCTTCAGGAGAGACTAATCATTGAAAACCAACTGCACAGTAGCACTGTCACTTAACAGTTGAAATGTGTCTTTAAAAAGATTGGGATTTGGTATGCATGATTGTAACACACCAAAAGAGAAACTTATTGACACATACACATTGAGAACCAGCTACACGGCACCATATCCGCATAACTATATAGATGGGCACACTTCACATTATTGTAGCTACTCATTCCCTTGTAATTTTCTAGTTGACATCCGGGTTTGGTCTATGTATGATTGTTACGTTTGTAACACAGCGAAAGAGAAACTCATTGAACGGCAAACACATACAATGTGAAACTGCAGATGGAGTAAGTTTGAAAGACATATTTCACGCCAAAAGCGACATACTTGTACAAATATGGAAGATTAGTTCAGCGAATGAAATCTTCTTCCTCCAGTCGATCTCTGTTGGAATAGAGGCAGGCTACGATCACGTACATCAAAAACCCTATGCTTCCGACAAGGCTGTAGATGGTGAAATTGAACGCGTGACTATGAAACCGGTCGAACTGGACGAGATAGTAGTCTGTGGAATTTGGTGAGTCACTTGCTTCACTACATGTGAGACAGAAACCAAGAGGAACACCCCATGCAGTGGAGAAGGAGCAGCATAGAAAATGGTGGCAGTGCTATGGACAACCCAGTTTACACAGGCAAGCCCTGGCTTGTTCAGTTAGCTTGGCTTTGCCCTGTCAGACACATGCCTTTACTCTCCACACCCTTCTAGATTTACACATTGTTGACACTAAAGTAGAGTATGATACATCATAGGTTTCGATGGAAGGCATACAGTTACACAAACACACACAACAGCTACAGTTTCAGGTGCAGGCCCAACTGCAGCACTGGAAGAACTCTATGACCTCCCTGGACGGGATGAGGGAAGGGGAGACGGTGTGTATGATGTACCTTCTGAAAATGGCGGAGTCTATAGTAAAGTCACTAAGACTGAAGAGCCCCCTCCTTCACCTGGTGAATATATACGCCCAATTTGATAACCCACTATATGACACTACATAACTGATTTTACATGTCACGGTGTGTTTTCATTCTGAAGTGACTTTGTTGTTACTATTACTCCTGCATACAGGTAGTTAGTTCAAGCGGTGTTTTGAGTTGCGCATACGCAACCGAAGTTTCGCGGATAGTAGTCTACCACCACAAACAAAACCTTGTGACAGTGCCGGGTGTGCGTCGGACATGCACCAATTGTTAACCCGTGTGTTACTGTGTGCGTGTGCTCTCGCTCTTTTCTGCCAGTGTATGACTGAAGGAGACGGTATGCGATTTTTAGCCGTAGCTAGCCAGCTCTCGATTGGAATATCTTTCCCCAGGTGATGGTTGCACTCGTGGGTTTATGAGTCTTGACAGAATGGATAGATTACTGGACAATATTGGGACCCGAGTAGTTGCTGGCAACTTTCAAGTAATATATCCTGAAGTTGGCTTCACATGCAATGGCAATATTCAGAGCTGGGTGTTTGGAGCCCAGTGGGAAGGAGGAGAGAGCTTCTTCACTGAGCTACAGATATGGAGACCTACTGGAAATGGATTCTACACTAAAGTTGGATACACTACAATAATCACTGCCAGGAATAATTCAGAACTCTATGCGTATCCCGTCTCCCCTCCCCTGCCCTTCCAAGCTGGGGATGTTCTGGGATACTACCAGCCCCAGCCTTCTGCGAGTCAATTGAGACTGCTGTTTGTACAAGATAGAAGAGAGAATCAAGTTGGATACCTGTATCCCACAACCGGTCCAGCCAATTCGCTGAATATCAGTTCAGGATTTAGGCCTAGTAGAAATTATGAGTTGTTTGTCAACGTAGTCACAGGTAAGTATTGTATTTTCCTTGCTCAGTGGGGTAAACTTAATCTGCATCAGATCCTCCAGGTTGTGGGCGTGGCTTCATGAGTGTGGAAAAAATGAGACTTTCCCTAAACCTGGACTCTGTTTCACCCATTATGTACACCAGTCAACGTCAGCAGATCTCACCAGAAATGAGGTTCACATGTGATGGGAACATTACCAAATGGATCGTTGGAGCTGGCTATGGTGCAGCGGACAACTTGTATCCTGAACTTCAAATTTGGAGAAAAGCTGGAGATGAAACCTATGAAAAGATTAGTGGAACATTTATTCAGGCTCCAACATTAGTGAATACTAGGATTTATGAATATGAAGACTTTCCTCCGATCCCAGTAAAGTCTGGAGACATTCTTGGAATATTTATACCTCGACGCATGTCCTCCAGACTTCGTCTCTTGTCTGAAAATACTACCAGTCCCACTCAGTATTATCAGTTCACTGATGGCTCTGCCACAGTATCACCTCACAATGTGTTTGAAATAGGAAACCAGTCTGTGATAACAGCATCCTACCATCCATTGGTGTCTGTGGAGTTTGGTAAGCATCTTGACGTTAAATATTTATCGAAATAACTTTCACTTTTCCCCAGTGAGAAGCCCTACCTCATCAGTCATGGTATGTTTGTGATTGAGGGTGTCCATGTATATTTATGCCCAACCCAGGTCAAAATTTGTATGGTGTCTGAGTGGTAAGGCAGGCACTGCCGATAGTTCCCTTAGGTCTTGTTCTCCGCCCTAGTGCATGGTTAGTAGCTGTAGCTAGTGCTATTCATTATTGCAGATTCTACCATCATCTATTATTAGATGCCAAAGCACTGTTGAGTCAGGTGTGTTACATATTTTCCTGCTGAAACTAAAACTAACACTCACATAATCCACAGCATCCACACTGACAGGAAGTTGTGTTCCTTCTTCATCCCTGACCATTGCTACACCCACGAAGTCCACTGCTGCCACAGAGTCTGGTACAACAGGAAGTGAAGTGTATATTTTTGTAGGAGTGAGTGTGGGAGTGGTGGTGCTGATAGCTGCAGGTCTCATCATCATCTCTGTGACTGTGTGTCTCAGACAAAGGTCAAAGAAGAAGCTACTAATCAATACTGAAAATGTTGCCCGTGGCATGGGTCTGGAATTGAAAGACAACGTTGCCTACACCTCCACAGCCACTGGGGGTGGGACTAAGGATGATGCGGGAAACTACGATTATGTCTCAAGGGATGAAGTGACTGCTACTTCCAGCGATCTCTCCATGTCAGCCAACCAGGCATATGGACTAGTGCAGAGCTAGGAACTTGTAGTTTTGTGATTCTTGCCTTGATCCCGCTGTGATAATAACTGTAATGGGCCAACTACAGTGAATGCGCTCTAAGACCAACGTAAGGGTTTCAGTCTATATATTTCTGCAGTGTTTTTGAAAAACAATTTGTACACTCTTGTTGTTGGTCCATGAAGCGTGTGTACAGTTTCGGTATTCCAAGAAATGCAGTTAAGCAGCTCAAGTATTGATAGCAATAATAGCAGTCCGTGAAACAGTTTTGTGGCAGCGGACCCCAAATGGCAGCACCTGTCAGTCAAGTCATATGTCACGAGCCAGGAAAACAGGATTCTCGTCCGTTTCCATGCAGGGTTCACTGCCATTATGGTACATACACACGTGGTCACATGTAGCTAATAACTTATGTGTTGGGGATATGCGTGCAGGTGGTGGGTACAGTGTTGTATGTGGTGACTGCAGTTCTGCACAGAAACAGACAGAGACACGATGAGGACAGAGACTCAATCAAATGCCTCTAGCAGCAGGTATGCCTTGTCCAGCAAGAGTTTCAGTAGCTGGGATCGCAGTAGAAAACGACCAAGAGATTCCCTGGAGAAGACAAGAGAGAGAATCAACAGTGTAACAGTACCTGGGGTTGCTATTGCGGATGCCAGGATCTTGTCAGTGCAGAGCCAAGATGAAGAGACAGATCAGAGTGTTCCTCTAATAATTCCTCGTCACCTTAGAATAAGTCGCAGGAGTGTCTGTGAAAGATGCACCAGGGGGAGGTCCTCTCTACTGGTGTTTGTCTTGAGTTTCATAGCTTTCTATGCCTTCGGGGCAGCCATCAGTGGTCTACTTGATTTCTTCTCCATTGAAAGAATATCAGGAGATATTAATCACGTGCATACCCACTTCATCAAGCACGTTGTTCAGTACGGGATCACCCGTTTATTCTACCCACTCTCCGGTTTAATAGCGGATGTCTACATTGGAAGGTGCAAGATGCTCCATACTGCCCTTCTACTGCTGTTGATTGGTTACTTGATCGTAGTTGTGCTGTTTGTATTGGTAGGTCAGAGCAGCATACCGAGTTCCCTTTTGAGCAACTGTTTTGCTGGAGTGGCATTCCTGTTAATTAGCATTGGTGGAGGGGCTTTTGAGGCAACTATAATCCCTTTCGGTGTTGATCAGCTCCAGGGAGCATCGTCAGCTGAAATCAGCTCCTATTTCTACTCGTTCTATGCAAGCTGCAACCTGGGGATGATAAGTGGTGTATTTGTGCTTACTCTGTCTTGGGCATAACTCTCTCGCAGAGCAATGGACTTGAGCTGAAGCAGCTCTACAGTGTTTTTGAGCCGCTGGTCACGACAGTAATACTGAGTGTTGGACTCATTCTGATGATCTGTTTCCACCACTGGTTCTTCAAGAACACTCTGTGGGAGAACCCAGTCAGACTCATTGCCAGGATCCTCTGCTACGCTGCCACGGTCAAACGTCACCTCCCAGTCCGCAACAGAGCCTTCAGGTACGGAGAAGAGAGGAAGAATAGAATCGAACTGGCAAAGATCACGTACGACGGAAAGTTTCCCGACGAGAAAGTGGAAGACGTGAAGGCTTTCTGCCGCATTTTGTTCATACTCCTCACATTGTTTCCTACCTTCTTCTGCAAGAGCTCAGTGAGTTCATTCGTGATCAAGACACGTTCAACCAGGCATAATTGCATTCTATTTTGTCCATAATATAGTTTGATACCCTACTTTCTCAAGAAGCTGCTATGGCTCTAGAGTATTGGCATCCTAACCAAAAGCTCAACATTGACATGTACCCGAGTGTGTACTGGGGGGTGAACAGCATCACTATCCTACTGTTCCTACCAGTAGTAAACTTCCTGGTCATTCCGAGTTTCCCAAAGCTGACAATAAGAGCAAGGATTGGAATTGGACTGGTTCTGTATTGCATCGGGAGTGTGGTGGTTTTGGTAATCCATGCAGTCCCACTGGCCAGCCACAAACAAGGGACCATCTCCAACGTACAACTTGGCTGTATCTTCATCCCCATTGTTATATTTGCCATGGCTGAAGTAACAACCTTAGTCTCAGGTATATAGACTTTGCCAGTCGATATAACCTTGCCCTTTGTAATACGCTTTAACTTTGCAGTGCTAGAGTTTATATATGCACAGTCTCCAGAGAGTATGAAGGGACTCCTGACTGGACTCTACTACCTATTCCGCGGTCTATCTTCAACGGTCTCATCTGCCCTGTTTTTACTCTACAATAACAGCATCAAAAACAGAGAGCTCTCCCCATTCTACGCAGTATTCACAATCGTTCAGGTAAACTATACCAAAACTCTGTCATAATACACTTGTTGTTGCATGCAGGTTGTGGGGTTAGTCTTTTATGTGGCGGCGGCTACTTTCCACAAGAATCGACTGCGACATGACGATAACAGTCTTCAGGAGAGACTAATCATTGAAAACCAGCTGCACAGTAGCACTGTCGCTTAACAGTTGAAATGTGTCTTTAAAAAGATCGGGGTTTGGTATGCATGATTGTAACACACCAAAAGAGAAACTCATTGAATGGCAAACAGATACACATTGAGAACCAGCTATACGGCACCATATCCGCATAACTATATAGATGGGCACACTTCACATTATTGTAGCTACTCATTCCCTTGTAATTTTCTAGTTGACATCCTGGTTTGGTATGTATGATAGCTATGTTTGTAACACAGCGAAAGAGAAACTCATTGAAAGACAAACACATACAATGAGAAACTACAGATGGAGTAAGTTTGAAAGACATTTCACGCCAAAAGCGACATATCTGTACAATAATATAGAAGATTAGTTCAGCGAATGAAATCTTCTTCCTCCGGTCGATCTCTGTTGGAATGGAGGCAGGCTACGATCACGTACATCAAAAACCCTATGCTTCCGACCACACTGTAGATGGTGAAATAGCAGGCGTGACTATGAAACAGGTCGAACTGGACGGGATAGTAGTCTGTGGAATTTGGTGAGTCAAGGATGAGGGAAGGGGAGACGGTGTGTATGATTTACCTTCTGAAAATGGCGGAGTCTATAGTTAAGTCACTAAGACTGAAGAGCCCCCTCCTTCACCTTAATCCTCTATATGAGACTACATAGCTGATTTTTACATGTCACGGTGTGTTTTCATTTGTATGTGTCTACGGTTCTGAAGTGACTTGTTGTATCTATTACTCCTATCAGTAAAACGCATACAGGTTGTCTGTGTGCAAGCGGTGTTTTGAGTTGCGCATGCGCAACCGAAGTTTCGCGGATAGTATAGTCTACCGCAAACAAAACCTTGCGACAGTGCTGGTGTGCGTCGGACATGGACCAATTGTTAACACGTGTGTTACTGTGTGCGTGTGCTGTCGCTGTTTTCTGCCAGTGTATGACTGAAGGAGACGGTATGCTATTTTTTAGCCGTAGCTAGCCAGCTCTCGATTAGAATATCTTTCCCCAGGTGATGGTTGCACTCGTGGGTTTATGAGTCTTGACAGAATGGATAGATTACTGGGCAATATTGGGACCCAAGGAGTTGCTAGCAACTTTCAAGTAATACTTCCTGAAGTTAGCTTCACATGCAGTGGCAGTATTCAGAGCTGGGTGTTTGGAGCCCAGTGGATAGGACAGAACAGCTTCTTCACAGAACTACAGATATGGAGACCTACTGGAAATGGATTCTACACTAAAGTTGGATATACTACAATCAATACTGCCTGGAGTAATACAGCACTCTATGAGTATCCCCTCTCCCCTCCCCTGGCCTTCCAAGCTGGGGATGTTCTGGGATACTACCAGTCCCCGCCTTCTCTGAGTCAGTTGAGACTGCTGCTTGCACGAGATGGAAGAGAGAATCAAGTTGGATACGTGTATTCCACAACCGGTCCAGCCAGTTCGCTGAATATCAATTCAGGATTTAGGTTTAGGTCTAGTACATCTCAGTTGTTTGTCAACGTGGTCACAGGTAAGTATTGTATTTTACTTGCTCAGTGGGGTAAACTTAATCTATCAGATCCTCCAGGTTGTGGGCGTGGCTTCATGAGTGTGGAAAGAATGAGACTTTTCCTAAACCTGGACTCTGTTTCACCCATTATATACACCGTTCAACGTCAGCAGATCTCACCAGAAATGAGGTTCATATGCGATGGGAATATTACCAAATGGATCATTGGAGCTGACCATGGTACAAATGATATCTTGTATCCTGAACTTCAAATATGGAGAAAAGCTGGAGATGAAACCTATGAAAAGATTAGTGGAACATTTATTGAGGCTCCAACATTAGTGAATACTAGGATTTATGAATATGATAACTTCTCCCCGATCCCAGTAAAGTCTGGAGACATTCTTGGAATATTCTTACCTCAACGCACGTCCTCCAGACTTCGTCTCTTGTCTGAAAATACTACCAGTCCCACTCAGTATTATCGGTTCACTGATGAGTCTGCCACAGTATCACCTCACAATGTGTTTGACATAGGAAACCAGTTTATGGGAACATCATCCTACCATCCATTGGTGTCTGTGGAGTTTGGTAAGCATCTTGACGTTAAATATTTTATCGAAATAACTTTCACTTTTCCCCAGTGACAAGTCCTACCTCATCAGTCATGGTATGTTTGTGATTGAGGGTGTCCATATTTATGCCCAACCCAGGTTAAAATGTGTATGTGACTGAGTGGTAAGGTAGGCACTGCCCTTATGTCTTGTTCTCCGCCCAGTGTTCAGTGCATGCACTGTTAAAAATTGGGTGTTACGGCAACACCTTTTGGGGCGCCCGTGGGACTGTGCCAGTTTGGCACCCTTGGGGTGTTAGGGTTGGTGTTAACCATCACCCATAAGAGTGTACAGGAACACCCTTTCTGGGGTAATGTACACCCATAAGAGTGTACAGGAACACCCTTTCTGGGGTAATGTACACCCATAAGAGTGTACAGGAACACCCTTTCTGGGGCAATGTACACCCATAAGAGTGTACAGGAACACCCTTTCTGGGGCAATGTACACCCATAAGAGTGCTATTTAGCCTTTCTATTGATGCTACAATACACAGTGGGTGTGACTCGTCTGTTTACTCTCATTCTCATTTAAACTTTTTACAGTGACTATGATGCACAATGTCTCTAAAGACATCTTCATGGTATTCACTCTCCTTTTGAGGATCAAATTTTATCTCCATCATCAATTCTTCTTAATTAATCACTTTCTCTTTCTTGCACCTACTGGTGTGTGAAACAATAACAATAATAAAACAGTGAAGAGAATGTGATATGGGATGATGACATTGCGTCCTATGAACAAACAACAATGCACAAGGCATATAAAGGAAGTTGTGATATAGGTGCGGGGTCAGTGTAGGATTACACCCTTAGGTGTTGTGGTGAGCACTAGAATGTGCCATGGTTTACTCTACACCCCAAGAGTGTTTGTAAACACCTACTTAAGCGTAATGAACACTCTTGAGGTGCTCCAATACACCCTGCCAGTTTTGGTACAGAAAATATGGTGTTAGATAACACCATATTTTTAACAGTGTGGTTAATAGCTGTAGCTATTATAATTATTATTATTGCAGATTCTACCATCATCTATTATTAGATGTCAAAGCACTGTTGAGTCAGGTGTGTTACATATTTTCCTGCTGAAACTAAAACTAACACTCACAAAATCCACAGCATCCACACTGACAGGAAGTTGTGTTCCTTCTTCAGCCCTGACCATTGCTACACCCACAAAGTCCACTGCTGCCACAGAGTCTGGTACAACAGGAAGTGAAGTGTATATTTTTGTAGGAGTGAGTGTGGGAGTGGTGGTGCTGCTAGCTGCAGGTCTCATCATCATCTCTGTGACTGTGTGTCTCAGACAAAGGTCAAAGAAGAAGCTACTAATCAATACCGAAAATGTTGCCCGTGGCATGGGTCTGGAATTGAAAGACAACGTTGCCTACACCTCCACAGCCACTGGGGGTGGGACTAAGGATGATGCGGGAAACTACGACTATGTCTCAAGGGATGAAGTGACTGCTACCTCCAGCGATCTCTCCATGTCAGCCAACCAGGCATATGGACTGGTGCAGAGCTAGGAACTTGTAGTTTTGTGATTCTTGACTTGATCCCGCTGTGATAATAACTTTAATGGGCCAACTACAGTGAATGCGCTCTAAGGCCAACGTAAGGGTCTCAGTCTATATATTTCTGCAGTGTTTTTGAAAAACAGTTTGTACATTCTTGTTGTCGGTCCATGAAGCGTGTGTACAGTTTCGGTATTCCAAGAAATGCAGTTAAGCAGCTCAAGTATTGATAGCAGTAATAGCAGTCCGTGAAACAGTTTTGCGGCAGCGGACCCCAAATGGCAGCACCTGTCAGTCAAGTCATATGTCACGAGGCATCAAATGCTCCTAGCAGCAGGTATGCCTTGTCCAGCAAGAGTTTCGGTAGCTGGGATCGCAGTAGAAAACGACCAAGAGATTCCCTGGAGAAGACAAGAGAGAGAATCAACAGTGTAACAGTACCTGGGGTTGCTATTGCGGATGCCAGGATCTTGTCGGTGCAGAGCCAAGATGAAGAGACAGATCAGAGTTTCGGGAGTGTTCCTCTAATAATTCCTCGTCACCTTAGAATAAGTCGCAGGAGTGTCTGTGAAAGGTGCACCAGGGGGAGGTCCTCTCTGCTGGTGTTTGTCTTGAGTTTCATAGCTTTCTATGCCTTCGGGGCAGCCATCAGTGGTCTACTTGATTTCTTCTCCATTGAAAGAATATCAGGAGATATTAATCACGTGCATACCCACTTCATCAAGCACGTTGTTCAGTACGGGATCACCCGTTTATTCTACCCACTCTCCGGTTTAATAGCGGATGTCTACATTGGGAGGTGCAAGATGCTCCATACCGCCCTTCTACTGCTGTTGATTGGTTACTTGATCGTAGTTGTGCTGTTTGTATTGGTAGGTCAGAGCAGCATACCGGGTTCCCTTTTGAGCAACTGTTTTGCTGGAGTGGCATTCCTGTTAATTAGCATTGGTGGAGGGGCTTTTGAGGCAACTATAATCCCTTTTGGTGTTGACCAGCTCCAGGGAGCATCGTCAGCTGAAATCAGCTCCTATTTCTACTCGTTCTATGCAAGCTGCAACCTGGGGATGATAAGTGGTGTATTTGTGTCTTACTCTGTCTTGGGCATAACTCTCTCGCAGAGCAATGGACTTGAGCTGAAGCAGCTCTACAGTGTTTTTGAGCCGCTGGTCACGACAGTAATACTGAGTGTTGGACTCATTCTGATGATCTGTTTCCACCACTGGTTCTTCAAGAACACTCTGTGGGAGAACCCAGTCAGACTCATTGCCAGGATCCTCTGCTACGCTGCCACGGTCAAACGTCACCTCCCAGTCCGCAACAGAGCCTTCAGGTACGAGAAGAGAGGAAGAATAGAATCGAACTGGCAAGATCACGTACGACGGAAAGTTTCCCGACGAGAAAGTGGAAGACGTGAAGGCTTTCTGCCGCATTTTGTTCATACTCCTCACATTGTTTCCTACCTTCTTCTGCAAGAGCTCAGTGAGTTCATTCGTGATCAAGACACGTTCAACCAGGCATAATTGCATTCTATTTTGTTCATAATATAGTTTGATACCCTACTTTCTCAAGAAGCTGCCATGGCTCTAGAGTATTGGCATCCTAACCAAAAGCTCAACATTGACATGTACCCGAGTGTGTACTGGGGGGTGAACAGCATCACTATCCTACTGTTCCTACCAGTAGTAAACTTCCTGGTCATTCCGAGTTTCCCAAAGCTGACAATAAGAGCAAGGATTGGAATAGGACTGGTTCTGTATTGCATTGGGAGTGTGGTGGTTTTGATAATCCATGCAGTCCCACTGGCCAACCACAAACAAGGGACCATCTCCAACGTACAACTTGGCTGTATCTTCATCCCCATTGTTATATTTGCCATGGCTGAAGTAACAACCTTAGTCTCAGGTATATAGACTTTGCCAGTCGATATAACCTTGCCCTTTGTAATACGCTTTAACTTTGCAGTGCTAGAGTTTATATATGCACAGTCTCCAGAGAGTATGAAGGGACTCCTGACTGGACTCTACTACCTATTCCGCGGTCTATCTTCAACGGTCTCATCTGCCCTGTTTTTACTCTACAAAAACAGCATCAAAAACAGAGAGCTCTCCCCATTCTACGCAGTATTCACAATCGTTCAGGTAAACTACCAAAACTCCTCATAACATCCTGAAAATGTATTGAGGATGCTAGTATAGCATTGTATATATGCAAAGAGCCGTCTACTGTCATAATACACTTGTTGTTGCATGTAGGTTGTGGGGTTAGTCTTTTATGTGGCGGCGGCTACTTTCCACAAGAATCGACTGCGACATGACGATAACAGTCTTCAGGAGAGACTAATCATTGAAAACCAACTGCACGGTAGCACTGTCGCTTAACAGTTGAAATGTGTCTTTAAAAAGATCGGGATTTTGTATGCATGATTGTAACACACCAAAAGAGAAACTCATTGAATGGCAAACACATACACATTGAGAACCAGCTAGACGGCACCATATCCGCATAACTAGGTGGCACACTTCACATTATTGTAGCTACTCATTCCCTTGTAATTTTCTAGTTGACATCCTGGTTTGGTATGTATGATAGCTATGTTTGTAACACAGCGAAAGAGAAACTCATTGAATGACAAACACATACAATGTGAAACTGCAGATGGAATAAAGTTTGAAAGACATTTCACGCCAAAAGCGACATATCTGTACAAATATAGAAGATTAGTTCAGCGAATGAAATCTTCTTCTTCCGGTCGATCTCTGTTGGAATAGAGGCAGGCTACGATCACGTACATAAAAAACCCTATGCTTCCGACCACACTGTAGATGGTGAAATAGCAGGCGTGACTATGAAACCGGTCGAACCGGACGGGATAGTAGAAAAAGAAGAGGGACGCGGCACCAGAGAAGAGGCCAAACATGAGGTAAAACAGTCCAGTCAGAAAACCCTTCATTTGCTCCGGAGACTGGGCATATATGAATTCCAGCCCTGGAACAGACAAACATGCATACACATCTGTTAGCACAACACACAGTTAGCATCTGCTCACAGCCCGCCCAACTATAATGTACACACGGCTGGATAATTTGGTGATTGAGCGAGTACAAATAGGCCCCAATGCATGCTCAAGAGGCCGCTGAATAGGCCAAGGGTATTGATTGTTAGTTCAAAGCCAGCCGACATGGTTTTTTAAACAGGCATGGAGTTTGCGGGTATTCACTTTACAAACACGTCAGTTGTTTACTTACCAGTTACAAACAGCAGCATTTCCCCAAGAGAAACTGGTAACAATAGGCAGTAGCAGCCACATAAACTGGTGATGCTGGGACACCAGGGAAATACACACCACTCCAGGTAGGCAGCTAAGATGGCAGACAGAGCAATAAGGGCCACTCCAATCCCTATCCTCTCTCTCATTGTCCACGATGGGATGAAGGGCAGGACGACGAAATTGACAACCGGTAGAGCTATTAAGATCACTAGTGCATTCCACAGGCTAAATATGTTGGGGAAGTGAGCTAAGTGGTCCAGTTTAACTTGATAGACATTGGAGAGTTTGTATTCCAGCAAAACATACACCTGTGGATGGGGAAACACATACAGTATGTGGGTTGACTTTGTGCATAGAACTACTTCCGTGTTTGGCTTGGAACAAACAGGACTCGGCACTAGCCTATAGTTCGTAGGATAAATACACCTGTAAGATTTTAAGAAGTTTGGGGAACATTAGAGTTTTGAGCTTGGGCACTTAACATACTTGGAAATATTAGCTTAACACAGTTGATTGGCCACAGAGGGGAAAATAAGTACAGTGGTGTGCTGTAGAAACTCTGTGGTCTGTGGGGACTCACTCCAGTGTAGGTCATGAAGCAGAGGCACAGGGAGAAGAGGATGAGCAGAATCTTACAGAAGGTCTTGACATCTTCCACCTCTTCACTGGTGTAGAGACCGTCGTAGCGGTACTTGGCTCTGTCCATCCTCCTTTTCTTTCCCTCTCCGTACCTGAACGCCCTCCGGTTGACGGGTGGAGTGTCTGGAACCGTAGCTGCATAGAACACCACGTTGACTATTTCTTTGAGCGGGTTATCTCTCTGCCGGTCTATGAAGAGGTGGTTTTTGAACCACCACAGCAGTGTAAGAGCCAAGGTCATCCCGGCTAGAGCTACCACAGACTGTATGCTGGCCACTGCATACTCATTCAGTGCTCTGACTTGAATGCGGGACAGCCCGTAGAATGAGAGTATACCGGCAAGATTCCCAAGCTGTCGACCAAAGTAGTACAAGTAGAAATATGAGCTCTGCTCGTGCGAAGAGGCTCCCTGACTTAGCTGGTCCACTCCGAAAGGGATGATAGCTACTTCGATTGCACCGGACGCAGCGGAAATCAGTACATACGCAATGACCGGAAGACAGAGTGTGGTCATGTGATGACTCCCTATCTGGACAGAAGCAAGTGCGAGGGAGAGTGAAAGGAGTGAAAATGCGATCCAGAAGAGCCAGACACCGATTTGAATCATTCTGTATCTGCCCGTACACACGTCACTTAGGAACCCTGCTATTGGGTACATGACGCGACCAGCAGTGAACTTGACCAGCAGTATCAGAGCTGTTTCGTGCCAACTGGATCCTGTAAACAAGATCCTCAGCGTGCTGTCTGTGGCACCGTAGAAGGCGAACGATTCTATGAAGTTTAGCAGGAAAACTATCAGGGAGCCGACCCCACGGGGCATCCTTTTCCAACACGTATGTCGCAGTCTTTTCCAGCACAAACCGTGGCGGGGCGCTCCGCGTTCCCTCTCAGCATCTCGCGCAGGCAAACGTTCGCCGGCGGGCAGAAGCGGAGACGACGATGGGGGTCGAGAATCGTGGGAAGAGGACGATTCGTTCTGGATGCTCCCCGTCCGGACGTGGTAGGCGAGGACGCCTGAAGATCCGCTGCTGCTACTGCAGCTCGGCTCCAGCGAGGCCGTGCTCTGGAGGACGGAGACCCGCGTGGAAGACGGCGGTCTCGCGCGGCGGCTCCCGTTGCTGCTCCACTGGCGGGACCCGCTACGCTCCTCGTCCTCCTCCATCAGCGGACTGACCGGCGGCCGGAGCCTCGTGCTCCTGTTTCCGTAACTCCGCACGGGATCCCTCTCGCTGCCTGACATACGGTTCTCCGGCTTGCTACTACTATACTCGTACTCTCCGCGATGCAGTGCGTAGTAAGCTTAGCGCATGCGCATAAATTCGGAGGCGGAGCTGAGCTAGTTAGCTTGGATCGGCTTGGAACATGTCGACGAAAGGCTATGGTTCCACGGTTAGCAGCCCTATTACCAGCTACACCGCTACCAACGATACCATCACGTCGGGGTTTAGCGTGTTGTCTCCGTTTACGGAGTTGATGAGCCGCCGATCGTGCAGTCCTCCCATCAACCGCTACTGCAGCGATAACGATTCTTCAGATGTCTCCTCGGAGAACTCCCGGTGCATTGTGGAGCGTAGACAGGGTCTCCCGAGCTCCCTGCGTCTGTATGTGACCAGTTTAAGTCCTCGCAGTCTCCGTCGCTCCTACATCCACAGGCGACTTCCGTGCAACAAGAACGTGTGGCTCGTCTTGCTCATGTTCTTTCTGCAGGGTTTCGCGGAGTATTCGACTCTCCTGTTTCTTTTCTTCGCTCTCGACGCGCACCAACCCCTCAACCCACCGCAGGTTGTCGCTTCCTTCCTCCTAATACAGTGCCTTGTACTTGCAGCCTCTCCGGTCGTGGGATTCCTAGCTGATGCCTACTTTGGTCGCTACAACACCATCAAGGCCAGCCTCTACGTGTGCCTGCTTGGAGCCGTAGCTTTGGCCGTTGGCTTCAGCACAGCAAAGCTGGACCCCTGGCTGAGGTCAGGCATGGCGAGGGGGACCATTACCGCCAGATCGACTTCGAGGGAGAAAAGCAGGTGGCCGAAGGAAACAGAAGTATTCATAGGAGTTTTTACGCTGTGATGTACGTCGGGCTGACGGGAGTAACGGTGAACCTCATACCGTTCGGCGTGGACCAGTTGCCGGAGGCGTCCAGCGGCGAGCTGAGCTCGTATTTCCACTGCTACTTCTGGTGTTTGACCGCTGGAGAACTACTGAGTGCCGCAGCCCTCCCGTACATCTACCAGCACTATTCTCTGGGATCGTCTTCTTGTTGCTTGCTGTGTGTTTCACAGGCGAGATCCTGATCCTTATTCTTCGGCGTCATGAAGGATTTGTCATCCAGCCACTTATAAAAAATCAATTCAAGCTCATCTACCGCGTCCTCAAGTGTTCGTTTAGTGCTAAAAAGCCAGTGTTCAGAAGTGCGTTTGATATCGGACGCCCTCCCCCCTTCACGAATTGACAGAGCTATGGACATAAATGGCGGAAAGTTTACCGTGGAACAAGTGCAAGACGTTAAAACTGTGCTGCGAATATTGGTCATCCTTCTCTCCTTTTTTGGTTACTACGCAGTTTCTGCACAGGTAAGCAAAGTGCACAATAAGAAAAAATACCCCAGTACAAGTGTGTGCGGGTGTCATGTGTAAATCGGTAGGTCAGGCATCATTAACAATGCATAACCAGCCGTTAAATATCTCTCCATTACTGTAGAGTGTGGGTAACTTTCACATTACCCAGTTTTAGCTAGAACCAATCGCAAAAACCTTTTCTTGAACATTGTGGAGAAAAAACCTTTTTGTCTTTCTAGTTTGCAATTTTAATCACAAAGTCTCCAGTTATGCTGCATTTTATTTTCATGTGCAGCTAGCGAGCACCTATTTTCTGGAGGGTGTGCAGATGTCGGTACCGCGAGGGACATACACAAACTGTACCGAAACCATTTACAAAAGCACCGACTACTTTGTCAATGCCACGTACTCCATCGAATGCCACAAGTGGAGCATTCCTCCTTCATTCTGGATGGCATCTGCGAGTTTCATACCCATTCTGGTGCTCATCCCACTCGTAGACCGTCTGTTCTATGTTAGCTGCAGACCAAAGATGCTGAAAAGGATAGCTGCAGGGAATATCTTTCTTCTACTGAGCATACTGGTCGCTGTACCAGTGGAAATAGCACGGATGGAGAAACTATGGGATCAGTTTACCCACGGAGGGAATAGTACGGTCGTGATAAACGCCATACCGTTCCACACTGCAAGTGCGACGACATTTCACTTAGCTTCGCCGCTTTCCATTGTTTCCATAATGCCGCAGTACATTCTGTTTGGATTCACAAAGGTCTTTGCTAAAATCACAGGTTTGTACGTCTATATATACTTACGTTAGAACAACGGCCATCCATTTGTATTCCCCACACAGTTGTGGAGTTCATCTATGCACAGAGCCCGGGAGCCATGAAAGGCCTTCTGCTAGGAATGCTGTTTTTTACCAGTGGCATGGCAATGGGATTCTCCTCTCTCCTCATCTTTCTTCAGGGCATGGCAAGAAAAAACAGTTTGAGTTTACTTCCTACTTCGGAAACTCATATGACGTGCAAGAGAGCCTCAATTGTTTGTCAAGCAAGGGGCGTGAATGTGTGGATGGGCCGTTGTTTTCGTACATTGTTTTAGCCGTTGCTGTACTGGTATCTTTTATTGTCTTTATACTGAGCAGCCTACAAGTACACTCCACGCAGACGAGGCATAGAGCCACACTATAACCCATATCTTTAACATTTCAATTTTTAAAATAATTATTACACTGTTCAAATGAAATGACCGTCCTTTATTTTCAGTGCGTCGTCGACTATTATTAGCACAAAGCTCACAGCAGTCCACACACTAACAAAGATAAAGACCGGTACATTGCTGAATTTGGACTTGTGCTTGTTGTCGTATGTGGAAAACTCTTTCATGATGACGTTTCTGCCAGCGATGGCTAGAGTTAAAGGGATGATATACTGGACACCAACACCAGGAAAAGAGCCTGTGACGCTGACTAGAGCTTCGACATTTCTGGTGGCAAAGGCAATTAGGATCGGAGGAATGATAGCCAGCAGTGGGAACACGATTCGGGACACCACGAAATGAAACTCTCCGTCTCCCCGCCACTTTTTCAGCAATACTCGAAACAACGCCTTGAGGTTCTCGCGTAGCGTTATCGAGATGATGGGGAAATTGGTACTCAGGGTAAAGACGGGAAACAGGGCTAGGTAGTACCCCAGAAACACCCTCAGGGTCACACGAGTCGCCGAGGAATTGAAGAAATTGAGCGTGTAAATGTCCTCCAGGTTTGAAAACCTGAAAGCTCCCGTTAAGGTGAGGAGGAGGTAAGCGAAGAGAATGAGAGCGAAATCTGAGAAAATCATCCACAGGAGGTTTTTCTTTGTCTTCATGGGCGTGATCATTCCGGGGAGGGAGTGCTGGCACATGAAGGAGTAGATGCTGACTCCAAATAACACTGGGAACCCCTTGAATCTGGCGGGAGGGGGGAGGGGCTCTGCCCGGTGGCCCTGTGCCATGTCAACGATAGCCAGAAGTATCATCAGGACAAACGCTGGGCAATGCGTAGGAGGGAAAGGAGTTTCAGAGTGATGTAGTGGTTGGTTTTCAGACTTACCAACGTTCCTCAGAATGGTGGTAAAGAGCTGGAGATACTTGGAGCGAGTGAGATTGAAAAATGTCCATGGGCACAGTAAGAGAACCGTCACAGCCTAAAACAGTAATGGACACTTAACCCCAGCCCCTTTCAATTACTCGGTAAAGAAGAGCGAAGGCATATTCAAACCAGCAACACATTTTTGGCAAGTAAACACAAGCAAATCTATAGAGCACAACTTTTTAGCAACTGTCGATGTAAATTTACATTATTCATCAAATAACTATATACTAGCTGAAATATTTTACTCCGGTGTTTTGGCATTTTTTTATGTATGCATGATGTCCCGTACGGCATGCAATGGTGGTTACTATTCAGACTCGGTATGCAATTACACAGTAACGATTTGGTAGGTTGTAGGAATATTATGACTTACTAGACAAATGTAGTAGGTATGGGTGTCAGAGATCGCAGTCGATCCAAAACACATGTGTCGGGTTTCGTAAGTAACGCTGGAACCACTCCCAGATCCACTACCCGAACCACTCTCTGGTTCGTAGTACACGTCAGTGAAATAACCGTTTATTTGTGTAGCGTTAGATACGCTTGACGCCATCACCACCTCGCGTTCTATCTTACGTTCCGAGCTACATACATACACACAAGAGAGAGGGGGGAGAGTTCTTTGCAAAGCAAAATAGACAGTGAAAGCATTAAAACACGATAATAGTGCTGAATGTTTGTGAAATAGTGTATTCTTACCATAGGACTTGTTGCATGGACTTTGGAATTGTCACAGCATATATGGCCAGATCGCCATACAAGTAGACACATATACACACATAATAGAGGACTATCCCAACTGCATATAATACGTCACAATACATGTTATAGTAAAAGATGAGTTTACTGTCGGCTTACTTGGATGATAGAACATATTAGCCATAGTTCCCTGTGTTCAATAAGGAGGTGTAATAGATAATAATGAAGCTGATCGGAACATACCAGTTCATACTTCTTCCTGATTTCGTATTCATCCGACTCTCCCAGAGGCAGCTACAGAGGACGAGTCCCGATTCAACATTGAGCCTGTCACACAACGTGGTACAATAGAGGACACGTACAGGCAGATACACGACACACAGAGAGAGAAGTAGAAGCGAGGAATTTACCAGGTGGAAGAAGTGGCGTTGTTTCTCCAGGAACAGATATAGAGTCACTCTTTGTCTGCATTATAGAGCAAGACCAGTGGAAGTGTATGCATATCATAGTTTCTATAAGTGCACAGGCCTAGAGCATTGTTGTGTGGTGGGCTTCCAGCTAATGTGGTGTTTGAGTTGTCTAGTGGTGCAAATGTTGAACTGGTTCATGTTTAGAGGCTGAGAGATAGCTAAACAGGGAAAGCAAGCACAAAACACTGCATTACAAGCCGTTACAGACCACCAAAGCCGGCTTCTGTATGTCGCTGTTCTCCCGAGTGAGGGCCCGTCTCTCCTTCCTCTCCTTGAGAATATAGTACGCATTGGCGGCGGCCATGGCTTCCACGACGTAGGAGGTAGTCAGGAAACTCATGAAGGCCAGAGTGATGATGAGCAGGGTCCCCAGGACCAGTCCGGCTTGAGTGAACGCCAGAGGCAGAGCCAAGGCCCCGACGCCTATCACCAGGTTGAAGATGTAGGCGAAAGCGAACTGTGCAGGATACAACAACGTGCCAGCGGCGCATTTAACAGGGGAAAGGAAGGCTGCTTACCACACTGGAGTACTGGCCGTCTGGCTCTTGAGGAGAGCCAGCCGCGCCGCCAGCCATGACTCAACTTTTCTGGTTCTCTAGCTCTCTCGCTCGATCTCTGTCGCGTGGTTCAAAGCCCCGCCTACTTTGTGGGCGTGGCTAATTGCACAGCAACAACCGCGGCGCGACCGAGAGGGTGTAGCTGCTAACCTTGCAGAGGAAGGAACTACTGCTCGCATTTCTTCAAACATGGCCAAGCAGGACATGAAAGGTAAGCCTGTTGTCCTCGCGACGACCCGACCAACTCGCACTCCTCACGACAGAGAGGTTCGTTCCCGCCGAGTTCCTGGAGAGCCACATCTTCCCCGCCCTCCTCCCGGGGCTGGAGGATACTCTCAGAACAGCCAAACGCACAGAGGTTCATCTACATAGTCACGTCCTTCCAAGGTCTAAGCAGCCTAATGTTCTTTCCACAGAGAAGAAAACGATTCAACCCTTTGGACCACCTCTCCGCCTACCTGTACAGGTTTGCACTGTAGCTAAAGAGCTAGAGTAAGCTAGCGATTGAGATTGAGCTATAGATTTTAGCTTTTGAGTCATGACGTATAGTTGGTGATTTTATTGTCTCTCTTGCAGAAATAACCCCAGTGGAAGTGGTCGCGAAGATGTCAAATTTGAAGACATTCCGTTTGTCAAAGAAAAGTGGTCAGTAGAGTAAGTTGAACATGAAAAAACACTATGTTCCAAATGTGTTGAATACTCACTGATATTTCCGCCAGGCCTCGCTGCCCACTGCCCCTGTCAGCCACACTGACAGAGAGCGAGGCAGCTGCTATCATACAGGCCCACTACAGGAGCTATCGACTGCGCTGCTCGAACCCACACGTGGTGGAGTTTCGCAAGTGGCAGAGACGCTACCGGGAGGAGGCCGCGGCCGCCCGCAAGATGCAGGCATGGTGGAGGAGCACGCTACGAGACAAGGGGAAGGATTGTGCCACTGATAAAGAGGGAACTGAAGCAGGGCACTCAACAGTAGACAGTGAACATTAAAAATCAATGGAAGCAAGATCAGATTGAAATTGAATATGATGATGTGTATCACTCGAGTTGGTGACTGGGTGGTTGGTACAGGCTATGTGACAACAGCGGACAGTGAAGAAAACGAAAACAACATAAGAGATTACGATGTACATAATCTATGTACCGGATGCCGGGCGGGGTTGGTTGGTGAGTGGTTTGTAGAAGTGTGACTTAGTTGGGCAGCGAAAACAAAGACGAGGGTTTTTTTAATTGATGATGATCTGAGGGTCCCTGGTAGTTAACAGGGTGTGAATTCGTCTCGACAAAACTGGGCCAAGTCTCCTGGTTGATGCAGTAGTCCCCACTCCCTCTTCTCACCTGTATAGATATATATATATAGCATGATAAAGGGATGGGCCCTGTACGGAATAGCTATATAGGAACGGGATACGAATGTTCAATGCTGGGGTATGAATTTTGCACAAAGCTGCGTGTACATGAATTTCCACATAGCATATTCTTGAATTTAGTAAAATTTTGCATTTTGAACTACTAAAACAGAACAGCACACCGTAACGTCTTGAAGAAGGAGAGCTGCACTCTCAGCATCTAGTGAAGAGTAAGCCTATAATAGGGACAGGGAGATCATGTGCGAGAATGAGGGAGAGAAAGAGCTCACTGAGATGAGGCGGGCAGGAGAGGGGTAGGCAGCCACGACGCCGAAGCCATCGGCTCGGAAACGTTGTTGAACTGCATCAACTGGTTCTTCCAGGTGCCGCCACCTGGTCCCCAGACTCCACCCTCTTCTTCTTCCCTCCCGCAGCGTCCGGGTGGAAACTGAAATGATTCTCCTTGCTGCATGTAGAGTAGTCAACACGCCACTCACACATTGGGCAGGTTTCATTTCACTTTGAACGCATATATAGCCGTGTGGGTGTGTGCATGGTCACTAAATTCACAACGACTGCTCCACAAATCGTATGACTGTCTAAATTTTAAAAAAAACTGAAGTAAATTTGAGGTAAGAAAATCTAAGAAGTGAGCTACAGCATTGAAAAAGTAGTAAGGCCCCACCTAACACAAGACAAACTCTCTCTCCACACTGGGTATGACAAAAACTGGGTATAGACCTGAAGGGCTTGTTGCACACGGCCTTGGTGAGTGTGAGTACATGCTCAGCCAGTTCCTCTTCCCCAGCACACAGTCTCACTGAGGAGCCAGTGGCCAGCTGGAGAGAGATAATGGCCTCCTGACAGTCTGTCCAGGTCACCTCAGAGGAGGGGTCTTGACTGGAGCCAGTCCCCAGGACCTGCTGACGGAACTGTCTGTTGGCCTTTGTCTTATTGCCCCTGCATTACAAGTCACGGTCAGGAACGCTGCATTACACACATTATCTGGCTTATATATTACATGTATGGCAGTACTTCAAACAAACATTCTCTTCACTGATTCAGTAATGCATACCACACTGAGCGTTACTATAATTATAGCATTATAGATGTATGGGGCCATAATGGGGAGTTTTCTTTTCAGATTAGACACGCATTGAAACAAAAAGCCCAAGAAAAAAAAGGCAAAAGGACCAATACTTGTCTATACTCTTGGGGTTCCATGAAAAGTAGTTGTAGATGCCATACCTAAAGTACTTGTCCAATCCTTCGACAGCGAGAGATACGGTCCAATCCCCACGTCCCCTCCTCGCTTCCTCCACGTATCCTAGCAGTGTGTTTGCCCCCACTGGCAGAGGAGAGTCCTGCTTCTGTTGGACATAGTCACAGTAAGAGATTGAGGCTTGTTCAAGTCGACTTACCGACATCTTGACTAAACCAGCAAATCCATGTGCTTCTAAAGTTAGCAGCAGGTGGTTCTCTTCTTTCTCAAACACAACTTCCTCTATCTGATGTATATATGTACATAAGAAACAGCCGTACACATATAAAAGTGTTCCAACCTCGGCATTTTCTGTCACATTTCTCTCTCGCTGTTTCCTCCGCCATGTTACTCCGCCCGGAACTCCACCCACCCCGACTCGATGCTCCACCCCCATCTCCTCCAGCTCGCCCACCAGGGACTCCATTAACTCAGAATTCTCGGCGAGAGAGCTGTCCAGGACCAGGACCATCTGTCTCAGTCTCTCCTGTGGACTCGCCTCTCTCCTTGTCTCCCTCAACGCCTGTGTCACACATGTACTTAGCGTCCAATGTCCATGCAGTGCACACCTCTTTCATGGCCTTTTCAAACTGCTTGACCTTCTGTTGCTGTTCTTTTCTCTTCATAATCATCTGCCTTTGCTCCGCTTTGGTGATCTATACATAGATAAATATCGTACTGCAAGTTCGGCTACGTTCGAGAATGAGAAAGCACCTGCTCGTTTTCTCTAGGTTTCTTGGTGATTGAAGGATTGTGATGTACAGTGTCCGTGTCAGGTTCACTTCTAGCTGCCATGGGCTAACAAGTCGAGGGGAGGGGGTAGGCTGCCCGCCGCGCGCGTGGGTGGGATATCGCGCATGCGTACAGATTGCATCTCGCACGTGTTCCGCCTCAGCTCATGCTCAACGCATACTCCTAGGGAGAGATGGTGAGTGTTCAGAATCTTCTTCGATCCAAGTTTCTAACCTCTCCAACCGTCTTTCCCTCCCTCTACACAGTCCCACAGGAAGTTCTCTGCGCCGCGCCACGGCTCCCTCGGTTTCCTCCCGAGGAAACGCGCCAAACGGCACCGCGGGAAAGTCAAGACGTTCCCTAAGGACGATCCGAGCAAGCCGCCGCACCTTACCGCCTACATGGGCTACAAGGCAGGCATGACGCACATTGTTCGCGAAGTAAACCGCCCGGGATCCAGTGAGTTATCTTTTTGTCAACACGGGGTGTTTTGAGATTTTGTATGAATGTTCGCAGAGAGCCACAAGCACGAAGTCGTAGAGGCGGTGACCATTGTAGAGACGCCGCCGATGATATGTGTAGGAGTGGTGGGCTACGTGGAGACGCCTCGTGGCCTGCGGGCTCTGAAGACCATCTTTGCCCAGCACTTGAGCGATGAGTGCAAGAGGCGGTTCTACAAGAACTGGTACACAAATTATATACGCACTGTTTCTTACGCTGCTGAGATTTACTGATTGTCGTGTTCTAAAGTCCTGAGCACTCCTCTCACACTCGCTGATGAGTATCAGGCTCTCTCTCTCCTTTCCCTCTTATTCAACCCCTTACTTCTCTCGTCCCTGAAACTCACTTGCCCTCTGTGACGTGAAGGTACCGCTCCAAAAAGAAGTGTTTCGGCCGATCGTCTGGTCGCTGGAAGGAAGACGCCGGAAAAGCCTCGCTCGATTCCGATTTCAACAAGTTGAAGAAGTATTGCAAGGTCGTGCGTGCCATCTGCCACACCCAGGTGGGTCTTCGTGGTCTATCTAGCCTCTGTGGATGGCGTGGAGTTTAAGTTACTTGTTTGTGTGTTTGTTGTGTGTAGCTGAGTCTCATCAAGAGTTTGAATCAGAAGAAGTCGCACATCATGGAGATTCAGATCAACGGAGGCACCATTGCTGAAAAGGTTACAATTGGGAGGAGAGAAGAGTTGACTCTTTAGAATGACAGTGTGTGTCTTTCTCTCTCTCTCACACACACACACTCTCAGGTGGACTGGGCCAGGGAACACATGGAGAAGGCTATACCTGTGAAAGATGTCTTTGATACGAACGAGGTTGTGGACGTAATTGGTGTGACTAAAGGCAAGGGGTTCAAAGGTGAATTTCTCCACTAGATATGGGCTAAATTTAGAAATGTTACTAAAGATAGGACAAAACAATAGGGCCACTGAAAGAATGCAATTAAGTTCCTTTTAACGTTTCTAAATTTAGCCCCTATATACTGACATTCCCTCTCATCCCCTTCTTTCCGCAAGGTGTGACTTCTCGCTGGCACTGCAAGAAGCTGCCACGAAAGACCCACAAAGGTCTCAGAAAGGTGGCCTGCATTGGAGCTTGGCATCCGAGTAGGGTCCAGTTCTCAGTGGCTCGAGCCGGGCAGAAGGGTTACCACCATCGTACCGAGGTCAACAAGAAGATATATCGCATCGGCGCCGGGCAGGATGCAAGCAATGCTGCTACTGAAAACGATCCAACTAAGAAGCAGATCACTCCACTGGTATGTAGGTGGCACTGTTGTACCTCATTCATCCTTATAGTTCTGTGTATGCTAATGTTTGCTCATGTTTGCAGGGAGGGTTTCCTCACTATGGAGTCGTGAGGAACGACTATCTGATGCTGAAGGGATGTGTCATGGGTCCCAAAAAGAGGGTCATAACTCTCAGAAAGGTGTGTAGATATATATTTTTTCTTGTCTTTCTTACTGACAAGAATACCGTTTCTGCAGTCACTTTTGGTCAACTTCAGCCGTAAGTACAGGGAGGAGGTCACTCTGAAGTTCATTGACACGTCCTCCAAGTTTGGACACGGTCGTTTCCAGACCCCCGAAGAGAAGAGCGCCTTTGTGGTGAGCCAAAGCCTTTCAAACACGCACACACAATCACACACACACTCACGCTCTCTTTTTATAGGGTAAGCTAAAGAAGGACTATGAAAAGGAGAAGGCTGCTGCTGCAGAGTGAATGAGTGTTTGAACGAATTTAGGTGTAAATAGTGGTTTGTTATATTATGCGCACGCACAATGAGAAATAAATCCGCGCGCATGCGCCAATCTGCGTGGTGGGTGGAGCTCATATTCTTGAGTGACGGAGGAGGGATGAAGGCAGCTTTTGTAACTGGCGGAGGAGGTTACGTGGGTCGTCTGCTAGTTCGGCAGCTCGCCGAACACGGCTACTCTGTCACTGCATTCGACTTGCGCTTTCAAGAAACTGCGAATGAGCAGCAAAGTGGAGTCACCTACCTACTGGTATGAAGTCCATGCATGGATGGAAAATTGAAGCGCCAATCCGCAACGCAGGGAGACATTACAGATGGTCCAGCTCTAGAGCAGGCCGTGCGGCAATCCAGTGCCTGTGTCCTCTTCCACTTGGCATCGTACGGAATGTCAGGCAGAGAGCAAGTTAGCCAGAGTCTTGCAAATTTATTAGCTAGCGTCAAGATGATAATTTCACACACAGTTGAATATTGGACAGATTGAAGCGGTAAACATTGATGGAACAAAGAACGTGTTGAAAGGTAAGTTTCATGGATTTTGTCTTGCGGACCACGAGACGAGAGACAATCTGTAACAAGAGTTCTTTATCACTGGACAGCTTGTGTGGCATGTGGAGTAGCAGCACTGGTGTACACGAGTACCTTCAACGTGGTGTTTGGTGGTCAGGAGATTGTGGACGGCAGGGAAGAAGACTTGCCCTACTTTCCCCTCGACAAAGTGAGAGTTGTGTTTTGCACTTGTTTCTTGACTGCATTTATGCTCTGATACAAAACAACAAATTGCCAAATTTACGTCACTTATGCTACTCTATAATTGAATCCCCACTACAGCATGTGGATCACTACTCTCGAACCAAGGCCATTGCCGAGCAAGCTGTGCTGGCTGCAAACGGCTCTCGTCTGCTCGTCCAGTGCGGAAGGAGTGGGGAAATTGTGAAGACGAAAGGTTAAAGACCTGTGCTCTGAGATGTGCGGGGATCTATGGCGAAGGAGAGCAGAGGCATCTCCCTAGAATAGTGGTGTGGCTTAGTTTAGCCTACCAGAGAGATAATATTTCTCTCCGTTTATGGTTGTTGAACTGCAGAGCTATATTGAGAGGGGACTGTTTCAGTTTACGTATGGCTCCGAGGACAGTCTGGTGGAGTTTCTGCACGGAGACAACTTTGTTCAGGCGCACGTTGAAGCTGCTTGCGCCCTCCAGGAACACAACTCGCCAGTTGTACGTTTGTTCATATTATTACAACACTGTGCATTAGAGAACATTGGAGCACAGTTTATACAGGATACTTATGCAGGCTGGAGAAGCATACTTTATCTCTGATGGAAAACCTGTCAACAATTTCGAGTTCTTTCGACCTCTGGTAGGAAAATATGTACCCAATATTCTATTTTTTTCACCTTTCCTCGACAGTGTGAAGGTCTTGGTTATAGGTATCCTGAGCTGCATCTTCCACTCTCCCTTGTCTTTTACACAGGTTATGGTACTAATCGTCATGGAGACTTATAAACACACTTTCTTCTGCAGCGTTTGTCATTGAGGTAGTCCATAGTATAATCGGCCGCTACGTCTACAACTTCCAGCCACTCATAACCAGAGCAGAGGTAGGTGTGATCTTTTCGTGATTGCTTATATGGGGAACCTACCAGAGGTACAATGGATCTGCAAGTTGTGTATAATTATACCAACAGTAGGAAATCAATAGTTGCTTCACGAGACTGAAAATCAGGGCTGATTTAGCTACCACTGTTATCATTAAAGTTACCATTCTCTCTATTGGTGGGCTGATAGGTATTAAAGACAGGGGTTACCCACTACTTTAGTCTGGAGAAAGCCCGTAGGGACTTTGGCTACGACCCTCAACCCCACAACCTCTCCGGCGTTGTGACATGGTTCAGAGACAGAGGCAAGGGGCGGGGCCTCAAGGGACACAGCAGGAAAGGGGTTAACAACAAAACTCTCTGCCACAGCAGGTGGATATACTTATTGGGCTTCATCACTCTGTGTGTCACTGTACATTCTGTTGTGGTGAAACTTTTCGTCGCGATTTCAGAAAATCACGTAAATAGTATGCCAAACAGATTTTGAGGGGGTTTGTTATATATACAGAAGACACACAGAACAGTGGAACATCATCAGGTATTAGAAAAATGTGGTACTATGGAATTTGTGGGTGAGAGGGGGGAATAAATTTTCGTCATGTACTGTTACTTGTGCTGGTGAGATACTGGAGTGCACTGGCAACATTCTCCATTGACACCACTTGATGTTGCTCCAGTGAGGGGGACGAGGCCGTGCCGAGAAGGTCTGGGTTGTTTACAACGCTGGACAGGGCCGAGATTATCGCCGCTGGATCAAATCCCGCCACTGCTTGCTGCGGGTCACCGACACCTGCCTGGGATGAAACGGGGTCCCCGGTAACAGTTAGAGGAGAGGCAGAGAATGCAGAGACGCTCTGCTGTGTGGTGTCAAATGAGGTGCCGCTGGAATTAGTCGCCACGCCCTGGAGCCCGCCCAACATGAGCGAGGCCAGGTTCCTGAGCGCAATCTCATTGGTCAGTTGCTGCTCTTGCGTCACCGCAGTCGATGTGTGTTGACCATTTGATCCACTATGTCGCTGCCGTCTGAGAATTGTAGGGAGGTGATGGTTCCCCGACTGAGGTGGAGAGGCCTGCTGCTGACCAACAGTGTGAAGAGATAGGGAGAGCTGAGAGGGCTGCTCCGAGCCCCCCACCACCACCTGCTGTTGTTGCTGCGTCAGACCCAACGCCAGTTGCACCGTGTTACTCAACCCGTTTGCGTCGTCCTCTGAGATACTTGGAAACTCTGCAGACTGTAGCGACGGAGCAACCTCACCACCCCCACCACCGACTCCCCCCTGGTCTAATCCACTACTTCCCTCTCCAGGGGTAGCGGGGCTTGTCGACGACAGCCGCACCGCTGCTCCCATTGACTCCGAGATCTGGACTGCTGTCAGGGGCTCAGACCCTTGGCTCTGATCCTCCCCACTGCTCATCACAGATCCGGTGCTATCAAGACGAGGTTTCTTAGCAGGGGCATCCTTGTCCGTGAAAGTCTTCTCCTCGTGGCGAATCCTCTTCAAGTCTGCCTCTGTGAATTTCACGGGGATGGGGATCGATGGTTTCTTTGATTCGTCTTTGTGGTAGACCCTCTTGTGTCTCACAAGGTCTTTCTTGTGGACGTATGAACGCTGACACCCAGGGAAATCGCAGGGAAAGCGCACCATCACTTTTCCGTCCGCGTCGGTCATTTCAACAGCCCCCGAGAGGTTACCGTTGTCGCTGACCGAGTGACACTGCCGCTGGTGTCTCCGCAGATCCTTCTGGTGGAAGTACGACTTGCGACACACGCCCACCTGGCACGTATAGGGCTTCTCCGGCGTCTCTATGACGACTGGCTCCAATTTCTGTGGGGACATCCCGTGCCGGAGCGTCATGTGACGAATGAGATCTTTTCGATGTACGTAGGCCTTGGCACACGTGGCCAGTTCGCACGGATACTTACGGACGACTTTATCAGACTGACTATTTCCCTCACTTCCCACTTGTGTTTACGCCGGGCGAGGCTGCGTTGAAGGGATCATGTACGGGGGGAGACCCTGCGTTGTTGAGTAGTAACGAGGAAGAACTGGCAGCTTTCTGAGCCACGAGGGATGAAGAGTACTCGACGGTCTCTCTAGAGTTTGCACCGCCACCACTCGTGCTAGTAGAGCTACCAGTGATCAGTTTCGCCTGCGCTTCTTCCTCTTGAGAGCCCGGAATGTCTCTGGACCAACCTCACACTGAATGCCGACCGATTCCTTGGGCTTCTGCGACTTTCTCGCGGAATTTTCCGGAGCAGTGTTGGTTTCAGAGGTGGGGTTGGAAGATGAAGTCGGGAGAGTGTCCTCTTCTGATGCCACGACAGTTGCAATCTGCTGAACTGGGTTGAGGACATCTGGGGGTGTCTGCTGTATGGCGAGTAGGGAGGTCTTGTCGTTTGCCACTGCCTGTGCGTGGAGTGGTACACCTGCCACCACCGCCAACAGCCGAGGCTGGAATAGTAGCCTGCTGAAACATATCAGCACTCAACGCAGTGTATACACTATCCATCTGTGTATTGTACGCGACGACTTCTGAACTACTCACGTCGGTGGTGACTGGACCACTATAGCTCATCTGCTGGAGACCGTGATTCTGGGGTGCAACTGTAGTCGTGTACATCTGTCCCGATGGCTCCAGCTCGAGGCCGTTTGCATTGGCAAACGAGGCGGTGCCAGTTACTGACAAGACATTCTGTCCGTGTGTTGCCTGCGAGTGGTCTGAGTAGCTCACTCCCGCGTCCTGATACCCACCACTGTTCTGTATATGGTAGGCGTTTGTTGCCGTCTGGTAGGCACTGGTCCCTTCTTGGTAGGCGTTGGTCACCTCTTGGTACCCACCGGTGGAGCCATCGCGGTAATCGGCCGCCGTTTGGATCATACCGGTTGCATCGTAGCCCTGCATCGACTGTTCCATCTGGACACTCTGCAGTTCAAACGCACTCTGAGCTATCTGCGCTTGCATGTGGAGTATATTGGCATCTTGGCTCTGGACATTCATTTGGTTCATGCTTGTCATTCCTCCTCCTCCTCCTGTCCCCCCACCCCCCTGCTGGTTCATAACAGATTGCGGCTGCTGTGAGGGAGGAGGAGGAGGAGGATGGAAGGACGAGGTGTCCAAAGTTTGCCCCTGCTGTCCACCCTGATTGTGGTGATGCTGGGCGAGAGGAAGATTCGTCAACGTCGAGGCATAGCTGACGGAGTCTGTGGAAGAGGTGAAGGACTCCGTGAACCCCTCCTGGGAGAGAGAGGACTGCGACCGTGGAGGGATCTGGTACACCTGAGCCACGCTCTGGGTGTTGTACACCGGCGAAGTGAAAACCTGTGACGATGATGACGAGTCTTGGTATCCGTCTGTAGTGTATACCATGCCCGATGAAGGCGCCACATGGTCGTAGTTTTGTTCCATGTAGCCCATGTTCTGGACCACGGCGGTTGCATCAGAGTTCATAACGTGGTTGAGTGGGTGCATCACCTGCATGGTCCCCCCGCCCCCAACTCCACCCATCTGGCCAGAAGACTCTGTACCGACAACAGACGGCTGTGTCTGAGGCGAACCAGCAGCAGGGCTCGCATACTGTAACTGCTGGTGCTGAGATATCTCCTCGCCACTCAGTACCGGACCCTGGAGAGTGTGAGAGGTCGTGAGCTCGGTGGTTCCTGGTGTCTGGAGCAGGTCCTGAGCCGACTGTACCAGCGACTGTGTCGTCTGAAGCACCTGCTGAGCTACCTGATGCCCCACCACCTGCATACTCTGCTGCTGCTGATTCTGATTCAGGGCTTGAGCTGACTGTTGCTGCTGTCTGAGTTGCTGTTGTAGCTGGTGTCGTTGTATCTGCTGCTGTAGCAGTTTCTGCTTCTCGCTCTGCTCCTGTTGCTGCTGCTGCGTGTGGAGTTGCTGGAGGATGTCCGACTGTTGTTGTTGGTGGGTGGTGGTCGGCGAAGACCTCTGGGGAGATAGTAGTTGCGTCTGCTGCTGAGCTAAGTTCCCCAGTGAAGGGGCTGGTGTCTGCTGACTCTGTATTTGTGGTGAGAGCTGCGGTGTCTGTGATGGCGGTGGCTGGAGGAGCTCGTCTGCGAGTGGAGGGGCTTCGGGAAAGGTTTGTTTCGAGAGGAGGGCCGCATGTGAGTGGAGAGAACCTCCTAGTGAGCTTCTCAACTGGGAGTTTGTCGTCTCATACACTGGAGGAAGAGGAAGACGCAGGATTGAGGAAGACTTGTATACACACATCCAGACACAACAATAGTTTGCATAGCCAAGCCCTTAATAAACTTTGCAATCCATAGCTCTGCATATTAGTGTTAAGAATTCACCTTGCAGTGTGTAAAAGGGGATGCATACAAAACACGGACTGAATTAGCACATGGCCAACTCTTTGACTGATACCAGCCAGTGTATAGTACAGCATTCAAAATGGTAAGTATTAAAGTTGATTATCAACAGGCTAGGATGTAAGAAACATTGGAGGAGAAGTTACTTGGAACAACCACCACGCTCACACAGTGCATAAACACTGATTACTGGAAGCATAGTAGCCCTTTATCTGCTTGACAAAAGATCATAAGGGCTATCTAAACTTGTGTGGAAACGGATAGTCTCAGGCACATCTGTCACTGAGACATGCCTAGACCTAGTGAGAGGTAGTACAATACCACCAAGAATGCCATCAACGAGTTTTAGGCAAGGGCTGAGCGAGACAGTGTGTGTACCCTCTTATAATAGACACACCAATGAAGGACAGTCACCACCATATGATCTAAAGTCGACTCTTGTGGAATTTTCGTGTGTCCTTTATTAATTTTGAAGATTTCACCGTATACTTGCTTTGTGAACTTTGACACAATAGGCAGGCTCAGTTTCAATTGCCAATTGTGTACTGTGCAAGGAAACTGGGCCAGAACAGCATTTGCTGACAGCAACATAGCCACCGACTGCCATGAAATTGGACATGCACACACAGACAATACTACAATCATGTCTGTAACCCAATGAGGGAAAACATGACCCAAATATTGGAGTACGCACCCACAGTATTACACTGTTCTACACCTACATACATACATACCGTATGTGGCAATGGGGAGAGTGTATTGCAGACTTGTTTGTGTACGTTGCTCAACGCAACACGAAGAATGTACTCTCCACTGTATTAAACCACATACATGCCTCAGCGTACATGCAGTTTTACCCTGAACACACCATACCTGTATCGTCGCATCTGAGAGGGCTACTTCCCAAAGTGTCATGGCCAAGTGAAGCCTGACTTATACTAATGCTCCCCTTGCTCTCTGAACCAGCGGCCGTTGGATGTGAGTTTGTGGGTCCGTCACCTCTGTCCGGAGGCTGGCTGCTGGCAAGAGTGGGCTGTGTGAGAGAGGAAGTGGCGGAGGAGGAAGAGGGGGTAGAGGTGGGAGCTGGAGGCGGACTCAGGCAGCTGTGGCTGGGACTGGAGGTCGTTCCGTGTGTAACAAACACTGGGACTAAACGGAAAGAGGTCGAAAGAGAAGCCGCCACTGTATAAACACACACACACACACAAACATCAGATCGCTGTTATTGGGCTCGTCTTGTATGCCAGTGTACATACCCCAAATAAAGCCCACCACACGGCCCTCGATCTTAGCTTACACTACAACCACGCCATTACTTACCCTCTGCCGTTTCTGTGAGGCTACCCATACGTTACCAAACAACGTAGCTATCTGAGCTGAGTGTAGAGAGACGCGTGATAAGGCCCTCTCACCTTCCACCCCCGGATGTTGCGTCCGCATGTGCTTGGCGAGGTACTCGGTCCATTTGAAGCTCTTGCCGCAGAGGTGACAGTTGTACGGCCGCTGCTCCGAGTGCGTGGACAGGTGTCGCTTCAGCTTGTGCTTGCTCGGGCACTCCCTCCCGCAATGGAGGCAGACGTGTCTTTGTTTCGTGCGGCCGAGCAAGAGGGCCCGGCGCTGCGCTATGTCGAGCGCGCCCGCGCCGGCTTCCTCCACCAGCTGACTTGTTGCGTCTACCACGCTCTCCGCACCACCCCCGACCGCCGCCGTCTCCGCGGGGCTCGCCGTGGCCTGTAGCTTGTCCACAAGCTTGATCTGCACCTCCTCCCGCTCGCCGCCGGCCATCGACGCGTCGGTTTTCTCGGGTGTGAGGACGGTAGCGGCTGTCGCGGCTGCCGCGTGCGCTGTAACGTGGCCCGTGCTGTCGAGCCCGGCCGGTTTTGAGGGTCCGACGACCACGGTTTGGTACAGCAGGCGGTCTAGGTCGGGCTGTCGGCTTAGGGACTCCATCGTGTGGAGAGTTTCGTCAAAGTCTCTCTCTTTTTCGGAGGCCCAACGTGCGATGTTCAACTGGAAATGGCGCCGCGCACGTGCGCCGCTGAAAATGGCCGCATGGAATTTTGCTGACATGGCATATGCGATCTCACAAAAACAGACCTAAAACCTCCGCTACGAGACGGAAGGAGCAAGTCTGAAGCGATTCAGAGGGATGAGCACCACAGATAAACCACAGGAAGCTCCTCACGGTGAGCAGTTCGCTCGCAATTGCGGGGATCGTATTGTTTATCGTTGGCTCGGGCTTGCATTAGACTTTTCAACCAATCAGATTGTCCGGGGACGCAGAGTGAGGAGGCTGGCAAGGCGTCGGCATGCGAGGGTTGTCCAAACAAGACGGTCTGTGCTGCAGGCTTGCCCAGAGGACCTGATCCTGGTGAGTGGACTCCATTTATGGTGCATACATTCTGTTCAAACTTGGCTGTCCTTGGTTACATTTTATGGCACTGCCTTCTTTTGGTGTTGGTTTACAAGCCAATAAATAGGTTTTGTATTAAAGTGTATGATTCACAGCATGCACTATGATGCTGCAATCAATCTTGTTGCGTTTTGTCAGCTGTGGAGGAGGTGAAGTCTCGCATGGCAGCTGTGAGACACAAGATACTGGTACTGTCAGGGAAGGGAGGAGTGGGGAAGAGCACTTTTACTGCCCACCTGGCCCACGGACTAGCTACTAATGAAGACAGGCAGGTACGGTCTCTCTCTCTCTCTTCCCGCTCTCCATTTTCGCTCTTCTTTCTCTCTCCTTCCTCATAGTAGCAAATTGAGGGGAAATAGAGAAAACTTGCACGTCTTTGTCTTATAATTTGCATAATATCCATCACAGCCAGAGGTGGTCAATATTTTTTGCTGCGGCAATATTTTTCGTGAATTTTCCTTGAACAAACTCTTCTACACTACACGTCCAATGCATACACTATTCAGGTAGCGGTATTAGACATTGACATATGTGGACCATCCATTCCCAAACTGATGGGGTGCGAAGGAGAGCAGGTCCACCAGAGTGGTTCAGGGTGGTCTCCAGTGGTAAGTAACGGACCGTTTTCGGTCCCCTTTTGGCACGGTGTGGAGCTGTATTGTCGATCTACAGTACGTGGAGGAGAACTTGGGTGTGATGTCTGTTGGGTTTCTACTCTCTAGCCCCAGTGATGCCGTCATCTGGAGAGGCCCAAAGAAAAATGGTGAGTCAGCCATTTTCAGCGATCCATTTCTCTCTCTCATCTCTTCCACGTCCCTCTTCTCTATCTCCACCTCAACTCCTCTGTCTTGCTCTTCTCTCCTTTCTATATACTTGTCTCCCTCTCTCCCTCTTCCATCCTCCCCTCTTCCACCAGGTCTAATAAAGCAGTTCCTGAGAGATGTCGACTGGGGAGATGTTGACTACCTTGTCATTGACACGCCTCCAGGCACATCAGATGAACACATTTCAGTTGTCCAGTACCTCAGTGGGGCTGGTGTTGACGGGGCTGTCCTTGTCACCACTCCTCAGGTATATACACCTTAATACACGATTTTTAAAAGAATGATGCTGAGCACTATTATATCCATTTTTGAGAGTCTGTGCTTGAACGAAACCTAAGATACGTAATTTGTGGATGGCCATCCCTGTAATAAGTGCTAAGAGCTATAAATATAATGTGCTCTCTCTCTGTGTATGTGAACTGTACACTGACATGCACTATATAGGAGGTATCTCTGCAAGATGTGAGAAAGGAGGTAAGCTTTTGCCGTAAGGTCAACCTGCCGATACTCGGGGTCGTGGAAAACATGAGTGGATTTGTGTGCCCCAAGTGCAAGGTATATAACCCTGAGTAAATGAACTACTGGTAGATGTATGAGCATCATAAATTATTTTCATTGCACATGGTTCAATCTTTTTCCCTTGGTAATATCCCCAGCTTCTCCAGATCTGACAAATTTCGATGATGATTTGTGTGTGTTTGTGTGTGTGTGCTCAGACGGAGTCCCAGATTTTCCCTCCGTCTACTGGCGGAGCAGAGAAAATGGCGGCAGACATGTCCATCCCTTTCCTCGGCAGACTACCACTAGACCCAAGAATTGGTCCGTCGTATGCTCAGTCTTGCCCAATACTTACCCTCTTCTTACCCCACGTATGCTTACTTCAGGGAGGTGTTGCGACGAAGGGAAATCTTTTCTCGCAGAGATTCCTGATTCACCTGCTGCTAAAGCCTACATGAACATCATCGATGGTATCCGATTAATGCCTTGTTTTTGCCTCTCTCTTTCTGCCTCGTGATATATCCCTCTCTCTCTTTACACTGAAACACACATTCTTTGCAGCAATTCTAAAGAGATGTGAAACTGTGACCCAAAAGACAACTGAAACTGCATTGAGATAGCACAACTGTATAATTTACGGATGAAAAGCGGAGAATGTAATAATATGCGGTGTGGGTGGTGGTAGTATACGGAGGGGAATTGCTGACATACCTGGGGTTTTCCTTTGGCCTGTCTGTATCGTCAAAGTTCTCCCGGCTGGCTGCGCGTCCACGGCTCCCTTCAGCTCACCGAGAGAGACAGGAAGAGAGCAGGAACCAGGGATTGTGACGCTCGAGGCAGGAGGGACAGAGGGTGCACCATGTCCGAGCTGGCGAAAGGATGCGAGCATTTTCTCGAGTACCGACAGAACCACGGACTCCAGTCCTTCAAAATCATCTACAAGTACTTGGTCAAGCCCGGCCAGGAGGCTAGGAAGTTGAAGGTACGGTGCGTGCGTGTTGTAGCCGTTGTTTTGCAGTGGGCGGACACGCCCCAACTCAACCTGAGAGGGGGGTTTTGCTCGCGACTTTGGTATAGTACGGTCGGTGAGGATGTTGTTGTTATGTGTTCGTGTGGGCGTGGCGAAACGTTGCAGCTGAGGCATGCATACCTGTCTGTTGTAATATCATCATCTGCTCTGCACTGCAGGCCAAGACCTGTGTGTGTCATGTCTGCCACTGCTTCACCCCACGACTGCACACTTGCCTGATGTGCGTCTACTTTGGTTGCATGAATCCGGACAACCACATGCGAGTACACGTCAAATCAGCAGGACACCCTCTTGGTAAATCTCAACAGTCAACATCTATTATGTTTATCCACTACCTTTTTTCCCTGTGGAACACTTTCAGCCGTGGATCTGAACTACGGAACTGTGTTTTGCTTCAAATGTCGCGACTACACGTACGATGGTAGTCTCGACGAGATATGTAGGGAAACCGACCAGCAACTGGCTCACAAGAAATACCACAGTATGCCATAATGCATGCACTCTTCACTGTCACTCTCTCTTTCATCTCTCTCTTTTCCCTTTCTCTATGTACCACAGTCAGCCGACAGCCAGTGGCCTACGTGGCCTGGGAACCCACCAAGTCAGAAATGGAACTACTCAAACAGAACCCAAAGAGGAGGAGAGTGGAGCCCAACTCAACCGTGGGTTAGCCAGACTTCACTCCCTCCCCCTCCCCCTCCCCCACTTTCTTTGTCTGCTCATCTCATAGTAGTGCAATACCTCTCCCCCCCTCTTTTACTCCTCCCTTATCCACTGACTCCTCTCTCCCCTCCATTCCCTACCCACCAGGCTTGAGAGGACTCTACAACCTAGGAAACACTTGTTTCATGAACTGCATTGTCCAGGCTCTGGCCCACACCCCAATTCTCAGGGACTATTTCCTCTCTGACCGCCATCGCTGCTTCCTCGACACCATGCAGCAGAGATGTGTAGTGTGTGAAATGGGGAACATCTTTCAGGAGGTATATATATATATATAGTATAGGGCCAATGGCTCCACACAGTATCAATGCTTGAAGTTTTACATTTGTATTGTGGTCATACATCTGTTTTAATGTGTGCACAGAGCCTAAAAGAACAGTTAGTACAATCCACACCCAAACCTATATTAGATTGTTTATATGTGAAATCTTCACCAATATCGTGGTTTATTGAAATTTCATAAAGACAAATTGTATCTGCAAAATAATCATGTTAAAATTTCTTATCCACTATGTTCTTAAGTGATTGCAATTTTTAACCCCATCCACCTTCCGCATGCATACAGTTCTATTCAGGGGTCTCTTGCCCATACATCCCGTTCAAGTTGCTCCATCTGGTCTGGACCCACGCCCGCCACTTGGCTGGCTACGAGCAGCAGGACGCGCACGAGTTCTTCATCGCGGTCCTCGACGTCCTCCACCACCACTCTGGTGGGCAGACTCCGACGGTGACCCAACCTGGCCACTGCAGCTGCATCGTGGACCAGACATACAACGGACGACTTCAGTCTGACGTGCAGTGTCAGACCTGCAAGTTTACACTCAAAACTGGTGGAATGACAGTTATCAGTCAACCTCGTATGTGTGTAAGCTTCCATGATGCCTAGGCTACAGGGTAAGTTAATACTTTCAGGGTGATGATTTAATGGAAATGAAAGATCAAAGGAATGGTACCATACTGATTGATATAGTGCCAGACAACACCTTATCTACTTTGGCTTTAGTCTCTTCTCCCCGTGTTTCCCTGCAGGAGTGTGTCCACCACAGTCGATCCTTTCAGAGACATCTCTCTGGACCTAGCTCCCAGTATGGTCACCAATAGGACCAGCACTCCTGTTGAGACCAACGGTAACACACACCAACACACACGCACACACACACCTCCATGCACGGTCTACCAACCAACCACCCTACAGTGGAGCATTCGCGAGAGAAATGTTTCATTAAAAGGGGAAATGTCCTTTGTGAATCAGTTGTCCAATTGAACCAAAGTGAACCCAAATAATATTGTGTTGTGCAGACATTCAGAGTGACCGGACGTCTCCAGCATCGTCCACCAACTCTGGGGAGACTCTTCTCTCTGCTGTTCCAGCCACCCTCTACGAGTGCCTAGACAGGTATACTTGTACCTTTCCTTCCTACCATTACGTACAGCATGTCTCTGGTCCTTTGGTACCATGTACTTCCTACCATTACGTACAGCATGTCTCTGGTCCTTTGGTACCATGTACTTCCTACCATTACGTACAGCATGTCTCTGGTCCTTTGGTACCATGTACTTCCTACCATTACGTACAGCATGTCTCTGGTCCTTTGGTACCATGTACTTCCTACCATTACGTACAGCATGTCTCTGGTCCTTTGGTACCATGTACTTCCTACCATTACGTACAGCATGTCTCTGGTCCTTTGGTACCATGTACTTCCTACCATTACGTACAGCATGTCTCTGGTCCTTTGGTACCATGTACTTCCTACCTGTATATCTATGCCTCATAGCTTCCGTGAGTCATATGGTATGAACGTAATTGACAGCACACAAAACGCAACTTTTCTGTACTGGCGTTACCCTATGTTCTTATTAGTGCACACTGTGTTTTAGGTGATGGGTGTTTGTTGAATTGTCTGCAGGTTTACTCGTCCGGAGAGCCTTGGCAGTGAGAGCAAAATCAAGTGCAACAAGTGTCGTAGCTATCAGGTATGTACAACACCCTAATGAATACGTTGCTATGCATATGAAGTGCACCGTGTGTTGTCACACTAACACAGGAATCGACAAAGAAACTCTCAGTCAAGAAACTACCAATAGTCACTTGCTTTCACCTAAAGGTAACCTTGACTCTATAAAAAAAGTGTGCAATTTTGACTCCATTTGTTTATTATTCGAGCCCAATGTTTGTATCGTACATCTCACAAGTTTCATTTTCGACCCTCTTCTCCTGGTCCCTTCTCCTGGTCCCTTCTCCTGGTCCCTTCTCCTGGTCCCTTCTCCTGGTCCCTTCTCCTGGTCCCTTCTCCTGGTCCCTTCTCCTGGTCCCTTCTCCTGGTCCCTTGTAGAGGTTTGAGCACTCCTTGAGGTCTAGGAAGATTGCCAAGTACATACAGTTTGACCTGGAGATCGACCTCACCAGCTACATGGCCAGAATGTGAGTACAATACACTGGGGGGAGCGGAGGGTGGTATGTATGTATAGCAGAGGGACCTCTGTGTGGCAACTAATAACTTTTCGCAACAGAATGCTTTCACAAACTGCTTTTGTGAATGAAATTCTTTTGAGTAGACGATGGTTTGGGGTTTCCGTGCTGCAAAGAAGATGTTCTCAACTGCTGCGTATTGGAAACGAAAACTTTCCATGGCAAATTGCAGTGTTTTGATGCCCACCACGCACAGTTTTTCCTTCAACGTACCCTCCCTGCTGAGTTGCCGGGGTTTTGTAGTACATTGATATCGAAATTTGGGAATTGCCTCTTATTGAGTTTTGTATGCTTACACACACACACACACACACACTCTCTCTCTCTCTCTTCCCTTCAGCTCCGAAAGCTCAGACAATCGCTACTCTCTGTTTGCCGTGGTCAATCACAGTGGCTCCCTATTCAACGGCCATTACACCTGCTTTATAAGGCAGCAGCAGGATCAGGTGATTAATCACGTGACACCCATGACATCACATTACATCGTATTAATTGTGGTTGTAGTGTAGTCAGATGAATTTTGAGGAGCATCATTGTGCGTGTCAAACAACTCATCATTGTGTGTGACACACTTGATATGTTATGCAGTGGTACAAGTGTGATGATGCGTGGATAACAAAGGCAACAACAGAAGAAGTTCTCTCAAGTGAAGGGTAAGAAAAAGAAACTTTCCACTGTAATCACTGTCTATCTCTTTCTCTTTAACATACAGATACCTCTTGTTTTATCACAAGAAGGTTTTGGAATACAGCTGACGACGTTGTGCCATGAACATACGGTCTTCGTTTTTAATCTCACCTGATTAATGTTAATTTATTAGTGTGGATACAGCACCCTACTTCATAGGTACAACCGCATGCGCTTGCATTATATTTAGCGCATGCGGTAAACTACAGAAACGGTCGTGGATCGGAGGTGTGGCGGCGCTACAGTCAAAGAGGGAAGTTGTGTACGTACGTATAATAGCTGGAGCGAGTCCTTGCTGCAAGTAGAAATGTCATGACGGAGGGGGAGAGTGAACCTGTGCGGATGGAGGAGCGGGAAGAAGGGGAGGAGTCCTTGCTGCTGAGCCCTGGTGGTGGTCCCTGCTCGAGGCCCGCGGCAGACGACGGCGAGGAGACGGAGATAGTGTTTCTAGATTCCAGCCACAGCCTGGCCAGCCAGCTCACCTGCTCAGAACTAGAAAATGAGGTTAAAAAAACTGCCTCCCACCCCCCAAGCCCAAGCTAACAAGCCATGGTCTTACGGAAGGGCTTCTTTGCAAAATCAAAGCTACATGGCCAACATGGCTAGCCATTGTTGTGTATTTGAACTGTGGCCCACTACATGAGAAGTTATTGGTCCATTGTGAGTGGTTCGTGTTCAGTACAGTTGCACTTGCTCTATCAGCAACCAACAAGGCATTGACTGTGTGCAGCATAGATAAAGCTCTGGTGCATATTGTATTTGACACCCTGAAGATTGATTGATGCCAGGTGTCCACAGTTTGGTTGCTAGGACGCTAATGACTTGATAAGAGCCTGCTCAGCTGTTCTGATCCATGCTGATTATTGCTAATAATTAGGCAGTGCAGATGGTAAAATCAGACCTAAGCTCTGGTTGCTGAGTTGGTGTCATAATGCACAGACCAGGACATGAGCTATTGGTGTCGTGATTGCTGAATATCTCCATTCGCAGTCGTCCAGGCTACAAGAGGTCACCCTCCATCTCAGCCAGCTGGTCGGGAGCTACGACACTCACACACTTACCAACGCATGCAGAGGACTTGCAGAATCGATGCACGAAGGTATGTACAGGCAGTGCGATGAACCAAATAAACACTGAATTAAAGCTGGCACACCCACAAATGCAAACTTAGCGATCATGAAAACCAGTATTCCCCAATAATATTGACCAATAATGAAAGCTAACAAAGGGAGCCTTTACTCGCAAGCGTGAAGTACGGAAGTCCCTGATTTTCTTGGAAAGCCAATAAACCAAGGTGCTGAACCTTACACCTCCTTCACAAAGTAGTGAAAAACACTCTCACTATTAGCCCTCAAATTTTGTAAAGAGAATTTCTCCCCATAAGGTTCTCTGGTATAAAACCTCAATCTTAGCATTTTTCATTTTTCCAGCAATACGAAAGAAAAAATGTGGATCACTTGTCCCAAATTTCCCTGGCTACAAAGTTTCGCTGACTATCCACAAGCTTTCACAATTCCCTGTTTTCGTCTATCTTGACACCACCTGAAGATGGAACAACGTAGTAGCGTTTATTGCATTCTCTTCCTGTCCTCGTTGCTCAGCGGACGACGCATCGTTGCAGCTGCTCTGTGAGAGAGACGTGGTTGGTGTGATTATCAAGCTAATGGAGGAGCTGCCCACTCACCACGCCCTTCAAGAGGTATATAGACAGGAAAAGAAAACGGACTCTTTGTGAATATTTTTATTTTTGTCTACAGATGTTTTGTGATATTCTGCTTCAATGCAACGAGAAGATTGAGCTTCGAACTGCAGTTGACGACCACAATGCATACAGGTATATAGTATGCTTGCACGAGTCACCTACAGTACAATGTATATATACATACAAGACATAGAGAGGTAAAAATGATGAATGATCGACTCAATATGAATGTCTTTCTCAATAGAGTTGTGTTGGAGGTGCTAAAGAGACACAGGGACAGACCCGAGTTGCTGGGAAAAGCTCTCCAAACTCTCGCCTCAATTGCCAGCACCAGTACGTAGGTCCACCTGTATGTACAGTATGTCTATGTGTATTATCACAGGGTCTTTCTTTGCATCTAGTGCAAGTTGTTAGTACATGACATAAACCTACTGTCATGCATTTTCTTTGCATGTATAGTGAAGTTGTTTGGAACTGACCATTACGCATGCATTTTCTTTGCATGTACAGAGAGTGTAGGGTGGCTTACTTTTGTTTTTCAACATTAACTCTTCAACATTGTTTGAAAGAAGTTCCCTAACCCTAACCCACAACTCACTAAAATCTAATCATCAATATTGACTCGTTGTGTTGGGGCGTTGATAATTAATGGAGCTCAGTATGCTATAATTGTCTTCCCCCTATCTCCTGCAGCGATCAGGGAGGGTCCGCTGCGCGAAGCAATGGTGTTCATGACAGTAGTATCTCTCCTGAGGGACTATCCTGACCACCTCACAGTACAGAGTGGAGGGCTCCAGGCCCTTGCCCACCTCCTTAGATCTGGTGAGATTTTCACCCACTTGCGAGGGGGGGGAGCGAAGGAGGGAGGGGGTTCAAGGAGAGTGAGACAAGTCATTGAAACTACCCATATTTACATAAGAACCTGGATCCGTAGCTTTCCGAGTACAGCGATCCTAAAAAAACCTGAGTGGTATAACAACTGGTTGTATTCTTTAGATTCGTATGCTGCAGCAACAGTGGTACTTCAGGATGACCATAGACTCATTCTTGATTCCCTGGAACGACATCGGGACAACCCAGCTGCTGTCGTCAGTGCTCTCAGCGCTCTAGAGGTACGTAAATTAAACACCCTCTAAATAATGCACACCTCTTTACAGAGGGCACAAACGAGGGTATGCCTCCAATAAAGGACACCTCTGAGTGCTGAGTGAAGGATACTTTCGATGCAAAGGTTCAGAGATTTGACTGTACAATACATGTTATGGAATGATTTAACAATTCTTTGCACAAATGCGACATGCATTACAACTCTCTTAGTCTTACTATTTCCTGGCTCTGTTTGTCTGTATTAACCTTTGGGTGAACGCAGTCGGTGGTTTATATACAAATATTCTCTCTCCCCACCCTCTAGGTGGTGTGCAGTATGTGCAGTACTGAGCAAGGTGTGACATCACTGCTGAACAGCCCGGCTCTCCAGCTATCAGTGGAGGCCATGCAGTCTTTCAGTGGAGATGGGGAAGTGGTGAGGGAAGGATGTGGGGTCCTCAATGCTCTTGCTGAGGCCGGTGAGTTGGATGGGGGGAAATATTTGGCACATTAAGTGCTCCCGTACTTTTGACTCCCAAATACAACACGTTTCAAAGGGAACATGCATAATTATGTACCTGTTTGTTGTAGAGCGTAGCATTTGTGAAATTTTTGTTGCATCAGTAAATGTAGAGGCATAATGTTACGTAACTGTATAGAAATAGATTTTACTAGGCCTGTTTTGCTCACCAAATTACGCATGAACTATATAGCGAAACTGTTTCACTGCAGCGTTGAAGTATCCCTCGGCCCAGTTCCAGACTGGTTTGGAACAGAACCAGGTCTCGGAGCTCCTGGTTGCCATCCTACAACAGTACAGCTCTCTCACTGACATACAGGTTAGCCTCGTGTCTGTATAATTATTATACCCAGGCTCATTGGGGAGGGGAGACAAGGACCGGTAATGCATGGATATTCTGCTGTGCGATGCGTTAAAACAGTGCTACGAGGTCGACGTGTTAGAGTTCGAGAGTACATAGTCCGAAAAGGTCAAACACGAATATATGTTTACGAAGGAAAACAATTACGTGTGATACTTCTGGACTTGTAATTACCAATATACAAGAGGTACATACATACAGTATTGTACATGGATTTTCACACTCGCCACTGCTTCTGGACGCACCAATCTCTCTCTCTCTCTGGTTTTCTCTCTCTCAAGGTATTGGCGCTGAGTGCCCTGGGGAACATCCTCCTCCTGCCCCTCCCCTCCCTCGCCTCCCTCAACTCGTACAACCTCCTGCGTCTCATCAACGCCGCCTTCGAGAGCTCCGCGGTGGAGGACACCCATCTCCAGGAGGCCTGCTGCAGATGTCTGGCCAGACTAATGGAGAGGAACCAGGACCTCCACTGCTTCATCGGGAGAGACTCGCCCAAGATACAGTGAGGAGAAAGTACTACCTGAACCATAGATACACTGATTAATGGAAGAGAAAGCACTTGAACCAAATTGAAAATGCTGTAAAAGTAAGAGAAGTGAAAAAAGGAGGGATATAAAGGACTACTTACAAGGATACTGTTTTGTGAACAGGGATAGTCTGCATTGGTCTTGTTCTTTATTGCCACACACATCTCAAATCTCCCAACCTTTTCCTATGTACATGTGTATGTATGTGTGCCCAGATTTCCTCTGCACGACTGTGTCTGGCTGGTTCTCTTGGCTCAGACAAAGAACGCCAACCCCAGAGTGTTCCAGGCAGTGGCACTGGCTCTCTACTACCTGGCCGTGGACAGCGGTGAGAGATGGCCACACGCGATCCTCTCTCTCTTCCTCTTCTCTCTTACACTATCCACTTCTCGTCCCTTCCCTCTCCTATGCTTTACCTCTGTTCCCTTTTTCCCTATCTCTCTACCCCTCTCTCGTCTTTCCTCTCTCCTCTCTCCTTGTTCCTCTCTCCTCTCTCCTTCTCCCCTCTCCCCTTCTCTCCTCTCTCCCTCTCCCCCTCTCCCCCCTCCCTCTTTCCTCTCCCTCATCTCTTCCAGAGGTCTTACATGCAATACTGCTGGAGAAAGGAGCGGCAGTGGCAGTACTGGAAGGTGTGAGGGAGTTCTTACAGGAATACTCTCGCGACGAACTCTGTGTCGAGTATGGCTGCCGAGCACTCGTGGCACTTATCATGCAAAAGTCAGTCATTTTTCACATGTCATGAAAACTGAACAGCTCACGCTATATACGTAGAAAGAAAGAAAGAAAAAGAGAAAGAAAACAGGACTTTAGAACGGCTACAATTAACATACATAATAACCATAAGGGCTTACTTGGGACTTGCATGCACATATTGACGGTCTCTGATTTGTTGTGTGTACACAAATAGCGTTTGCTTGCTTCTTTAGTTTCTTCTTTCTCTCCTTCCTTTCCCTGTTACCTCGCTCCCTTCTTCTCCCTCGTTCAGCTGCTCAGACTCGGACAAGAACTACCTGTTTCAGCTGGACATAGTGGGAGACATTACGACAATTCTCGACATCTTCAGGTTTGATCCTGGAGTCATCTCCGAGGCGTTTGGAGTGATTGCCTGCCTCTCTACCCTCTCGGTCTTTGTCGATACCATTGGCTGCGTGGGGGTCCACAGACAGGTCTGTTTCTACACTTCACCTCACAGCAGGAACTTTCAAACTTTTGGGGGAATGCGTTCTGCACAAACAAAATTTTTTTTCTCCACTGTGTCGTGCTTGCTTACCACCAAATCACCTACTGTACTAAGCACTTTCACGTGTTTAAGTGTAGCACTATTGTATACACATATTCATCTTGTACACAGGCATGTACATACGTTGTGGAGACTTCAATGTGTTGCACACATGGTGTATTTCGCAATCGCGTGGCCTGATTTTCCTCTCTCCCCACACTCCAGATACTGAGGGCAACGAAGCAGTACAGTCATCACTCGGTGTTGGTGGAGAGTGGACTGGAAGTCATCATTGTCCTTTCACAAAACAGTACGTGTGTGTACGAATGTTCTCTTAGAGAGGAACTTACAAACACTGCTTATGAACGCTGAATGTTTGAAGTAAAAAAGGAACTTCACACTCACTGCATTGGACATTTTGGTGTTTCGACTGTATTGCTTCATAGTGGGAGTATAGCTACTCGTTGCGTATTACGTATTTCATCTTTCCTCTGTGGTGAATTTCTCTCCTCTCTCTTTTATTGTCAGAGACGATGAACTCCCAGCTGAATGACGGAGATGCACTTGACTGCGTCGCAGCGCTTATGAAACACCACATCAACTCACCACGTACGTACGTACCTACGTTTGCAGTGCTTCTGCGTGGACCCATTTTGCTGCTGTTTTACCAACTCCTTGCACGAGTCACAGCTTTTCATAGCTGTTCAATCACATACGATCTGTGCCACTCGGTGTACCGATAGAGCTAACTTCTTTTCAATCCTTTCTTATGCAAGATTTCAAGGGCATCAATAAGTACACCTAGCGCACGCAGTATGATTTGTGTATGGTGGTGCTGCTGCTGTTCTCTCAGCGATCCAGAGGAAGGGGTGTCTGGTGGTGCGACTGCTGTGCTCGGCAGAATACCTCACCTCTCAGCCTCTCTGTGTCTCTCTCGCCAGCGCCGTCGTCGGAGCTCTCGCTCAGTGGAAGACTGAGCCTCAGGTGGAGGTCGAGGTTAGGGAGGACTTGGCGAGCAAAGCGGTTCAATTTTTCGTGTGTATTTAGAATCACTTAAACACTTCGGTACTGCAGTGCCAGTTCGTTGTTACGTAAGTACTGTATGTATATGAAAAGAAATCCCGCATTCAGATGACTAGCAACAAAAATTTTTACTCACAACACTAATTGTAGCTGGACTCGATCTGCTTCCAGTCTGCAAAAATCCCCACCACCTTTCTTCTCTCGTCCAGGCCCTGGTGTGTATCCATAAGCTGTGCCTCACATCGGAGCAGATGGCCAGAGCTCTGGTGAAGAGGGACCTCCACCTACTCCTGTTCAGTATGATATACGACTGGAGAGAGAGGACCGGAGAGATGGAGGAGGAGGAGAGGGAGAAGAGAGAAACGTCCGCAGCACCTTCAAGTCCAGGGCAGTACGAAGTGGAGAACGAACGAGATTGTAAGTGGGGTATTATAGCAGCCAATGGCTGATTTTTAAATTTTCAGAGTGTCCAGTGGAATCCCTCTCACCCCTGAAATTTTATTTCCCAAAGAACAGCTTGTGCATGCAATTTAAATTTAACCCCTGAAATACGGACACTTCACTAGCTTATTGCTCTTCAAGTGCTCAGCATTGCGTCCCTCTCTCTCTCTCTCTCTGCCTATAAAACAGTTGTGTTGAGGGTCGGAACGGACATTCTGTTCTCGTTGGCCTGTGTGCATGACTTCAAACAAGAGATGCTGGCTACTGCCGTCAAAGATGGCTTACTCGAGGTACATACATACATACATACGTTCATTCCAGTGTTCATTGTGTGCGTACTGTACTGTACTTGCATACAATTTGAACTGTTACATGTGTAACTAACGTGTATGTACTGTATACTGCAAGTATATTCTTACAGTCTGAATTCTGGGGAAATTTCTGCATTTTGACAGGGAGTGCGTGTGTTAGTTGAGGACATTGGTGCCGATGTGAATGTGGGAGGAGGGAGAGTGGGAGAGGGAGGTGACGTTGTGAGCAGGGTGGAGGTGGGAGGGGAGCAAGGAGGCAGGTCCGACAACAGAAACCACACCCCCATCTGCCTCGCCGTGCTCTCGGAGAAGAAATCCATGGTCGAGCTCTTACTGGACCTGGGAGCAACCCACGTGCACCCTGCACTCCGCTTGGCCAGGGAACTAAAACTGGACGACATTACGGGCCTCCTTCTCAAAAACCTCTGTCTCGATCGCAACGGGGAGACGGTGAACCTCAGCGGACTGGAGCTACAGTCAGTCAAACCGCAGTGGATCTTGCCCTGTCTCGGGGTGAACGAAACTCTCCGCACGAATCTGCAACGTCGGAAGAGCTTTGACAGAATCAAGGACCTTCTCTCCCGGCGAAAGAGCATCGGTTGCATCGAGGACAAGAACTTGGAGCTCTTGAGGACGAAAATGGAGACCTTGCTGAGAGAAAACGGAGAGGGTTTCTCGTCTGGAGCCGACGGTGAGTCTCGGTGTGGCGACGAGCCCGATTTCGATCTTCCGGAAGCTTCTTCCCATCTCCTTGGCCACCGCAGGACACTGTCGGGGACCGCCAACGTCGACTTGGCCGAACTGAAACCCATCTCTCTCCTCCCTCCACCTCAAACGAGGAGGGAGAACGGTAGTAGGTCGCGATCGGTACCACGTGAAGAACCTCAATTAGAGGGGCTTCCTCTCCCCCCTCTCTCGTTACCCACCACTCCCACTAGGACCCCAGGACCAGAGTCAACAAGCACGCCAATAAAACATAGAGCCCCACCTGGAATGGGCCTAGGATTCAACCCACCCTTCCCCCAATATGTGGCACCCCAGTCGGCTCTCTCCAGAGATTCAGCATCCGCTCGGCATCGTCTCACAGCAGCGACATCATGGACTCTCCAACGAGCCCTCTTGTACCACCCTCCCCCATCGCAGTAGGTGCGGGGGGGTTGTTCCCGGGGGACAGAAGGAGTAGTCGCGGGACGCTCGTCTTGAGTGCAGGGCCAGGCAGCCCCCACCAGCCGCGAACACCGCAGCGAAGACACCACGAGAAGCTCAACTCGCTCATGCTCCAGAAAACCAGTGCTACGCATAGAGAGCTCTTCCCCGTCTCCCCCTCCCACCCCTTCCCTCAACCAACTGCTCCTCTGTCCATCGACACCGACAGATTCGAACCACTCAACACCGTGGCTCTATTAATACCAAAGAAAGTTTCAAACATGAGCCCATCAGTTCTCCTTCGCCGGATGTCTCTGTGGGGGAAGAAACAGGCCAAGCCGGGGGTAATAAAACTACCGGCTACTCCTGGGAACTCTTTCTCTCGTCACAGCTCCCCTCCCGCGAGGATATTCACCGATCTCACCATGCAGAGCATGAGCGGTGATTCCAGAGACTCCACCCCCGTCCCCTCTGACTTCAAGAGACCCCGGAGCCTTGCCCGTGTCCCGACCGACGAGGGAATTGGTACGGGGCCAACTCCAATCCCGACTGGCAATACGCACAACAGCTTTGCTGCAAGAGTGACTCCAAATGGCAGCGGTTTCCCCCTCTCCCCCGGTTCAGACAGTACGGACGGCGGAGACGGAAGTCTATTCTCTCCAACTTCCTCCTCTGCCACCGCGGCGTTCGGCGTTCTTAGCCACAGACGTAGGAGACCATCTTCTTCCCTCTCCTCCTCTTCCTCCATATCTGCGAGTCCCTGGTCGGAGGATTCGAGAGCGGCTGAAAACAGTCTGGTTTTTGCTGCCAAGTTTTCCAGCCGTGCCTCGTCTGAAGTGAGGGAAAAGGTTACGTCGGCTCGACTTGTGAAGGTGCTGGATTTGTCCTCAAACTCGCTGGCGGGGCTGGAGAAGATGGTGGGGGAGGTGGGGGAGGGAGGGAGAGAGGACCGGGAGAGAGGGGAGATGGTGTGCCAGCGACTGCGCGGCCTCCAGCGTCTCGATCTCAAGCAGAACCGGCTGTCTCGTCTCCCTCGCTGCCTCATGAGGGAACTGATGAAATTGAGTATTCTCAACCTCAGTTGCAATGGATTTGCGGAGCTGCCTGCACAGAGTGTTCTCAGTCCTGCTCTCACGTCCCTCGATCTCTCCACCAACAAGGTATATACACATACTGATACATACACACATACGCTTTTGTAATTCATTTTAAGAAGGTCACCAGTTATGTTGAAGGAATGACTGGCAAGCCAGCATGAGTTAATGTATATGTGATACAACCTTGCTCTCTTACACATGTACGTACAGTAGTGGCATTTCTGTTTGATATTCACAGATTGGCAGTATCCCAGATCTCCCAACTCTCCCCAATCTCACCAAGATAGTGCTGGCCGACAATCTCCTCACCCACTTCCCCACAGCCATCAACGGAGCCTCTCTACCTCACCTCAGAGTCCTCAGCCTCAGAAGGTGCTGTTTAGTAGTTTGCCTCTGCTTTGCCCTGACATTGTTGATGACGATATGCATATGCTATTATGGTGCCATAAAGTGGGAAAGTTAAGAGGCAAATGCTTGCAATTTTATTTGCATGATTCAAGAGTTACATACCTGTCCAATTACGTATTTTCTCTTTGTATTTACTCTTTGCCGCTGTAACTGCCAAGGTTTTCCCCTCATTCCCTTCAAGATTCCAGCTACATACTATACTTTGTCCTTCACCCACTCCCTCCTCCCTCCAGCAACAAGATATCAGAGCTGGTGGAAGGAGACCCGCGACTGAGACACCTGGAGGAACTCTACCTCTCAAAGAACAGCCTCAAGACTGTTCCAGAGCTCTTCATGGCCTCCATGCTCTCCCTCAAGATACTGGACCTCTCTCACAACCAGCTGGGTGAGTGCCTTTAGCTACATACATCTCTCACAACCAGTTGGGTGAGCCTTTAGCTACATACATACATACATCTCTCACAACCAGTTGGGTGAGTGCTTAACTATAACCAGTTGGGTGAGCCTTTAGCTACATACACATCTCTCACAACCAGTTGGGTGAGCCTTTAGCTACACATACAGTACATACATCTCTCACAACCAGCTGGGTGAGTGCTCTAACTATAACTAGTTGGGTGAGCCTTTAGCTACATACATCTCTCACAATCAGTTCGGCAGCTACATACTCTCACAACTGGTTACTGAAGAGTTTGTGCTTGTGTGTGTGTGTGTGTGTGTCTGGCAGAGCTGTTGCCGGGGGAGAGGGCAGAGGATCTGGTGGAACTCTCAACTCTAAAGGTGGGCCACAACAAGTTGGGCAGGAGGCAGGCAGAGTTCAACCAATTCATCACATCTGCACCTGTGTGAGTGTCGCCAACACTCTATGCTACTATCATATGTGTGACAGTATTATTGTACCAACATTATAAGAAGTGATTTGTTTTTACATCACTAGCATACTGACCAATAATGGCCAATGCTCACAGCTGTACACACATACATGTGCAATCTGTATGACTTTTACTGTTTGGAAATTTTAATGACTTTTGCTGTTTGTTTCTTGCACACTCGGTGGCAGCTGCTTCCCCCCGTCAATCTCCACTCTCTCTCTCTCCCTTCTCTCGCCCTGCAGTCTTCGACTGGTGGACGCCACAGAGAACGAGCTGTCACTCCTACCTCCTCCCCGGGCGTGGAAGTCGTGCGGCCTCAAAGACCTCCGTCTCAACGGGAACCGTCTCTCCCACCTCGACCTGGACAAGTGCGACAAGTTCTGGCCTCAACTGGAGAGCCTTTACGTCGGGCAGAACAACCTGAGGGAAGTGAGTGTACCTAATGTACAGCTACAGCTGTGGTAGTCTTGTGAGCCAGGCCATATTGTCCCATGTAACACACATGTAAAGAGCAAAGAGGCCGTGAGGCAGAGGTAAAGCAAGGGGGGAAAAAGAGCTGCGCTGAGTTGGACCTAGAGCCAAGCGCTTCACGCTTACATTAATGTAGTTAGAGTGCATGCATTACGTGACGAATTGGTAAGAAAATGGGGCTCATTCCACAAACCAACTGTGTGAACTGGGTTTTAACGATTTCTGCAAACGCATGAATGACAAACTAACTATCCTTGGTCTGGAATAGTACAGCATTCACGTTGACATACCGTTCATTGTACATTCTGACCGATGGACCACACATTCACTGTATATACATACCAGATACCGAAGGAGATAGGACAGCTGCGGAGTCTGAGTTGTCTGGACATCAGCCACAACGACATCCGCCACCTCCCGGACGAGCTGGGGCTCCTGGACCACCTCTTCCTCCTCAACCTCCAGGGCCTCGACAAGCTCTCCCTCGACCCCACCCTCCTTAGGGGACCCACCAAGAACATCACCGCCTTCCTCAAGTCACGCAGAGTCAAGGTGAGGGAAGAAGGAATATCGGGAAATTTTGACAACATTGGTGATTAATGGCAATGGAAATGGCAGTAAATCTGCCAAATTTTTAGTGGCTATAAAATGTGTCTGTCTGTATGTCTTTCTGTCTACTATCTTTCCTAAGGAAGATTGTACAGTATGTACAACCTTTGCAGCCTTACAACACAACCTTCTGAAACAAGTCTCAAACTACTTTAATGTATTGGTATAGTGGGTCATTGAGACATACGTACACGTACAACGTGACTTTTGTCTAAAGCCTTAAGAGGTTGTTTTCTTACCAGCTGCTTTAGAACGACTTTCCCGCCATGTTTGTTTCGCCCGTGTCCCCTCCACAGAGTGTTCCGTACTACCAGATGAAGATGATGTTGGTGGGAGGTCCGGGGAGGGGGAAGACGACTCTACTTCACCAGCTGCTGCAGGAGAAGCTGCCCAGCCACGGCAGGAGCAATGTCGCCACTCTTGGAGTCAGCGTGAAACAGTGGAGGTATGTACACGTGCGTAGTATGTGACTGATGTGTCAGTCTGCCGGATGGATGAAAGAGGCAAGATAGAGGGATACAAGATAGGGATAGAGACAGAAAGATAGAGGCGATATAGGGACAAGGAAGACAAAGAGAGACAAGATAGGAATAGACAGAAAGATAGAGGCGATATAGGGACAAGGAAGGCAAAGAGAGACAAGATAGGAATAGACAGAAAGATAGAGGCGATATAGGGACAAGGAACACGAAAGAGAGACAAGATAGGAATAAGGACATACTAATGGCGAGGAACAGATAAGGGAAGAGCCTTGAGCAAAACCCACAAACCCAGCAATTGTTACACGTTTTCTCTCTGTCTCTGCTCCACAGTTACGTGAGTGAGTCAAAGACCTACCACATCAGCTGCTGGGACTTTGCCGGTCAAGAGGAGTTCTATTCCACCCACCAGTGCTTCCTCACCTGTCGCTCCATCTACCTCGTGTGTGACTGTTCGAGTTGTCTCTCTCTCCTTTCCTTTCTCTATGTTGTCTGAATCTACCTCGTGTGTGGCTGTTCGAGTTGTCTCTCTCTCCTTTCCTTTCCCTATGTCAAGCAAATTGAGCTCGTCTTGTTGTCTGAATTGTGTCCGTACCGAAATGCTTTGTATAATTCTACTACTGAAATTTCACACATGGATTTTCTTGTGTGTTACATTTGTTCTGGTTTATCTGCGTCTTTCTTTCCTCCAATATACCTTTGTAAAAACTCTCATCTTTTAACTGTCTTCTCTCTCCTTCCCTTCTTGCGTGTTACGCGACTCTCCGTCTGCCGCCCTCCAGGTGGTGTATGATATCAGTAGAGGTGAGAGTGAGCTGTCTTACCTCATTCCGTGGCTGCTGAACATCCAGGCCAGAGCTCCTTCCTCCCCTGTCGTCATCATTGGCACCCACATCGACAAGATCAACAAAGGTGAGTTTGGGGGAGCGTTAAAACTACTGTGACGGTAACCACACTTGGCAGCTCTCTTGATACCATCCCCTGGAACCAAGATTAGCGAGCCCACAGTTGTCCTGATTGCACGACATTTCTATTCGTGTGCAGATGCACAACTGTTCATGTCAAACCGTATTGAAATACTCGTAAAACCACTAAAAAGTTTCTACTCACACTTGCTCCCAAATAACGCTCATTCTGTTACGACGGAGGTGCCTCTCTACGTACTTATGTATGTAACCTCCTCATCTCACTGGCAGATGAGTATGACTTACGACGGCTCCAAATGAGGACCAAGATCCAGGACATGTGCCGGAGACCTGGGTTCCCGGTCAACCTGTCTTTCTCCGAGGTCGACTGTTTCAACGAGAAGATGCTCGCCACGCTCAGGAAGAAGGTGAAGGACCACATCAACAGTGCTCAACTGAGGGGTCAGAAGATCATGGGCGGTCTGGTTCCTCACAACTACGTGGTGAGTACTTTCTTTAAGAAGTATACTCTTTGTTAAATTTCCGTTTTTCATGGCTATTTTGCTATTACCTTTGCCATGACAAACGTTCACTGGTAAACCCTTTAGATGCTACTTTTCCAGCATTGGTCTCTCAGTTTTTAGTCTGAAAGGTGCATTGTTGTAATGTTAGTACGTAAGCGCTGGCACGGATAGCTTTCTTAACAGCCTACCCCCTGACTCCACAGCTCCTGTCAGAAGTGGTTCAGCAGGAGAAGAAGAGACTAGCCAAGACCAAGTCCAGGTTCCCAGTCCTCACGTCGGATCGACTCCAGTTCATCATGGCCGCCAGACAACTCGGGATGGAGAAGGCAGAGCTGGAGCAGGTGAGAGGAAACAGCCACACCAACGAAATTATCCATTATTGGCGAGCGAACCTTACCTAGGCTAACGGCTGTTGATTGGTTGAGAAATTGAGAAAAGTAAAAATATTAATCCTCTTCCTGCAGGCTATTCGGTTTCTTCATGAGTCGGGAGTGCTCCTCCATTACCCTGACGTAAAGAGCAACCTGGGGAAACTGTATTTCCTGGAGCCAGAGTGGCTCTGCAGCCTCATGGCCCAAATCATCACCGTCTCGGAGGTCAACCCTCTCGTTGACAAACAAGGAGTGAGTTTTTTGGGAGAGTTTTCTTAACCTTAATCATGCCGTGAAGTTTGGTGGAGTGTAGTAGGTTTGAATCACGTGGTGTGAAAACAAGGCAAGGGCAACACCCAGAGCCCCACCACTGCACGATGCATATGCAAATGTGAGCTATAGTCCATGTATTACGGGCTGTGGCTCCCCTTTCTTCAACTCAGTCTTGTGTGTACCCACGCTCGTCCCTTCCCCCCTCTTCTCCTCCCCCTCTGCTTGCGCACGCTGATGGCTGCAAAATTTATTTCGACTCCCCAACTTCTCTGCCTCCTCTTCCCTTCCTCGCAGCTCCTCCAGGTGCGTTCTCTCTCCCACCTTCTCAAGGAACCCAAGTTCCCCGCCGTCTACATGAGGGAGTACATTCAGTTGCTGGAGAGGTTTGAAGTGGTTCTCTCACAGACGGCGCAGACGCTGCTTATTCCGTCTCGTCTCCCTAAGAGCAAACCACCGTCTGTTCTTCTACCCCCTGCCTCCCCTGGATGTGAGACACAATACAGTGTATAGCTAGAAGTATTGGCGACCTTAATTTGCCAATGGGCTGGCAAAAACTGTTGTGCAAAGTGTGGTGGTGCATTTTTATCATGGTTCTAAGCGCTTCTCAAATTTCTACCATTGGTCGGTGTACATTTGTACATGTACCCCACAGAGAAGTGTGTATATGCCACATATATCATTGTTGGGTGATATATGCTCGTTTCTTTCCATCCCCTCTCTCTCTCTCCGTTGTCGCAGGTCAGATAGTCCGTCGCTATCTGTTCCTGTACATTCCTCCTGGTTTCTGGCCCAGACTGGTGGCCCGGCTCATCACATTCCCCAAGAGAACCCTCCCACACTACGTCAAGGTAAGTGTATGTTGGGGGAAATATATTAAGTTTACACAGTAGGTTGCTGGGGCTTTACACACGTGCATATGAATATCCGGCTCCTTCAAATAAACTTGCACTTGTACGTAGAAAGATTTGCGTTCGTGGTTGGAATTGGTGGGGGGGAAATCAAATACACCGTTAATTTTTCCGTGACTCAGGGAAATTTGGAGGGAAAACTGGAGGTGTGGTCTGAGGGGATCTACTACTTCTGGTCTGAGGTCAGTCTCCTCTCTCACAGAATGTCTTCTCTCTCGTGTGTTCATGCTGCTCAAAATCCCTCTCTCTCCCCTCAGCAAGCCTTCTTCCTGGTGGAAAGTCAAGAAGCCGGAACCAACACTCTGGATATTGTGGTTCCCACTACAATGGTTGGAACAAAGTACGTAAGTCGCTCTCACACCTTCTTGAACAGTACTCTTAATATGTACATACGTATCCAATTGCTTAATTTTACTTGATACTATTATACATGGGACACAATGCAGTATATATTGCGGCTGGTGCTCAATTACAGACTGGTTTACATTCCCTTAGCATTATTGGCGAGCAAAGCAAGCCTACCTAGTCGTTCCAATGCGGGAATTTTCTACAATATAATTATAGTGAAATTTGGGTGAGATAAGGATTGGTGTAGCAAGATGGCAGATATTACCATTCCATACTCCAACTGTAATTAAAGTATTAAAGATAGTTGGTTTGTCTCTTCTTCCATTCTTGTGCCTGCAAAAAATGCTAATCATTGACACCCTTTATTTAGGGAGGATTATAGTGAAATTTGGGGGAGATAGAGATAGGTGCAGCAAGATGGCAGATGTTGCCATTCCGTACTCCAACTGTAGTCAAAGTATTAAAGATAGTCAGTTTGTCTCTTCTTCCATTCTTGTGCCTGCAAAAAATGCGAAATCATTGACACCCTTTATTTAGGGAGGATTTAGTGAAATTTGGGCGAGATAGAGATAGGTGCAGCAAGATGGCGGATGTAACCATTCCGTACTCCAACTGTAGTCAAAGTATTAAAGATAGTTGGTTTGTCTCTTCTTCCATTCTTGTGCCTACAAGAAATGCGAAATCATTCAGACCCGTATTTAGGGAGGATATTATAGTGAAATTTGGGCGAGATAGGGATTGGTGCAGAAAGATGGCAGATGTAACCATTCCGTACTCCAACTGTAGTCAAAGTATTAAAGATAGTTGGTTTGTCTCTTCTTCCATTCTTGTGCCTACAAGAAATGCGAAATCATTCAGACCCGTATTTAGGGAGGATATTATAGTGAAATTTGGGCGAGATAGGGATTGGTGCAGAAAGATGGCAGATATTACCATTCCATACTCCAACTGTAATTAAAATATTAAAGATAGTTGGTTTGTCTCTTCTTCCATTCTTGTGCCAACAAAAAATGCTAAATCGTTGACACCTTCATTTAGGGGTGATATAATAGTGAAATTTGGGCGAGATAGGGATTGGTGCAGCAAGATGGCAGATGTTGCCATTCCGTACTCCAACTGTAGTCAAAGTATTAAAGATAGTTGGTTTGTCTCTTCTTCCATTCTTGTGCCAACAAAAAATGCTAAATCGTTGACACCTTCATTTAGGGGTGATATAATAGTGAAATTTGGGCGAGATAGGGATTGGTGCAGCAAGATGGCAGATGTTACCATTCCGTACTCCAACTGTAGTCAAAGTATTAAAGATAGTTGGTTTGTCTCTTCTTCCATTCTTGTGCCTACAAAAAATGCGAAATCGTTGACACCTTTATTTAGGGAGGATATAATAGTGAAATTTGGGCGAGATAGGGATTGGTGCAGCAAGATGGCAGATGTTACCATTCCGTACTCCAACTGTAGTCAAAGTATTAAAGATAGTTGGTTTGTCTCTTCTTCCATTCTTGTGCCAACAAAAAATGCTAAATCGTTGACACCTTCATTTAGGGGTGATATAATAGTGAAATTTGGGCGAGATAGGGATTGGTGCAGCAAGATGGCAGATGTTACCATTCCGTACTCCAACTGTAATCAAAGTATTAAAGATAGTTGGTTTGTCTCTTCTTCCATTCTTGTGCCTACAAAAAAAGCGAAATCGTTGACACCTTAATTTAGGGAGGATATAATTACGTATTTTGCTCTGTCGACCACTGCACATACCGTAATGTTCTACGTACATGAAAAACATGCGCGAATGAAACATTGAACTGCTTGCGCTCGCTCGCCAACCATGCGTTGCATTACTATAGTTTAATCTCGTGAACCCTCAACAGGTTGCTGTGTTCGGTGGTTGACAACGTGGAGCATCTGATTGACGAGTGGTTTCCTGGTCTGAGGGACATTGACACCGCCACTGGTAGAGATCTGGTCTGCCCCCTGGCCCAATGCCCACAGTGTCCTGGTCAGTTTCATACATACACTGCAGAGTGTGCAATTTTCACAGGAAGGAAAGAAAAGGTTGTGAATCAGACTAAAATCATGTTCAAAGACTGCCTACCCTTTCGAGGTTAAGAGCGTTGGGAAAATGGGCGTAAAATTTTCATGTTCCAAAGACCACACTCTATGCGGACACTTACACACATGCACCTTAACAATTTTTGTGTATTGTACACTACAGTTTCTCATGCAGGTGGCAGTGAAACCCTTAATGCTCTCGCATGGTCGCAAACTCTTCTTGTAGTGTTCCCTCTCTCTCTCTCTCTCTCTCCTCTCTCCCTCTCTCCCTCCGTCTCTATGCCAACAGTTTCATGCGAACCTCACTGCTTCGTTCTGAGTGAGCTCCTACAAGTGTCGACGAGTGACGACCACGTGGTGTGTCCCGAACATGGCGGGAAAGTCGTCCTCGAGCAGCTGGTACCAAATGAACACCACACAAACCAATACCCAACATTATTAACCTGAGGCTAGCTATCACACATGGCAAGACTTGCGAGGGGCGAAAGACTCGTGCAATGTTGTTTGGTTCATACAACAAAGTGAATACAAGGCATGTCTCTTCCCCATCTATCTATCTACCTATCTACCTATGGCTGGTATGCTGTGAACTTGCCACAGGCACTGCATTATACCCATACAATGATAATTCTGTGCCGTACGCGTGTGTACATGTTGGCCTTACTGTGTGCAGGCACCGGACATTATCATCAGTGATTTGGACTCCAGATTCAAGGTTCTTCCATCGGAATTCTCAATTGAGGAGAGGTTAGTTCTGTAACAAGTATATATAATTATACATACACACCAGGGCTGTGTGGGTTTTTAACTATCACCTAGCTATGCTGTGATCAACGTAAATTGAAAAGTTTCCTAATGTTCTGCAGACTTTTTAGAGTGCTGCATATAGTTGCATTAACTTTCAGGCTGTTTCCTTTTTCGCCTCTGAAGTGACTTTTCGCGTTAAGTTTGTATATACAATAGAAAGGAGTGTAGTGCGCGAGACAATCGGGTAATTGTGCAGAATATGGGTCGGGCAATCTTAGGATTGGTCATCCCCCCTCCCGCCACAGCTCAGCCAACCTGCTGGGTAGTGGAGGGTTCGGAGCCGTCTACAAGGCCATGTACAACGGAAAGGCAGTGGCTGTAAAAGTCTTCTCTGACAAAACGGCAAAGATCAACAACACAACGCCCAACTACCTCCTCAGGCTTGAGGTAGTACAATCATACATTATGTATGTCTGTTCTAAACACTGTCATTTAACAGCTGATGAACTTATGCACTCACATTTGCTCACAAAATAATGTCATTAACCCTCAGTACCCATGTTAGGTTCAGCGCTAGACTGCCTTGATTTTTGTAAACACGCCAATGAGCAATGGGTTACCACACCTGCCAGATTCAGTTCACTCACTCTCACGACACAGGTGTCCATTCTGTGTCAGCTGGATCATCCCCACATCATCTCCCTGGTCGGGGTCTGCATGAGACCCAAACCGATGATGCTGCTGGAGTACGCCCAGCTGGGTTCACTGAGGTCGCTACACCCGTACAACCTCCTCACCAACCAGCTGAAACACAGGATTGCTCTTCAGGTGTGAACTTGGTAATCTGAACACCGTGTGTGTGCGTGAGAGAGAGAGAGAGAGAGAGAGAGAGAGAGAGAGAGAGAGAGGAACCGGATGAACGAGGTGTTGTGGACCTGTAGTATGGCTGGTGTCTCCTTCCTGCTTATGTGGAGCCAGTGTAGCCTGCAAACTGAATGGGAATAGATGTTACTCACTCAAACGATCAGCCTTTATTGTTCTGACAGGGACACATTATGTGTACTAACTACTCGAGTCAAATATGTGGTATACGCACTATTTTCATTGTTACTATACATGCTGTGTTCTGAAGGTGGCGAGTGCTCTGGCCTACCTGCACAAACAGAACATCATCTACAGAGACCTGAAAGCCGACAACGTCCTCATATTTTCGCTCAGCCTCGTGGCAAAGGTCAGCTCTCTTCTCTCTAAGCTTCATTCATTCATAGAACAGTGTGTTTCACCTGTTACTCCATCTAATGGTTTCCACCGGAGTTATACATAGCACTAAGCCATCCATCTTGCTCCCTCTCCCTCCCAACCTCTCTCTCTCCTCTTCCTCCTCCCCCCCCCCACCAGGTGAATGCAAAGCTCTCCGACTACGGTATAGCCTGCACTGCAACAGAGAGTGGACTCACTCAACCCATTGGCACCAGAGGCTGCAAGGCTCCTGAGCTTCTCAAGGCCCCTTCCTCCTACACCACCTACAATGAAAAGGTACACATACACAACGTAACATAAAATTTCTCCCTATCGAAATTGACATGGTTCTCTGTCCATTTATCTCCTCTCTGTACATATGTACAATGTAATCAGGTGGACGTATATTCGTATGGACTCCTGATGTTCACAGTAATGTCGAATGGCCACAAACCTCACGAGGAACTGACCGACCCTTATGAGATTGACAAGGCCATTGAAGAGGTATTGACGGCATATATGTGTATGTGTACATAGTAACTATTGTAGTATGTCATAGTATCTCCATCATTGCTGGAACTTCAACCGAAATATCGCACTTGTTGCTGCTGCATGCAAAAGAAAAACCTTGCACACATCCTTTTCCATGCTCCACTGGAGGGTAATGGTGTTTTGAAATCGTACTGTGGAAGTATAATCGTGAAAAATCTGTAAAACGTACAAAATGCATCCCACACTGTCGCAGATATTGGATTTTACTGTAGATCGAGTCACACTACGTACTTCCCCTCCTCTATCTCGCAGGGTCGACCGATCAAAGGTCTGGAGCAGTACGGGTGTCCTCCGTGGCCGGACATGGAGGACGTGGTCGGCCACTGCCTCCACTATCTCCCCCACCAGAGACCCTCGGCCCAGGCCGTCTTCCACCGACTCTGCTGCCCGGAGTTCATCTGCCTCAAGAGAGCCGTCCCCATGGCCTACGACTGCAATATGGAGACTATCGCTCTCAGGGTAGGCGCACACCTAATGATACAGTTTTAAATTCCACGGGAAGTACGTACAGTATGTATATCAGAGCCAACTTTAGTGGCACAAAATGTTTTGCAGTTGTATACAATCTGCGAAAAACTTTTTACAGAAACCTGCAAATCTGTTCGGTGCCTTGCAGTATTATTTTGAGCCCCACCTTGTGCCCCATGCTAATGAATTCCAGCAGAAAGAGAATATGAGTGGATTGCCAGATCTCTCTTCTGGGGCAGAACATCCCGAACAATCCCTCACTGTATTTGAATACTGGTAGTACAACAAGCTCCTCAATGTATAGATTTCCATATATTTTTTGATGACGCTACATTAGATTATGTAACCACACGTAAGCGCTGTGACAATAATGTTTCCTTGTCTTCAACTGTGTGTGTGAATTTTCTGCAGACGTTCAGAGACAAGACAGAGAGTTCTCGCTCTGTCGAAGTATGGATGGCCAGCACAATGGAACAACAGACCATGGTAATAATTCACGACGATGTAATGATGACATCATCAGAAATGTATTATCCACAGCTGTCGATAGTGAACCTATCTGAAAGAATGGCCACTCCAAAGGTATGTATTACTCACAGTAAACATTGCTTCTGCATGTCAAGGAAATGTCGTCATTTAGTGGAAGACACTTTCTTAAATTTTTGCACAGTTTTCTGCATTTTTTGCTTACAATCGGTGTGCAGCCACACCAAATTAAGTCGTACTGTTTAAGCAAATAACATCAGCATCTCTCTCCCTCCCTCCCTCCCTCCCTCTCGTCTCGCTGGTCTTCCAGGGGTTCATGATACCACTGGTGAAGGTGTACAGCATGGTCGCAGTCCAGACCAGCCACGTCCTCCTTGGAACCGACTCGGGACTCATTCTCGTCTACGACGGATACACACGCAAGAAATCTCATCAGTTTTGCCCTCTCCGCGACCCGGTTCTCTCCCTGCAGTTCTTCAAGTATGCATCTGTCTCTGTTCCCAGAGCTACACTAAACTCTTGCGCATTAGCACAGGTCGCGTAATATGACCTCTCCAAATCTCACATTTGTTGGTGCTACATACGTAGGTTTATATAATTTCGAAATGTACGTAATACACACACAACGTAGTCACCTACATGTGCCCCATGCTAATGCTTGTTTGAATACTGGTATATAGTACATGGAAGATATGATACTATTGACTAAGTGTGTGTGTGTCTGTGAATGTGTTTTGTCTCCCAGATGCTCTTCTCTGGGGTCATACACACTGTATGCTGGACTGGCCAACGGACAGCTGGCTAGCTACGACGACTATCTCATCCCCGTGAGCTGAAAAAACATGCCATTCTTTCTATCACAGAAATCTTGTTACCAACGTTGTCCCTGGTTTTATATATACACACCATTGCTTAGGAATTCACTGTGATCTTGTGCAATGTGTTGTTGGCCTTTGGTTTGCTTTGATGTTCATGACACATTACATCATTTCTGGCCTCCTTGATGTTCATGACACATTACATCATTTCTGGTGTTCATGACACATTACATCATTTCTGGCCTCCTTGATGTTCATGACACATTACATCATTTCTGGTGTTCATGACACATTACATCATTTCTGGCCTCCTTGATGTTCATGACACATTACATCATTACTGGTGTTCATGACACATTACATCATTACTGATGTTCATGACACATTGCATCATTTCTGGGCTATGCTCAGTGTCCAGATGCAAAGCCAAGCAACGTGATGGAGCTTGGGTCGGGGCCAATCAGGAACATTTCCCAACACCACGACACACTGTACGTCAGCTGTGGGCCCGAGGTGGTCTTGATCAGAACTCCACAACTGACCGTGGAGAGCAGATGGAAGGCTATCGACGAGTGAGTGCTGGGAGGGAAACAGGTAGGAGAGAGAGAGAGAGAGAGACAGGGAGACAGGTAGGAGAGAGAGAGGACAGGGAGACAGGTAGGAGAGAGAGAGAGAGAGACAGGGAGACAGGTAGGAGAGAGAGAGAGAGACAGGGAGACAGGTAGGAGAGAGAGAGACAGGGAGACAGGTAGGAGAGAGAGAGACAGGGAGACAGGTAGAGAGAGAGAGACAGGGAGACAGGTAGGAGAGAGAGAGACAGGGAGACAGGTAGGAGAGAGAGAGACAGGGAGACAGGTAGAGAGAGAGACGAGACAGGTAGGAGAGAGAGACAGGGAAAGGTAGGAGAGAGAGAGACAGGGAGACAGGTAGGAGAGAGAGAGACAGGGAGACAGGTAGGAGAGAGAGAGACAGGGAGACAGGTAGGAGAGAGAGACAGGGAGACAGGTAGGAGAGAGAGAGAGACAGGGAGACGGTAGGAGAGAGAGAGAGACAGGGAGACAGGGAGACAGGTAGGAGAGAGAGAGAGACGGGGCGAGGAGGATATGTGGAGAATCCGAAACATGTCCGTGTGAGAACCAATCTAAACATTGCTGGCTTGAACTGTGCAGACCCCATGGCTAACCGTAGAACCTCTGACTTGAGGGCTTGAACTGTGCAGACCCCATGGCTAACAGTAGAACCTCTGACTTGAGGGCCTGAATTGCCACATTCTTAACCTCCAAAGAGAGGACAAAAGACAAAATGCCAACATGCCCATTTTTTGGAGGTTCCACTGTAATTCCATGCATTTGCTGGTAACAGCACACGAAAAAGAAAAAGGGAGCATATATTTATCTTCCCCAGATCCAACAGCTACGTGACGTGTATGGAGCTGTCCCAGGACACGGTGTGGACGTCCCACAATCGCAGCTCCATCATCCACCTCTGGGATATGGAGGATGACCACAAACACAGGGGAGAGATCAACTGCGACGCCATGCTCAGGACCTTGTGAGGGCACTCTACTTGGTTACATCACTGTGCATGATAGTCATGTGATACAGTGACAGTAAAATGGCACCTTTGGCTTTTCCAAGTGCTCTATTATGCTAGCAAAAGCAAACTACACCTTTCCCTTCTCCTTCTAGACTGCCCCACAGTAGCCCAATTAGCTCCAGAGGGTCAAGGGTCACGTCCATGCTCCTCCAGCCACACCCACACTCGGTCATGTGGGTGGGACTTGGCTCTGGCCAGCTCCTCCTAATTAGTGCCCCCTCTCGTAACCCACTCATGGTGGTTCATCGCCACGTCGACGCTATCAGGGCACTCTGCTGCCAGAAAGTTCCAGGTTAGAACATGGCTTTTGCATTCTTCCTTGCATTTTGCTGTGTTTTAGTGCATACGCATGCCCCTATAATACACACTGTGACATGTGCATAAATACGTATTTCTCCTTCTTGCAGTAAGTGACAAGACGCTCCACCTCATTCTGTCTGCTGGATTTGGTTTCAGACCTCGACCGGGGGAATCCACCGCCTCCTTCAAAGGTACAGTACACAACATACCACGAATTTGGACGTCCTTGTGCGGGTATGTGCATGTGACTTTGGCACATTATGAATTTGGCAGTGGACCCACCAAAACACAGCCCCCCCCCTCTCCTCTCGCCTCTCTTGCATTTTTCTGCTTCTGGCTCCCCACTCTCTCTTCTCTGCCTCTCTCAATGCAGGCACACCTGAAAGGTACGGCAGTCTACTGGTGTGGGACGCAATAATGCCGCGGTTGAAGCCAACCTTTGAAGACATGAGCCGACAACAAGAAATGTATCGATGACTTGCACCAATCGCAATTATTTGTATCTCATTCGCTTCGTCAATTTCATTTCCGTGTTGTGATTATTTTCATGACCGTTTTTTATCCACCATAGAGTTTTCGATGTGTATGTTGCGCTTATCAAAAAAATGAAGGTGCAGTTTAGAGATGTAGGCTAACTTTGACCAATCAGGTTTCCCCACCATCCCCCACTTCTGACCACGCCTCCTCTGCCAACATGTAGTACTTGTTGGCAAGTTTACCCTTCATCATCTCCATGGCAACCTCGGCCGACTGGGTATACAGTTCTCCGGCCTTGTTGGGATCTTTCTCCAATCGGTGCCCGCCACTGCGGAACATCTCAGCCAGACGGGCAGTGATGATGTAATCTGGATTGGCCGACTCTGTTGCCTGGCAACTGGTGTCGGTTGCATCGCTGGCACCAGACGGCGTTTCCAAGGCTCTGCTGTACCATTTGGCCGCATTTTCCCAGTTCTGCTCCCTGTGTGTGCAAATATGACATAAAGTTTTAAAAGTTTGTCATTCTAAAAGTGTGTTGCAGGGTTCACTTTTCATTGCCAATATTCATCTATTGCTCTGAGTGTATATACCAAAAAAACCTGTGTGCTTCGTTGATCTGTGTCTGTGTTAGTTAAAATCGTGGCAAGTTGCCGATTCAGGAAGATTCTGGAGTTGGTTGCGTACCTGACCGCAGAGCTGCCAGTGTCGAGGTGTTTGGCCAGTTCGATCATGGCTGCCCTGTGGCCTGCCTCTGCCGCCTGTTGTAGGTACTCCATCCCTCTCTTCTCTGACTCTGCAGACTCCTGAATAATATGGGTTTACAATAGTCTCTCACAAATTGGCAATTTCAATAACGAACCACAATCTGCATCGCACCACCAAAAAAGTACACTCCTTGAAGTTTGAATTAGACAGTCTCAATGCATAAATGTAGTATATACCATAAGGAAGAATTCACGGTAACGAGTTGAAATTATCTGTGTACCGTGACTGAGATGTCCTTGAAACTATCGTGAGGCAGTTGAAGGTAAATGCGTGCCAGGGTGTAAAGTGCAGAGGGTAAAGTACAGGCAGCGGCTGTCTCCAAGTGGAACCGCACGGAGGCCAGGTCTGGAACCTGGTCCTGCGAGAACCGACCCAGCTCGTGATACACAGCGAGCTCCCAGTGGATCTGTGAAATGTGAATACATAATCCATCGATAAAAAAGACTTGAAAACCTGTGAAAATGGTTATCTCTGACAAAAAAGTAGGAAAAGAAAGTAAAAGCAGCAAAAAGTAGGGAAATAAAGCAAAAAAAAGAAGGTTCTACCGAGATTCGAACTCGGATCTTGGGATTCAGAGTCCCAGGTGCTAACCATTACACCATAGAACCTGCGCGTAAACCACCGTACCAAATCTACCATATTAGAATAGTATGCATATTATATACCAGGCCCAGTATCTTCAAGCTGTCCTTTTCACTTGCTCCTTCTCCCTTCTCCTCTCCTCTTTCTCGAGTGAATTCAGTCTGAACACTGGAAGAGTAGCAGACAGCTGCATGTGGTGGACCCATGTACCTCTCACTGCTCTCCGGCCCCTGTGAGTGTGGGGGAACTTTCAACCTCTGTGTGCATGATCTTCGTCGCCATTCTCATGTGTTATTGGTTGTTTCTTAACTCTGGCAGCTATAATGCATAGCTTAGTTTAAACTCCGTCAGCATTGAAATATGTTAGAACAGAGCTCAGTTCACAGTCCTTTGACGAGAGAGTTTAGTTCGTACTCACCAGGGATGAGGTTTCTTCAATGGCATCATCCTCCCCCATCTCCCCATCCTCCCCATCCTCCCCAGCCCCATCCTCACTAACACTCATAAAGTGCTGGTGTGTCATGGTGATCCCTGGTGACTCCAGTGGGCTACCGGGAGGCAGGTAACCCAGGGAACCACTCCCTAACACACACACACACACCAAGAGAGAGAGATAGAGAAACATGCATTAATGAAAAGCAGACTTACCAGTTCTGAGAGGAGGATTCCGTACGAAGGCCAGTCCAATTTGCTTAAAGGCGTCCCTGACGGTTGTCTCGCTCCCAGCCTCTATCCCTCTCCCCCCGTCCTCTCTTTTCCCACGCATACTAGCCAGCACAGGCTCGCTCTGAGACGGGTGAATCTTGGTGGCTGCAGAGGACGCTAGCTTCCACTTCCGATCCTGCAGTCTGTCCAGCTCTTCGCTGCTCAGATCAAACTGCGTGAGACCTAACATGATCACAGAGACACCACCAACACAACATGACACCACTGCATCATCTGAATTTGTATTGACGCAATTTCTTTTCAACTGAACTATCAAACTGACACAACCAGCATGATCCTAACCCAATGTGACTCCACTAGCGCAACCAACAACTCAAGATTGCCACCACCAACTCTCCACGTACCCATTGCCAGGCAGATGGGGTTGCATATGTGGGAGGAGAAAAACAGAGCCATTCCCTTCGTTCCGAGGTTGGCCTCTCCGTAGTCTCTCTGGTCCACTGTGTGCATCTGAGGATCTGTGTACAGGTCACCTACCCCTGTACATACATACATACATACAGTGGAAAAGACAGCATCCTGTAGGAACTACAGCTATACGTTAGTGAGAATTCTGAAAACAAAAACTTTTGTCCCAACCCACAATACAGTGAAAAGCATTGATTTTAGACGCGGTCCCCACCCTGTATGTCGACGATGATGAGCTGGTGCTGCGAGCGTTCGAACGTGAAGTGGCTGAAGGCGTGGGGAGTGAGCCGGTTCACGTCCGAGACGAAGCCCGAGTTGGAGTTGTACTTGATGTAGTCTCCCTCTATGAGGTGCTCCACACAGTACAGCGGACATCCCTTCGCCCCCTTCAGCTCTATGATGTACGTCTGGAAAAAGTCCACCTGTGTGGCAGGGACGGAGTCTTGGAGTTGCTATAGAAACGTTGCTGTAAATGTTGCTATCGTACAGAGTAACATACAAGCTAAGTGTATCAGTGTAGTCCTCTGAATTGAGTAGAACTTCTGAAAGCACTTATGTTCGCTCGCCAAAAATGCATTCAGTCACTAAGTACACCGTACTTAGTATATAGGGATGGGCATGTGGTATATACCTAGCATCATAGATGTATGGAGCTATGATAAGGAGTTTTGTTCATCTTCTTCTTCTTCAGATTTAAATTCGCAGGATTTTTAATTTACTTGCACTATTAAAAGGGTGTCATTTGAAGGTGTGCCATGATAACTGCACCTTTTTGGGAGGTCTGTGTTGATTGTATTCCTCTCCCCACAACTTGGCGTCCATCTGCAACTTCACGTCTTGGAAATACACCTGCCTGCCCGCCTCCTTCATGTAGCGCTTGGCCACGTAGTTGGACGCATTTCTCCAGTCCGGATGGGTGGAAAATTTGGACAATTTCTTCCTACAACACAGTATACATATATATACGTTGTACTAAACTACAGCTAAAAATGGAGGTAAATTCTGCCAGGATTTCTGTTAATGAATGCCCACTTTTACCCTCACTTAAAACGAATTTGTTATATTCTAGTTGGTTAACAATGTGGTTTGTAGTGTTATTAGCCGCGATCAAGGCCTATTAATAATGTTATTTGTTAATAATGTTATTTGTTCAGGTGCACTAATACACTGGGAAATTATGCACACCATTTTGGGCCTACCAGCAACATACCTCTTAGCGGTGTAATAACTACATTAATTATATCATTAACTTATACCATCGGATACTAAAGGGAGAATATTTGTACACACAAGTGGTGCATTGTTCACTTACATTCTGTAGCACTCCCTCATAGCGCCGTGAGCAAACGACTGTCGAAATAAGAGGGACGAAATTTGATTCAATCTATAAAACTCTAGTGATGTAATAGGAGTGAAAGACAGTATATACATTAGTTTATGAGCGCGTAAGCGCTGGCACGGATGGCTTAGTAATGCATATATACCCATATTCGTATTATATAGAGGTAATAAAGACGGCGTTAATTTCACAAGTGGTTTGGGCTCAAGGTTACTTCAAGAAATCGAAATTCATGAGCTATTGTGAACTACGCTTTGCGTAATATGTTTGATTATATGAAGATTCAGAGGCCTGGTGTGAATTAATTAATGCACAAATATTTCAGGTATGCCTACAATATGGGGCGATACAAATACCTGTGATTGCATCTTTACGACTATCTCATCAGTCTTCCATTTCCCCGAGCGAGGGTTGTACATGTATCTCGTGACCCTCTCCTCCGGGATATCATCAAAGTGATACCTAATAAACATTCCAATTTGCCCAGGGGCTTAATAAAATGCCATTCGTCATACCCTTCCCAGGGGTCAGGAAGCTCCTTGGCTTTCAAGGCAGCTGTTCTCCACTTGGCCAACTTCGCTGATAAATTCCTCTTTGATGCCAGCCCAACACCACTCCCTGCTCCTGGCACCGGATTCAATTTTCCACTGCTTCCCTCATTAGTTAACGAGTTAGCCATGCTGCTACCCTGCTGTGTAGGTATTATACACAGTTATAATGGACGGTGGTTACCTCTAGTAATCCCTTTTCCAAATTGTATAATAACGTGCGGGGTCGACTAGTGGATCATCCAATTTCAATATTTCTCGCTAAAGGCTTCTTTGCGTGTAAATAGAGAGAACGAGGCGACGACCTGATGCGATGCACCGAAAACGAGAGTGGAGTCTGTGGGATGAGAAGGTTGTACTGGTCCCGTACTCGCCTCACCACGTCCCCAAGTCAGTCGCTATACTGTAGCAACTCCGCCAGTCTAGCTCCACGAATAGCTAATTATGCTAGCGACGCCTACACGCGAAACCCTAAGCTGCGGTGCGGGGTGCAAGTTCAAAGGCCTGCAGCCAGCATACGGTAATTAGTCGTGATGCCAAACCAGGTACCACGGGTGGATGCAGGACCCTGTTCTCAGGTTCCAGACAGGCTCAGAGCCACTGAGCTTGGAGGAGGAATACGAGATGCAGAGAAAGTGGCTCACCGACAAAGACAGTTAGTAGGGGAGTAATACTTATTCCGACACACACCAAATACCCAACTCCTTACTCCTTCACCTGCAGAATGCACTTTCATATGCCTCGAACGTTCAGCCTATGAGAAGGATCCATCTACTGAAGTAGGTATAAAATGAACTACATCGAGAGTTACATTATACATTAGACTGGGATACTACACAGGTTGCAGAAGCCAATTTAATTTATCTCTGATGCATTGGAATAATAGGGTTGACTTTTAATGATGCATGGTATAAATCCCAAATCATAAAGACATACAGAACGACCTATAAAAGTAAAGACCTGAAGACAAAAAAGACGGATGCTCAGATTTTTTCCTCTGCATTAGAATGTATGGTCGGAGATGTCAACCTGTTCTTCAATGACCCTCACGATGAGTCTGTGGCAGAGTTGGAGCTGATGATAGCAGGTATATACCTTGATACACGCTGCTTTCCGGCCTAGAGTGTTGAGTTTGTAGCTTTTAGGTATATTATATGCAGTGTGTAATAGGAACCCATGGTAGCCCATACTTGTAGGCTAACACTGAAACAGTAGCTAAAAACTCTCGCCCATGGTAGCCCATACTTGTAGGCTAACACTGAAACAGTAGCTAAAAACTCTCGGCAAGCCAGTAATAGGAACCCATGGTAGCCCATACTTGTAGGCTAACACTGAAACAGTAGCTAAAAACTCTCGGCAAGCCAGTAATAGGAACCCATGGTAGCCCATACTTGTAGGCTAACACTGAAACAGTAGCTAAAAACTCTCGGCCATGGTAGCCCATACTTGTAGGCTAACACTGAAACAGTAGCTAAAAACTCTCGGCCATGATAGGAACCCAGTAGCCCTACTTGTAGGCTAACACTGAAACAGTAGCTAAAAACTCTCGGCCATGGTAGCCCATACTTGTAGGCTAACACTGAAACAGTAGCTAAAAACTCTCGGCCATGGTAGCCCATACTTGTAGGCTAACACTGAAACAGTAGCTAAAAACTCTCGGCCATGGTAGCCCATACTTGTAGGCTAACACTGAAACAGTAGCTAAAAACTCTCGGCAAGCCAGGCAAATCTACGTGCTTTGACCAAGTCGTGATATTCAGTGCTGTGTAAAAGTCTACGTGCTTTGACCAAGTCGTGATATTCAGTGCTGTGTAAAAGTCTACGTGCTTTGACCAAGTCGTGATATTCGGTGCTGTGTAAAAGTCTACGTGCTTTGACCAAGTCGTGATATTCGATGCTGTGTATAATGCGGTGTTGGTTTCCCTGGTGTAAACACAGCTTGCTAGACCTGTACATACTAGTAGCATATACTTCTCCCCTTCCCACCTCACACGTGTGTACATCTACCTGTTTGTCTGTAATGCTACGAGATGTGTGGACAATACCCACTGTCTCCCTTGGCATTGATCCTGACCGACTATGGAGGATATGTACAAATTTCTGATGAGTCGATACAGCTATCACATGTCTGTGCCCCATGCTTTTGTATTAGCCTCAATTAGGCGGTCCATCTCGCCGCTCTTTTTGTGCTCTGTGTCGCTCTTTATGTGTTGTAACAACTTCTGACGGATGTCTCGGCATGAAGTAGTGGTCAAAGGCAACCGCCCTCTACTTATTATGTTGCATTGCTGTTGGGTTCACTGCTACATGGCTAGTGGACCAAGTCATCTCATTATGTGTTTAATTTCCTTGTTAGTCGGTACATTGGCAACACCTGTGCCCGTAAATATTATTAACTATGATGACATTGCGGACACTTCCTTTCAAATTAATGTTCTGTGGCGTATTAATGGAGTAATCATTCGCAAGTTTTTTTTCATATCCTAGAAATGGTCACCAACAACCACGTCGAAAACATCGGCAGTTGGGCCTAAATCCGCGATATCACAAATTTTTCTCCTTTTGAAGTTTTCCTCTCAATGTTACAATTGTGAAATAGGAAAGTGTTACTCAATAAAGTAAGAGGTATTACATTACTTTCCCATTATTTCCCTTTATTGGTTTGTGGTGGTGGTAGCCGCTGAACATTCGCAGTTTGGCCTCATCACAAAAATTCTCTCTAATAGTTTTCCAATGATAGTGTTTCCCTATAAAGTTACGAGAAAGACCTCCTTTCCCATCTTTTTCCCTTGGTTTGTGGTTCCAGAGCCAGGTTACCGCCGGAGAGGGCTGGGTCTGGAGGCAGCTCGTCTAATGATGGCTTTTGGTGAGTCTGTCATTAGTCCCGTGTTCATAACAATTACAGTTGCCGTGGTTTTTGGGTGCGTGGTATAGACACGAAAGGTGAGATTGTACGACTTGGTTCACACCTACGTACGTCACGAATGTTAACTAGTACTCTGCATAGTTTTGTTGTATGTAGATACCACCTGAAGCTCTGCGGGTGTTTTGGTATAATATATAGGTGTGAAACAGTACGTGGAAAATACGGCGTTAGTGTATTCCTTCGTGGAACTTTATTGAGTATCAATGTTTCTAGCAGCTGATGTACATATGAAATATCACACCTCAGTTTGTTTTCTCTGTCAAAACCGCTCCATCACATTCTGTAATGGCATCTGAGGTGTCTAGTGTTTATTTCTTAGTCACAGAAATCTGAGAAGACGCCTAGATCACTGCTTTCCCCTGGGAGTCTATGTACACTGTACACTGTAAATTCAGTGTCAATTTTTTTTTTATCGTCTCTTCTCTCACAGAGATATAGCGGTCCGCCAGACACCTCTCTATATAGTGTGTATATTCCGCATGCATTACTCTGGAGGAGTTGTTGTGTACTACCGTTAGAGTCTTGTTTGGGTCGGGTCAAAGTGCTACAGGAGATGTTGCAACTGACTGTGATATTAGCTACTACATCTTAGAGAGTGGGCCACTGTGTACTGATCATATCCCATTTGTTCTGTTGGAGATCAAATGCCCTCCCGGCTTGCCGGGCCAGGCATTCCTACGACTGCTAATACCTCTCACTGAGGCCTACTAATTGGGTGGTCTTTACGTAGTGTTGGGAGGCTTTTGGCTGGCTAACCGGGGGTCCGATTTCCTTGGAACTGGCATTTTGTTTACTGTCTGGCGTATTTGCATGCTAAATATGGACCCGATTAGGTATCATTTTGTGTAAGTGATCCTAGTAGGGGTATATCTACTGAGGGATATATTATACATAGGTAGAGGTCATATGGACCACGGAGCTATATACCTATGTTGTTGTACTGAATCTTCATGCACAAGAGAGAAGTGCTTAATATGAGTAGAAGTAAGAGTGTGATAGCTCGGATATAGTCACTGCCAAAGTGACTATAGCTACTTGTGGTGGTTTTTGCAGGTATCAGTGAGCTGGGGGTTAAACTATTCCGAGCCAAGATCGGTGTGGACAATACGTCCAGCTTGCAACTTTTCCAAGATAGACTATCGTTTGTCGAGGTATAACATAAACATAGTGGGAAGGTATGCAAAGGGACATGAATGGTAATCACACAAGTGTGAAGTAATTCATGTCATGCCATGCGACCCTGTTTACTACCATTAAAGTGTTCAGTATTCCTCCCTTGTAAATCATCAGGTGTCGCGCAGTAGTGTTTTTCAAGAAATGTCATTAGAGTTGGCAGTGACCGAAAAGTGCTCAGTAGAGCTATGCACTGCAGAATTACCTAGAAAGTGGAGAACATACTCTCAGCATGACTGATATCACTATCCTGATTTGCATTGGTGCCCGAGAACTGCATTTGATTTTTAATCTGTGCAGCTAAGTAGAACACTGTGTTTGCTGCTATAATTGTATATTACTGGAGCCCCTTTTGTTATGATCATGATTAAATCTGAAGTGCACTCTGCGATTGATATGTGATACATAAATTATCATAAAAGCTGTGATCTTGCGTGAGAAATGGCGATGGTCGTGTGGAAGATAGAGAGTTCTAATAATTAGTTGAGAAGTGAGACAGTGCTGCGTCGTGCCATGTGTAGCGAGATGGGCACTCCTTTATACTTGAGCTTTAGTAGGGGAACGATCGACGGAAGAAACACGAAGCACAGACACCCGCAGACTGTAGCTAGTAAGAAAGCCGACATCACAATGGAGCTTGCCGTGGTGTTGATACCGGTAAGTATCTGGAACATTGGCAGGGTTATCCCCGCCATCATTATCTCCGTGTACACGTACATGCTCAATTTCTTGGTGTGCTTGAACTCCTTTCGTCGGATGTTTCTGTTGAGGATGGCCAGGAAAACCACGGCGAGAACAAGGAGCCCCTTGTATCCAGCCAGAGCGATGATCCACTGCAGAAGGTGGGTACAGGTGCATGTTGGCGTCACCACGACTTCCGTCCCACTGAAAATCCCTGTCGTTTTCTGGAGCCAGGGATCGAGAGAGATCCACGTCACTGCCAGCACCATGTCCACACACACGAGCAGAATCACAAAGAAGATGAGAGCGTTGTCTGTAATGGCCCCCCCAGCTCTCTCGCTGCGGAAGTGACGGAATATGCGGTACACTCGCCATGTCTTTGCGCAGATGGTGCCAAACACGAGCGAGATGCTCAGACTCAGGCAGAGCGTGTACAGATTGCACAGGACGGCGTAGGTGGTCGCGTCAAAATCAAACACGTCTTTGGTGATGAAGAAGAAGATGGAAATGAGGAGGAGGTAGCACCCTGAGAATATGAGGTGGGAGAGGTTTGGACTGGTGGCCTTGATCGGCTTGAAGTTGTAGTAGACTATGGTGGCGAGATGCATGAGAACGGTCACGATGAGAATGGCTAGTAAGATGAGGAAGACGATGGTGCCAAGTGCAATGTGAATAGTGACTGTCATTTCTTCAAATGTGTCGGTGATGAAGGGGTTGGGGTAACGGCTGCTATTAAGATCCAACCCCTCTTCATTGTACTGACCAAGGAGTTGCTCTTCACAGTTGTTGGAATCACACTTGAGCTTGACGATGCTGAGAGTGCTGAGAGTTTCCCTGTTTTCCTCGAACTTTACTCGACTCTCGGAGACTCCCGTGAAATTCACAACCGACTTGTTGAGCAGGTTTTTCACAATGATATCCGTGATATCGTTGTCTCTCAGACTACTACGCCTTTCAAACTTTGGTTCAAGCTCTGGTAGAGAGTGGTTCACAGCGAGGGCCAGAGCCCACGTGGCGTCGTAGAAACTTCCGCCCCACTTGAATCCCACTAGAGACTTTTTGGTTGCCTCGTCTAGTCCATCGTTGTACTGCTGTTTGTATTCGTTGTAGCTGAGGTTCACTGGGTAATGTCTCTCGTCCGGATTGTTGGGAAAAACACGTAGCTGTTCAATATGATACCGTTCATGGCCTTCCTCATGTCCCGGTCACTGCAGGTATAAGTTTCTCCGTTGTGACTAGCAGTTATGTTCTGCTCGAAATCCGACCTGCCGCGGTCGTGAAAGAGCCACTGGAAGGTGGGGTAGATGATGCGCAGGTGATAAGCCACGCACATTACCTTCCCTGCAATGGGACCGGCGACGAAAGCGAAGATGACGCGAGTCTGCAGGTGTCTGATATCCGCGACGGGGAAAAAGTAGTCGTATAGCGGCGACTCGTAGGACACGGTCATGTTCTTGTCCTTTGAGTTCAGGAACTTTTCGTAGGTAGCCTGAAGTGCGTCCGCGTCTCGTCGTACAACACCGCCACCTTTCTCCAGTTGTTGTGGTTGGAAAGAGCCTTGAACACGTCCACGTATATCAGCGTGGAGCTGAAGATGCGAAAGGTTGTGTTGTACGCGTCGTTGACGAGCTCGGACGAGGTGGCGCTCGGCGCTATCTGGACTACGCTGACGTCGCCTTTGGCGAGTAGCGGAGCTAGCAGCAAGGTGGAGTCGGAGCACGCAGGCCCGATGATGCCGGCGATGATTTTGTTCTGCAGGTTTTGGACGTACTCCCTCGCGAAGGCTATGGCATACTTAGAGACGATGTTACATCCCGGAGTCGGCCTCGATCATCTCCAGTCGGTAGCCGGGGAGAATATCACTCCGCTCGTTGATATGATCGCGGGCTAGCTTCACCGCATGTATGACTGCCGTTCCACCGGGCCAGGAAGGTTTGAAGCTCCCGGTGTCCGGTAGCGGGCCCGCGGCCATGAAGTAGATGGTCTTGTTGGCACTGGCCGCCGTTCCAGAGAACGTTGAACATATTGCGATGCATAGCAGCATTGATAAAGGCTCCTTCATGGCGACGTCTCCCTAGGCAAAGTTCTATAGATCATGGTTTCGTCCTCTCTCGCGGTTTTAAAGTCGCGGCTCGTTGCGTGCGCATGCGCGTACGGTTTCGCGCGCAGGCCTAGGCTGCACATGCGCACACGCACGCTCCACGCTCATGGCTCATGCGCAAGAAGCAGCGCGGGTGTGGTGCAAGATCGGACTTTACACTTTTGAAGCGCTCTCTGTCTTTCCGGATCCCACCCGAATCAGGTAGACAGCAGGCGTGCAAAGATGCGTGAGATAATCCACATGCAGACGGGCCAATGCGGCAACCAGATCGGCTCCAGTTTCTGGGAGACTGTGACGGAGGAGCACGGCATATCGCCGACGGGCGCGTTCGAAGGAGTCAATCCGGACCTGCTCCTGGAGCGAATCAGCGTCTACTTCTGCGAGGCGTCGGGCGGCAGGTACGTCCCGCGGTCCATTATGGTGGATCTGGAACCGGGTACCATCGACTCGGTCCGCTCGGGGAAACTCGGACAGCTCTACCGTCCGGACAACTTCGTATTCGGACAGAGCGGCTCGGGCAACAACTGGGCGAAGGGTCACTACACCGAGGGGGCCGAGATGATCGAGGTCGTTATGGAGAGAGTGAGGATGGAGGCAGAGGGCTGCGACAGTCTCCAGGGGTTCCAGCTAACTCACTCCCTCGGAGGAGGCACTGGGTCGGGTATGGGGACTCTCCTCATCTCGAAACTACGGGAGGAGTTCCCCGATAGGATAATGACGTCGTTCAGCGTCATTCCGTCTCCGAAGGTGTCCGATACGGTCGTCGAACCGTACAACGCCATGCTGTCTATGCACCAGCTGGTCGAGAACACGGATCAAACGTTCGCCATCGACAACGAGGCTCTCTACGACATCTGCTTTCGGACGCTCAAGCTGACCGAGCCAACCTACACAGACCTCAACCACCTCATCTCGCTCACCATGAGTGGCATCACCACCTCATTTCGATTCCCAGGCCAGCTCAACGCCGACCTACGAAAACTCTCCGTGAACATGGTCCCTTTCCCTCGTCTCCATTTCTTCATCACGGGGAATTCTCCACTCAGCAGTCGCACTACGGTCAACTTCTCCGCAGTCAACGTTCCCGAGCTCACCCGACAGATGTTCGACCCCATGAACATGATGGCTGCGTGCGACCCTCGCCACGGGCGATACCTCACCGCTGCCATGGTCTTTCGCGGGCGGATGTCGGTACGGGAGGTAGACGACCAGGTCCTGCAGCTACAGAACAAAAACAGCTCCTACTTTGTCGAGTGGATTCCCAACAACGTCAAGACCGCCGTGTGCGACATCCCTCCCCGCGGACTCAAAATGTCGGGGACGTTTATCGGGAACAGCACGTCCATCCAGGAGATTTTCAAGAGGATCGACGAACAGTTCTCGGCCATGTTCCGTCGCAAGGCCTTCATGCATTGGTACACGGGAGAAGGCATGGATGAGATGGAGTTTACCGAGGTACGTTGTTTAGTACTGCAGTGAGATAGCTTTAGTCTGTTAGTATTCCACACTATTTCTGCTGTGAAAACCAGTGTATTGGAGTGTATTGGAGTGTATTGGAGTGTATTGGAGGGTATTGGAGTGTATTGGAGTGTATTGGAGGGTATTGGAGTGTATTGGAGTGTATTGGAGGGTATTTGGGTGTTTCGTACACACCCAAGCCTATCAAGTTCTTCCCATTCCTAACTGTTGACTAAACAGCTGTGTTTACTGACTTGGCACTGACTGTGATTGGTATTAATCAGGTACTGTATAGTGGGTTCTCTTTCAAACAATGGCTGTAGTATTGACTGAGTGTCTGCAGCTATTGAGGTCTGATGAATGGTGTGTATTGCCTGTGCATGTTGGGCTGTTTGTGTACCTATGTATGTAGCGAGAGCTAATAGAGGCTCCTGTGTTAGCGAGACACTCCGTGTAAGTCAATAAGGCTTGACTTTGTATAGAATATAATTGCTGTGGTGTCTAGGGTTACTATATATGGACTTCAGAGAGTGTGCTTTGCTGTCTCGTTTGTGAATATATACCAGTCTTGAAAGACGGACCAAGAAGGCCATTAGTCAAGCTGTACTTTCTCTTTATCCCTGAACTTTGACCTGTCATGATATTTGAGGCGTAGTCTCGTCATAAGAACACCCACTCTGTACTCCCATGCCTCCTCCTATTATAGCAATAACCTCTCATTACCCCTCCTACACTATGTGTCCTCTGTACTACAAGCCCTCTTGGACCTTCCACAGTTTCCACAAGAATCACTTTCTCTTCTCTATAACAGTATATATACATCACCCCCTCCCTTTCTTTCTCCTTCTCGTCTCACCACTCCATCCCTCCCTCTCTCTTCCCCTTCCTTCTCTCTCCCCCTCCCTCTCTCTTCCCCTTCCTTCTCTCTCCCCCTCCCTCTCCCATTTCACTCCTGTCCACCTTGTCTCTCTACAGGCCCAGTCAAACATGATAGACCTCATACAAGAATACCAGCAGTATCAGGAAGCAACAGTCGAAGAGGGAGACGACGTCGAAGAAGATGAGGCCGGGGAAGAGTATAACGAGGAGGAGGAGCCAGCTGACGAAGAAACATAGACACACACATTTTATTAGTCATCAAAATTTTGAGTGTCTTTTAGATCTGATTTGTCATGCTGTAAAATTAATTTAGCCTAATGCAAATGAATGCACCTATGCACATATTGGCATTTTTGGCATTTTTGTGATTGTCAAATAATTGTCATTATCCCATTATAATATAATTATGAGATTATACATTCTTAGAAATGTTGACATTATATACCACTTGGGGATAGCAAACAGGTGATGCAATTCATCCCAATGCGCCACATGCCAGTGAAATACTTACCAACATCACTCTGACATTACAAACATTCATACTTTATATTGGATTTTGCGTCTCTAAACAGTGGTACGAGGGGAGGCAAAAATAGTAGTACCAGCGCAGTGAGAGGACTCCCAAGTGTAAACGTCTGAAAGATTACGTAGGGCATATCGATGTTCTTCTTTTTAGTGTGGGCAAAGTAGACTGGGATGCACAACCCATTTAAAAAGGATATGATGTAGACTGTTGCGTTGTACGATCTCGTGTTGTTCACGTAGTCTTTTTTGGGGACGTGCCGGTTGGAAATAGACAACATCACCACTAAAAAGATTACCGCTTCGTGCAGAATCCACTCCAAAAGCCAGATGTTGAAGTAGTCGCAGTCACAGTACTGATAATAGGGGAGGACCCCAGCCGTTAGTCCCTCGTCTGACAGTACAAACCTTGCCAGCAGAGGGTCGAAGGTGCTCCAGGCAACCAATATTGCCACATGCACTGTAACTATAGCACCAACCGTACCAGCTAGGATAGGGTCCGATATCATCTTCCCCGGGTTCAAAAAGTGGGTAAATATCCGATATATCCTCCATGAAAGGACGCACATTGTGCCGAATATGAGAGCAGAACTGAGCGCCAGGCACCAGTAGATTGTGTTGCACAGCGTCCCTAATGCGATCCTAAATTTGGTCGAGTCTACTTCGCTGTAGCCGGTCCAATTGGCGGCTCTGAATGTTTCCAACAGCGCGGCGAGGAGAAAGAGATAGCACCCTGAGAATATGATGTGGACAAAGTGTGGACTTTGGGCCCGGATTGACTGGCAGTCCCGAAACACCACGTAGATTACATGGACCACTCCAATTGTTGCAAAGATTATGACTCCGGTTGAGAAAAAAATACCCAGTGCCACATTGGAGACAACGATCATCTCCTTTTTAATTGGCTGAACAAAAATCGCACTTTCTGAAACGTTGAGGCTGCCCTCATAAAATGTAGCTATCCTTCTGGGAGCCAAATCTTTGTCCAGTTGGTACAATTCTATTACGCTGGAGACCTCCAGTGTGTCCTTGTGAAAACGGATCTCGCCAGTTAATCCAGAGAAATTCAATGCCAGTAGGTGGCTGCGAATTGTGGCGGTGGGTGGGATAACCTCTTCAGACTCCTGCAGGCTTTGGTCAATGGCCAGTGCAAATGCCCAGACAGCATCAAAATACGAGGCTGCCCATTCCTCAGAACCATTATCAACTTCGTCAAGAGTTATGCCCTCTTCAATAAGGTGTCTGCGATAGTACTCGTGATAAGTGCTGAAAAATTCATTGTAGCTCAACCCGCAATGCGTCTGATTTGAATCTTTGTTTTCGCGTGCGAGTCTCGAGCGAATTGCGATCACTTCGTGAGCAGCCTCTCTCATGTCCGTCACAGTGCATTTGTACTCTCCCCTGCTGTGCTTCACTGTAGTAGTGTCAATTAATCCGTCCAATTCCACATCTAAGAATATCCACTGGTAGTGTGGAAAGATCAGACCAAGATTTCTGGCTGTGCACAACGACTCTGCACTGCGTTGAGTGCCGCCAAACACTACTATGACATTGTACCTGTTCCTGATGAAGGGAAAGGGGTTATGAAAATTGAGCATCTCTACAGAGATGTCCGGGGAGGTTGTTGCTACCAATTCCCTGAAACTGCTGTAGATTTGCGGGTAATACCAGTGGGAAAAGTCCACAATGGCGGCAGCGTAAGTCCACCCGGCGTACACCATCAGCTGGAGCAGAGCCTTAGCTGACAGCTTGGCCGAGCTGTAAAGCCGGAACGTATTGGTGAGATTAGCCGTCGACAGCAGCGGTCCTGTTGCGATCGTGATGGACGCTACGTCGGCGTACTTGGCGATTGTTAGACCACCTATTTCCATGGCAGCTGAGGAGCAAGCTGGACCGATAATCCCAATGTACGGCTTTAGGTTTCGCTTGGCATCCTCCTTTTCCCGAGCGATAGTGACGGTCGCTCTGTAGGGCAAGGCGCAGCCCGAATCTCGGTTTATCAGCTTTATCGTATGTCGCGGCAGAATATCCGTCCGGTTATTGATCGCGTCGGCCGCAAACTGTGCGGCGGGGAAGAGGCTGGGCCTCCGGTCCATCCGACGACGGAGGGCGGGAACTGTTTGCTTGGGTATGGGCTGAGAACGAGTAGACGCAACTCCGCCGGCTCACACGCTGCAGGAGGCAGTAACACTCTTAGTGTCAGGAGTAGAGCCGCCACCCTCCGCATCCCGACACATCGCTGCATGTTGACCTTGCGTTACTGAAAATTGCTGCACGCGGGACGGCGCGGCGGCGGCGCGGGGTCACAGATTATGCGCATGCGTAGTATCTAATCACATTCCATTTATGATTGGGGGCGGTGCTCATCGCGTAGTGTGTGTGCAGCGCGCAGTTCAGTGGACCAGAGCACAGTGTGAAGTTCGCAGTCATATTCGCTATTGTACAGCGCCATGTCGGAATCGCCGACGAAACGAGCCGTTCTGGAGCTAAAGAAACGGGAGGGAAACGACGTGTGCGCGGACTGCGGAAAACCCGGTGAGCTGTCGTGTCACTGTTTGCCCCCGTTCCGCGTTTTGAATTACACGTACGTATATACCTCTCTAAAGCGTGGCGCAGTAGTTAGTACTCTTACACCTACTGTCACACATACCAGCTTTCCAAAGTTGGTGCTTTTTTGCCTTACATACCCTATAGCCGGGGTGGGCGTGGCACTCGCACATCTAAATGGAGAGAAAAGGTCGATCATTTGTTACTCTTTATGCCTGAGTGTTGTGAGGATGCATGCTTGGTGCCTATTAACAGGCTGATGTAGCTAAGAGCAAGGCCTGGTTCTCTGTGTTGACTGTCCCATGGCCTGTGGCAGGTGTGGGTGAATGAATGTTGTGTCTTGCCGCAGTGTGTGATGACACAGGGTTGTGGGCTAACAAACCGACAGGGCTTGGGCCACGGAATTTATCAGAGCTTTATTGTTGCAGGTCATGCCGTGCCCAATTTATTAGCAACAAATTGCCGTGCACAATTTGTTAGCAGATCTCCCAGCTTACTTATAGCTTGCTGACTAAGTACCCACACGCTTGTTTGATTAGAGCAAGTTAGTGGAATATGGAACGGATGTGGATATATAGCCCTCAGGATCTGCACCATAACTCTCTATACTTCTGTTCGTTTTCACGTTCTAAAGCCCAAGAGGAAACGTGCAGCTGAGCCAACTGTATATGCCATTCATCTATTGTGTGGCAGAGGGTGGTCTAGAGTTAAAAAAGGGAGAGAAAATGTGATGATCGCAGCATGACTAGCTCTGTTGATGTTTAGTCTCTGGACTCTGCCCGAGTGCAAAGTGGCACTTCCTGACCTCGAGACACAAGTAGCGCATGAATTTCGGCCACTTTGACCCATTAACAACCCCCAGGAGATGCCACTGGTATAATTATTGTTCCCTTATATATACCACCCCTGGAAAAAATTTCACTTTGACACTCTTCTTGTTTTGCCTCCTGCAGAATTCTAAAACTGTACTATTATCTCTAGGTCCAGCAGGCTCATGTGTTGTTGTCGCAGTCTAGAGGGGTTGTATAATATCGGGAAGGCACCTCAGTAAACTTCCCTGTTAGTTTTCATGAATACCACAAGCATTATAATAGCACCTAATCCAATACACAATTGAAACTACGACTGAAGGGGGATGACCTAACCTTCTGCATCGAGCATCGTGTTGCTACCATGTCTTGGTATTCCACGCAAGATGTCTTGAAATTCTTACTTTTGTGCTTCTCTTGTCCAACGAGTGTACCAACCGATGCACGTGGTCATTGGCTATATGGATTCTCATTCCTGCGAAGGGAATGGACGGAACTTGTCTTCTATTCAGTGACTCTGTTGATCTACACAGCAACATGAGACGTGTGATATCACTGTACCGTGTACATATCTGTGACTATTGTAACTACTACAATGTTTTGGTATGGAGAGGCTTTTCCCACGAAGTTTGCGCACCAAAAGGGCTTTGGCTATGATGTGGTGTAGTTTGCAATCCCAGTTAGGAAAACTGTGGTAGGAATATTAATCGACTGGTATGCTATATTGAGTATGGTTTTAGAGCTAATGTCTCTACGCTGTAAAATCTTCACCAAAGCAATCTGCGATCTTCTTATTTGCTTCGAATTTACCAATATTTCTCGCTATATGGTGTAACATAGACCACAGCATTGTATTTAACTTGTTAAGTTCATGCCTGACTATATTACTGTCTACAGATCCCGTTCATACCTAACTATAATATGTCTATAGATCCCGACTGGGCAGACATCAGTTTTGGAGTGTTCATCTGCATCGACTGCAGCGGGATTCATCGGAGTCTCGGAGTGCATATTTCCAAGGTCAAGTCAATAGGTCTGGACCAGTGGACGGAGGAAAACGTTCAGGTATTACAACACACACACACACACACACACACAGCTCTTCTTTTTCCTTGGAAAAAGAGAGATGTCCCTAGCTGGTGTAATTGACTTGTTTTGCCTTTCTACCCTGTAGTTTTCGCATGCATTGCAGTCCAGCTATATAGGAGAGTTTTCTAGCTTTATGGAATTCCTTTATCTAATTCAGCCTGGAAGTTGTGGTTAAAATCTATATACTAAGTACGTGCACCTTACTGGCCTCTATATTATGTAAGCCGTAACGAAGCTTTTTTTGAAGAGGAATTTGCATTGTACATGTATATTAGAGTAATGACTATATATAGGTAGTATATCCGATGTTTCCCAGTGAATCACGTGGTGCAGCAGTAGTAGTGAAATAACTGTATACCCGATGCAATGTTTACAGACAGTGTAACCTGTATACTCAAGTGTTTAATGTGTGCTTATACATACTGCATAATGCAATTTTCCTTCTCTCCCCTCCCTCCTTTCCTCCCTCCCTCTCTTCCTCCCTCTCTTCCTCCCTCCCTCCCTCTCTTCCTTCCTCCCTTCCTCCCTTCCTCCCTTCCTCCTCCCTCCCTCCACAGCAAATGGCTGACGTAGGTAACAGAGCATGTAATGTGAGATTGGAGGCCACTGTACCTCTCTGCTGGACTCCTCCAAAACCTAACTTCTCCATGTGAGCCTCTAGCTCAAGAAATACAGATATAATATACGATAGTAGAGATACATTATACACTCTAACTGAAGTATAATACTTGCGTGGCTAAAAGAGTACACATTCACCAGTAAATTTTTGCACTCCTGTTCCATTAGAGTACATCTGTTCTTGAGCCATATGCTCCACCATTACATCATGGTCTTTTGTGTGTCCATGCCACTGGTTAATTACTTTAATTCCTCGAGGCCTTATGTGGTATGTAGCTGTTAGTATAAAGACTCTGTGGTGTAATCGTCCGTTGCTGGGTGCAGTGAAATGTGGAAGAGTGACTATACATCCCATGTAGAGGTAGGAAACCCCCGAGTGTGTTGTTTGTACAACAGTGTGGGGAACGGCGAATGTGATACCAGACTCTATTTCCTTCAACCTTCCTCCATATAATCATTCACTGTAGTGTCCTGTTTGCAACACCATCCTATTGGGACTATATATATACACCACCTTTGCATGCGTATTATATATACACACTCTTTGGCCTTGTGGTGGAAAAGCTATGGTGACCCGTTTGACTTTGACGATCCTAGACAGTTTTATTGGGACAACCTATGGGGCGTACTGTTTTATAATTGGGACAGAATGATGGTGTCCCGTTTACCCGTGCTTGTCAGACAATCCTATACTCTATTTGTCTCTGGTCACTGGACCATCTTATTGGGATCCCACAGTTTCCTCTTTGCTTGTGCTTGCTTACCATCGAATAGAGTGTATTGACTTGCACTGTGGGGTTTGGGCCATCTTATACTGCTGTAATGGGACAAGCTATTAAGTGTTCCATTTGCCTGTGATTTCTAAACTACCCTACCCTACCCTTGCCACGGACACATAATGTGTCCAGAGCCTCCGTAAGTCCATAAGAATTTATATGGGGGTTATAATACTAGGCGCTAATACTTTATACATCAATTTCTGCTCAGTTAAGCAGATACCCATGCCATCCAAAGAGATTTATAAAGACTATTTTAATGTTCATACACGCGTACTGTGCCAGCTATACTCTATTATGTATGATGTCTGTTGCCTGGACCTTTTATGTTCCATATTGGGCTGAAACTCATCGTAGAGGTTACTACAGCGTAACAATATCCGGTACATACGTAATATGTGTGGTTGTTAAAGCATCATTTGAGGGTATATGACTCTTAATGCTGGGGCATGCGCGGCGTACAAAACACAGAATATTTCTGTGTTTTGGGGAGGTGGAGGTGGAGGGGGGGGGCAACAAGAGACCTATAAAAACCGAGGGGGCATGGTTTGCTGACCATTTTCAGGGAGGTAATACCAATGTAGTGGCTCTGGTACATTGGAGCTCAATTACGTATGTGTATAATCACGTAGGACACATGTATGTATGTAAAAGTAGGGATGTATGGAGTGTATAAGTGGAGGTATGTGCTGCTGGAGGGGGAAGTTATGGGGAAGGACCAAAATATTGTGAAGCCTTTTGTTAAGGTGGGCATTGAGGAAGAAACCGGTCGTGGCATCCGCGCTAGAGGTATTCGCTTTGTGATGTGTCACTGACCTAGCATGTTCTGTGTGTGTGTGTACTGGTGAAAGGTTTCTAGAAAGTGGTTGTGCATGTTGAAGTGTGACATGGAAGTTCAACACACTGATTAAGGATACCATAATTATACAGGGTGACAAGCGGTAACGTCTGCTGAGCTGTACATAAGCAATACGTAATGTTTATGCAGCTGAGCTCTATGTAATGCGAATAGCGCTATACTTAAACTAGTGTATATTAGTATATTGCTGAGCTGTGACCTGTATGCTGCATGTAATGCTGAGCTATATACCAGAGTACACTACCATAAAGTGTTAGGTTTCATACAAGTGTTACGTATTCTGACTCATCTGCCGACTGTCACATTTTCAAATTTCCCCCCGTTCTCCCCAAATCACAGAGTGGTGCGAGAGCAGTGGATACGGGCAAAGTACGAGAGAAAAGAGTTTCTTCCAGAGCATGATGAGACGCACAGACCGTACCAATCAGGTGATTTGAAATACTTGTTCCAGGAGGACTGAATTGGCTTCATTTCGCGACACTGTTAGCCTTGGCATTAACGTCAGCTGAATAGCTATGGTTATTCGTACAGTGCTCCAGGCTAAGAGAGTCAGTTTTTCATTGTTGGGGGATTTTATCGGTGCTGCTATTAGCCAGTGAGGCAAATGACCTATCATCATGATCCCCAATCTTGACTGATTAATGTCTCACGATTGCAGGTATAAAGAAAGGATTTCTCTACAAGAAGAAAAAAAGTGGACAATGTTTGGCAAAGCCGCTTCTTCATCCTCGACAACACCCAGCTATCTTACTTCAGAAAAATCACTGTGAGCCACACTCCACTACTGCATGGAGAGAAGGTTTTGAAACTTACACGCGAATTTCGTGGGTTAAAGTCTCGGTGTGGAGCATAAATTTTTTCTCCCTTGCAAATTTTTGAAGGATAAAACTTTCATGGATAAAGGAAAATTTATTGCATTAATCACTCACTTCCTCACAAGTTTTCCATTAATACGGTAGTCTTTATACAAACAAAAAGTTTCAAAAAACGGCACAAACTCCAGGACCACACCCCCACGGAGGTTCTCCCGCTGATGGACCTGAATGTGACGGTCAACGTGCAGACAGGCCACCCGAACGCCATGCAGATGATGGCCCTCATCAGAGGCAAGACGAGAAACTACTTTGTCTACTCTGACAGCGGACAGGTGAGTGGTGATCTCAGGTTATGAGCAAATAATAGATGACTGCTTCGCTCACGGTGCATTATCAATTACAAAGAATGTGTTTACTGCACAAGAAAATAGTGTGTAATGGTGCCTGCACACCTGCGAATGCAGAGTTTCAGAATGAGAATGGCGCTCTATGGGAACGCTCACAACACTAGAATCGTGTGTATCAGTGACAAATAATTATAACCGCTTGACAGAGCATTTTACTGCTTTCAAAACAGAATTATGGAGAAGAAGATGTTGTTAGATTATGTTTCTCTCTCCCGACTATGTTGTCAGGATATAATGAACTGGTTCTGTGCCATCCGCTCAGCCAGAGAGAGTCTACTGAGGCAGAAACACCCAGAGTGGTCCAATTCTGAGGTACGCATCTACATTATGTCTCAGCTCAGCAGGAATACGAAACTGCAGTTCAGTCGTTTAAAATTTTCACGACAAAGATTTTGCGAATGTTCACATAAGTTTGTTTCCTAAAATGGTTTGGTTTTAGTGGACCGTCAAGCCAGCCGGCCACATTCGCAAGTCTGTTTTGCAATCAGTTGCTTTTACATGATGGTTCAACTCACATGTAACGAGATTAGAAGACCCGAAAAAGAATAATTTGTAGAATTTGCTGGTTGGGTGACTTGGTCTTCTTCCCATTGGTTTTGGTTTCACACCAGTCACCACCTGGCATTCCTGGAGACCCTGCAATTTGAATATTCCTAATACTCCCCCGTTACGGATAGATTGATATTGTACCATCGTGGCTATCCCGATGTGGCTTGCATGGCAAACTAATAATTTGTTTCGGTATGCGTGCTAATGATATTCATGAGTTCTCCATATTTGCATGTGTACATGAGACAAACTTCAATTTCATGTCATTTTCTGTGTGACTAGGTTCGGAGAAATCTGTCGAGGGACTTTGTAAAGACGGGCTACCTTCACAAGACGCCACCCAACAAACCAGTTAGTACATTAATCTCCACTCGCAGTACGGCACGAAACATTTGAGTTTGAGAGTCATCCGCTACTTTTTTATCCCTCAAAAATTTCCCATTACACAGTATCGTTATTACAATGTTGGTGAAAAATATTATGATGAGAACTATACTGACTTTTACTATGCCCACCTTTGACTCTCTACTGCCCACAGCAACAATACATTCCAGCATAGTTGCCATTCTAGAGCTGCTTCATACCGTAGAGATCACTCGTGCTTTGCGACAATATAGGGCTTGTGCCGAGTAAAATGTACACGAGCAAGAAATGTCAGTTTGGAAATGTAACAATCATCCCATTGTACTACTGCGTCACATGCACTAGGTCATCCCTGTCATGTCCCCTTGATATGCAATATCTACTAGCAATTGAAACTTATCCACGCCACGTAAAATTACTATATATCCTGCCAAAACTGTGGGAGGGGTTCTTCTTTACTTGATGTGCTTGGTGTTGTCTCTGTTGCAGAGATTCCAGAAGAGATACTTTGTTGTCGACGGGCAGAGATTAATGTACTTTGAGAAACCGACCGTAAGTTAATATTATACATCGACTCTTTCGTCTGGTTGCCATTTTGTTGATATTTCAGCAGTTTTATGCATATCTAGAACCTTAGGGTATGGACAGTGCCGTCTAACAAACATAAAGAACTATATTGGCTTGCTTTAATCATTGTTTATTAATTTTAGTTCTCCCTTTCATCTGTATATACTACTATAGGACGCCTTTCCTCTGGGAGAAATAGTGCTGGGTACAGAGACAGACGGGTTTTCAGTGGACGAATCAGCTCCCTTCGATTTGGGTGTCGGCGAAAACGGGTTTGTCCTGAACACCCCAAACCGGATTTACCCGCTCCAGGCTGCCACCGCGGAGGAGAAACTGGACTGGATCGCAACGTTCAGAGCGGCATTTGACAAAGCCAGCAGCTCACCGAACGGTGTCGCGTCATTTTTAGACAGCACCTACGATACAGACCACTGATTGCTTGTGTGTGTGTGTATAATATTTTAATTTTCCTGTTTATTATACATTCTGCTGTAGCTGTATATTTACGTCATTCACTAAAACTGGACATGCAGTGTGAGAATTATTTTTCGAGTTATGCGCATGCGTAAGCGATACTGCGCGCGACAATAAAACGGGAATCGGGCGTTGTTTCGGATCAAAACCGATGCAGAGACATTTAGTGTGCAACTGCAGCGGTGTGTCGGTATATAGCGTAGGGTTGCAGCGTCGTTCAGAGCAGCGTCGCCTGTAGTGAGCAGATGGCGGGATCCACGAGCGAGATCGTGCGTAAGATGGTTCTGGAGATCAAGGCCGAGACGGAGGAGAACAAGATATGTGCCGATGCAAACGCGTCGGTTAGTCACCTCTATATGCATGCACCTAAAATAATCGTGCTAGATATGGTTTCTGTACGAGTATTGAAGCTTGCTTCCCCAGTTTTCTTATTTCCACAAATTCTCTTCCTTTGAAGTCCTCTCTTCTACTCTTCATGTGAAAGCGTGAGCTGTTTAGTTTACATCCTGTAGCTAACAACTAGAAAATTACACTGACTAGAGTTACAGCTATAATACATAGCTTCATATATACACTCTTTCACTGCTGTGACTATTATTATCCTCTGCAGAGACTAGGGAGTCAATGGTGGAGTGGGTATCAGTGTCTCGCGGAGTTTTCATCTGCATCGACTGTGCAGGGATCCACAGGAGACCTCGGGACGAGACGCCCATAGTCCGCTCCATTCGTCTGGATACCTGGAGCATGGGACACTGGGAGGTAAAGATATCTCTGCCCCTTACTCATAATAGACTAGGTAGCTAGTTAACTGCTTTATTTTAAGGTTCTACCTCACTCATTACACGCTAGATCATGTACAAAGAACCTGCCTCCGTTTAATTAATTTCATGCGGCCACGTAGCAATACCTAGGTCTCTAAGATTGTTTCCTGTTTGGATGATGTTGGGAGACAGTGTTCAGCGACATATGGTGGCTACACACTTTCAGTTACAATTGCGCACTTGTGTATTTGAAAATTATCTCGATCATGCCGTGATTGCTTACCAGTAATAGCTTCACTATTTAGAGTGGGGTCGGCCCCTCTAAGTGCCTGCAGCATGGTGAACCTGGAATGTTCCTCTTTGCAAACTCACGAATCATTGCATGTGCATCGTGAAACTGCTAGGTAGCTAGCCATGTTCCATACATAGTAGTGGCTGGCAGAAAAGCCTACACTACACGTCTGCAGCTTTATGTGTGCTGAGCTGCTCTAGCTGATATATAGCTCGCTCTATACTTTCGAAGTAGAGCGTTGAAGGCTTGGTGCTAATTTTCGTTGTCTTGGGTGTGATTGTGTCAGTTTGTCTTTGCATTGGGTACAACCTTGCACATGTTGATCATGTCTCACTCGTCTCTTTCTCTCTCTTTCTCTCTCTCTCTCTCTCCATCTGTAGATGTTGAAGGGTAAGGGGAACCAAAAGGCTAAGATGAAGTGGGAGGCTGATGTCCCTGCCTGCTGGGTCAGACCCTGGCCTAAACTCTGCCCCTAGTGAGCACGCACACACACACACATACATACACACACAAACAGTCACACACACACACATACATACACACACAAACAGTCACACGCACACATGCACACACTGCATCTAGTCTTTCAATGAATGCCTACTCTATATAGACTGTAGCCAAGTTCGATTACATATCAACGAAGGTATGAACACACATAGAGGATTGAACTGCCCATGTAAGGGCTCTCTGAAGCCATTTGAAAAACTGCGCTGATTTAACATCTGGCCTGCCTACCTTCTCTTCTCGCAATAATCCGATGTTTCTCTGTTTCAAGTGCTCTCAGAGAGCAGTGGATTGAAGCCAAGTACACAAGGAAAGAGTTTACAAAGGACGCTGCTGACAATGCTCCAAGACGCTACCTCACAGGTCCATACTCACACAAACATACACACACACACAGAGAGGTTCCATGCATTATGGAGTGTATTTGGACCCACTGCAGGTGAGAAGCAGGGTCCACTGATGAAGAAGAAACGGCAGTCAGAGAGTGATGTGTTCAGGGAGCGTTGGTTTGTGGTCAAGAACGGAGTCCTCTCCTATTACAGAGACAAAAAGGTTAGGCCAGCAACACACAACGTAAATACCTAACTATTATGTATACTAAAAATGCTGGTGTTTGTGAAAGTGTTCGTTTCGGTGAGTTTGTGAAACAAGAACAGGGGGCATGCTACAAAAAAGAACCACCCACAATAATTAACTCTGGTGATCTTTGTTTGCTTAGAGCGGGCCAAAAGATGTGATCCCTCTCATGCACGCCAACGTGGTTCTCCACATCCCCGAGTTTGCCATCTTGAGGAACAACTCCATGCTCATCATCTACTACGACGAAGCGAAGAGGAAAACGAGGAACATTTTCGTAAAGGCCGATACTTCATATGTGAGTTTGAATGATAAGTTTATCACTTTTTGACTTTGTTTATTGCTATGTATCGGTGCAATAGGATATCATTGACTGGTACTTGGTGATCAGGCAGTCCAAGATCAATCTGCTCAAAGAAAAGTATGGAAATATGATAGACGATGAAGTGGTGCGTAACTCTCTTAGTAACGGACTGTATTTAGAGATGAATGTTGGTCCCACTCCAGGCCAGAGAGAGGGCATCTCAGGAGTACATTCACTATGGATGGCTGCACAAGACCAGTCCTACTGGAACTGTGAGTCCTGAACTACCATTAGATTCCACACTGCAATACAACTGTTTTGATGATATTATAGAGGTGGAGCAAGAGGTTCTTTGTTCTGGATGGAAAGTGCCTCAGATACTACAGCACACCCAGAGTAAGCCCCCCTATTGATGAGTAAGCCCCCCTATTGATAAGTAAGTCCCCCTATTGATGAGTAAGTCCCCCTCTATTGATGAAACTTATATATAATATAGCCACACGCTTCACGATTTGTGTCCTTTGTAGTGGGTGTCCTGTTAGGAATTTTTGTTTCTTTTCACCATCGCAGGCAGCGTTCCCAGTGGGTGAACTGGTGTTAGGGTCCCCCAGTGAAGGCTACTGGGTGGACGAGGTCGTCCCCGATGGAATAGAGAACAACACGTGCACCTTCATGCTTCACGTCCCCGACAGACTCCGTGGGGGGTACCCCCTCGTGGCTCCCGACACGGCCAGCAAGAAACAGTGGATGAGCGTGCTCACGGATGTGATAGACAGCACCCGCGCCACGCCACAGGTCATGCACTGTCTCCCTCCACCGTACGACGATGACATGGAGACTATGAGCAGGACAAGTGGGGGCAGTGGATTCACAGAGGTGTCCTACGAACACAGAGATAGCTCTGCTTCAGAGTCCTCCAATTGATTCATATAGACATGTACTGTGAAACTTGGAACAAAGTCTCTTGAATGTGTGTTTTTATTATGCTGATTATCGTGATAGGTTTCTTATTATGGTGCATCACATGAGTGTGTCTATATATAGGTGTGACTATGAACGTAAGAATCTGTTAATGGGCCATTTCCGACGCGGCAACATCCAATTGAATGCCACGCACAGTCAAGTGTGAGTATGAGACCGCTTAGTGTAATTTTGGCGGAAGTCCCTTTTCCTTTGTTGGGGTCTTCCGGCGGAAACCTAGAGTTATCGCGCGCACGCACGCACACGCCTCGCGGAGCCACACCTTCTCCGCCGCGTATTATAAAATCCGCAATGCTAGATCCGCCAGCATTCAAGAGAAAAAAGAGATCAGAGAAGTTAGTAAGATGGCTACGCCAATGGAAAGACTGAACATCGTGCGACAGCAGCCAGGAAACGGTGTATGCGCCGAGTGTCGAGATAACAGTAAGTCCAGGGTAACAATCCCCGTGTAGTTCGCAGGCTAGGCATGCGACCTCTCTAGCTAGCTATCGTTTAAATTCTTTCTGTCCGGCTATGGTTGCAGATCCCGAGTGGTGCTGCCTCAACAGAGGCGTGTTCCTGTGCATAACGTGTGCCGGGATCCATCGCCGGCTCCACAGTTCCATCGTACGCTCCTGTCGCCTGGACTCGTGGAAACATCACATGGTGGACGTAAGTCGCACTGCCCCCCGGTTTCATAAGTAAACATAAAAAAAACTTTACTACGGTAAAATAAATCGTAGTACTACTAACTAGAGTGTGTTTTCAGGCCATAAATAACAGACTATATGCAGCTAGAATAGCACACGCACCTGCAATACTTTCAAGCAGAAGCAAGCTCACGTGCAATTGATGTTGCCCACCTGCACTGTGGGGGTATCTGTGCCAACCACATTGCCATATGCTACTTAGCCGTGCATTGACAGTCGTACTTGTGTTGCTTTGACTAGCAGTGGTACTGTCTGGTGACCTTGTTGAACAAACTCTGCGTAACTGCTTGGGCTAGAGTTCATCTAGCTCACTGTGACTCACTATGAGAAATACAAATAGACTAGGTGTACAATTGTGGTGGCCACACATCTGCTGAAAGACCAATTGTTTAAACCAAAACTAGCATATACTCTCGTTGTATACGATGCCGTGGGATAGACAGTCCTCTAGAACTACCATATGTAGACAGGTGACATGTAAGGAGTCTCTTGCAAATGATCTGAAATATTGCATCGATCCTCCCATGCATTGTCTTACAATCTTTCCCTTATTTATACTATCTACAGTCAATAGCCACTAAAGGAAACTTGAAAGCAAAGGCGATGTGGGAGGCAAACGTCCCTGCGTGCTGGTTGCCACCTTCTCCAAACAGCAGATAGTAAGTTCTTTTTAGCTGCCTTGCAGACTGTGAGTGATTTTTTGCAGAATAATCTATTGTCATTGCCATGTGTCAACGATGACGTTGCAAGGCAAACAACAACTGCACCCAGGGCAGGATTGTTTCAAGGAAAAAGAGCCACCCTGAGTGGGGTTTTAATCCATGACACAAAGACATAAAGGACTCTTGACCTACTGAGCCACCGGGTAGCTCAATAGGGGCTCAAATACATAAGACAAAGGCAAACCTCAAAAAAAACAACCTGTGCTATGGCTCAGAAAGCCATCGCCACGTACATGCTGCACATGACTGCATGCACTGTGTCTGGTGTGTGATGTGTGTGTGTGCCCCGCATAGAATATGATTTCACATCTATTTGCCCATAATAGCAAAACATTCAGTGGTATTCACTTCCTGGGTGTCCTCCATAAAAGGTGTTTTGGGACCAATGTGATCAATCAATGATTATCACATGGGGAAAGGGAGGAGGAATGCCCATAAACACTGTATATAGCACCTTTAGCATCCTTATATCCTGGACCATGCATGGCATCACAGGCCAAACATAGTATTGCCACATTCCTGGCTCGGATTACACACAGTCACTTATGCAACCAAGCTCTCTGGGGACAGTCCTCATTAAAAAGAGGCTGTATCACATCTCGCAAGCCTGCATGACTCAACTTCTTGGTCCCACACAAGTCAATCCACGGTTGACGGCACACTCTCACACCCTACCATCATCACACTAAATCAATGACCCATTCCCACTGTCCACTTTCATTCTCTGTTAATGCAGTGTTGTGAAAGAGCAGTGGATCATGGCGAAATACGACCGAGAGCAGTTCCTAGCAACAGCAGGAGCCAGCAGAAAGCCATATATGTCAGGTGAGACTTATCCTTTACCTCTCCCACTGAAATAAGATACTATTTCATAATGATTACATCATTGCTATCGTGTTACATACATAGGTGTCAAACAAGGCATACTGTACAAGAGGATGAAGCAGTCGGAAGTGTGGAATGGGAGATGGTTTGTACTGGCAGACAGACAGCTCTCCTACTTCAAATCCTACCATGTACGAAAACTAAATAAATGCTATGTAAGTTATAGATTGGTATCTTAATATACAATGACGTACTATCAAAGTAGAACGAGGTAACTAACACTTGGTTGAGTATTGATATAAGTTCAAGTTTGTGATCTTCTTCGTGTTGTAGGACAGAACGGCCAAGACTGTTATTTCTCTACTGCACATGAACGTTACACTGAACGGACCTGGACTGGAGAGTCACCCCAACTCCATGCTCATCGCCTTCTGGGACGAAAAGATCAAGAAGACCAGACACATTTTTGTCTACGCTGAAGTCGGAAAGGTGCCTACACTCACCGAAATGCAACAAAATTGTCTTCCGCCCAATGTGGAAAGAAAGTCTTTCTAGAGCCCAATGTCCTCATTTATTATATATAGCTCATAATGGGAGAGTGTTCCTGCAGGAACTTCGCCCCTTACACCACTTCCACCTCTCCCTCTTTGGTTAATAGGAACCAATATAATATCCTGGTGATCTTATAGTAGTGGCCTGTGGTTCTAGGAATGATGGCTTTCCTTGAAGCCTGGGTAAAGCAGGAACACACCATGTAGCTACTGTGGAAGTGGCGTATTAATTAGCTAACCAGTCTTGTGTCTCTGTCAATTGCAGGATATAATGGACTGGTTCTGTACCATCAGATGTGCCAAGATCAGTTTAATGAGAGAGATGATTCCAGAACTAACAGTCGAAGAGGTACGTAATAGGATCACTCTCTAATGTAATCGTCGCCAAAGCACAGTATGTACTACGCCATATGGTCACATTAGGTGATTTTTTTTACTCGTTTCCTGAAGTTGTGGTGGTGTGCTATCAGGATATGGGTGAAATATAGGGAGTGTTTTGCTACAAAACAGGGAGTAGCTGATGCAATGATGATAAATCCCCTGGGGGTTGGATATTCTAAGTCTCCCCGAGGTTTAGTTAATCCCCTTGGAACATGATGATGTGCTGTACACACAGTCAATGTGACACCTGAGTTGTTTGTGAGACGAGGACAGGTTTGCTGTTCAAAGAAATGTTTGGGTTCCATTCCTGAAAAATCAACCTAAATCTGCCACAAGTGCAGACCAGTTTACTACTGAGCAGTTTTGAGTGGTTATGTGTTAGCAAATCTTCATAGTACACAGAGTTCACTTTAGTGCCTCATAAGGCATGACTTTTATAGGGAGTCTGTGTAGTTTTTGTTTGTGTTGCTTATCCAAAAGGAAGATCACCGTGGTGTAAATATCCCTCTCTCTGTTTGCAGGCTGCACAGAGAGCAACTTGGGAGTTTTCCATCTGGGGCAATCTCTGCAAGACGCCTCCCACACAAAAGGTGGGCAGGTAGCTAAGCTTACTCACACTCTCTACTTATGGAACTGGAATTCGGCCTTTGTTGATTGCACTGCACTGGATTTCTTCCAAGTATAGCTCTATAGAGATTGCTTGCGGGGGAAAGTAGAGCATGCACGTAGCTAAGGGGGACATTCACTGATAAGAATTCCCCTTGTGCCCACATTCTAGTACAGTTTAATACAACGTAGTACACGTTTATTCATACCCTCCAATTATTAAAAAAAACCTCTAACAAGTTTGCATTCTTTTTACAGAAATTTCAGAAGAGGTTCTTTGTTCTGGACAAAAACTCTCTCAGATACTATCAGTCACCATATGTAAGTCGCCAATCAGTCCCTTTTGCATGTATGCCTCATTCTGTTCTAACTCCAGGATCCATATCCGCTGGGGGAGATTTATCTGGGGCCCTCCGTGAGAGGATTTTGGGTGGACGAACATGTCCCGGACAAACTCCAGCACTACACAAACGCCTTTATGCTACACACTCCCTCTCGCTCCAACGGGGGGTTTCCCCTTCTCGCGGAGGACTCGGGGTCGAAAATGGCGTGGATCACGGCACTCCAGGACACTGTCAGAAACAGTAAGAGGCCAGCGGCAAAGACAGAGGCGACCCCTGCACCCCCTACCCCTCCTTTTGACACCCACAGTTACGAAGAAGAGGATACTACATTCACACCAAATGTCACCACCGTTTACTAGATACATATACAGAATGCTTCTTTATGTTGCTATATGAGATTCACTTCGCATTTGTCATTTGTGTCTGGATGTGTTGAACAGTCAAGTGCCGTCGCGTTTAGTGCGCGCATGCCATGGGCCATGGGCCATGCATGCAACGTCGCTAATTTAGCGCGCGTGCGCGATAAGAAAAAGTAGGCGTGGCTGAAAAAATGCCGAGTCAGCAGAAAAGCGCCAGAGCTCATGGCGGACGTCGCGCAGAGTTTTGAGGTTGGGTCCGGAGCGTCGAGCACAGCCAGACTGCGGTAAATTCACACATGAAAATATACACTCTTTATGAGACGGTGTATCTACCAAACTCGTGTGGTATACTTTTCTACACAGGCATCCGATAGCCGCTTTCTTTCACGTCTTTTTTCGCGCCTCTGCGCTGGTGGTGTACCTGATCCTCTCCTTCTTCTTCTCGGACTCGTTCGTGGAGCTGTTCATATCGGTCATTATCCTCCTGGCCTTCGACTTCTGGACCGTCAAGAACGTGACGGGTCGGCTCCTGGTCGGGCTCCGATGGTGGAACAAAGTCAAAGACGACGGGTCCAGCGAATGGCTGTTCGAAGCAAAGCAGGTGTGGGAGGGGGCACTTGAGAGATAGGGGGAGACTCCCGTGATTTGTACTGTTTATGTTTCCCTGTGGGTGCTGTAGATTTCGCCGTGGATTGAACCCCTTTGTAGAGTAAACGCAACAGGTCACTGCACTAGAAAGACAGATGAGGTGCCACATAGAGCCTTACAATATCTACATCAACAAAGACTTGACTAGCAAAGGCACGCAAGCATTAGAATGTTGGATATTGTGATTATGCAGACAAACACGACGTATTGGGAGGCGGTGATATTCTGGACGGCGCTGATTGTTTTTCCGGCACTGTGGATTCTGTGTCTCTTTACTGCCATCCTCAAGTTCAGCTGGACCTGGGCGGTCAGTCAATCAATCGGTATAGAACTGTACGTGTTCCGTCTGAAGCCTGTCGAGCAGATTCCATTCCACAAACTCAATTTCTATTCTGTACTCCATCGTTTACGTTATCCTATTTCATTCTAGCTACCCCTCTGAGCGTGTTATCGAATCGAATAAGTCCCATGGAAAGAGTGGGATGATGTCTTTACAACAAAACAAAACAACGTATTGTAATGGTCCTCAATACTTTTATTGGAAGACTCAGTCTTGAAGTTCTATCGATGTTTTTTTTGCTCTCCAGATCATTCCACTAGCAGGGATTGCACTGAACGGCTCCAACTTGGTAGGCTATGTCAGATGTAAGAGAGATGCCCGGGCTAGGATAACAGCCATGGCTGGAAAGTTTATTGGGAGACAGATTGTCAGTCAGGTATGCTTATTGCTACAGTTTATATCAATGTTCACCTTATTTTCTACTACCACAGACTCTCAACGCAGGAGAACAGACATAGTTTTTACAAAATCCCATTTATGTGCAGTGATGACACTCATCATTATTCACTCCCCGCGGCCCGCGCGCGTATTATAAGCGCGTATGCGCTAACGCTAAAAAACGATCGGTGTGTTCAGAGGAAGAGGCAGCGGAGTGGCAGAGAAAATGGCGACCCAGTCTGGCTCCGCGAGCGTGGAGGAGTGCGAAGAGTACATCGAGAAGCACGGGATACAGGGCCTGCTGAAAGAGTGCATCGCCAAAATATGCCAGGAGCAGCCGCCTAACCCGTACAAATGGCTGGCTGCCTACTTCACCGCCCTAGACACGAAGAAGGTGTACATATGTAGCTACACCTCGGTCGCCTACACTTGATGTGTGTAACGACGCGCGCGCTTCGAGGGTCCAGTTTCTTTCAAGGATGTGGAGCGTATAGTATAGAGCCTTGTTTAGTACGAGTATATAGTGGTCGGGACTGGGGGACTTCATTATGTGCCTGCATGTTAGTACCAGTGGTTCTAGATATTCTAGATATGGTAGGGGAGAGAAGCTGGGAATCTGAAATGTATGGTCCTCTATTGCAGGAGGTTCAGGAGGTATCTGACATGCCCCCACAGAGGACCAGAGCCCGGCGAGGAGCTGTGAGTGCCAGCGTCATGACTGAAGAACAGGCCACTAGCTACGTCAAGAAGGTAAGTACATTCTACCCTCTCTAAGATACCAGTATTACAGATATGTAGTGTGTGGTTTAACGGTAGCAACATGACGTGTCTATGTAGGCGTGGTATGCTTGTATGTTATAGCATGTAGGCACATAAATTACATTGAGAGATGCAGTGAAGAATGTCCAAGTGATGTCAAATGATGTCACAAAGCAACCACCAACGTGCCGACCTTTGTTTACACTGCAGTAGACAAATCAATTGGCCTTGACCTCTGGCAGATAATAATTATTAAAACACTGCCACTCCTATATACAGCCATGTCCTTCTACAAGTTAAAACTCCTCTCTAGTATGATCACTCTCACGTCTCATCTCTCCCCCTGCAGGTCATTCCAAAGGACTACAAGACCACGCAGGCTCTGCAGGCAGCCATTGCTAAGAACATTCTGTTCTCTCATCTGGAGGATGATGAGAGAAGGTATGTGGGCTTCTCTGTTTAGTAGCTCCTTTAACTATGGAGGGTACAATAGTAGCTCCTTATGGAGGGTGTACATATATACGTACCACTTTTCATTAGAGCATAGTTATATATTCTTTCTTTTTTTCCTTGAATTCTGAGAACGAGTATTTTTCCGCACAAAGTGCACGCATGACCGAGAAAGCTGTGCGAGAAACAAGTTCATACGAGGCCACGGAAATCAATTTTAGGGAGCGAATATTTAACTATGTAATCCTCTTGGGGCTGGGTTTAGATAAGATTTTGTTGTGGTGTCTGTCTCTCCCCAGAGATATATTTGATGCCATGTTCATGGTAAAGCACGAGGCAGACGAAATCATCATTCAACAAGGTATGTATGGATTTTGTACTACGAACCCTGGAACGTGACGTGATGTAATGCGATAATATTGTGGTGTCTTTCAGGGGACGAAGGAGACAACTTCTATGTCATTGACTGTGGGGAAGTGGCAGTAAGTGTCTGTATTGGCTATTTGTGTAGGGTCACTGCTAATGTGCAGAGAATTCAGAGTCAAGTCCAGTGCAGTTCCTTTTAGGGGGAATTGCGATGTGTATGCGTTTTTTCTCTGTCGATGTAATGGTACACTTCAATATTTGAAAGTTGTGTGCTGAATGGTATGGTCTAGGATCTTAAACCTGTTTTATAAGCTCCTTGAAAATTAAGGGGCTCCTTGCAAATTAGGTGCTCTGAGACTGATTAAGACCCTCAGTGAATGGTTGTCTGATTATGTTTCTCTCCCTGTGTGTGCGTGTGTGTGTGTGTGTGCGCGTGTGGCTAGATCTATGTGAATGAGCAGTACATGGGAGACATCAGTGGCAGCGGCAGCTTTGGAGAACTGGCTCTCATCTACGGCACCCCTAGAGCAGCCACCATCAAGGTTACACTATATGCCAATTTCAGTCTTCACTTACATTATATGTACATTAGAGCCCATTTTGTGTTGAACAGTTTTCCGAGTGCAATCTATTTAAATCTATTTGTACATGCATATACATACGAAGAGCTTAAAATGGGTGTGTAATAATTATGCATACAAGAGTGATCATTATGAACAAAGAACTGCACAAAGGACCCTAGACCTTAGAGCCAGGGGTACGTTTCACGTGCACAACAGAGTATTATGGAGCATGTGCGGTCCTCGGCAAAGTTTGGCCTCTCTCCTCTGTAACAATATCTTTGCACGATCTCAGTCTCTCTCTCTCTCTCTGTGTACAGGCCAAGTCAGCCGTGAAGCTGTGGGCCATAGACCGGGACACCTACAGGAGGATCCTCATGGGCAGCACCATCAGAAAGAGGAAGATGTATGAGTCGCTCCTCGAGAAGGTGTCCATTCTTGGTGAGTATCTGTGCCAAAGCTTTGCTGCCTGCATTAATGTGTACATATGTGTGATGTGTATAATCATAGCTGTTGGCATGTGTGTTAGCTGATGGGAATTGTGGGTTTATTGTATACTGGTGCATGACTTGATGAACCTTTCAGTATCTTTGCTTAAAGGGTAAATGAGAGAAAATAACAAGTAGATGACCTCTCTCCTAATGCCTGTCCATCTGAGCTGACAGCTGACATAAGAGCCCCACCATAAACTACCAATCATCTGCTAACCACAATTGCACTACAACGGGCATCCAGGGTTATTGCACTGAAACTGTACTGAGCACTGATTTCTATCCACGTTTCTTTGGCTAATGAGTGAAACGAGTTTCACAGAGCCCCTGTATCTCTTGTTGTGTGCATGCAGAGAGCCTGGATAAGTGGGAGCGACTGACTGTGGCCGATGCCCTGGAGCCCTGTACATTCATGGACGGGGACAACGTGGTGATTCAGGGAGACGAGGGAGAGGATTTCTTCATCGTCGTTGAGGTGCAACTGACACATGCACCATTTGTATTATGGCAGGAAACTTTGAGGAAGATTCTTCTTGACTTGGGCCTTGTGTGTAATGGGTGGAGATGTGGGGTTTGTAGTGGATGAAGCTTTCTTAGTTGCTGGGCCAGATACATATAGAGCACACCTTTATGCTAATCTCTACATAGACAAAAGTCAGGTTAGAGTTGTAGCTCCTTGCTTACATATGTACACCGGTAGGAGTCCCAGAGACTGCCTTGTGGACAAAGGCTGTTCTCTCTATCTCGTGGTCCATCGTACATGATATATAGATAGACCGGGGTTGGTAGAGTAGTGAGCAAGCATGGAGACTAAGATGAAAACTGCGTGGTTGTATACTTTGGCTCTTTGCCACAGTTTTTACTAGGCTGAGATTACACCAGGAAGCTTGAGTGAGTGTGGTCATGCTTGCCGTTTTCTTGACCGTGGTCATGTACAGGGCAAAGCTGTTGTGCTGCAGCGGAAGACTGAAGATGGAGAGTCGGTCCAGGTCGCCAGACTCGGCCCTTCGGAGTACTTTGGTAAGTTGGCCTTATAGCGTGTGTTGGAAATATCCTTATGGGTGTAATGCCGTGTCATCCCCAAATGGTACTAAACTATCGTTGGACATCCGCTAAAAGAACCACTAATAAGGAAACTTTCACTAACAGTTCTCCATTTAATCCCTGAAATAACGAAATCTCTCTGCCTAATTTGTGTCACGATTAGAGGGGCTCCATGTGTATTGTAACCGAAACCCTTTCACATTTTGTATCTAAACTCCCCGCGTTTTTCCAAAATTTTCTTTTCAGGTGAGATTGCCCTACTGTTGAAGAGGCCTCGAGCGGCCACTGTCAAGGCCGAGGGAACCCTCAAGTGCGTCAAACTCGACCGAGCTAGATTCGAGCGGGTGCTCGGCCCCTGTCAGGAGATCCTCAAGCGAAACATTGAGAAATACAACAGCTTTGTGCAGCTCTTTGTGTGAGCGCTGCCAGCCTGCCTCCCTGGCCCCATCAGAAACTCCAGCTCATTTTTGACTCGATCTCTGTAGCATATAATATTATAGGATAGCAAAATAATGCCTGCTACATTGTAATACTCTGACAGATTTGTTATTATTTGGACAGTTCAGTAAGAGTTTACCCATGATACATAATGTATGCACTTTCAAGTCATTATAATTATGTACGACGTCATGATTTCAATTTTATAAGTTACATGCAATTGAGTAAGTTTGTGGCTTCACATTATCTAAAATCCTGGTTTAAGATACTCCAAGTTATCCTGCGTGTCATAATCGTTTTAGCCTTGCTTCCCCTGCCTTGAAACCTTGTTCTTTTCAAGCTTGTATATATACAGATTACAGAGTTAGGGATTTCTGATCCCCCTGGCCTCCTTCTATTATTATTATAATGACAGCTAATGTGCAAAGGGTATGTCTTGTGTTGTGTTGATAGTTCTGTGAGGAGTTCTTTCAGTATTTCAGAATTGAGTCCAGCCCACTGAGTTACAGGCTGTCCTGGTATTATATATATAGCATGGCAGGCGAGCTCTCTGCCTATATAGGAAGTGCGGCATGTGGTAGGTTTGATTACTACTACCCAGGTCCCAGGGCACAGTTTATTTTCTTTGGAAAAATGAGTTGTTTGTCTTGGCTTTGCACTGCAACTTCATGGACACACAAATTAACCACAGAATTCAAGCCCCCACTGAGAGTAAACACACAAACTGAACATCCTTAAAGATACGGAGAGGTATATACCAGATACAAGCATACACTAGGTTGATTTCCTTTATGACAGTGATCAGATTTAGTGCAGTTTTTCAAAACAGCATTTGGGCTTTGAAACTAACCCCGTCGTGCTATTCTGAAAAAATGTAGTCCACAACACATAGCTACATTTTCTCTGGTGTGATTGTCACAGTTTTCCAACTAGAGTTGCGGACAATCTCCATGTTGAGTCTCCTGCCGGACTGGACCATATTGTACACCTGGTGACTCGACGCCACCTTCTCTCCATTGATTCGAACTATCACGTCTCCCTTCCTGAGCCCAGCCACGGCAGCCACACTCGAAGGCCAGACTTGAGCCACGAGAACGCCGTGTTCCAGTTCTACGGGGAGACTACCTCGCTGGTGAAGTATGTGACAGAGATCCGGGGTGACTGTCAGCATCGATATTCCGATCACAAACCGCCCTGGGCGCCGGGTGCTCTTGTTTGCCTTGGCTACAAACTCTCGGGCAAAGTCGCTCGGGATGGCAAAAGATATCCCGGGCCCAGCTGTGAGCGTGTTCACCCCGATTACTTCTCCGTCGAGATTAACGAGAGGCCCGCCGGAGTTCCCTATGGTGATGGGGGCGTCGGTCTGAACGTACTGTATGTCAGGCCCACCTCGGTGCAGCCCCAGCTCCTTGCTGGGTCTGTGGCAGCTACTCACGATCCCTGCAGTGATAGTATTGGAGAGGGAAAGCGGGCTGCCGAGTGCCACGACCCATTCCCCCGGTCGCAGGCTGGCAGAACTCCCAAACTCGAGAGCCGGGAGTTTCTCCCCTGTGCTGAGTTTGAGGAGAGCTAGGTCAGCAACCTGGTCTAGATCGGTCACCTCTCCCTTTATCACCTTCCCTGATGCAAGCTTGACATTCACAGAGCGAGCGCTGCCAACCACGTGAGCATTTGTCAGGACGTAGCCATCGCTGCTGACTATGAATCCTGATCCAGTTGATACGGACATCTGCCGGCCAAAGATAGTGTCCATAGGCTCTGATTTCTCGATGTACACAACCGACGGTGCTGCTTTCTCGACTGCCTCGGCCAGAAAGTTGTATCGCTGCGAGCGACGCTGCTCCCCGCCTTCCCCGGGGTTTGTGGCACATTTGGCTCCCGAGAAAGCTTTTGAAGTCTCGCTGGAATCATTCAGTGTTGCCCTTTTTTTCGCTGTGGCCTCAGTGATGCTGTGAGGCTCTGGCTCTTTCCCTCTCCGGTAGGCTCGGTACCAAGGCAGCGCGATCTCATCCTTGACTGCATAGAATAGCAACACGGCTGCAAGTCCCTTGAGTCCGTATTCGACTAGATTTCTCCATGTTATTCCACCTTCCTTCCATGATCCCTTACCCCCTTCCCTGCTTCCTACGGCTCCCCTCCCAACCCGTGGTTGTCCAGTATCTGTTGACATGTTTAGCTTCTGATGGAGGAAGTGGTAGTGTCCACCAGATGCCATTTTACCTATCCTTTGAACCCCCCGCAGATGGGCCAGGCGGTGGACATTCGGGTAGAGCCCACCACTTCTGAACATCTTACAGTCTCGTGTGTGCTGCTGGTGTTACGTTCAACTCCTCATTTTCCTCATTACGTCATTGGATGTGCGCGGAAAAGTGGGAAGTCGCGCTCACAGCGAGATGGCGTCGGCCGGCGAGAGGGTACAGAAACTATCGGCTGAAGCCTTCTCGAGGCTTAGGAACGACCATGAGCAGTTTTTGGAGGCGTACGAAAGTGAGTTGAATCCATTTTCGCGGCCTATAGCCGCCTTGTTCGGCGATAGAAATCCCCTGGGCGGTACGCGAGGCACACGCTCGGCCTGCAGCGGCCGTCGCGCCAGTAGCTTGCTACCTTTTCCAACTACTCTGTTGATTGAAACGAAGCATGGCCCTCCTAGAAGGCTTGTAACCCTTTTTATGCACAAACGTTGTCCTTTCCTGCCCCAGTGAAACGGTGTGCATCTTTGGCGGTACCACCCGTTGGCCTAGCCAATTACTCAAACTTCCATCAAGCACTACCCTGGGTAGATGAGGCTTTAATTAACTAATGTGGTCGACCACTAGTGCTTGTTTGTGGCCCTTGTTGCAACCTTCTCTAAAACTTTCATTCTGCTGTCAGATAGGAATGAAATAATAATAAGGTGTGAAAGATTTCCCTACAGCTGCTCCCTTGTTAATTGCCATGTGTTGCTAGATGATTGCTTGTGTTTGTAGTTTGTGTCTATAGCATGCACTAGTAAGGATGATATATCCCCCCAGTCATTATGAATTTGCCTACAGACCTGTTATAATGTTGCCACAGGAGTGACGTTTTCTGAACATTAGCTGTGGTGTACATGATCAATAATTATTATACACTCAGTGTTCTATATACTGTGTTCCCTTTATGCAGAGCCGACACAGATATACAGGTTTTTGCATGCACGGCACTCTTTCAAGGTGAGATTCCTTATAACTTGCAATTACATCGTCAAACCGATCTAATCTGGACACCAATAGGACAAAACATATAGTGAGGTGTCCTTGGGTTAAAAGAAGCATGCTTGGGGGAAGAAAAGGTGTCCTTATTAGAGAGGTGTCCTCATTTCAGGGGTGTCCTTAGAGAGAGAGGTTCCACAGTAGGGAGTGATGCTACAGTATGTGAAACTGTGCAGATATACTCTTATTGATTCATACAATCCTTTACTTTTGCTTGGTTTTCCCATAGTGTACATGTCCAGGGCGTGTGCATACATACATACATATTTCTTTGTCGTTTAGAGTTGAAATATGATAATTGTGGTGTATTACCAATGTAATTGTTGAACACCTCCTAACACAAAACTATTGTTAGCATTTTGGTTGAAGCTATATCGCTCAAGGGCTTTATAACAAGTCGTGTGCAAGGAACCTAGTTTGTTAAAATTTCTTCATGTCCTCTGAACTTGCTCTTCCACCCCCTTCTCCTTCTTTAGTCTCTTTTCATGCATCGGAACCTTGCGTACATGCAACGCCGGAAGGAGAGGAGAAGGAGGAGGTTAGTCTTTGCTCACACACATAGCTATAGTCCACTAGTACACCCTTTTGTATAGTAGATGTTTAGAAGTAGCCCCTTATAGCCTACTTTTATTAATTTCTCTTTCTGTGTGTGCTGTTCAATTCTCATAAAACAACGAGTCATAATATGAACAATTTTTGCTGGGGGGTGACAGAGAACATACATACGTCAACAAACTGACACCCTATGCATGACTGTCATGTGACCATCACATGATATCTCACCTGAAGTGCTCTGGGAGAAACCGAGAAAACCTTTCACTAACCCTCACCTGCTCCCTCTGAGTATATGTACATGTACACATGGGGTAAAGGGGGGCAATTAGTCCTTGAAAATGGTTTCTGTGTGAGAAGGGTTAAACTTGTGCCCCCTCCCCACCCCCATAAGACCCAATTTTGCACCCCCAAAGTTTCCTGATTCAAACCACCCTCTTTCTCAGAAAATTTCTGCAAAACCTGCAGGACTTCTAGAGATTTGTCTATCCAATAATTGATGCTTTAGCTCATGAAGGAAACTCATTTTTACCACCATAACTGCCCCCACTATCTGGGTTGAAAAAGAGCAGGTGCTTTTGTGTGTGAAATGTTGCTTTAGATAAGCAGTAACTACTGATTAGGCTCAGCATTGCGAAATTGATAGGGTGCAGAATACTACATTGTGGCAAAGTGCTTCATTTATAGTATAGGATGCCATGTGTGATAACCCCTCAAGTAGAAGTTGAGATGTTATTAAGAAAAGAAGTGTACGTAATGCAGAGACAGTAGAACATGGAGCACTGCAAGGGACAGTTGCAGAACAAGTCCATGGCAAGCTCCTCTGGGGGGTATGTGTGTGATATGTAGTAGAGGGCGGTGCTCTAGTGTATGTGTAGGTGATAGCTTTATCTGATGAAAGGGATTTTGTGGGGTAGCCAAGCATAGCAGCCACAGCATACCTATACCAATAAGCCTTTCCTTGAGAGTTAGAAAATACTGCTAGCCCACCAAAGTATGGATCAGACACATACCAAAAGTTCCACACAAATAAGTGGGTTTTCTAGTGGGTTTTCAGGCAGAAAGATGGATGGTTGGTCAGTATGCAACTGCCACGAGAGATATGTAGAGCCTTGCTGGTGGCCTGTATGTGTCCTAACAAGACTCCTGTTAGACAGATAGTGGACCAGGAGACTTTGTTGGCCACCTAACTAATAGTGGAAGGTTCTAGCAGTCAGTGCAAGTTTCTGGAGGTTGTATATAGTAGGTAGATAGTGGAGTGCATGGCCACCAAATTAGATAGATTGTAGCTACTCAGAAGTTTCTCTTTCTTTGAGTGTGCATGAATTGGGAAGAGTCCGTGTGGTATATAGAAGGATGTACTCTTCAAGGTCAGATAGAACTTTATAATCTTGAGGTCCAATGTTACTGGTAGTAAGCACTACGTAATAGAAGTAGGCTAAAGAAAGAGCCTGACATAAGTATTGCTGAATCTGATTCGTGGACAGTTGCTTTATAATTATTTCTCAAAGAGAAAACAACACGATTATTTCCTATCAATCTGCCTATCAACCAGACTATGGAGAATGACCGTATTATACTGTAGGGCTCTCCCAAGGGCAAGGACCTCCTTTTGCTTAACAGAGTCAAATTTTACCCACTACTCGATCGATATGCTCCTATGTCGACTTTGTGTTGGTACTATTATATTCTTACTTATCTGTATGTGTGTGGCCTCTCTGTGTGTGCATATAACACTGCAGGACAAACAGACTGCGAATCGGGGATTTGTTGAAGTATCGCAAACATCGTCAGGTGGAGGGAAAGGACCTCGCGTCGCAGATCAAGAGGTTCGGAATCGACGATTCAAAGTGTGTGTGTGTTTTAGTGTCTTTAGCAAAGTGGACAGAAATATGGGGGTGTCCCAAAATTGTGTGAGTTTTTGTGTGTACTAACGTTGTGTGTGTGTACTACCTTTGGAGGAGTGTAGTAGCATGACTAACATTTCTTTGTGGCTGTCCAATATTGTTGTGCATGTGTGAGCACTCACCATAATGGCCGTCAAGTGACATTCCTGGTCCTACAGTGACAACTTTTTGAAGATAACATTCCATGACCTGGAGAAGGGGATTGACTTTAGTCAACTTCTCTGTGAGTCTCTCTCTCTCTCTCTCTCTCTCTCCACTTTTACATCCAGTCTCACTTCATACATTTCTTATGTATACTCTCTTACTTACTATTATTGCACATTTAAGAACCACTGTTCTTTTCCCTGCAGCGTCGGCTCTGACTGGAGATGTAAAGTCTGAGTCACCTACTTGCCACACACCTTGTCCTATGGAGGTTGAAGTTCTCCTCTACAGCTGCCATCAACATGTTTCAGAGGCATGTTGTAGCTCACGCTTTTACGTGAAGAAAGAAAGAGAATAAGAGAGAGAGGGGAGGGTGGGAGGGCTTCTGAGGGGTTCAAAACCTACACGAAGACTCACACATACAATCAAAAGCTCACATGTAGATCATGACCCATACTGTATAACTAATGTAGACAATTGATGTACAATTATTACCGCATGTGGTTAGAGTCTGTTGTTTAGTTGTCGCTTCTTCCTTTGGCCTTGCCTTGACATCTTGTGGGTATCGTCTAGCTGAAGTTATACATAGTGGCATGAATATGATAAAATATGAGGTTAGTTGGTTGCCATCTCTCCCTCCCCTTACCTCTTTCTCTTTCTCTCCCTCTCTCTACAGGGCACGTCCTACCCGTGCAGCAGCATAAGTCTCGGCAAGTTTGAAGTCGAGTACACTCCCACCGAGAATGGCAAGGTCTCCTCCAGTCCCGGCTCTAGCACCAGCCACACTCTCACAATCCCCGAGAGCAAGCTAGTCTGGCGGGGGACCAAAAACAGGGCGACGGGGTCTCTAATGCTCGTGTTCCACGCCCGAGCGAGCAGTGCCGGCCACGTGCCCCATCAGAAGAAATCTCAGCTACTGTCGTCAGGGGGAGTTAATCATCAGCCGCAGCTGGCCAACGTGAGCGTGGAGGTGAACCGGATCAACCACTCAGACATTGCTCAGCTTGCTAAGGCCAGACAGACATCCTTCGAGTCTTCAACTGCAGTAGGTACCTCCACCGACAAGCAGGTGAGAGGACCGTCTTTGCAGAGCGCCGGGAGCTCTCCGGCTCCATCTGTATCGATCGGCAGTGGTACTGGAAGTCATACGAAGGCACAGAGAAAGACGAGGTCGTCAAAGTCGAAGGAGAGACGGGATGTATGCATAGTGACAGATCTTAATCTTGGCACCGGTGCCGCTTCAGCCTGTCCGTCCCAACTTTCATCTACTAACTCCTCTACTTATTCTCACTCCAACAGTCCAAACCCCATCTCTAAAGACAGTTCCGCAACTCCTCCTTCTCCTCCCTCTTTTGCTCCCAGGAAAGGATTCACAGAGACCGGTGCTTCTCTTGTCAGGAAACTGGTAGTGGCGGCGGCACAACCGCCACGAAACGGACTAAACGGTCTCGCATTTCTGAACGGCTATCCCGAAGACCACCACCACCCCACGTCAAAGGAGTCAGAGTCCTGTCACAATATCAAGGGAAAACCTACTCCTTTCGACCACAAGGCCTTGTCCAACTGCTCACTGACTGTTTCAATCCCTTGCACTGCATCTTACCAGAACACCTCTCTTGCTGCCACCTCCTCTCCCTCCACCACAACCGACAACAGCACCAGTAATAACAGCAGTCATCAGCCCAGCCCTCCCCCCGCCAAACGGCGCTGTACGATCCCGGCTCAAAAATGCTCCGAGATCCAGCCCCTTCTAGAAGGGGACAAGCCTCCCGACCAGCAAATCAGTAGCTTCCCAGTTTTCATTGCCGAGGACCCTGGTACCGACCGAGCCACTATACAGCGATCCGAACATGCATCCTGTATCAACGGGGCGTGCGGTATGATCCCCTCCAGGGAACCTCTAGCTCACTCTACTGCGTACCCAGTGGAGACAGTTGATTCCTGGAAGACGCTGTCGGGAGGAGCTGGAGTGAAACGCAGTCTGGGTGAGTCTGACATGGCCGTGGACCCCGACACAGTTTCAGCAGCGCCACCGTTGAAAATGGCTCGAGTCTGTGATGAAACTAAACTGACTCTGCAGGAGTAGCGGAGGAGGATATGGACAGCACAGCAAGAGTCACAGAGATGGACGATGACAAAGGTCTTGAAGCCAAAATGGAACCAGACAGTATCTTACCCACGGCTCCCAAACCGGCAGAGAGAATCATGTCAAAACCAGCACCTTCACCTAGCACCCCGACCACTGACCGCGAGCAACTAAATGGGAGCAACACCACCACCAGCAGTGGTAGTAGCAAGAGTAAGATAGATGTTTCCAGTGTCACAGGTGTCACTGCTCCGGAGGGCCTCTTCTCGGCAGAGATGGTGGTTTTCGACTCGAGAGGCGAGTGTCTCCTGGACGAGGGCGAGTACTCCATCCTCATGCAGAAATGTCCGGAGAAAGACGCCGCAGAGGGGCCACCTCGTCTCTTTACCTTCTCCCCGCTCAGCTGGACCACCGTGTTTGGAGCCAGTGACCAGGTCCGTCAACCCCTCTCCCTCTATCACGACGACTCTTTAATTTGTCACCTGCAATATCCTATGTGGAGCTCACGAGACACAAGCCTTTCATGAAACCGTGAAAAAGAGGTTTTAGAACACTATTTGCTGCATGTGCGTTTATTGTAGAGACATGCATTCCCCTCGAAACTAATAGGTTTAGTGCCATGCACACATTTGTATGTGTGGCATAATGTATACAAAATTAGTGTAGCGACTGAACATGTATATACCCCCTCTTGTTGCTGTGTTTAGGAGAAGGCAGAGGAGTCTGAGAACATGATGTTGAAGTTCTCACTGGGCTGGAGCCGCGGTCCACCCAAACACAGGCTGATCTCAGAGCTGGAGACTGCCCTGGACCTCCAGAGAATCAGGAATGGTGAGTGGGAGAGGCCTGCAATTAGTGCATGGTGTGCGTGTAGAGGCCCCCCAGGTTAATTGAAATCCCGTAGTTCCCTCAGCGGAGTAACTTACAGATCCATGGTGCACTGTGTAAACCGACTAGCTGGTGATATAGGAAGATTACGTTTGGTGGGATACTTCCAAACAAGAGCGATGTACCTACATATAATACCGTATACACTGCTGAAAAGTAATAAGTTAACAAGAAGTGTATTAAGTTTAAACGGATTAGAAAAACTAGACAGTGCCGCGAATTGTTATCTGCAGATTATTTTGCCCCATCACCCTCACAATCTCAAAATTCTTCGAAAGCCGTGTCCCCCGTGACCAGCAACAGCCCTCGTGAAGCTGACATGACACAGTCGACGATCCCAGTACCACCAGAACAGTCGCATGCGTTGCAACCAGAGACAGGAGGCCCTATGCCCACTGACTCTGGCTGTGTGGACGATGGAGGAGAGGAGGGGTGTGTGGCTGGAAACGAGGGGGAAGAAGCCAGGGGTGAGGCACACGTGGACAGAGAAGCAAACGAGATGGGAGGGGAGGAATTGGCCGAGCGAGACCGCGGGAAGAGCAGCAGTAGGGACGAAATTGAAGAGTATTTCACAGCCACTGAGGCCTCTGCTTCATCGTCTGTGGCGGACTCGACAGAGCTAGTCCGCTGTCGCCCGTCCCTTCCTCCCCAAACACCGTCATCCACGGCCAACACGAGAGACGAAGAGAGAAGAGGAGGCAGAGATCAGATCATGGCGTACAACTTTCTCTACAACAATAACGCCCAGCAGCAGACCGAGTCGGGAGGGACCATGCAGTGTCCCTGGTGCTCCCTAGTCTGCTGCAATCTCTATAGCCTCCTCAAACACATGTCCCTCTGCCACCCTCGGTTCATCTTCACCTATACCGTGAGAATGCAATACTAACTGCCTAGTGGGAAGTGTGTGCATTTTTACCACATAACCAAGGGCTCCTTTAGTTGCTGTGCAAAATACATACGCTGCTTTATGTTCACGGCAGTTTTCAAGAAAATCTGTTTTGGGTGTATTCTTTAGTCAGCACGTTCGTTAAGAAGCAAATTTACACATTGGTTAGCAAAGCTATTTTATGTATATTATGTACTTCATCTTTAGTCTTCAACATATTTTACTAGATGTATTCTTTGGTTTCTCTTTAGCAGCCTTCTTTAGTCAGTACCTTCTTCGAGAAGCTAATAGTTCATCTATTTAGCTACATTCTCTTGTCAGCATGCTCTTAAAGAAGCTTATCTACATAATATTGTAGCTGTATGTGGTTAGCAGGCTCTCTGAGAAGAGTTCAGTACTCTTTGGTAATCACCTTCTTCATCTGTTTTAACAGCACTCTTTAGTCAGAAAAAAGCCAATCATTTTTTAGTGTGTGTTCTCAAAGAGGTTCATCTATTTAGCGGTGCCAGCATGTTCTTTGTGGTCTCAGCAGTACAACTCTCAAAGAGCACCATCACTGTCCCCGCTCCAGCCAATGCAGCAGGGAGGCAGTATGATAGACGTTCATGTGAACAAGCTCTACGAGGCCGGGCAGACCTCTATGGACCAGGACCCCGTGGAGCGGAGTGGGATGAGTCTGAGACAGCGCTGGAGAGGCCCCCTCAAATGCCTCCCCTGTACTGCCGTCCTCGTCGAGAGGTGGGGGATTGACTGTAGGTGTACTGTATACAAAAAAACCACGTTTGCAATTGATGAAAAAAGTTTCGTGAACATGGTTAGCAGGCAAAGACGGCAACTAAAATACTAATTTATTTTGTCAAGAAGTAGTTATTCACGTATACTTGAAAACCACTCTGCCTGTTTTCTGTGTGTGTGTGTGACACAGACATGAAGGTGTGGAGGAGGACTTGTCAGAATTTCTAAATGACGGCAGTTGGAAGAGAGGCCACAACGTTAAGAGGTGTTGCATGACTTACCAAGATTCCTATGTGCTGTATGCTTGAGCAGGGGCAACTTTGTTATTCTCTTATCAAAAGGGGCAATGGGGTTAAGAGGTATTATCAATCAATGGTGGGTTTACTCACTGTGGTCTTGTGGTTTTTCACTCTATGATAAGCCCACTTTGGTGTTGTTGCTCTCTCTCTGGGTGTGGATGCAGGCAATTCTACCACTCTGGCACCTGCCTGCCCATGGTCCCTGAAGAGATTGATGCTGACAGCGAGGCTGAGCTGGAGTTAATCAGCAGATGGCAGAAGACCTGCAGCCAAAAGGTCTGTGAGTACGGGACAGAACAACAACAGAAAACTCGAAACAAAAATCTCTTTACTGACTCAATTTTCTCTTTCTCCACCTGACTGCCTTTTCTTCTCTCTTTGTTTCTCGTGTGTCTCAGATGATAGATGAGTTTACAGATGTCAACAAGGGAGAGAAGGAAATGATGAAGCTCTGGAACCTCTTTGCCATGGAGCATGGGTAAAATTCTGGTAGCTATAGCTAGTGTTGGACTGATGAGTGCTGGGTGTATAGGCCGGGAGTGAAACAATGGTATGTGCTGCATGTAGCCCAGGTAGCTGTAGGCAAGAGCAAAGTTTACTCAAGGACTGCCCACCACCATCTCCAGGTATTGTGCACACTTCCTCCACCTGCCCCTCTAGCTACTCATTGTTCACTCCCCCTGCCAGTCTACCTCTCTGTTTCCTAGTGTCATTATGTCTGCCTCCCCCTCCTCAATTTCCCTGAGTCACCATCTCTCTCTCTCTCTCTCTATACCAGGATGATAGCTGACAAGCATATTCCCACCGCTTGTGTCAAGTTTGCAGAAGAAAAAGGCTCGGAAATCTTGCAGAAAAACCACGTCAACAGTTTTCTGGCTCACCTGGTGAGCCTGTGTCAGTTTGGCCTCATCAGTCTCCCAGTCATGAAGACCTCCATGGACATTCTTAATGCCAAACGGCCATTTTCCTAGCACCACCCCTCGCCTCACTCCCTGCTCTTCCACAACACCACAGGGACCCTGTTTCTTTCTCCTGAAACGAAGTCCACTCCTACATGTGCTATAATAATAACAAATTTATATATTATTCCTCTCTCCTAGGTCTAATATTAACAAAAAGTTGGTCCTATTCGTTTATTTTCTGACATTTTATGATAGAGCCTGATGACCATCTTGCTATAACGTATTGTGACCATGGGATTTTTGCTGCCTTGACAATCAATAGGTTGTGCGAGCTGGTGTTAGTTCTAGCTAATGCATGCACTCACCTATACCTATAGGACATAGAACCCACAGCTTAATTTTGCTTGCTACCCAAGGCAAGTGTGTAACTATACGAAAGTCTACATCGTAAGAAGTGCCTGGGCCTGTTTGTTGTTGTTTACAAACGTGTAATCACATTAGAAGAATCTATTTTGGTTTCTTCTCTATCACTTGTGCGTCTTGTTAGCCAGACATGGAATTGTGGAATCGAGAGCAGCGTGCGCAGTACAGTATTCTGGTGACAGAGTAATCAGTTTGTATCTTTGGTAAAGTTCAATAAGTAGAGTATTACACATAGCACGATTCATTGACACAAATGTGATTTGAGGCGAATGGGGCTCTGAGAAGGAGTCGCTATTTTCCGAGAAGGTGTCGGTTGTTGAAGTTGAACTGAAGTCGACACTCGGGGCAAGGGAACTCTTTTGTTAGGACTGGTTCATACCTGCACACAGCAATACATACGCTCACACAGCGAATGTGTTGAAGCACACACACCACCAAAGTACGTGGCATTTGAGTGATGTCGCTGCTAATACTGCGACCACTCTCTGAACCAGTTTATGAGCGTAAAGCACAGAAAGGCCTTGTTCCGATGTTACTATGGACATTGTGGTGTGGTAACAAATTTTAAACCCAAGTGGAATGTGCTCGAATCTATACAGGTGTCAATGTCTAGATTCCTGCGCAATAATACACTCAGGTTTACATTTTACCACACGGTGCCCATGCTAACATTGGCACAAGGCCTACGCACTTTACACTCTGTTAACTGGTTCAGAGTGGTCGCAGTATTAGCGGTGGTATCCACCCACCAGAAATTGACGGCGAGATTCCTCCTCTCGCGAAGGTCGGGACGAGACCGCACCTCGTGCCACCAGAACGCCGGCATGAACAACACGTCCCCAGGGCCCAAATCACACTCGAGTCGATGAGCACGCGAGAACCTCGGGAACCTAACGAGATCTGGATCCTGTATGTCCACTGGTGACATGACCATGGAGGTGCTCTCCAGTAGTCTCTGGCGACTGAAGTGACCGGTGCGGGGAGAGTAGGATAGTATGGCCTCGGGGATGTGGGCCTCGTAGAGGTTCTCATTGTGGTGGGGGTCAAATAGAGTCACGTGCTTCTCTCCAGACACCTGCAGTGGAGTTGGAAGTTGGTGCAGGACCAAATTCCACAGTAGTCCAGCTAGGCTGGCTTGACTACTTCTGGACACCTGTGTGTAATATTCTGATCTTTAAATAAGGGACACATCTGTATCAACTTTCCCCTAAACACACATTAGCTACCTAGTTAGGCATTCTGCTGCAGATACCTGACATAGGAGGTTGTCGTATGGATCAAAGTGCAGTTTCCCCAGCGTGTTACCATCACTGAGCCACATGTTGAGGTGTTTAACTTCCAGTTCTCCACCGACAAATGGGAGTTCAAAAATGTCCTGCTGAAGACTGGGCATGTAGTAAGGGATCGAAGAGTACTCCAGATAGGCCGAGAATGTTCGGTTTCCTGATGCGATAAAATCGAGGAAATCGGAGAAACGCATTTCGCTTGTGGCTGGCCTCACCACCACCAGATCGGGGAACTGGAGTTGGGACTTTACTGCTTCAGGGATCCAGTCTTGTCTGTAGTCCGACCAAATTCGGGCACTCTCTACACCCTCAAAAACCCCGTCTGGGGTTAACTTTATGTGGACCTGTCTCTCGCCGTAGCGCTCCCTGAGATATTCGGCGGTCCATTTCTTGAAGGCAGGCCAGTTTTGGACTGCGTTTTCGACGATGACTGGTCGTGAGCGAAAGGCATAGTCGCGGAAGAAATCCGGTTTTGAAGGAGGTTTCCTTAATCTGAGGCACTTTCCAACAGGCTCAGAGGGGTGGTAGAGATTTTGCATTATGTGCTGGTGCATGAGGCCTTCTTCTGTCAACCCACCTGTTCTTGTGCGGAAAGTGCCACATTTCTCATTGAGAAACTGAACCAGAGTCTCTAACACCAAAGGCCCGGTGTATGGTTCGGCCCAAAAATCCTTTTTTGGTGGGAGAAGAAGACAAGACCGCTCTCTCTTTTCATGCGTGTAGAAAGCAAGTACGGAAGTAGATGTGGGTGGTGAAGTCTCCCAATGAATGCCTGTGCTGTTACCTCTAAGTTGGCCTACAAAGACACTCGACTCGTTCGCGAAAACTTCTTGAAGTCCATAAAGCATAAAACGGGTCTCGATGGAGAGGGGAGGAACTGCAAGAAGTATACACCTGTCGTGTATGTGGCCTCTCAGCTCATCTACAGCAAGGTAAGGGAGGTGATCGCAAGTTTCTGAGTCAGTGCTACAATGTTCTGTGCTTGGCAAGCTCCCAGGAACTGCTAGGCTAAAAGAAGCCACGATCAAGTACAACTTACAAGCATAGGAGGCCATTTAACCAGCCTGGATACACAAGGAGTTGTTGGCTATTGTGGCACCGCAGTGTCTGAAATAACGAGAACGACGTCACTAAACGTGTTCTGAAAGAAGCGCACCTTTCTCCGAGAACTGCGCGTCGGCGAGACGCTGAGCTGTCTGGCAGTTAGTTACAGGTGGTTTGGTGACTCAATTCGCAGGAAGGAATTCTCTAAAGGTCGACCTCTTTGCTGGCTTCTGTTGGCTGCGAGACACAAGTCTCTGCAAGGACCTGTCGACCGCGTGGCGGCAGCGTGTATAGTTTTAGGTGCAGCTCTAACTAGACTGAGCAAGTAACACTGAAGGAGCCATGGCGCTGGCTATAAACGGAGACGAGGAAGATTCGGAGGAGGAGCAAGGACAGGCGGGGAAGTGCGAATGGCAGTGGAGCAACAGTAGCCACATTCGGGGCGTCCTCCTTCATCAGAACAGGACCAAAGTCACTTTCCATCCCAACGGGAGCTGGGGGTGCGCAGCAATTAGAGGAGTCAAGCCTCTTCTCCCCAACATGGAACACTTCTTCGAGGTGGTAATGGAGGGCCCGTTCTACGGGCAGGCCCGGATGGTAGGCATAGGCACAAAACATGTAATTCTACAGTCTCACAACTATGACTTTTACCCTCTTCTTGGCAAAGACGACAACAGCTGGGCTCTCAACTACAATGGTGAAAAGTACCACGCAGGCCAGAAAGAAAAATACGTCAATATTCCTCTTGAGAAACTAAAACAGTTGCACGTCGGTGTGTACTATGACGGACTTCACGGAACGCTGTGTTTTGAGATAAACGGAGAACGTTACGGAGTGGCGTATAATAACATATACCCAGACTTGGAATTGTACCCCATGCTGTGTGCGAGCTCAGCGGGGACAATCATGACTCTTACACAGAGCCACTCCACCGTCGTCTCACTAAAGGCCGTGTGCCGTGGAGCCATCAGAATGGCTGTCAAAGAAGAAGATATTAGACACTTGCCGCTCCCCAATCACCTCAAAAACTATCTCGCCTTTCGTTCCAATACATTAGGCAGCAGAGAGAGCAAGAAGTCCTGATATCTGTGTAATTTTATACATGTGTTCTTTCCCACTCTTAATGTTCTGTCAGAGGCTAGCTGCTATCCTTGCATCTATCACATCACAACCAATTGCTGGTATTTTGTGTGTGTGTGTGTGGAGGAGCCTCTATAATAATTGTTTACCCATGGTCCAGTTTGGCAAAAAAGCTATTTGTGACATGTTGTCTAAAGGCACGATAAATTTCTCAGCTGACCACATAACCACAGTGCTCAGCATTACATCTTTGCACTGCACACATATTTCATTTGTTTTGTTTTGTGACTAATCGATCAGTTGAAGAGAGGTAAATACAGTGTCTTTCTTCATCGCTGGATATTCCAGTCAATTTCTACCAGTTGAGATCGTTTTCAAACTGTCTCACTAGGTGGGGAGCCATGGCTACGTTGCTATCAGGGTCCCAGAATGTAGCCGGAATATCTAGGGAGGCAACGTGAGAGCTATCACCCAAAAGAAAAACTTGGCCAGAGCTCAACACTCTGCCGAGGCTCCAGGCCAGCCTTGGCCTGCTAGTGGGCAGCTGAGGGTTTCCTGGAAATCTGCTTCTAACTGCACTTGTTTGCTTCCTTTGCTCAGTTGTAGAATTCCTGCAGATAAATGTATGCTGACACCCTACTACACGCACAAGTCATCGAGGTTGATATTATGGACAGTTATATAATGCATGAATATTGTGCGATTCACAGAAAATGTATAATTGTACCTGATATCTATCTCAGTCTTCCTCATTTCACGGTAGCTGGTGACTACAAATGTGTCAATTGTAAACATGTATATACAAGGAGCCATGAGTGTGTGTCTAACCTTGTCTTCTGTTGAAATCTTCACATATGCTCATTAGAGGTGTGCCCCTGTATGCAACCTGCAATTATAAGATGTGAGAGACATTGGCAAATGAGCAGAATAGCATGCCTATTCCAGGAACTGGTGGTATGCTGGCGAACACAATAGCAGCCTATAGATCCACATCATTACGGTTCCCGGAAGAAATGGTGCTTCCTCGATTCAAGCGTGTCCGTTGTTTTGCAACATTTTGCAAATGGGACTTGTTCGAGTTGTGTTCATTATAGCCACGCATGCATAACGTACGTACGTTTCTGAAGGTGTTCCTTGTGTTGATGTTGGTCCTGTGCTGCTGACCCAGCTGAGCCCAGCAGTGCTGGAGCCATTGATTAGGGCTCTTGAACCTGGGTCCAGTGGTGGTGAACGTGGAGAGAGACCCGTCCTCCAGTAAAGAGCACCTAAACTCACAACCCTGTCAAAAAATTCATGCCAAGTGATAATTAAAGGGGCTCATTCGGAGGCTTAACAAAATGTATCAAGATAAAGCTATGCTATGCATTGGGAGGCACCTTGAGTTAATTCCATTAGTGTGTGTTGGTGAATGATCAGGTATGTAGAATCTTTGGTATTGGGTATCACACCAAAGGACATAATAATGGGGAAGAGAGAAGAATGTTCATACCATGAGACTGCAGGAGAAGCAGTTGGTTCCGGCCTCCAGGAAACCATGTTGGAGTAGAGTCTGGAGAGCCACCGGCACTGCCAGCCCCTGTGTTAATAGGAGAAGGTGGAGGAGGGGTGGCTGTGTAAACAGAGTCGCAATCAATCTGTATGTATGTGTAGGTGTTGGGTTACAACACACAGCCACCACCTGAGTTTGAAGTGGGGGCTGGGGGTGAGTTTTGGGATGCTGGAGACTGACTGTGGTAATATCTCCCAGTTGTCTTGTCTGAGACTCAACAGCTGTTTTCCCCTGCCCTGTGCCAAGAACAAAGACTGGCCATACATAGGTATCAGATAGTAGGGGAGGGGGGAAATGAGAGCAGACATACCACCTGTCTTTGTGGTGGTAGAATTTGGTGGAGGATGTGTGTGTTCCGCCATTGTTGGGCCAACAACAGTAGATGCCCTCACTCTGGAAGGCTGCACTGCAGATAGTTGTTGGACTGCAGATAGCTGTTCCAGCCTTGCTTCAGAGTTGCTGGTGTTTTGTTGAGGCTTTAGGTGTTTCAGAAGATTGGGGATGGCTGCAGAGGGGCCCCTCTTCTGTGCAGAGTCCCCAGCACCTGGTTCACTGCTATAGGGAAATGCCACAGCCTCTCCATCAGTCTGTGACTGAGAGCTTCTAGTTTCTTCACCACCTCTTTCTGTGTCTTGAAACACTGGAGGAGAGTCTTTTGCCGGGCGGCGAGACTCGTGAGCTGTCGACGCAGGCTCTCGCTGCTGTCCCCGACCGAGAGACCGGACTGGCTGTGCTGTGAGAGAGACGAGTGAGTCGAGGCCAGCCTCCTGCGCTTGGCTTGGTTGGCAGCACTGATCTCCCTCAGGGAGGACTCTACGTCGCTTGACTGGGTCTGCATTCTCTTTAGATCTCTTGAGCTAATGGCTGTTGCTGCAAGTGTTCAGTAGAGTATGAAGTATGTACACACTTCTTTTGCATTACAGTAGAACCTCTGTTAAAGAGCACTCCAATTAAACACTTTCTTTGGTGTGTGTATATATACCTAATTATTAAAGGGGGGACTAACATTAATAGGGGACTATATGGGAATCAAAGTCTATCACACACACACACACACCACTCTATAGTGGTTTGGGGATTGTTTGGGGGAGTAAAAAAACTCTCCTTTAATTGAGTGCACTCTATACACATCTACACATGAGCAGCTTTCACTCAGACAAAATGGTGCACGGTTCATCACCACTGCTCACATTGTCCTGGTTCCTGGAGAGAATGGAGCAGATCTGTCTGGATTTTCACCACCTCCTCCAACTCCCTGCAGGGACCAGGGGTTTCCTCTTCGCTCCCCTCCACCACCATCTGTGATCCTCCACTGTTGTCAACCGTACCCTCTGTGCGACGAGCTGCTCCATTCGACAACGGCTTTGTTGCTGCCGACCTAACAGCTGAATTTCCTGATGGTTCGTGTTTCATGCTGAATAAAGGAGGAGTGTGGGATCAATAGTTACCAGGTGCAAGAGGGAGCTCAGGTGACATGGGCTGGCTTGTCTCTGCCTCCCTCTCTCCGCCTCCAAAAACCACAGCTCTACGGGATTAGTGTTTGTTACATAACCGAGAGGGTTTTGCATTTACTGTGTGTTCAGAAAGGACGGTGATTTTTCTCCAGCTGTCTGTGTGTCCATCTCTCCGTCTGATGTTGGCTCGTGAGCCACTGTAGCATCGCTGTCCGCTTCAGAATCCATGACCTTGTGGTGACTGTTCCGCGCGCGGAGGTGTTTCAAAATTCGCGCCAAAACCTCGCGCACGCACTTACTAAGCGCGCACTGCGCGCAAATCATAAACAGTGGGCGTTTATTTAAAAAAAGGGCGTGGTCACCTGCTCTATGTGCTAGCTGGCTAGGCTAAGGATGGGGAGTTGGCTAGCGGCTCTACGAGGCGGGAGGAGAAGAAATGATGAGCCACCGCAGCAGAGTGGACCCAGTAGAATAACTGAGCAAGACAAGGCAGTACTGGTAGGTCTCACCGCCTGCTTTTCTTGACAATTACTACAAATGACATGATGGTTGCCAACACAGAACCTAAAGAAGAGCAGGGACAAGCTCCAACAGTACCAGAAGAAAGTACGCCTCAATATTTCGCTATATGCACAACCTAATCACCTGCCCACTGTAAATATATGCAGATTTCTGAGCAACTCAAGAAAGAGAGAGACATTGCCAAGCAGCTACTCAGAGATGGAAAGAAAGAGTGAGCCAGAAACACAGCCAAGTCCTTATAAGAACCAAGTCTCTGTTATCACACATTCCCTGCTGTTGCTCCCGGTCCCAGGAAGGCCAAGTTGCTGCTGAAGAAGAAGAGGTTTCTGGAGGGATTGCTGGCCAACACGGACACCCAGCTGGAGAACCTTCAGCAGATGGTCGACACGATCGAGTTCACTCAGATCGAGGTGAAGGTGGTGGAGGGACTGAAACTAGGGAACGAGGCCCTCAATCAGCTACACAAGGTACAGTAATACCTGTCTGCACGTAGTTAACGTTATTTGTATTTAGTGTAATGCACAAGTGCACGTGAAATTTTTGCTGAAGAAAGGCCCATGAGTGTAAGCTAACTACATAATCACTGTTTGCTAGTGTATGTCGTAGGTTTCAATGCTCATTTCGTGTTGTTTACCTCTTGCTGGTGGATTTTATGACATGTCCTCTTTCTCCCCAGATCATGTCACTGGAAGATGTCGAGAAGATCATGGGTGATACTCAAGAAGCAGTGGAATACCAAAGAGTATGCCCGCATACAATGAACCTTACTAAACATTGCACGTGTGTTGATGGCTTCGGTCTGATACGACTAATTTGAAGCAAATATTTTCAGTGTGTGTGTGGTGATGCTTGCCCTGATCTCCACAGGAAATTGACGAGCTCCTGGGACAGAACCTGACGGCGAGGACGAAGATGCCATCGCAGCAGAGCTGGAGAGTATTATTTCAGTGAGTGTACAGACTGGGCCTCTTGTTCAGTTCACCACCGATGGATGTGGTACTTTGTCACTGATCCAGGCTCAGCTACCTAGTGTGCCTAGTCAACCTGTCGATCAGATCAGTGCCGAGGACTTGCCCGAAGTCCCTACCGAGGACCCAGGAGGTAAAGAGCTCCTCCTGAGTTCACCTTGGGCTCCACTTACTGTATAAGCTCACTACATAATGCATTCTCTATGGGGTATTTACGCGTGTGTGTTGATCATTGTTCTGTTCACAGAGCGAGCACAGAAAGAGGCAGAGAAGAGACAAGCTGTTCCTGCATAGGCTGTACTATTATTGACAAATTATTGTTTTGCTGTTTTTATATTATGATCTTTCACGTCCAGAATGTGTGTGAAAAATGATATTATGTACATATATAGCATCATGTATACATACATAATCAGTAGTGAACAAATATCAACCACAGCCGACATTTTACAAACGAAATGGTGTGTAACATTCTTGGAACAGTGTCTGCGCATACATGCATACATACATACATACATACTAATATATACATACATTGTATGTACAAGAGTCTGTTACTCCTGGAAGAGAAGTTCGCAGGGTTTATCAATGACGGTGACTCCAGCGTAGCTGCGGCCCTGGGTGAGGCCTCCCTCTGCAAACTTCCACACCTCTGACACTGGGTCAAATATCTCGATGGACGACAGGTTCGTTATCCCGTTGTCCCCGCCCACTACGTAGAGCATGTTGTGGACGACAACCGCCGCGGCGTTGCGACGCGGGGTGTTCATATCTGCCACTCGGGTCCACTTCCCGAGGTTGGTGTCATATCGCTCGACGCTGCGACGGATGTCCGGACCGTTGTGACCCCCGATTGCATACAGGAGATTATCCATGACAGCGACGGCTGCCCCACTTCGTCTCTGGATCATGCCCTCGATGTAGGTCCACTTGTCCGTGCGAGGGTTGTAGCGCTCGACCGAGTTGAGGCAGAGACGAGCGACTCCGTCGTAGCCACCCACCGCGTAGAGGTAGCCGTTCATGACTGCCACGCCCACACTGGACCGAGGGGTGCTCATTGGTGCTACGTCCATCCACTGCTTGGTGTCTGCATGTGTGTGTGTGTGTGTGCGTGCGCGTAGATGGAGAAGGATAATCGAGAAAGGGGTTCGGTAAAGTCAAGAGAGCAGGTGCCTTTTGTCGGCATAAACAGCAAAGCAATCCACGAGTCAAGCAGTGTGCATATCCAGGCTCCATCGAGAGTATGTATTTCGACTATATACTCACTACCCTATTCTAATCTTTAACCGTGTGAATGTGTGTGTGTTTGTCAGTATGAGGAGGGAGTAAATTCCAAGCAACACAAAAGTTAATTACGAAGTTCGGACTTGAATGGGCAAAACTACTACCATGTACACACTAAACTGCCAATTGACTATGTACCAAATAATATACCTGGATTGTACTTTTCAGCAGAGTCCAGTCCATTGTTTCCATCAAAGCCTCCGACGGCGTACAGCTCTCCGTTGAGGACGCCAACTCCGAGGGTGCTGCGTCGAGACAGCATTGGCTCCACCGGGACCCAACACACCCTGTTCAGGTCCAGCTGCTCCACTGACCTGGGAGGTACACGAGAGAGGGTAACTGAGGTTAATGAATGAATTAGTAGCACACACTCATTACGCAATCCATATCATGTACGGTGTATGCACGTGGAGATATGTGAGACTCAGTCAGAGTTGGATTGAGAAATGGATGGTATGTATATATGAGTGCTACATTGGTAAGTGGCCTTACATGTACAGTATGTATGGGGTTGATTACGTCACATTCTGCAACAGACTTGGCAATACGAGAAGAGCCAAGCAAGGGAAAGCATGTTGTCTGGAATGCCATCAACAGAGGTCGGGTTATTACCGATTGCACACACAGACGTGACAGAGAGTCAGTCAGATCCCTAACCTGACTCTCGAAGACCCGTCAAAGCCTCCAACTGCGTACACAGACCCGTTGAGGACCGTCACACCACATCGACACCTCCGCGATACCAACACGGGCCCCAACTTGCACACGTGGTTCTTGACGTCGTAGATCTCGATGTTTCTGATGGCCTTTGGGGACTGCCCACCCACTATCACAATGGACTGTGGCCCGCCGACTCTAATTCTGGAGTTGACCTGTCGACTGTGGATGGCTCGTTCGGAGGGCGACATGAGGTGGTATTTCAGGGCCTGGATTATGAAATCCTTGCAGTCTGTGTTCGTCTTGATGATCTCTTCCTCGGCCACGTGTTTCAGGACGTAGTTGCTGGAGAGGAGCTCGTAGCGGATGTGTCGAATCAGCTCCGAGAGGTGCCTCTCGCGCTCCGGCCGGTTGTGTTTCACCCACTGAATCACGGCCTCGAAAACGTCCTCCTCCGCCAGAACCCCCAGTTCGTCGCTCGAGATAAGCTCCACAATCGACGTGAGGGGGAGCGTGATGAACTCCTCGGAGGAACGCACGTCTGAGAAGTGTTTTCGAGCGTAGTGCTGGGCCTCGGTGAGTAGCTCGGGGCAAGAGTGGAGATCGGCAAAGCTAATGATGCCAAGAACGTTCATCGGATCGAGCTGCTTGCGGAGAAAGTCGCAGCAAGAGTCGCGGACATCTGTCAGTTGGAGGAGGTTGGCCGCGGGGAGGAGGTTCTGGACGTTGTCCTCGCTCACTTCGATGGTGCCGACGTAGACAAAGTTGATGAGTAGCTCCATCGCTTTCTCGTCGACTTCTCTGAGAGTGATGTCCTCTTGACGGGATTCTGAGAGCTCACCTGTGGTGCGTGTGTGTTGCGGGAGGGAGAGGGAGAGTGTGAGTGAATGGAGAGAGAGGATGAGTGAGTTTCCGGCTTGTCTGCCTACCAGTAAACATGCTCTTGAAGTAAGGGCTGGCAGCCGCCAGGATAACGCGGTGGGCGCTGAACTCGGAGGATCCGATGTGGATCACTACGTCGCACAGCTGTTTCTGTTGCCGTAGTTCCTCGAACACAGCGAAGGCCTGGTTCTTGATGTGCTGGGACGTGTACACCTGGCGGTTGGTGCCCGAGGCCTCCGTCATGTTCCTATCGGCTTCTGCGCGGCCCTCCGCGCTGTCCACGCGGCCAGCTAGGCGCGCGGCTGCTGGAGCAGCTGTCTGGCTTGTGGTCTGGAAGCCCTCGGGGGCGCTGGAGTTGTTCGCCATTGCAGTCTTGAAAGAGCAAGAGAGGGGCCGATCCGACAGCTAGCTGAAGGTAAACAGATAGGGCGTGCACTAATTAGAATATCGACCTCACATTGGCCGCACGCGCCCGCCGCCAATGCATCCCGCCCGGGCCCGCGCGCGCCCGGCGCGGCGGCCCCCCTCGCGCGGCGGCCGGGGGCGTCATGCATATGCATACGGAAACAACATGATGTGAAAATCATCTTCTTGAATGATGCGAAATCACTAGAGAGAGCAGTTTATTGACAGGCAACGTCGATGCCATTGAAGACAGATTCTCTGAAATGGGGGAAATTTCAACTCTAAAAAACACTAACAAGTGGGATTTATTGTATACCTGAAGAGAGGACCAGGAGACCAGTCGAGAGGCTGATCTGAAGAAACTGTGCCAACCTCTCCACGGACTCCTCCAGTTCCTGGTGGTTCTCCCCCTCTCCCTGGTTCCTCTCCTCTGTTGCTGCTGCTGCTGCCACGCCTCCCTTCCCCCTCCTCTTCAGCTGTGCCGGCTGGTGACGACTGAGTCCCAGCAACGCAGCCACCGTCACGGCGATGTGGTCGCTAGTGAGCGTGTCGCGAGGAAACGACTGAGAGTCTGAGAGAATCACGGAGAGAATGTTGGCGTGGAGCTTCGATATCAGCATCTGGAAATCCTCCTCTGTGTTCTTATCTCTCCCCTCACCCTCCTCCCCAGCGGGTGCCAGTGAATCTCTTCCAGTCGACGTAGTAGCTGAAGATAATCCTTCTTTAGTCTTCTCGGAGAATTGTTTGACTTTTTTGTGCACGAGGGATTTTTTCTGCAGTTCTTCTGCACCCTGTTCGGGATGGTGGCGGTGGCAAGGTGCAAGTATGCTCCACCTCATCAAGCCTGCAAGAGGCGACTCTGAGGTCCCGGTGGTAGTGGCGGACGGGGCAGCAGTAGAGCCCTTGATGGGCGAGTGGAAAGCGATGACGTCTGTTTTCTCCATGAGACGAGGTGCGTACAAGAACTGCGGTGTCTTCTCCACCCAGTGGGAGATGATGGACAGGAGCTGTCGCGGAGGACAGAGTCTCGCAGGATCCACACCAGGAACTGGGGTCCCAACTGAAAAATGATGATGATAGGTTCTATTATATTTTCATGCACCACCATAGTCAAACATTTAGTATATATTATGTAGTGATCATGATTTGAATCTTTTACTGGATAAATGCAATCACATGATACAAATTGAATTTTAAGATCTTAGGCAACCAAAGATCCATTTCGTGCCTTCCAAACCAAAGGTGCATAAAGTTATGTAAGATGTACAAGACGCAAGTAAAAACTGCTTGCTATAGTGCACCACGTAATGTCAGCCGACTACGTTGTGAAACCCTTTTAACAAAAAGTTTTAGGCGATCTCGTGGTGTAACCCAGCCCACGTACCGATGTGGAAGGGGTGAAGGATGGTGAAGGAGGAGGCGAGTTGGCGAGCCAGCTGGGGGGACAGAGACGCCACCTGGACAAGAGGGTCACTGGCGTTGGGCAGCTGCTCACAGAAACTGGAGTAGAGAGAGTGACTGAGGCCCAGGGCCTCACTCGGGTGGACCTGCAACATACACCACATCTGACAACTTTGCTACAAGATTTTAAATTGTATTCGACACCTGCATCCAGAGAGCCACACATGAGAGGACAGGACTGCTCTGGAGACTGACCGCCAGGCACACCACTCGCTCCATGAACGACTCCCCGGCCCTCGACCCAGTCTTTTGAGTATAGAGGAGAGAGACAGCACATCATGGCATGGTATAATTTTTCTAACCTTGCCTTCTTGTAAAAGAACAGGCTTGAAAAATTTGTCTGAATTTTTCAGCCAGTACATAACATTTTAAGCTAAACCAATGCTGAAACATACAGTAGAACCTCCAGTAAGTGACACAATAGACAGCACCTCTCAATAAAGGACACATTCTGAGGTCTCATAACGTTCACTTTTGTTAATGTTTTAACCACCAAAGAGAGGAGTATTATTCGGAGGTTCCACTGTAGATCTTATAAATTGTATGTATGTATGTATGTATACACCTTAATGCTTCCAATGCAGCCTCCAAAGACAGCCTCAAACATGTAGAACTGATGGTCAATGGTGGCCGTCTCCTCTATCTTCCTGACCAGCGACACCATCACCTGGAGCTCCTCTAGAGGTGAGTAGGGTGTCGGCCTCTGCTCGACTTTGTTCTTCTTCCCCGTGACCTTCACCAGGACCGGCTGACACAGGATGAAGTAGCTGACTAGTGTCAGGAGCGGTATCTTCTTGGGCAGGGATATCTTTAGCATCGCATCACTTGCTAGGTATGCCTTGATGTACCTGCATGTGGGCAGCAGTTAACCAGTTTTTGTGTACAGAGAGAGACGTTCAACTATTGAAAAAAGCATGAACTACAAATACCAGTGAAACCTATGGATAAGGACACTCAGACTTTGCTTGATTTTGCCCCATACTAATACATTATCATATTTTAATATTACCTCTGAATAAAGGACACTATTATTCAGAGGATAAACAAGTCTTCTGTCGTGTGCACCCATTATATACTTTTCTCCTTCCTAATATGGGGGAAACCTACTTCTCCAGCAGGGTGAGCACAAAGTTACAGGAGGTTGGGAAAGTGAGTCTCTGTATCTGGACAATGAGGTCGTTGAGCGGGGTCTTGGCGGCAGTCTCTGTCAGGTGTTGCTGCTGCATGGCCAGCTGGTGGGGGGAGAGCACCGGAGGGAGAACTGCCGTGGCCGTATTGGAGCTCTGCATGGCCGGCCAGGCAGGTGGAGCGGGTGACACATCTGCATTCGTCAGAAAATGTGGAAAAAGTGAGACGAAAAATGACCGTAGCTATACCTCTGGAGCCAGGTTTCTGCCGTCGTCCACCACGACCAACCTGCTGCTGCCGCTTCCCGGCATAGCGATCCTTCGTAGGACTATCCCTGGCGCCCACTCCACCTCGTTTCATGAGCGAATGGAGTCTTTTGTCTCTTAGCTGTTCCGACCTTGTTTCTAAATATTGCCCACCCTCACGTGACGGTAACGAAAACTCTCTTCCGAGTGTTCGGTTTTTGTAGTGCTCTGTGTTATACTAACTCTGGTTCTACGGCTCTGTCGATCGCCTAACCGATCTTTGCAAGTGGTCTTAGAATGGACGACTCGCTGGAGGCGTTGTTAGGTAAGACAGACGGCTAGCGGAGATTACTGTGATGCGTGTACCACTCGAACTCGTGTTCTTCTCCTGACAGAAAAGGCAACCAACCCCAAGAACAAGTATGAGGACTGGGAGTTCATCATGGCGTTCTGTGATCGCGTCAACCTGGAGCAGGATGGGTAATAACTACTGTTGTCTGTAGACATTTCGCTGGTGCTCACTAAATAGAAACCCATCCTTTGCTCCGTACGGCCCTTACATTACTACTTGGATTTAGTTTGTGAGTGGGCATGTTGTATAGTTCAGGAAGTATGGGCACACTATGTAAATGAAGTTGTATTTCCACGGATGGTGGAATGCAATTATGATGTTAAACTTGTGTTCCTTTGGTAGAGCACTCTCCCTAGTGAGCTGAGTGTTGGTGGGTTTAAGTCCTTCCCCGGGGCAGCTTGGTCTCTTTTTCTCCTGGATGTTGATTTGATCCCAATTCCTGCAGACCCCAGCTGGCTCTGAGGATGATTGTACCCAAAATGAGACACGAGAACGAGAGGGTCAATTTGCTGGCCCTAGCAGTGAGTCAGAGAACTCTTATCTCTCTCTCTCTCTGCATTTTCCAAGATACACATACAAGTCTCGAAGGCACTCCTCTCTCTCTCTCTCTGACAATTCACCATCTCTATTTTGTCTTCTCTCATCTCTCAGCTGCTGGAAGCGTGTGTCAAGAACTGTGGGCAGAGGTTTCATCAAGAACTCGGCAAGTTTCGCTTCCTCAACGAACTCATCAAAATGATCTCGGAGAAGGTAATGATTTTGAGCTTATTTCTCTATCTGTACATACCATAGGGCATAGCATTTTTCAGGTCCCACACAATAATTTTCTGAAAATACGTAGATAAAGAAGTGAGAGTCGAGAATCTCAGAATAAGTTTTTTACACTCTGTTTTTTTGGTCACATGTGGCAAAGTTTTCGAAATATTGTGCATACAGAATATGTGGAACCTGTCTTCTTTTCACTCTGTATGGTGCAGTATCTAGGTAAACAGACCCCCAGGGTGGTGAAGGAAAAGATCATGGCACTCCTCTTCAGCTGGAAGGTGGGGCTACCCACCGAGGGAAAGATTGCAGAGGCATACGAGATGCTGAAAAAAGAAGGTCGGCAAAAATCGCACCACATAGTTTTCAAGACACGATTTTTTTGTTGATCCGCTGATTTTGAAGCTTTTGTGAATTGCCGTATAGAGCATAATTTTCGTGAATGAGACTTATATGTGAATCTTGGAAAATGCAGAAATTTGGTGGTGCTACGTATATAGAGTTGTACTCTTTCTCTACTCTGTGTATGTATGTATGTATGTACATTTCATACTTGTGTGTATATATCAGGACTGGTGTTTGATGAGTCTCAGGGTCCAGACGCAACTCTGATACCCGAGAAACAGAAACCCAAAGTCGCTCTGTCGCAGGACCCCAAGCAGGCCAAGGTACGTATATGGCGAATCATACACACGTATAGAGCATTGTAGTTACAAGTCCCAGATACACATTTATACTACATACATACATCTCAATTCACTGCTACATACGTAATCGAGGGAACAGAGCAGTGCTATATAGTGTGTCGCTAATAATTGAACACCACCCAGGAGAACAAAAGAAAAGCTGTCCCGGGTATGATTTTAACCCACTACACTGCCTCTGCCGAAGCACGTGGCCAAGCCGAGAGCATGCCCTACTAAGTGATTTGTGGCGTGTTTTTCCCCAACAGATGCTGCAGAAGTTGCTTGCCAGCAAGAACCCCGATGACCTCAGAGCTGCCAACAGACTCATCAGGGAGATGGTCAGACGGGTAAGCCCACCATTGTATAATAATACCCCCGTACATTTAGAGAGTTCCATCTGAGACCCTTTTCTCTAGCCCACTCTGCTTTACACAGTGATTCTTTAGCCAGTATGCGCTTTCTTTCCCCCTTTTTTGCAATAAAACCCTATTAAGGCGAGATATGTAGGGATAGGGGCAGGGAAATAAGCGAGACAGGCATAGGGGCAGCAAAATGATAAGGACAGTGAGGTAAGGCAAGATAAGGATAAGGACACTATGACAAGGCTCGCCCACATGAATTCATGAATTTGAAAGTGAATTCTGATTAACTGACACCCTCTGTACACGTGTGTATTGTGTGTCTGTCAGGACGAGAAGCGGATGGAGAGGATGAAGCGCCGTCTGGACGAGCTGGAGTTGATACAGAACAACGTGAGACTCATGAACGAACTCCTGTCCCACTTCAGGCCCGAGTCAGGGGAGGATGAGAGACAACTGTTGAAGGTCTGTGAAGAGAGGTGTCCTACTTAAACTGGACTACAGTACATCGAATGATTTCTCTTTGCTATTATGTATGTAGAGGTGACCTTTGGAGAGAGAAAGTTTTCGTGGTTTCATATGTAGCCAAATAGTCAATCGTGACTGGTATTTTGCTGGTGGGTAACTGTTTTGTCAAGCAACCCACCCATAGTGTTCAGGCTACTCTTTTACTGATATCTCACGAGTATGTCTGTCGTCTGTGTGTGCCAAGAGATAAAATTGGGTAAAGGCATTGCACTATATATACTGCATGTATAATAGTTGGGCGTTCATTATGTCTGTAATAAGCTGAGGGGGAAAACATGTACACTGGTTGCCGTTTTTATAAATAATAATAATAATAATAATACTCAGGTGGCTGCCATAGCACTAGGGCCATAGACCACGCACCCAGAGCAATGGGCAGAACCGTTAGCAAACGAACATACACCATATGAACATGAACATGAGGTGTCTGTCTCACCTCCCAGACACCTCAACTCACCCCTTCCACCAGCGACACCCTGCAGCTCCCCAGACGCAATCTGAGACTGGGTTTGTTGTACACAGGGACTATCGCCGTATAACCTAACCTTTCGCGTAATAAGCTGAGGATTGTATATTGAGCCTGAAATGCGAAATATTGAATTGTATACACCCAAAATAAGGAATATATATTGAGGATAGTAGGAATATATATTTAGGATTGTTGTGTGTGTGTGTGTGTGGTAGGAGCTGTACCAGTCACTGGAGAAGATGAGACCCAACATGTTCCGCATGGCCAGCAACCTCAAGCCGGAGGAAGAAGGAATGGACGATATTCTTCAGACCAACGACGACCTCCTGCGAGTCATGGACACCTACAAGAGAGTTGTGGGAGAGGCCGGGACGACGTCGGCCGCGGCTCAAAATGGTGGCGGAGAGACTCAGAGGAGCGAGGAAGCTCCGGAAGAGGCGGGGGCTGCAGGAGGCATGGGGCTAGGGGTAGGCGGAGGAGGGGATGCCAGCACTCTGATTGATCTTGCAGATCTTGATTTCGGGTCTCTGCCGGCCACTAGCAATGCTCCCGTCACATCCAGCAATACTGACTCCCTGCTTGACGCTCTTGGAACACTTGGTGAGTGAGTCTTGTAACAGAGAAACAGAGTCCGAGTGTCTGTGTGACGTTTTGCTCCCCTCTCCAGATTTTTCTACAGCTGGTGGTGCACCTGCAACATCACAGAGCAACGTACGTTTACTTTGCCCTCTACCACGCCACTATTATTGCGCCAGAGTTGCGCGATAATTTTCCACTATGTTCCAAATAAAGTGCACCATTTGAAATTTTACTGGGCACTTTTATTTGAAAAAGTATAGTTTTGTTTACTTGAAATTGGCCTCATTTTGTGTTTCTCTGCAGTCTCTGCTGGACTTTCCTCCAATCCTTACTAACCTCGCCCCTGCTTCCCAGCCACAGGCAGCTCCAGCCAACTCCTTCCCCACTTTTCCAACATTTTACCCTTCCTTCCCCCACATGTCTGGAGTAACTCCCTCCACTACTGCCGCTGTACCCCAGATCCCCGGGGTACCCACACCCCAACAGCAGCCGTTTGTCCTCCCACCGCCTCCCTCTGTGCAGAATCCAGTGTTGACAGGGTTTGGAGGAGCTGGCCAAATCAGACAGCAAACTCCAGTTCTTCCCACCTTGGGAGGGCAGTCGTCACTTCCAAATAATGCCACCCCAATGACAATTCCAAATAATGCCACCCCAGCGACTGTGACCTCTCTCGGCCTTCTCGGGGATCTAAACTTCAACCTGAACCTCGGTCCCCAGCAGACCTCCACTGGGGGGCAAATTTTGGGAGTCCACCAGTGGGGGGCACTTCAGAGCGACCCCCTGGCTGTCCTGGCAGATCTCACAGTGCCCAAGGATAACATTCAGCCCAGTAAGTTAACACAGAGAACTGCTGAACAGTATATATCTCACTGGGTTTTCCCCTAGTGGTCTACAAAGTGCTCCATACACCAGTTTGTCTTGTTTCACAGGCACTGTGCCTCCTATTCCTGTCATGAACAAGAACTGCATATCAGTCTCTTTGTGTTTCACTAAGGTGAGTCACATAGTGCATGCTGCATGTACAAATTGAACCTTACGCACCTACGTAGCATTAGTTTTGCTGTTCAAAAGTCAGTGTTGTATTGTGTGTTAGGTTCTTTATGTGTCAATATCATGGTACAAACGTGACATGAGCTGTAGTGTAGTACACTGGTTGTCTGATCCGTAACGATTCTCTCAGAATGTTCCGGCTCCCCATGTAATGGTGGTGGTCATTTCCGCCATCAGTACCAACGCTCTTCCAGTGACACAGTTTCAAATCCAGGTGGCAGTACCAAAGGTAAGACGAGAGCCGATCCAACATCATCAACTCTTGAGCCCTCTCTAATGTTATACATGTACAGGTGATGAGAGTAAAGCTGCAGCCACCAACAGGCACTGAGCTGTCTCCTTTTAACCCTATGCTACCTCCAGCAAACATCTCCCAGATCATGCTGCTCGCCAATCCAACAAAGGTATATAGATTCACTGCCCGTCGTGAGTCAAGGGAACTGACTGCACATTAATGTAAAAACTTGCTTTAAGTTTGTGTACGTTTCACCTCAAACTTAAAGGTAATGTGTCAATACATAAGGGCTTAATACACAATAGAGCCCAGTGCAATCAGGTTTCCACTTATAGGCCACACTCTTTTTAATATTATGAGACAAGCTCTATATATTATAATTATGTAGATTAAGTTTCATTGCCTAAAATCATGTTTGTGTGCAGGACAATATTCGGCTGAAGTACCGGATCAGCTGGATGTTGGAAGGGGCAGAAACCATAGAGACTGGAGAAGTGGCAAGCTTCCCAAAACTATGAGCTCATTACATTGCCCGTCCCCCTGCATAATATGACTGTGAATAGTACGTTATGATTTGCAGGGTGTCACATATATACTCTTGTTTTATCCTTATTAAAAAATTTGTACATAGTATCATTTTTGTGGATGATTATGTTTATGGATCTGTAGCTGAATTTTTGTCGACAGTGGTAGTTGGTGGTGATTTACTAGTGGATGGATGTGTGGGCGTCTGTGCTCGTGAATGGTCTAAAGTGGCAGTTGTTTGTCCACTAGTGGCAGGGGTTGGTGGTGGCTCTCCAGTGGTCTGTGGTTGTGCCACGTTGGCGGGGTTGTCAGACCACAACTGGTAGTCCGGTCTAGTCGGAAATCTCTTCACGTTCCCACAAGTCAGGCACTTCACCACCACATGTGTCTCACGATGAGCTGCAACAAGGGTAATATTGTAGATCCCACCTAGTGGGTAAGGGAGTTAAGACGTATATACCTCTCACTCGGTGTGTTGCCGTGACTCCTGGAACAAGTAGACTATCGCAACCTTTGCACAGCATTCTTTTCATGCCAGGGTCCCTGTGTCCGTAGCTAATACGGAGGAGTCTGTAGCCAAGATTACCCTGCGTTTGGCTTACATTCTAAGAACGAGTCTCTTGCCAACATTCTTCATGGTGTGGACGTAGAACCTCGATAGCTGCGGATGGGAAGGGTTCGCCGAGAGCACGGCCAGGGACGCCTGCAGAAGAGATGGAAGTGTCGTTTGTCTCGAGTTATGCATTCTAACTCGAGCACTGACTTCACCTGGAAAAGAAAGTTCATCCGCATAAAGGCCTCTCTGTGTGGAACGATGCTTTGCTTGCTGCCTCGCTTCTGTTTCTTGCCCATTCTCTCTCGCGGTGAGTTTCTGTTGGTGGGCGTTAATTGGGAAAATTCGCACGTGACTCTCAACAGCGGGGGTGAAAGGTCAAGAAGACGATGGCGCTTCTGCAATGTAAGTTTGCCTTCCTGCGTTTTCTGTTGGGTATGTAGGTAATGTATTTGGCTGTAGGTTCGTTTTACAGACATTTGCTGTTGGCCAGGCAACTACTTTCCACTGCACTGTCCGCAAGACAAGTCATGGTCACGCCCCCTTTAGCCCAATCCAGACACGCCTATGCCACGCCCAGTCTATCTTCAGTTAGACACGCCCACACCACGCCCATCTGGCACCTGGGCCGACCTCTGCCTCATGTCGAGGTTGGATCGGAAACTTCAACGGTAGATCAAGAAAAGGTCTGAAATGACGGTAGTATCGTCTCAGTACTGATGGAATTCTATCATTTTGTAGGTTCACCCCCCACCTCCCTCCCCTCACACACTCACACCGTCACAGATCACACAAGCACCCTCATCACCGGTGCACACAGAAGTATCAGACGACGCTCAGATCACCCAGAGGTATGGACGGCACCCCAGTACGGCGGAGGAGGAGTGGTCACGGTTGAAACTCACCTGGAGACAGCTGCCAAAGGTCTACCTCAGTCTCTCTAAACACAGGATCACCAGTAAGAACCACCGAAATACACACATTAGCCGTTCGTGCTCAATAGTTATGTTTCGAGGGCGAAAACCTTGTGTGAACTTAGAGATTTATAAGTGCTGTCGGCAAAAAAACTTTTGTGAACTGCAGTTAGGTAAACTGTGAAAGTTCATCGTAAGTTTTCATTCTCAATTTCACGAGTTTTCCCTCAAATTTTCCTGGTTTTGCACTTATCAGTTGCTTACGTTTAGGTTAATGTTTCGAAAGTTTCTCTCGCTTATTATATCGTTGCTGGCACTAATTTCTGTTGCCTCCTTCAACTCATAGATAACAGTTTCTCCTTTATTTTATCCATGCTCAGCTCTAGTGACGCTGTCGGCAGTGATGGGCTATTGTGTGGCTCCAGCTCCATTCGAGGTGTCCACACTGCTCCTGGCATCACTGGGTACCGCTCTCTGCTCTGCCAGCTCCCTCTCTTTGAACCAGGTCCATATAATACTGCACACTCCTCCCACACACACCTTATAATACACAGCACCAACATTATATTGAAGGTCCATTCTGCACCCATCTTTGTATGGAGCTAACCGTGCAAACGTTATAAAATTGTTGAATAATGCAAACGTTATAAAATTGTTGAATAGTGCCAAGGTGTTTTGAAGGCACCGACTATATTTTGCACAGTTTGTCTTCCACACACTACTGTATGTTTCCACTTCTCTATTGTATAGTGGCTGGAGGTGCCTTACGATTCTCAGATGACTAGAACTAGAAACAGAGTACTTGTCAAAGAAATTGTCAGGTTGGAAATTTTCACCCTTCTTCACTACAACTACCCTTCCATATTTCATCTCTCTCTTTACTCACAGCCCCTTTCACTCAGTGGCTTTCAGTACAGTCATGGTGCTAGCGGGAGGGACCCTCCTGTGGACCACAGTCAACCCACTCACAGCGTTCCTCGGTGTTGGAAACATCCTCCTATATGTCGCTGTCTACACACCACTCAAGAGAATCAGCCTCTACAACACTTGGGTCGGTGCCATCGTCGGAGCCATTCCTCCACTGATGGGGTGGACTGCTTGTACCGGGACACTCGATCCTGGAGCGTTTGTCCTCGCAGGCATCCTCTTTGCGTGGCAGTTTCCCCATTTCAACGCCCTCAGTTGGAGGCTAAGAGGAGACTACTCGCTTGCCGGGTACCGCATGATGTCGGTGGTGGACCCCAGCCTGTGTAAACGGACGACACTGCGGTACTGTCTGGCACTATTCCCGCTGTGTGCAGCAGCGCCGGCCCTAGATATCACAACCTGGTGGTTCCTAGTGGATTCCATCCCGGTCAATGCCTGGATGACTTACCTGGCGTGGAGGTTTTATAGTGACTCGGAGGAAGATTTCAAGTGGGCTCGAAAACTGTTTCAGTTTACTCTGTTTCACCTCCCTCTATTGACTGGGCTGATGCTCATCAATAAGAAACACTGGTACTCGGAAGAAAAGACCATTATGTAGAGTGATGATTATGTAAACGATAATTTGTCGCCCACGTGCGTGGAATCCGTGTGGTGGGGGACATGAGAGGTCGGCCAGATGGAGTCAGTTTCTTGAGGGGCTGGTGGTCTCCGAGACTAGCCGTGTAATAGCAGCACAAATGGCTCTGGCCACCGTAAGTACCCTAGCTATACGTTCGACTCGCGTTTTCGTAGCTAGAGCGACAAACAGAAAAATGTGAGACTTGGGGTAGACTTATTTCAGGTGTTTCCCCTAATGTGACATCCCCAGTTGCTCCGTACGAGTCAAGATCGTTGCCACAAGAGTGACTCACGTCTCGCGTAAAGAAAGTCGTGCATGGCCGGCAGCGAGAGGCGACAGCTAGGGCGAGAGCATTGTCTCGCGGGGAGCGGAAAATCGCGAGGGGGTCAGGGCGGGGGCGTCGATCGGGTGATTTGTATAATGATCGGAAGTTTGTCTAGCATTCTGCTTGGCAGGGCATCTTGTGGTGTGTTGCTAGTCAGGTGTTTTACCACCCAGGGGAATGGTCCAAGTGGAAAGGAGCTAATAAGAAAGGTCCCACTGTATAAGCAAAAATGGAGAGTTTCTGAAGCAGATAGCTATACATGAAATTTCAGAATTATTGGACCAAGGATGGTGGGAGATGTTTGCAGTAAAAATTGGGAAGTTTGGGATAATAAAAGAAGCTATCATAATAGTCTTGATAACCAAAAGTATCAGTTGCTGCTACAAGGGAGCTGCAGACACAACTCAAAAACAACTTACAGAATAATTTTAATAGCATTATTGAGGCTCGACAAAATTAATACACTAGACAATGTATGTAAGCTGCTGCATGCCCAGTCAGAGCGCGCTGTGTTGTCAAGAGTTTTACCGCGTGCGCCGATTTCGCATTCATGTACAGGCATCCTAGGTCTATTTGCAAGTATGTTCTTTATCAATGCCATCCCTTAGAACATTGGTTCTGGTCTCTAACCCAAGCACACATGTAGACTAATTAATGTGTCTATTACTTTAGGTAACTGAGGGTAGTGGAAAAGCTCTTATCAAACATGTTCCGTTGTATAAGCAAAGATGGCGGGTTTCAGAAGCAGATTTACACAAAATGTCTTCACTTTTTGGCCGAGGATGGTGGGAGATGTTTGCACGGAAAATTGGGTTTCACGAAGAAGTGGAGAATATTAAAAATGGTTATATTGGCCTACATAATTGGGTTTACCAGTTACTGCTACAATGGAGCAGTAGATATGAATCTAAAGCAACCTACAGAATAATTCTAAAGGCATTATCTGAGCTCAACCAAATTAATGCACTACATGACGTATGTAAGCTTCTACATGCCCAGTCAGAGCCTGGTCGACCTTTGCCCTCTGCTCTAGAGAGATATAGCGACGCCCTAAAGAGTAAGTATTCAGAGTATAAGCTAAAGGCTATAGTTGATTGGCCTCCACCACCTGCTGAGAATATTGTTAAACTGGCCATGATTGGGGATCCTAAAATCGATGATAAATTTATTGGCGATATGACCCAAGGAAATGTTAGAAGTGTGTTGAATACCAAAACGGTCATTGAGCCTGTTGATTTGTTTCAGAGAATAGAGTCAGGTGGGGGGAAAGTAATTCTGCTGGAAGGTGCTCCAGGCTCAGGGAAATCGACAATGTGTTGGTATATTTGTAAGCAGTGGGGGGAAGGGACACTATTGCAGGGGTTTACCCATGTTCTAATGATTGAATTGCGTGACAAAACGATTCAAGCGGCGAAGCACCTTGTTCAAATATTGCCTTATTTTTTGGGTCACGATAACAGAGTTGCAGAAGATCTAATAAAGAAGCACGGAGATAATGTTTTGGTTATACTAGAAGGTTGGAACGAATTACCAAAAAATCTGCGAAAAGAATCAATTTTTAAAGATCTTGTCACCAAAGGTGGTCGTAGTCCACTACAAAATGCGGTTGTGTTGGTATCATCTCGCTCAAATACGACCGTCGATCTTCAGCAATACATTGCATTGCAAGTTGAAGCTTTAGGTTTTACTCCCGATCAAATCAAGGCTTATGTGGAAGGGTGCTTTGAATCTAAAGGGGAGCCCGATAGAGCGCAAAAATTGCTCGCAATCATCAATCGAAATCCCAAACTTCGAGAGAATTGCTACCTTCCGCTCATGTTGATAATCATAGTTCACTTGTACGACTGTAGCAAGACTCTGCCCGAGTCATTCTGTGCAATCATTATCGAGCTTGCACTTTCTTGTCTTTATCGCTATTGCAAGGAAAATGGTATACTCGACCTTGAAGATAGCATGGTATCTTTGGACGATGTGCCGTCTCAACTTCAGCCTAGAGTGTACGAGTTATGCGAATTAGCCTATAATGCGACGGTGAATGAGAGGTATTCTTTTTCAAACCCCCAAATGGATGGTTTGGGTCTGCTGCAGAATGTACGCAGTATTGCAGCCAGGGGAAGTAGTGTGACTCAGTATTTCCTTCACTCGTCCCTTCAAGAGTTGTGTGCTGCTCTCCACGTGTCGAGACAGCCAGTCCCAAAGCAAAAAGAAATGCTCGAGCATTTGTTTGAAGCTCCGAAAGATTACGTGCTTCGTTTTTACTCTGCCCTAACTTCGTGGAAGAATGAAAGCGTGGTCGAAGTCCTTTTTAAGCACTCGAAAAGCATTCAGCATACTATGGAAAAGTTAGTAAGAATTCCAGCAATGCCGGAACCGCTGTCACAGGCTTGGATGATGATCCTAGTAACGTCTTGGAATGCTCGAAAACGGGTTTTACGTCCATTTGAGCAGTGTTTCTGTATACAGATATGAGCCTTTCAACGTGATATGAGCGATGGCAGAACAGAGCAAACATTTGATATGGGGGGGAAAGATGGGGAGACAATAAAGAATGTTATGTTAAATGCCTGGGGGAAAATAGCCGCTCAAAAAGGTATAGATCCATCAAGTTCAAGTGCATTTATAAAGACACTATTTGAAAAAGTACAGGGTTTTAGTTTTGAACCATTTTTCCAAGAATTGTTTGAATTGTTTGGAACAGATCAAATACCATTCATGGTTATTATGGAACAAATGATGCAAAAGCTCCAGCAAGAATTTAATCAAACCACTGAAGATCCAAGACAAATGCTAGGTTTACCCCCGTCTGAAGGGCAATTAAGTCAGCAGATGGTCCAGGATACCATGAAAGTCATGGGGACCAACGGAAGTTATTTTCGCGATTTGATGGGCTTGATGACACTAAAACCTAACCCTGGTCCCGAGGAATTTAGAAAGACCTTGAAGATTTGGCACAAGATGTCAAATGGCGCACAATTTCACAATCATAATCAGATGCTTGCATTATTTTATGGAGTGGACACAGTCACTGTGTTGATGTTTTTGCACTGTGTATATGAAGCCGGGAACCCACTCCTGGTCCCTCTTTTGGGGTCTTCTCTTGCACTAAGGGGAAATTTGAATGGAGGTGACTTGCTTGCCCTGCAAAGTGTCTTCCAAATGATTAAGAATAGCCGGTTATCACACAGTATCAAAACTTTATATCTGACAACAGCTAGTTCTCCAAGTGACATGGATGTAGTTCTGCAAGCAATTGAATCTGTAAAAACGTTGGAATTGAGCATTGGAAAGTATGAAGAAACTGTAGCTACCTGCATATTGAAAAAATCTTCAGTGATGAGACTTAAATATGACTGGATGATTCCCGATGAAGCGGTTCGTATTGAGTCATGCACGTCATTTTGCAAGTGTCTGGAACACAATGAGTGTTTGCAGGTGTTGGATTTGTCAGGTGTTCCAATGCTTGACATTGGAGCCAGAGAATTGGCAAAGGTTTTGAACACTACACAAATAGTTAAACTAAACCTATCAAGATGCGGAATTGAAAAGGAAGGGTTTGAAGAACTTTTAGAAGCACTAGAAAGCAACTGCTCTCTTACTGAACTCCACCTCCACGAGACCAAAATTATGCCCGCTGATCTTGAATCCCTTTCCTGTCTTCTCATTAAAAACAACACGCTGAAAACAATTGGAATGATTGAAGAACCGCTTACGTCTGAACGCACTGAAGAAAACTTGCAAGAATTTGTTGTCCGACTTTGCTTCAATTCCTCAGTTACCTGTCTCATGTTACACAGCCAGTACACACAAACTCCGTCACTGCAACAGGCCCTGAATCTTGTCAACCTCACAAGGAAACTCAAACAACAGCCACTACTTTCAATCGATGACCACTACCCCAAAAACTACAGTCCAGACTTGTACAATGAGTTTGGAATCAGGCCATGGGAATTCGGAATGAAGGCACTGAAATCAATCAACCGCCCAACTGTAATAACAAGTCGTGGATGTTATCTCATGGAAGAGCTTCCAACTCAAGTTTGGATGCAAACACTTTCATTCTCTCTAAGTTTCGTTACAGAATTGAAAGTTATTCGAAATGTCTCGATTAAACAGATTACAAAGCCAAGAAATTCCAAGGCAATACTAGTGAATGTCCAGTCAAGAATATACAAGGCAAGAAGTAAGACAGTGGCTATGGTAGAGGCGCGGAGAATCCTGTTTCCAGAGAAAGAGTTACCTCTTCAAGAACAGCATGGAACTCTGTGTGACAGTCTTCAGTTTATATCAAGATTCAAGGCAGTACATGCACTGTGTATAAAGAACCCTCTACCCAGAAGAAGAGCGAGGAGAAAGGATATGATAGTTGAAGTAAATGGACACCTCTCAGATCCCACCTCCCAGTACCCAGCAGTGGTGGAGGCTCTCCAGAAACAGAGACCGTTTTCAAGGCAGCCATGGCAACAGACTCTGTTTTGTACCCAACAATTCGTCCGCCAGTCCAAGGCTGTAAGGGACATGTGCACAAGCAAACTTCTTGGTTCAAACAATCAGAAAATCAACATCCGATTCAAAATTCCCCAACACACCATCGCAGAGTATTCAAGAATCATGTCCAGCGTGACAGTTCATAAAGCAATTGATCCAGAAAAAGGAATTTGAAGATCACGTGCACACTGCAAAATGCATGGCCATACTGCTATCAGTGATCAGAACCCTGCCTGGTGATGTGGACAGACCACTGCAAGAGTGTGCACCCTCTACCACTAACAATGTCATGCTGAATGTAGAGAATTCTACAGTGAATATGAACTCAGTAGCAAGGAACCTCATTGTAAAATCATATCCATTCACCAAACCAGCTCAAGCCAATTTCAGCATACTTCTCCCTCATGTACTGCACTACATTTCTGCATTACTCTCATAAATCACCACCCCTCATATTCCATATCCCTGTATTATACCTTCAATGAATAAGCTTGTTTTCTGTGGGAGTGCAAGGGCTCAATGCCAGTGCAGCAGCTAGTCCTAGTATTCATCAGGCAAATGGGTATTTCCCTGGGATTTTCCAGACTTTGCCAGAGTCCCACAGTAAACAAAGGTTGTTTGCTGCTCTACTCCACAAAACTTAACCATGGCTTCAACTATTAGAGTGGGGAGTGGTAGTACTGATCCCATGGTGAGTTTGTCTAGCATTTTGCTTGGTAGGGCATCTTGTATATAGTGTGTTGTTAGTGAGGTGTTTTACCACTATATACCAGGGGAATGGTCCAAGTGGAGAGGAGCTGATAAGTAAAGTCCCACTGTATAAGCAAAAATGGAGAGTTTCTGAAGCAGATATACATAAAATTTCAGAATTATTGGGCCAAGGATGGTGGGAGATGTTTGCAGTAAAAATTGGGTTTCAAAGAGAAGTTGAGGATATTAAAAGAAGCTATCATAATAGTCTTGATAACCAAAAGTATCAGTTGCTGCTACAATGGAGCTGCAGACACGAGTCAAAAGCAACTTACAGAATAATTTTAATAGCATTATCGAGGCTTGACAAAATTAATACACTAGACAATGTATGTAAGCTGCTGCATGCCCAGTCAGAGCCTGGTCCACCTTTGCCCTCTGCTCTAGAGAGATATAGCGACGCCCTAAAGAGTAAGTATTCAGAGTATAAGCTAAAGGCTATAGTTGATTGGCCCCCACCACCTGCTGAGAATATTGTTAAACTGGCCATGATTGGGGATCCTAAAATCGATGATAAATTTATTGGCGATATGACCCAAGGAAATGTAGGAAGTGTATTGAAGACCAAAACGGTCATTGAGCCCGATGGTTTGTTTCAGAGAATAGAGTCAGGTGGGGGGAAAGTAATTCTGCTGGAAGGTGCTCCAGGCTCAGGGAAATCGACAATGTGTTGGTATATTTGTAAGCAGTGGGGGGAGGGAAAGTTGCTTAAAACGTTTAGCCATGTTATCATGATTGAATTGTGGGATAAGAATATCCAGGGAGCAAAATGTATTGCTGATATGCTACCATATTGTGAGAGTGAGGATAGTTTTCTTGCAGGAGAGCTGAAAAAGAAAGAGGGCAAAAATGTGCTTGTAATTCTGGAAGGTTGGAATGAGTTACCAAACGAGCTACGAGGGGAGTCAATATTTAAAAATCTCATCACCAAAGGTGCTCGTAGTCCACTACAAAATGCAGTTGTGTTGGTATCCTCTCGATCTAATTCCACCGTTGCTATACATAAGTATGCAGCAATACGTGTAGAAGCATTGGGATTTACTCCTGATCAGATCAAAGCATATGTGGAAGGATGCTTTAATTGTAAGCCTCATAAAGCACAAGAATTGCTTTCATTGATAGATCAAAACCCTAAAGTTAAGGAAAATTGCTATCTTCCTCTCATGTTGATTATTATAGTACATTTGTATAATTTTAAGGATACTTTACCCGAGTCATTCTGTGGTACAATCAGTGAGCTAGCACTTTCTTGTCTATTTCGCTATTGTGTGAAGGCTCGCAAACTTGGTGTGGACAATGATGAAATGCGTTCATTTGATGATATACCTCCAGAAATCCAACCCCAATTTGACCACCTCTGTGAATTAGCCTATCGTGCAACTCTAGAGGAAGCATTTTCATTTTCAGACCCACAAACAGAATCTGATGAAGGTTTGGGTCTGCTGCAGAATGTACGCAGTATTGCAGCCAGGGGAAGTGAAGTGACGCAGTATTTCCTTCACTCGTCCCTTCAAGAGTTGTGTGCTGCTCTCCACGTGTCGAGACAGCCAGTCCCAAAGCAAAAAGAAATGCTGGAGCAACTCCTTGAAGTTCCACAGGATTATGTACTTCGCTTCTACTCGGCTCTCACTCACTGGGAAAATGAAAGTGTATGTGAGGTCTTGTTCAAACAGTCGCAAATTATTCAACAGGAGATGGACAAATTAATACTAATTCCAACACGGCCTGAGCCTGTATCACAAGCTCTGATGATGTTTCCAAATGAAATGGTGAGATTTCCTATGAGATTTGCGCAAATGTTAAAACATGTACTGGATACAGTACTCCACGAAAAGCCATTTGATCGAGATGAGCTAACTTCTCTTATTAAAATGGGTGGACCGGAACTGGACCCATTTGCACATGATCAAGCTGAGTTTATGCAAGAAATGATGATGCAACTTGCAGATGAATCATTTGATCCTGATACATTTAGAGGAATAGATGAAGAAAAGTTGAAAAATGTCATGTTTGAAAATATCAACAGACTCGCTATTGAAAAGGGTCTAGATCCATCAGCTACAGCTGGGTTTGTTGAACCAATGTATGAGCAAATGAAGAGTTGGTGGTTAAAATTTATGCCAGGCATTGAACCATTTGTGAAAGAACTAACTGAATCATTTGGAACGGATGAAATACCAAGAGAAGTACTTATTGAGCAAATCACACAAAAGTTTCAGCAGGATCTAACGAAACAGACTCAAATTCCCGAAGACGTGAGACAACAATTAGGATTTCCCCTGTCTAAACAGCAGAAAGCGAGCCATCACATGACCTCGCTGATTCAGAATAGTATGCAGAGGCTGGGAACTGACTCACATTATCCTAAGTTCATGAAGTCTCTTATGTCACAATTTCTGGAACTAAACACAAATCCTGACCCCCAAGCAGTCACTAAAATGTTCTGGCAGATAATAAACAATGCTGACACACCATCATTAAATCAGCAGCATCTTATATCAACATTAGCTCATGGAACGACAGCAGTTCTCACATTAATGCTATTGCACTGCATCTATGAAGCCAGAAACCCAATGCTAGCATTTGCACTGGGGTCTTCTCTTGTACTAGTGGGAAATTTGAACGGCAGTGACTTACTCGCTCTGCAATATGTGTTTCAAATGAAGAAAGATAGAAATGTCCTTAAATCTTTCCATCTGATAACAGCTTTATCTGAAACTAATCTACAGAAACTGACTAATGCTCTCGAAGCCGGATCAACAATAAAAATACTCAACATTGACATTGGTCTCTATGATGAGAAGTTAGTTTACCATGTACTGAACAAATCAACCGTAAGATGGTTTAGGTATGGGTGGATAATTCCAGATGAAGAAACTCGTATTTATTCATGTAAGTCATTTTGTGGGTGCTTAGAGAAAAACCAGATTTTGCAAGTGTTAGATTTTTCAGGTGTTCCAATACTTGATGTTGGAGTCATAGAATTGGCAAAGGTTTTAAACACCACGCGTCTGTTAGAGCTAAATCTATCGAGATGTGGAATAAAAGAAGAAGGAATCAAACAACTCTGCCGGGTCCTAGAAACGAACCACTACCTCATAGCTCTTCATCTCCATGAAACAACAGTCTCAAATCCTGCCCTACAGTCCCTCTCTCGCTGCCTGACACAAAACAACACACTGAAGGTAATAGGAATAGTGGAAGATCCGGTGACAGCTGAGCTAAGTGAAGAAAACTTGCAAGAATTTGTTGTCCAGCTTTCTTGTAATTCTTCAGTTGTTTGGCTAATGTTGAATGGCAAGTATAGGCACACTCCATCACTGCAACAGGCCCTGAGTCTTGTCAACCTCACAAGGAAACTCAAACAACAACCACTACTTTCAATCGATGACCACTACCCCAAAAACTACAGTCCAGACTTGTACAATGAGTTTGGAATCAGGCCGAGGGAAATCAGAATGAAGGCACTGAAATCAATCAACCGCCCAACTGTAATAACAAGTCGTGGATGTTATCTCATGGAAGAGCTTCCAACTCAAGTTTGGATGCAAACACTTTCATTCTCTCTAAGTTTCGTTACAGAATTGAAAGTTATTCGAAATGTCTCGATTAAACAGATTACAAAGCCAAGAAATTCCAAGGCAATACTAGTGAATGTCCAGTCAAGAATATACAAGGCAAGAAGTAAGACAGTGGCTATGGTAGAGGCGCGGAGAATCCTGTTTCCAGAGAAAGAGTTACCTCTTCAAGAACAGCATGGAACTCTGTGTGACAGTCTTCAGTTTATAACAAGATTCAAGGCAATACATGCACTGTGCATAAGGACCCTCTACCCAGAAGAAGAGCGAGGAGAAAGGATATGATAGTTGAAGTAAATGGACACCTCTCAGATCCCACCTCCCAGTACCCAGCAGTGGTGGAGGCTCTCCAGAAACAGAGACCGTTTTCAAGGCAGCCATGGCAACAGACTCTGTTTTGTACCCAACAATTCATCCGCCAGTCCAAGGCTGTAAGGGACATGTGCACAAGCAAACTTCTTCGTCCAAACAATCAGAAAATCAACATCAGATTAAAAACTCCCCAACACACCATCGCAGAGTATTCAAGAATCATGTCCAGCATGACAGTTCATAAAGGAGTTGATCCAGAAAAAGAATTTGAAGATCACGTGCACACTGCAAAATGTATGGCCATACTGCTATCAGTGATCAGAACCCTGCCTGGTGATGTGGACAGACCACTGCAAGAGTGTGCATCATCTACCACTAACAATGTACTACTGAACACTACAGCCGGCTTGCATTCGGCTGTGCCTAGAGATTTGATCTCGGAATCTTGTGAACGACACAAAATAACACCACCTGCTTTCAATATTCTTCTTCCCCATCTACTGCACTACCTTTCATTTCTACTGACTGTACTGAAACGCTTTCACTTTTAATGTAAACATTGTCTTACATCCCCAACTTCATGTATAATGTATCATTCTAGTACATGTCATCGTTGACACCATCAGTTGCAGCGTTTGAGCTACTGGAGCTGGCTTTGATACAGTTCACTTGACTTCTGTACATTTCAGCTACCTGAAATGAGAACACATGCATGTCTATTATGGCGGCCTCTTAGTCCACCACTGCACCACAATGCGCATTTTGCAGTCACCGAATAACTGATGGATTACTGTTACGCACACACAAAATAGGTGCGAACTGGGCCTATTTGGGGCGAGCCTAGCAGTTGGAAGTTCCATTAGCGGAACTAGACCTAAGTTTTCATGCTTCAAACTCCATGCATCAAGCAGCGGGCAGAAAGAAGCGTCACGGGGATAGCAGTATTAGGCTCAATCCACAGAGGGAAAGTGCTGCATTATACCAAGTATGTATGTTTACAAGCATATAAGCGCTCTAATTGATAGCGGATTCAGTATAATGTGCTGACCTGAGCACTGGACGTAGCCTGCTCTGGAGTCTTGTCTTCCCTGATCCTCAAAAAACGAGGAAATCTCAGAGATATTCCTTTCTCTTCGTCAACCTGCACGTGAAATTGCATAATTCTAGTATGCTGAGATGTAAGGGGTGTAAAAAATGGTAAAATTAGTGGTTGAAAGTGAAAAAAATGCGTCGACCGGGAGTCGAACCCGGATCTATTGCTTGGAAGGCAACAATGCTAACCGTTACACCACCAACGCTTGGTTGGCTGGGACCACAGATATTCTGCTTTTGTTCTAGCACACAGAGCCTTTTGTGCTCTGGGAGATAGCCACAACAGCCACCATAATGAGATTCATTGCACACGTCTAGAGCGCTGGACTTACAATTCCAGCTGCAGCGGTATAGACTGGCGAGATTGACAAGTCTGCAGCTTTCACCTCCCACACCTGAAAATTGAAACAGTGCACAACAAACATAGTGGTCAATTTGGGAGAAATCACAAATCTGCATGTACACCCAAAGCACAAATTGTTCCCACATAATATAATTCACGGATGTTGGCTCTCAAAACACGAAATGTTACCCTCTCACAACTCTATATACTCAACCGACAGTGAATACAGTATACGTATAGTGTTAACCTGGACAGAGTCGAACCACTCGTCCGGCTGCGTTCCCTCGTTGTACCGGTAGTAATGCTTGGGGCCCTCCAGTAGGTGGTCCTTGAAGAACACTGCATGTTGCTCCAACTGCTCCTCTTTGAACCCTGTTCCAATCTAGTGGGACATACGCAAACCACGTCATAATAGCTTGTACATTATAGGAGTGGGTATTATTCTCGCTTGGACAACTGAAGGTGTATGTATTAATGAACGTGACAATGCCTCCGGGGATAGCATTCTCTAAAACATTGTCGTACATGCAACAGGTTCAGGTTCTTTCAAAACTATACAGGATAAAAAATAAACATGCTGTTAGACTTCATACCTTGCAGATGACCTGAAACTCTTCGCTCTCCTCGTCGTAGCAGGCGAGGAGGAATCCTCCGTACTTGCCCGTCCTCTTGCCCGTCCCGTGGAACCCACCGACTACCACCAGATCAAGAGTGTCTCCCACTCCCTCCAGATAGTCCTTCTTTAGCTGCGGGGAGACGGGGAGACGGGGGGGGGAGGGCTAACATGGCAAATTACTGTTGTGGAGCAGAGAATTAGTATAATACACACACACGGAACCAGGGTATATAGAAAACAGCATTGGATAATTATAGGGTATGATGTTTGCCCAAACACCCCTTTCTCAGCTACAAGTGACTAATAGAGAGGCCCAGTTATACAAAGACTGATAGATTCCGTCAGAATATATAGCAACTCAGCACAAGTGGAAGTACATATTATATACCTTGAGCCAGTTGTGAGACCGTTTGGCAATCTCGTAGGTGGCATCCTTCTCGAGCGTTTTCACCATCAGCCCCTCACAGTTCCCTGTACACATGTGGACCATACACCGCAGTGTACATACTGCATACTATATATACAATGGGAAATAGGGCCAAAACCTTAACTCCATGCTAGACCATTAGGGAGTGATGTATATTTGAGCAGCTGGGCAGGAAACCCATGACAAAATAGTCACATTGTATACTGATTTGAGAAAGTCTGGCCTCCATATATACAATCTCTCTAGCTACACGTCTTTCCAGGACAATGCTGTGCTCTAACCTCTGACGGATTCTTCCAGAAACTCCTGGATTTCCTCCACATCTGATCCGTCCATTGACTTGGCAAACACAAACTCCTTCAGCACACACACACACATAATACTCATAGCACGTTAGCTAGTGGCCAATGGGCCTACCCCTTCAATCTCATTGAAAGATGACCTCAACAGCTCTCTTCTCGTCTTCAGTGGCTCTCTTACTAACGACTGCACAGAGAGAGAGAGAGAGAGAGAGAGAGTTAAACATGTATTCTACCACAATAATTACTTAATACATGTACTCATCCCCAACCCACCATCTATTTGTGTACATGGTTACTTTTCACTATCCCTCATAGTAATTGAAGGACTAAGAACAAAAGGGGCTTACATACACAACTAAGTTTTACTAAGTTATGTAAGTCTCCATAATGATCCCCACTACATACATTAATGTCAGACTTTTCTCTAGCTCTTTAGGTCGTCAGAGCTATACTTCACCTTGTCATTGAGGAAGAGTAGGTCGAAGGCAAACACACAGACTTGGACGGTGATGTCCGCCTCGCTCGCGTCCTTCCTCTTCCTGGTGCTGAGTACCTGAAACGGCAGGATCTCCCCCTTCTCCGTATCCCAGGCAACGGCCTCTCCGTCTATCACACAGGACTTGACACACTCCTTCAGAACCTGTCGTAAACCAGTTCGCAACCAGTTTAGCCACACAAATTAAATGAGAGTAACTGTTGAAAACATTGGATTACTTTTGGCATTCTTGAGATGATGTCGGGATATTTTGAGGTGTTGTTCTCAGAGTTTCGACTGTAGACTCTCACCTCTCCCCCTTCCAGTACATGGATCTATAGGAAGAAGACGTGTACGTACACATGGTCATACAGGTTAACTCCAGCAGCAAAAGTTTACATATAATTATACACGTGTAAAGGAGCTTACATTGTGTATATATTATATATATATATATATTGTATATAGGCTATAGTGGGAGTATTTTAGCTACACTTTTTAAGAGTGATCTGTGTCGAACACTCCTCAATAAAAAAAAAAGTACAAGATATTTGATAATACACATGCATGATGTGTCATACATAATACAGGTTAATGGAGTGACTTGTGATGTTCAGCTACACATAACCCCCACTGACCTGAGCCCTTTCTCCGTCGTACTTCCACTCGCAGGTGAAGGTGGCGTTCTCGAACCTGCGGAGGATCTCCTGCGCTCCCTTGGTGGGGTGGGCCAGCATTGGCTTGAGGGGGATGCCCGGGGTGAGCCGACAGTGGGCCGGGAGCTCCGAGACTCCGCGGAGGAGGAGCGACGAGATGAGTCGCTCGTAGTTTGGGTGCTCGCTGGAGGCAGAGTGGAGGCAGAATGTTAATGGGGGAAAACTGTGCATGTGCAGTGGAACCCCAGATAAGGGACCTCCAGGATAGGGACAACCACTCTACAAGGGAAAAAATCATTGGCCCCATAGTTTCCCTTTGATTATAGGTTCCACTGTATAGCATGGAATGTTCTGTAGGAACATTGAATGTGAAAGTAAATCGAGTGGGTGTGTATGTAAGTAAAGTGTCACAGTAGGAGCTGTTGGTAAACTGTATCATGCTGAGTTAGTAGTTTTGAAGTCTATTTGGAGAGTAAGAGAGTCGTACCAGTAGCATGTCTTGACAGTGAGGACTGCTTCGTCGAGAGACTTGTGGAACTGTTCAGAGCTCGATGCTCCATTGCTAGCATCGACCACACCCAGCGGCCAGTCTAGGGGGCGTGGCAGACCACACCCACATTACATCATCCCACACCTACATCGACAAGTGTGGAATTCTGCCATACCTTGTCCGGGAGGTGTGTATACTGCTGCATGTCCTATGGCCACCAGTACAGACTGCTCGGCCAGTCCAATACGCAGTTTACCACCCAGAGATCTGAGTAATGATGTAATGGTGATGTAATTGTAACATGATAGTGATGTAATGGTTGTACCGGATGAGGTAGCGGGCTTCACACTGTTTACAGGCGACGAACATACTCTTGATCATATCAACTTTCTTTGACATTGACTGGAAAAAGATACAGAGCGAGGCATACGTATGTACGTACATAGATGAGAGAGAGAGAGAGAGAGAGAGAGAGAGATATCTTACGGCACTGCCGGTCATGCTGGCAATCTCCTTTAGTTTGGCAAACACTGCAGAGACGGTGAGTTTCGGTGGAGCAAACATCATCCTCTGGTTACTGCGGCTCGACTGCACACAATGCAACACGTACAGCGCGGTACTAACACACAAAGTTTCAGAACCACTAAGAAGTCTAGTTTTTGTGGGTAGAGAGATTGCTTGTGGCAATCTATGAGAGTTTCTCTGCACAATTTTACTAGCTACAAGAGTTTTGTTTCTAAAAATATTTGTTATGGCCAGTGAAAAGTATGATGTTCAAACCTCTGCCACTAGGCCAAGGTCTCCTTTCTTGACCACGTCGTTCTTGATCTTCTGCACACTCCTACCGGTGGCTCCGGCAATGGCCTTGATGAGTAGCGAGTCTCCGATACCTAGCTCCGTACCTTCATAGGCCGGTGCCAGCTGAGAGAGAGGGAGGGGAAAGAGAGAAAGGGAAAGGGGGGAAGGAAAGATTGGGAGAGGGGGAAAGAGAGCAACATAAAGGAAGGATGGAGTGGTGAGCGATGGAGAAATGAGAGAAGATGTAGGGGAAAGAGATAAAGGAGAGAAATTGGTGAAGTACATACAGTATATTATACCGACCTTATTCAGACAGAGGTAGACACATTTGACCAGCTCATCCGGAGATAGAGCAATCACAGAGCGAAAGAAGTTGGTGAGTGTGGCAATAATCTTTAACCTACACATCACCCACAAAGCCATAGTCAAGCACACCGCAATGGGCACAGAAAGACTGCATAATGGCGTATATATATACCTTTTCGATTCTTCTTCGATTTTTTCAAACGTCTTTGCAAGGGCTAAGTACGGGACCCTATGACATTCGGAAAGTTTACAATTTCAGTGAGTGCTGCGGGCAAGGCACTGAATGACGTATATACTTCTCTCCCCTGGTCCAGCAGGCGTGGTCCACTGGATGGTAGGTCTTCCTGGTGGGGTCGTATCCATCGCTGGGTCTGGCATCACTAGCTCCTCTCTGGCCCAGCGGTGATCCAGAAGACACACCTCCACCTCCACTGCATAATAGTATGTACAACCAAATTCAGCTTATAAAATACCATGGGGAAAATTGCAGCTAAGAAACCTTGGCTCATGCATGATTTGTAGAATGTTGTAGATGACAGTACAGTCAATGGGACAGAAGATTGCAATGGTGTAGGAGCAAACTGTATTGAAATGCCTATAAAGGTTATTGCACTAGCTATAGCCAAGGGAATTCAAGATGGTTGGTTGGCCTGTCCTTCCTTTCATAAACTCACTAAATGTACACGAAGAATTTAAGCCACCCTATTCCACTTGAGGATTGCACTGCACATTACAGCTATAGTCTAGTTTATCAAGGTGTGGTTTGTTCTTCTAACATACTTGCTAAAGTACGAAAAATTCAGGCCACCACACACATTTTCCACTGGAAAGACATGACTATGGTACCACATCTAACTTTTCTTCTTTGGCCTTGGAAACTGATGAAGTCGCTTTAGTCTCCTTTTTAGCTCTCTTTGGAGTGCGAGAGGCTGGAAAAAAGAATCACAAATAATAGCAGACAGAATATCAATCGGTGTCTCACTAAAGAAGGGGTGAATTGGTTTTTTCTTCTCGGTTGCAGGAGTAGAGGTGACCTTTTGTGTCCCACCACCTCTGACTGCCATCTCCACGTCCTTCTGGTCCTCTCCTCCCACCTCCATCTCCTCTTCCTTCCCATGTGAAGCTTCTTTCTCTCCTCCATCTCTCTCCTCTCTCTCCTCCTGTCTGCTCGCGTTCTCTGATTCCACGTCATCTTGTTTCTCCGTCTCTTTGTCCTCACTTGTCTCCCCCCTCACCCCCTCCGTCTTCCCTGCCTCATCTGCACAGCCATTGTCCCCTTCTCTCTCGTCTTCCTCGTCCGCCGTCTTCCTTCTCTTAACCGGAGGAGAACTAGCTGCACCATTCACACGAGTAGTTCTACCACCTCCCAGAGAAGGAGAAGAAGTAGATGGCGAAGCTGCGGAGGGATGAGGTTTTCGTGTGTGTTGTCCTGTATATTTTCGTGCTGTCTTCCTCTTGGGAGGTGTCTTGAGTAGCTCAGAGTCTGCCAGGGAGCTGGGAAGTCGTGAGGCGACTGAAGCCGATGCATTCTGAGAGGTAGTTGGAGGGCTATGAGCTCCAGCTGCGAGAGTAATACACTTTCAACGATACACATTATCGAGGCCACATACATAATGATCATGTGCAGGTTCACATGTAAAACTATGCACACTGTTGCAGGTTTGTGCAGCCAAATCTTTTCCCACAAAACTGCTGATCCTGGAAAATGCATGTGTCGGTATAGTCCAGTAAATCTAGTATACTATCATAGTCCAGTAAATCTAGTATACTATCATAGTCCAGTAAATCTAGTATACTATCATAGTCCAGTAAATCTAGTATACTATCATAGTCCCTAATGCTGCGTACTCTACACACCCCTATAACTAATGTATATACAATGCTACACAAGAGAGAGTGATGGAGATAGTACCATTGCTGATTGTACTCTCATCGCCGGTCGGTGTCCGCTCCTCTGTGGCGGTATCCATCACCACTTCCTCCCCACTGTCCACTCTATTCTCAACACAGTCCTTCACTCCCTGTGCTCCGTTCTCTCTCTGAGGACTTTCTCCGACTGTCTCCTCCTCCTCCTCCTCCTCTTCGTCGCTGTCGAGAATAAGCCTCTTGCGGCTCTTCCCCTTCCTCTTGAAGACAGGTGAGTCGGCTCCATTACAGGCCGCCTCATTCTTCCCCCTCTCAACACTGCCTGGAGTAACTTCTATCTGATGTTTCACTGGTGTGCTCTGTTTCGATTTGTTGCTGGTGGTGGCTGAGGGTGACTTTTTCTTCTGCGAACTCGGTGACTTGTTGTCAACTTTCCCAAAAAATGACCTGTGTTGCAGCAACAGTGAAGCAGAGAGCTAGCTATAAACGCATCGTTTATAGATGAATGGTTCTACGTACATGATTCCCCTCTGAGCCATTTTCCCAGAAATCAGCTCAACCGTTTCGCCTTTTGATGCGCACCAACCACCCCTTTTCCCGCCAATTACGCGCGTTGCGTATGGAGGCGGGGCCGCACTCTAAAAATTACCCCGCAGTCATTCCCCCGTCTATTTGTAGATTCTGCAACGTGCAAGAAAAGGTTCTACGGGGTGAGAGTGTGTGAGTTGGGGGCGCTGCAGTGACCATGTCGTCGGGCAAGAGCCTGATCTTCAAGCGGAAGAAGACGCATTTGGAGGAGTCCATGTGCAGTGGAGGTCTGGGGTAAGTTGTTGGCCGGCTGGAGGTTTCCGTGCAGAGCAATTAGGGCTTGTAATGCTACAACGTAGAAGCAAGCCGAGCGGCGCCGGCCACTGCTCCTGTTTGTTGAGTCCCACTTGTCATGTTGATAGCATTGCTGCTTATACATGCGCGCATCAAAGTATGGATGTAGCTACAAGGCAAATGTGCAAGACTTTACTGGAAGCATTGTCTCTTGTCTGCAATAAACTGCTTATTATGGGCATGTATTGTATATACATAGCCACGTGGGCAAAAGGAAAGTTACCACCTTGTTCCAACACAAATCTATCAGCATGGGGATATACACTGAGTATAGAGGTAGCCATTAGCAGCAACTCTTTAGTCTTAGGAGAAGAAAGAGTCTCAGTTCTTTACTGAATAGTGTAGATTGTCTAAGTCAGAGTAGTGGAGTAGGAAGGTCTAGTGTGTAGTGTGGTTAATGGTGTGGTGTAAATTGAATGGAGAGAGCTGACAGTTGCTGTGGTATTGCCATGGAGTTGAGGTTTGCTCTAGACTAGGAGTAAAGACTGTGTGGGCTGCACCTGTTGTGTCTGTAGGGCATCCACACTTCCTCTGTCATCAAGCTCCTGCTTTCTGCCCTGCCTCTGCTCTGACTTATCCCTTACCCCTCTCCTCTTCTTTCTCCTTCCCTACCCTCTCCTCTCCCTCTCTCCTTCTCTCCCTCCCCTCCCTCCCCTTTTCCCTTGCCTCTCCCCCGTCCCTCCATCACTGCAGTCTGGACTCATTCTCAGACGACCTGCTAAAATTCAGAGCCAATGTCAGTGCTGCCGTTGAAGAATATGAAACTAACGCTGAAGACGATGATGCAGAAGAAGCTGTGAGCCCATTACCAACAATAGATTCAGCAATTTGCTATTCTGTGCAAGTTTTTTAAGAGCTTATTGTTTCATTGTCATCCGGAAATTGCTGATATTTTTGTGTTAGTTTTCCCTTTCGAAAACCCTCTCACTCGTTGGTTCTCCACTACTATGTAAATCGTACAGTTCCTGCCTGATTCAACGATGGTGCAGAACGGAACCCGAGAGGAGAATTTCTTTGCCAAGAAACACACCGCGGAAGACGTGAGAAGCAACACACACATAATCATTATTGGTAACACAATTAGCTTGGGGTTCCTGGCATGCAATACCTATAGTACAGACTGTGCAACAGGTGTTCATAAGCATGTAATGAGTGCAGAAGGAAGAGCAAATTTGCACGTAATGCGTAAGAATTAAAAGGACAGTTTGTTGTAATCACTCTTGGGCAATCTCGCTCTCGTCTAGCGTGCTCGAGCTCGCGCGTGTGCGTGAGGCGACCGTGAGAGAGCGATGAAGAGGGAAGAGAGAGCGATGAGAGAGATAAAAAGAGAGAGAGAGAGGAGAGAGCGAGAGCGAGACCAGAAAGAGCGCGCGACGAGAGCGCGAGAGGATGCGATAACGATAGCGCGGAGAGAGCGAGAGATGACGAAGCGACAACGAGAGCGAGTTCGCAGCGCGAGAGATCTAGCTCGCTCGCGCGCGCGTAAGAGAGAGACAACCATATCTATCCTCCCGATTCTCTCTATATACCTCTCTCTCGCTCTCTCTTCGCTCTCGCTCTCTAGCTCTCTCTCTCTCTCTCTCTTCTCTCTCTCTCATGGTGTACACAATGTACACGTGTGTAGTTTGAAAGGAGTTGTCGTGTGGCTGTTAGTACCGTGGTTCACACCAGAGACTCAGCAAAAGCTCAACTGGAGACATACTTGCAACAGGTTGGCCCTACTACAGTTACACACCCATTCTATTACATTCTATATAGCTAGCTGGATAGGGTATGTGGCTAGAGTTTGGCTGTAGCCCACAGACCAGTTGTCTGTACCTATGGAGAATTAATCACCCACAAAAGTATTAGCACACTCTGACACATACCTGAGTATTATAGCACACTCACAGAGTTAAAACTATCGCTGAGTATTATAGCACACTCACAGAGTTAAACTATCGCTGAGTATTATAGCACACTCACAGAGTTAAACTATCGCTGAGTATTATAGCACACTCACAGAGTTAAACTATCGCTGAGTATTATAGCACACTCACAGAGTTAAACTATCGCTGAGTATTATAGCACACTCACAGAGTTAAACTATCGCTGAGTATTATAGCACACTCACAGAGTTAAACTATCGCTGAGTATTATAGCACACTCACAGAGTTAAACTATCGCTGAGTATTATAGCACACTCACAGAGTTAAACTATCGCTGAGTATTATAGCACACTCACAGAGTTAAAACTATCGCTGAGTATTATAGCACACTCACAGAGAGTTAAACTATCGCTGAGTATTATAGCACACTCACAGAGTAAACTATCGCTGAGTATTATAGCACACTCACAGAGTTAAACTATCGCTGAGTATTATAGCACACTCCAGAGTTAAACTATCGCTGGTATTATAGCACACTCACAGAGTTAAACTATCGCTGAGTATTATAGCACACTCACAGAGTTAAAACTATCGCTGAGTATTATAGCACACTCACAGAGTTAAACTATCGCTGAGTATTATAGCACACTCACAGAGTTAAACTATCGCTGAGTATTATAGCACACTCACAGAGTTAAACTATCGCTGAGTATTATAGCACACTCACAGAGTTAAACTATCGCTGAGTATTATAGCACACTCACAGAGTTAAACTATCGCTGAGTATTATAGCACACTCACAGAGTTAAACTATCGCTGAGTATTATAGCACACTCACAGAGTTAAACTATCGCTGAGTATTATAGCACACTCACAGAGTTAAACTATCGCTGAGTATTATAGCACACTCACAGAGTTAAACTATCGCTGAGTATTATAGCACACTCACACAGCTTTCCCTCCAATACCTGCACAACATGTGTGGAAAAAAACTGCACATCAATTGCAGTCCTCCAACATTAGCCCTTATTCTGTAGAGTTACAAAGGAAACTCGCTAACCACCTAACGGATGAATAGTACCTGCTCATTACGTAAAGTTCCCTCATTCATAAATGTGTATGTATGTCTTCCACTGTTGTAATGTACGTATTTCATGAGCGAGTGTAAGTGGCGAAAACTGACATATGTAAGCTTTTATCCAATGTAAGACAGTACTCATAAGTAGACGAGATCATGCACGTGATGTGTACATGTGACTTTTGGGAAATTCGCATGTTCTGATAGTGCAATACCCCGAGACTTGCGTCTGTTGTTCCAACTCCCTACCATAATGCCTGCCACTCTATCCACTCTCATACCCATTGTCCACCGTTAATCCCTTCTCTAATCTATTTACCCCTTATCTTGCCACCATGTTATCCCCCCTTCTTCTCATTCACAATGCTGCCACAGGTGTTCTCCCTGACTCCTGAGAAGTACGGAGCTCTAGCAACGGAGATCACCAAGGAAGAGGTGGGACTGTAAGACCGTGAGAGTATTTGATTAGGTAGTTCTATAGTTGCCTATCTGTCCGGTACAGTGTAACCCACACACACGTAATTCGTTGCTGAAAGGAGTTAAAATTATTTGACGTAGCAGGGTTTTAGTAATATTAATGGCAGGAAGATGATGAAATATGTATATAATTATGTTAGTTACACTCTAGTAGTTAATTAACCCTTTTCCCTCTCTCCCAAAATACCCTCATTGAACTATTGAACCTTCATCCGGGCATATTTGGAATTACTACTACCAGTCTACATAGTTTGCCTAAGTTGCCCTAGCACTCGATGAATATACTTAGCACTGTGTTGTATATGCTATATGTTAGCACTGTGTTGTAATATGTTAGCACTGTGTTGTAATATGCTATATGTTAGCACTGTGTTGTAATATGCTATATGTTAGCACTGTGTTGTAATATGCTATATGTTAGCACTGTGTTGTAATATGCTATATGTTAGCACTGTGTTGTCCCATTTAACTTCTAATGTCTCTATTGTACAGAATCCAGAGCTGGTGCTGATGTGCACAAGTGAGTGTGTACTCATGACATTCGCACACTTTGGGGAGCTGCCCCTGCACATTACAGTATAATTATACAACTTTCATTTATGATGTAGTAGCCAAAGGGAGAGCATGGTTAATTCGTTCCACTGTGTCTATCATTGCAGTTGTCAGTGGAGAGGGGCTGTTGGCCAAAGACGCAAATGGTAAGATTTTCTTGCACCCCTCAGACTGCAGTAAAATAGGTAGTACGATACAATGGGTATTGTAAGCAATGTGTAAGTGCTGGCACGGATAGCTCACCTCGCCGGGTTGCCTCATATTGTTACATTACACTGTGTGCTGTTCATTGCAGGTAAGAGTGACCCCTACTGTAAGATGACGATACTCTCTCGGAAACACCAGGGCTCGCAACAGGTGATGATTACACCCTCCCTCTCGGTGAAGATATCTTCATTCCCTCCCTCCTCCTCCTTCTCCTCTCTTGTCTCTTTCAGGTCCGCCAGAAGAACATAGCAGACTGGTTGAAGACGGGACTAGTGAGAGACGCCCTACAGACCACCGCCAGACCAGAGACGCTCACTCCAGTCTGGAACGAACACTTTGAATTGTAACTACACATCCGTTTATACACACCCATTTGCTATCTTTTTGAATTCTTACTGTCTATAATACAGATCTATAAAGGACCCTAAGGATGATCTTCTGGTCATTGAAATATGGTGAGTAGTAAGAGACCATTTTCCAGAAGATTCCGTGTTAAACATACTCTGTAGGTAGTAGTGTTTCGCGTGTTTATTTCTCTCAGTTATATACAAGTAAGCAAAACGGATGAAAACCAACGCATGTTTCTCTTGAACGTGAGAGTGCTTGATAGCTTTTCTTGCCTCGTGCATGCAACTTTGTGGTCGTGTATTTCACCGGCATTCGCTAATACGTGAGCATGCAAGTGTGCACACTGTACCTATGTACCTGGTACAGTAGAAGGTGTGTGGTGTGTTGGTGACAATAAAGTTCGATCCACTCAGGGACAGTGATGAAGATCAAGTGGGTGTCACAAAAATCAAAGGTCTCAGAGGATTTGGAAAGTGAGTATACTATGTCTAATATGCATATACCATTATCCTACTATGTGATGTATTGAAATAGTATACACAATGTGTATGAAAGATATGCATGTTGGGGGGTTAGTTCCCAAGACACTATAACCAAAACTCTGATTGTCCTACGTACACATGTGTGAAGAAGACGCGAGTAAACGTTTCCCATGATGTGTGCCCGGACAGAATAACTTTCAATATCTAGTCGGTTTGTTCAAAACATTCCGCAAACTAACAGTACTTTTCTTGAATGCTACAGGGCCCCAACTAACCCCATACATTTCACACACTTGCTCTCAGAACCTTTTTTTGTAGATTAATGCTGAAGGACCCTGTAAATACTGCTGTAATGAGCCTCTACAGTAAATACTGCCGTACTTGGTGAGTATTAGTGTATATCTCTCAATAGTTTCATAGCTGACCTGAGGAAGGGTGTGGACGATTTCATGGGGCGTGCGTTCTACCTCCTGAGCACCATTCCCTCCAAGGGAGAGAGAAAGTCACTCGACCTGTACTCGCACTCGGCCAAGACAAAGTGGGGTAGCGTGATGATCGATCTCCGAATCCGTGGGTTGAGGGAGGGGCTGTCGTCGGCAGAGGCTCTGGCTGAGCACCTGAGGCTGACACGAGCCGTAGTGGACTCTGAGAGCAAAGTGGTGAGGGTCTGCGTTAGGCTGCGTGGTCTGTATATTATAACAACGAGGTTTCAAGACAATAGAGTACGGCGAACTACAAAGTATCAATGGGGATTTGTGAGGGTTAAACTTAGTTATGAGCCAGCTCTGTTTATAACCTGATGGAATTTGCGATCATATGTTGCATGTTATAGTAAATTGAGTGAAGGGAGAGAGGCCAAAAAGGTGAGAAGTGCGGATGCTCATGGGGATGACTGTCATTTAGAAATCAACATCGTGTATGTATATGTAGAAGGGACACTATGTGAGGAGATGGAATGCACAGTTGAGACCCAACGCCCACCTACTGCTGGATCTACACGCAGAGTGCTGTGGCCTCAACAAACTGCAGCAAGTTGGAGTGTAAGCCTAGAATCCCCGCATGCTGTAAGAGAATTATTGTAGCTCTGAATGTTATGACATAATATGAAGTGTGCTTCTTTCACACTATATATGTTCTCTTCCCTCCCTCTCCCTCCCTCTCTCCCTCTCTCTCCCCCTCTCTCCCCTCTCCTCCAGTCTGCTGAATGTGCTACTGGACTACCACAAGTCGTATGCGGTGCAGATATCCACATTCTGTGACCTCATTGCACACATCAAGTCCTCGAGACACGTGCTGCCAGAGAGAGTTCTGGAGGGGAAGTCAGACCGAGACCATCCTCTATGGGTATGTGTGTAAGCATGTACATCATGTTGGTTGAGTGCTCGCCTAGAAAGCAGAGTGCCATGGGTTTGAATCCCACCTAGGGCATCTCTGACTTGTTTGTTGTGCCTTCATCTGAAGTGAAAGGGGCTGGGGAAAGGTAAACAAGTTGGGTAATTGTGTAAACGGTGCTTCACTCTTTCCAAACAATTTACCTTGAACTGCTCTTACATGTATAATGAGACGATAAGATTGGCAATAACACGCTGTGAGAAATTTTTTGATGAGGAGAGTTTCCGAATGAAAACGTCCGCGATTTGCTGTTCCCCAAATACAGAACGGCCCTAGCCCTCAAATTTCATGAAAGATACAAACTTAAAACCAAACATTGTTCTTATATACCGCAATACTCATGTTCTCCTTTTTATCACATGACTATCTTAGTCACCATAATATGCATCACATGACTATCTGGTGTCCATAATGTATATCACATGACTATCTGGTGACCCTAATGTGTATCACATGACTCCTCTGCAGGTGAGCTCGCTCTTTGCTGATGTCCACGAGCTAGGCAGCTACATATTTGACGTGATGAAAGACCACCTCCTTGTCTTTGACCTCAAGACACCACAGGGAGTCCGTCGCATCGAGAGCCACCTCATGTGAGGATCACCTGACCTCATGTGACCCTCACATGACTGCCATGTGACCATCGCAGGGCCCTGAGGGAGATGTTCTCGTTCCAGACCTTCACAAAGAAGCTGAACCAGAAATACAAGAGTTTGGGGAAGGCACTGGAGACATCCATCATGTCCGCCGTGACAAAGGCCTTCACCTTCCTCAATGGCAAAGCTGAGCCTCTCAGAAATGTGAGCTATGTACATATGTATGTACTGTGGTGTATCCTTAGTCATCATTTTACGGCAGCTGTGTGCTCAGTAAGTAAATAGTGAAGTAGTGCATTTTGATGGGGATTCTAAAGTGCAATATTATTGTGCTTCCCATGTTTTTCCTACTATGCCTAATTTGGAGTAATCTCTCTATGAAAGGCCAGCTGGATTTGTACTTTCTCTCTTTTCTCCATGCTTCTCTTTCCTCCTTCCCCCTTCTCTCTCACTCACTTTCCCCCTTCCCTCTCTCTCTCTCCCAGGACCCAGAGGACAGACTGAGGGCATTCAAAGGTCTAATCCAGCACTGGCTCCACCAGACACAGAGAATCCTCAAAGACATTGTCCCTCTCTTCAAAGAGTGAGCCTTTGCTCTCTTTTTGTAGCCCAGCCGTGCATCTCTTTATCCTTCAATATCTCTTGCTTTCTCTATAGAGTTGGGGTGGACTATATTACCTGGTACTTCAGAGCTCTTGACCCACTGGTGAGGGTTACACACACTTGCACACATGAGATGTTCATATATAGCCCTACTGCACTGCTCCTGCTTGTACCGTACATTCACATGTCCTGGGTGTAGTTGACTTGTTTGCCTTGCCTTTCTACCTCACTACCAAGTTGTTGAGACATGCATTGTGTACACTGAAGCTACTATGAAGGTCTTGTACTGTGTATTGAAAACTGAAACCGCTGAGATTGCCAAATGAGTATGAGTAAACGCCGGTCTTATAAACTAACCCCTCTTCTCCTCGCTACTCCAGCTGTGTAGTGAGGCCACGTGGCTGGAGAGGTACAGAGCAGCAGACGAAGAGTCTCACACGGTCACCTTTGAACTCTACCTGTCCATGAGGGACATTGCTAACCTCACGGAACACGTGAAAGACGAGACGTAAGTCACTGTCCATATTACATCGTTCTCTAATTAAGTGAAGCTACAGTAGGGAGTTATGGCAGGGGAATCTAAGAAAATTGAAATGTGGTCGTTTCCCACAGAATATTATTGTAGAGAAGCTTAATGAAAAACATTCCTGCTACTGTATGTGTATGTTAAGCACAAAGTATGGATTATTCGGACAATCCACAACTTTTCTTGTGCAAACCTCGCAGCTTCGCTTTGCGCAGTCAATCTGAGGATAGTTATACGTACGCTCATGAATGTGTGTTTATATCCAGTAGTGTGTCTCAAGTGCTGACTGAGTGTGTTGGTTGTTATGTCACACAGTGTAAGAGCTGAGCTCAAGATCAGAAACTACCACCTGTGGTTCTCACCCATGGTGGCCAACTGGATATCCAGAGCACAGAGCCTCTGCCGGCAGTACATTGACAAGGCCATTCAGATTGACAAGGTCTGTCTGTCACTCTCCTTCCCTCCTCTCTTCTCTCTCTTGACCTATATTCGGAGGACACACTTCAAAAAAATCGTCTATATATATATATTACACTCTTCTTGGTGTCATTTTACAGCTCCTCAGAAAGCTCAATGTATGCACTTCCGAGAGTAGAAATGCATGGAATGCATCGTCCATTCTGCGGCTTCCTGCGGTGCCGTTCTGCAACGCTTGGCGATAACTCCTCCATTTTACGGGTCTCCTCCCCTCCCTCCCTCGCAGGTGATCCAGGTGACAGACGAAGCCACCTTCTCCTCCAGCGCAGTGGACACCAAAGGGTTCCTCCTCCAGGTCGGAAACTTCTGGAAGCATCTACAGTGGCCCAGAGCTGCCGAGTCCTACTCTTACACTGCTGCCATTGTCCAGGTACGTATCTAGCATAGAGTCTTGTCTTTGTACATTGTCTTTGGTGGCGCCACTCGTAAAAACTTGTGTCTTTCCAAAACTAAACCCATCGGTGCTTTTGGTGGCCCCACTAGTGCCTGTTGCCATTTTTGGTAGCGCACTACCTTTGTTGTGTTTGGTGGCACCACGATGCATGGTGGTGCCTATAGTTGCACTTTGAACTGTTGAATCTTCCGGAAATACTGTTCAAGTTTTTCGTGCGTCTTTTTTTGTATCCAGCACATATGTGACTGTGCTGTGTACTATGCGGGACAAGTGTACACCCGAGTGACAAATGAGGACATTTACAAAGACGGCCAGTTCCACGCCAGCGAGAAGGTAGTACATATGAAGTACATACGTAGTATGTGACACGTGTTGAAACCACTCACATGAGGCACTGTTCTGCACAGTTTATTGAACATCGTTGAACAAAATCATGTTGGTGTAATGTGTTGTGTATTATGCTCATTGAACATCCGTTGACGAAATTATAGTATCGTGTTGGATAGTTCAGTTGCATAAGGTACTAATTGTGTGTGTGTGCTGTGTCCACTGTAGCTGTGTATCATTCTGAACAACATGTGCCACTTGCAACAAGCTCTGGAGGGACTCAGCGAAACTCTGGAGCTAGAGAAATACTATCAGGTGAGCTGCTTACAACAAAAAAAACGGTATGTGCTGTGACGAGGGGAACTTCACATTCTGTAATCTTTTACGTGATTCTCAATTGTATACACGGATAAGCTGAAACTTTGAACCCACGTTCACTGACAATAGTGCGTTGTTGCTAGTGTAACTGAAGATTTGTCTACGCTGAGCATCCTTCTCAGTCATTCGATATACAAGCCTCTCTCTCGTCCAATGTCTCCCAGTGGTTGGAGGAGCAAGATGCACAGACGGAGAATTCGTCAGAGAAGGTGGCAGCCATTGCTCGCAGCCTCATCTCCAACCTTCTCAAGAATGCAGACGAGGACATCGGGAACAAGATCTCGCTGACCGTCCAGAACATCAGCGAGAAGGTCAATCTGGAGAGATTCTTCCAGGACATGCTCAGATCCGACAAGGACTCAGTCGATGAAGAGGTAGAGTTTTCTTATACAGTACATCATACTGCTTTACCTTCACACATCATTTTATCTCCTATACACACATAAAAAGTACCAAAGGCTGGCATTACTTCTCGTACATAATATGATAACATACTGGTACAGTGCCGTGGGTGAATCTGCTTGATGCTCTGTAGAAGAGCCAGCCTTTGCTTATTGATTGAATGGGGCACCAATTTGAATTGCTGCACAGTAGAGCCGGGTCCCACTTCAGGGCTGTGAGCATGTTCAGTGTGTATATTCAGTTCTCACCCTATTCCCTGGACTGTAGACTGTGGTTCCACTGCTGGACTACCTCACACACAACCTACAGACTCTGGGGGACTTTCTACTCCCACAGGTCCTCTACCGGTACGCTCCTCCCTCAAACTTCTTCCACCCAAAAATATACTCATCTCTCCTTCCTTCTCTCCTCCCTCTCCCCTCTTTCTACAATCTTCCTTTATTCGTTCTCTCTTCCGTCCCTCTCCCTCTTACTTTCCCTTCTCTCTTCCTCTTCTCTCCTCTTTCTCCCCCTCTCCCTCATCCTTATTCCCTCCTCTCCTAACCCAGGGTCCTGGCAAACTTCTGGGCCACGTGTGTCCACACCATAGCCGCCTGCATTCCTAACATTCCCAAGAAACCTGGGAATAACTATATTCCACGCTAGGCTCCACCTGGCTCTGCAGATGTTGAGAGAGTTCTTCCACGCCGGTGGCAGTGGGCTCTCTAATGCTGAACTTGACACACCAGAATACTGGGTGAGTGAGAGGTGCAGTTTAACCTTACAGTGTGGTTTTGTATCAGGTAAATTCTAGGTCAATATAATTATGTGTTCTAAAATTTGTAAGTTAAGACACACACAAATCTGAGCATTGGCAACTCATAATAGCCTACTAGTGTATCAGCCTCTGATGTACATACTCAATGTGCCTTTCTTTATTTCGCTACGTTTTGACTTTGGTCACTCCAGTTTTGGTAGAAGATATTCGGTGTTTCTCAAAGTATAAACTTGATTATATTCACACACGACGTGTGTTCCACTGCAGAACCTGCTCTGCGATCTGGAGTTGACGACTCTGTCCACCGACAAGCTGATCCTGAAATTCCAGTCGGACCTGGTCGCCCAGTGCAAGGAGGGCAAAAACCTAGGGGACACTGACTGTCAGCGTGGCCTATCTGAGACACAGGAAGGCAGTGGAGGTCACCGTCATTTCTGCCGCGGGACTCCCTGGACTGGACAAATCTGGTATAATATTCCTTTTGTAGAGTCTAAGCTATGCATGTTCTTACACGTGTATATGTTGTGCGTTATTTAGAGTAATGGCACGTTTTTTCTATCTAAGTTGCATCGTCGTACTGTGTAAGTTTCAGAGTTTTTATATTTTTCTATGAGTCTATTAATTTGGGTGGGGTGGGTTAAGGGTTCTTTCTTTTCCTCTCATATTATTACCCTCGGCGCGCATGCGCAGCGAGGGTTACGGTAGTTGGGTTTGTCTGTCTGTCTGTGTGTCTGTTACTCGTCATCTCACTTCTCGAGTGTTCGTTCGTCTCACAAAGGATACCACCTACTGAACGGGCAATGAAGGTCAGAAAATATGTGGGGTTTTCGCTGAAAACGCTCCGTTGCAGAGCTAGAGCGCGAAAAAGCCAATATGCAAATACACAACGGCTTACTACGGCATGATCGATCCGCGTGCTCTGCGTACCTCGGAGGCACCAGAAGATGCAACGCATGGCGTGTATCGCCTCTCGCATGCTATCTAGTAGTGTAGTTAGCCCGCGTCAGACTCTGCGCGAGCTGGCAAGAGACCACGGGTAACAGCTAAAACTAAACCCAGCCCAGCAATTAGTAGTACGGCGCATGCGTTTACTTACGCGTGCGCGTCACAGAACGCCGAGGGTTTGCACTTCAGTGCTTTTCATTCTTTTAGCTAGTATGCTATGAACATGTTTTTTCATGTATATACTTTATTTCCGTTTTTGAAGAAGCATCACAATAATGCTGAACACAGTGTACTTTATAGAGAGGTGTCCTTTTGTATAGCAGCAGAAATGTTAACTAAGCACCTTCCAATATGGGACAAATGCATGCTGTCTTGTTTTGACTACTGTTTTAGTTTGGTGTTTTAAAGCATCGTTTATGGCATCATAATGTCATCCATACACCTCCCAATACGGCACAAATGCACACATTTTAATTTGTTGCATGTGAAAGTAACAAGAATTTCTTGGGTCAGCAAGGACTGCATGAGTATGATACTGTGAACAGTAGTGTGGTGTTTGTTGCAGGACTGAGCGACCCGTTTGTGGAGCTGAGTCTCCAGCCTTACTCTCTCTTCACCGACAAACAGTTGAAGACGTCGACCAAGAAACAGACTCTCGACCCGGTGTACAACGAGAGTTCTTGCTGTGAGTCAAACCATGAGTCTATTGCCGGAGAGAGAAGAGAGAGAGACACAAAGATATGACTCTCAATGAGCCTCAATCCCTGCGATAATGCATCTTGATCCATACACCTCCCAAAATCGCACCAATGGTGGTGTTAGTTGTCGAGTATCTTGGGTCAGTCAGGAGGTCTTAAAACAGTTTTGGGGGGCCCGGGAAGCAGCGAACCAGCAATCCCACCGCATGAGAACTGAATGTGCAGCATTGTTCAGAAGAGAGGGGGGAGTGGTGAGTGATGGTGTTTCTTCTTCCATCCAGCCCTGTGCCGAAGGAGGGGAGAATGGACGTGGAGGGGGCCATGTTGATGATGGCTGTCTTTGACTACGACATGGTTGGCTCCAATGACCTCTGTGGACTCTGCGTCATTCCGTGCAATCGGATCCCCAAAGTGGGGAACAAGGGCTCCATTACTAAGCCCACTGGACCAGAGAGGAAGAACTACCGTCTACCGCTGTTCAAGGTCCAGTCAACCACTGCCTTCAGGTGAGCAGCATTAGTCGCGGGTTCGCTGCAATATTTTCTCACTCATACTGAATTGATGGAGGCAATTTTCCTGAAATGACTGGTCAATAATGTCTATCTGGAGTTTTACACTACGTACATGTACATAAGCATCTTCATGGGATTTTACAAACTCAACCAAGACTTAGTTTGCTGGTTTTTTGGGTTCACAAAAGCCACCACTCATACCTGTTCTTTCAGCACAAACTCCATGAGATTGCTAGCAGCACAAGTTCCATTGTTAACCTCTTTCTCTCCCTCACTGTCCATACAGGGAGCTGGAAGGTAGGAGCCAAGCCGGTGACTCAGCTGCCCACCATTTCTTCAAGGTCTTCAAACTGTATCTCGACGACCTTGCCCCGAGCGCAAGAAAGTCTCCATTCGTAAGAGCCATCCAGGGACCTAGCAGCACACTATGATACGATGTTCTCCCCCAATTGTAACGTTTGTGAACAGCACTACCATGAATTCCATTTTCTTACTCTTCTCTTTCAAAGCTTCACTGATGCTACTACCTCCTCTTGAATTGAGTGTTTGTAACCTTATCAATTGATTCTATTACGCAATGTTAAAACGTCAAGCAATAGAGAATTGAAAAAATATCTGCGTACTTTAACATTTATATACTTGAAGCAATGTCTAGTGCCTCCACAGTGTATTTTTATAACAAGTGGATTGATAAAGTTAAAAAATAGAACCCCGTTAATGTTGAAGAGGTGTACAATAGCTTAGAGTGTCAGAATGTGTGAGAGAGAGGGAGGGAGAGAGGGGTGTGTTAGTGCGCATGTGTGTGTGTGTGTGTGTGTGTGTGTGTGAGGGGGGCGGGGTCAAGTTAGTCTCAGGAAGAGGGATTTCAGGAGTCTGGCCTCAAAGGTGACAGTGTTCTTCCCAGCCTCAAGAGTGTGTTCACCGAGAGGTTGCTCCACTCGACACGCTATGCTCCGACCATGGGCTGTGTATAATGGCCAGAGGATGAGCTATAGTATATGCCTATTGCTTCTGCATGCATGTTAACTGTATTGCTGTATTTAGTCAGCTGAACCAGTTTTTTTAATGGATGTACATGTATATAGTATGTTTGTATGGGTGTTTATACTTACCTTCGCACTGCTCGAGAAACCGGATGATGTCATGAATTGTTGCGTCCTTGAGTAGGATCATATGTTTGGCCTGCACAGGACATTCAGCATTGTATATACATGCATAGCATCATACAATGTATACAGTGCATACTTGAGATCGTAAGATGTACACGTACCATGTTCTCAATGAGAGAGCAGAGGCATCTCTTAGCATAGAACCAAGTGTCAGTCCCCAACTGTAGTATATATTCAGAGACAGTGTATGTGTATATACATATAGTAACAAAATGCTATGTCTATTGCTAGCTGACCTTCTTGTTGTATGGTTCCAGACTCTTCATGACTCGACTCGCGCCAAACTCATAGTTCCCTTTAGCACAATAGAGAGTCCTGCACACAACATAGGTGCAATAGTAGCTATATGTAGTAAGAGACCCTTGAGCTCAGAAAACACACACACATGTCACAGGAGAACTCAATACATACCCTATGACCAGATTGACTATACACAGGTGGTACATCTTGCGGTCTGGATCATCATACGACAGGTCCTCCTGAAGTTAGAGTATTACAGATGTTTGCGCGTGTGTGTGTATCAATGCAACCAACGTACGTACGTACCTCTTCTTTTTCAATCTTCTTCATGATTTGCTCAGCCTTCAGGAATAAAATCAGTAAACCAATGTTAATGAAAAGCACTAAAGTGCAAACCCTCGGCACACTATATAGAAATGTGGAACCCATACACAAGTGTGGCACCACCACAATTGATGGTCTTGACCATGCATCAAAAAGCACCCAAAAAATGGGCAGCCCTATTTCTGTTTGAGGCCCAAAAAATATATAAGGTTGAAAAATTGGCAACCTTTCATCTCTCTATTAATTTTCGTATTACCGGTGGATTGTTTAGTGCAAAAAAAGTTGAAAAAAAACGGCCAGCCCTTCATCTCTCCAGACAGACGTCTATGGACGCAGTGCAATGCCGAACTATACGCTGCCCTTTGAGAAACATGGGTCAGTGGTAGATTTGTGGGTAAGGGGAGGAACCAGAGCTGTTCCCAGCCAATGCTCTGGACCACCTGACACTTTAGTGAAGGATGATCGAGGATTCGAACCGGCGCATGCGCGATACCGCTAATGGTGGGCTGCTGGGCTTCGCGGTCTCCCGCTAGTAGAGAGTCTGACACGGGCTAGCTACGGTAGTAGATAGCATGCGGGAGTCGATACACACCCTTCACTGTGGCTTCATATGCGCGTCCAAGGTACACAGAGCAAGCGGGTCAGGTCGAGGTGAGCCGGCCAGCATACTGCGTCTAATACACGCATGCGCACCGCTTATTGATGGGGGTTGGGCCACGCAACGCGCGCTGTCCGCTCGCTACCGTGCCAGTTTGTCGCTCTCGAACTCAGCAAAATCGCCATTTTTATTTTCTAGCCCCTGTACCGCTAAGGCTGTTGGTATCGCTCATAAGCCGCCTCGTTGCCTGTAGTGCGAGAATAGTCGTAGACAGACGTACACAGACAGACGACTACTGTAACCCTCGCTGCGCATGCGCGCCGAGGGATAATACAGTGTATGGTTTTGAAAGGTTAGCGGAAAGCACTTTCTGTTATATACCCGTGACCTTTATTACAGGCAAACAGTGCATATGAGTTTTGTATGAAGGGTGCTACATATTTTATTACCTCCTCGGTCTGGCTGGTCATGATGTAGGAGACACAGAGGTTGGCCAGTATTACCGCACTGATGCTCAGCAACTGATGCAATAGAGACCTTCATCACAGTGCGTCAGATGGCGATGTGATTCACTTACATTCGTGTGGTTCTTTTTGACAATGGCCTCGTAGAAACCTATTGCCTCCTTGAACTTCACCTCCTGTTTTCACATAAACAGTGCAGTATTAATTTATTTTTTTAGTAGACTACACTTGGAGTGTGCTTCCAAAATTGCATGGTTTACGGTACCACAGTTTTGTTAGGAGTCTGATGTATGGGACTACTAACTTGCATGAAGAGGACGTGTGCAACATTGAGTTTCCACACGTCGTGTTCATTGCAGAACTCGACGCTCTTCCTGAAGATCTTCTCCACCTGAGAGTAGTCTTCTCTGTCCCAGTAGATCCGTGCCTGGGCCATCAGGACCGGCACATAGCTGCACAAGCACACAGAGACAGTCAGAGAGTCGGTACACATTGGGATATCAGCTCCATGTAATGTGACTGATTACCCCACAACAATACGATGCAGAGCACCTCTATAAAAGAGCCGTTCACTCTCCCTTTGCTTTAGCATGTCTCAATCTCCCCTAATCGACTTCCCCTCCACACCCAATGCACACACACCTACACACTAACACCTCCACTTCAAACTACAGTGGAACCTCTGAACAAGGGACACCATCAGACCGATCATTTTGTCCCTATCGTCCCTATCTCAGAGGGTCCCTTATCAGAGGTTCCACTGTACTATATACAACCATTATGTTGTTGGTGAGCTCTCACTTTTCCAGGGCCTCGTCGTACTCCTCCACACATCTCTTGACGGCCTCCTCGTCGTGGTTCTTGCGGTGCTCCTGCACATGTTTGGTCAGCTTGCGCAGTCTCTCAGTGAGGTGGGTGGCGAGGACGTCCAGCTTCTGGAACGCCTGCACACATCACCAGTGGAAAAGTCCATTTTCATATGGCAGTAGACAAGGGATAAATTTGGAAGAACTAAACAATAGGGCCCTGTGCAAATTAAGTTTCCATTTTCAGTAAATTTAGCCCCCACATTCCCTTTTACCTGCGATTATGACAATGTGTCATTAACAAGGTCATAGCAAAGGGAAACAACACACGGAAAACTTTACTGGCCTTACACAAGTTCATTTCCAACAGACAAGCATGCAAGAAGGATTAACATGTGTAATATGTACACCTCATCCGGTGAAGTCTGTTGAGTAATTTTGGTGTCGATGAAGTCGTACAGGTAGGTGGAGAGGCATTTGAAGGTGAGATGAGAGTTCTCGGCCAGTACGTCTGCTGCCAGGTCATAGTAGTCGTGTTTGATGTACAGCAGGAGAAGATTGGCAAACGTCTCTGCAGTAATTGGTGACAGAAATGGGCTAGAAATGGGACTTGAAAAGGCACAGATGAAACTGTATACAGTCAACCCTCTGAAAAATATCCCCCAAATAAATGATAAACTCTCTTAGTTCTACCTTAGGAATGAGTGTAGTTCGGAATGTTCTAGGGATGAAACTTTCATGAATTTTGGGTGGTTTGTGAAGAATCCATGAAAAGATTGTAGGTTAGGATACATGACGAGCAATGTGAGAATGTCACAAAGACTCCCCCTCGAATGTTTCCTACTATAGTGAAGATGGCGTGTTGAAATCTTACCAGGTGGACAGGGGACCTGTTGCAGTAGAAACTGCAGTTTCTCAAATCCATTGGTGGGGTTTTGGTCCATGTTCATCAGAGCTATGTTGTGTAGAGTAACTGGGTCCAGCTCCTATACATACAACATAGAGAACCAATGTATAGCCTTCGTGCATGCTGTGTTTCCAACATTCAGACCTCTTCCGCTCGAGGGGGCATGTCCGTCAGTGCATCTTGTGCAGCATCGACTGAGGGAGGTGTACAAAGTAGGGGCTTTCAACTAAGTAAGACTTTGGAGGTAGTTGTATATAGCGTACAGTTCTTTAGCTGATACTCAATAGCTGCCCGAAGATTGAACGTCTCAACAAGTTGAGTCCCATGCAACACCTGCACAATAGGGAAAAAAACTTAGCCATTCAGTCATGACTCTGCATGCACAGAGACTAACTGAAGAGTTGCCAACACTGCGAATATCGACCCCCTCAGTCTGCATGCCCACGCTGAGCTCAGGATGGTCTCGTATGCCTCTCTCTATCACCTCTGATATATACTTCAGGGAGGCCGCGTACTGCTTCAGCTGGTAGTGGCAGAGGGCCAGACAGTAGCAAGTGTCTGTGTGGTAGCCAGGCATCAGAGATCAAACCTATTACTACGATATAGCAGTGTATGTATACCTGCTCTGTAGCCCATGACTTGCAGGACGGTATTGAATTTCGCCACTGCTTCGGTGAATCTCTTCTCCTGTAGTCAGCCGTGAAGAGATTTCAATTACACTCACAGCAAGGAGCATATAGTGTCTACCTTGAAGAGGATGCAGGCCATGTTGAACTCAGTGTCTGGATCATCTGATGGACACTGCTCCACTAGAGTCTATTTCAGATACGTAACAATTAAACTAGCTATTCATCTGATTCCAATTGTCTATGTGCAGTAGTACACCATACTAAGCAAGTACAATTCTGGGAGAATCAATTTTTGTATGGCACCCTGACACCAGCTAGCGTTTCCATGTTTTCTGCAGTAGTCATACAAAATTTCGACGGGCTAAAAGTCCCTGCTATATTATACATTACGTACCTTGGCATTTGGTAAGTCGTCCTCTGCATACTTTATAGCAGCCTGCAATTTGAGCACCTGTGAAAAACGGAAACATGAACTGATGATGATGACAATGAGTGAAGAAACGGCTCTTGCCTTGGTCTGGTATTCCTCGTGCTCCAGCTGACAGGAAGCCTTGGTGGCCTCGGGGAACATACAGGCCTTGTAGAGACACTGGGAATAGTAGAACTGGTAGTCGTGGACGTCTGGATGTAGCTGCACCAGCTGCTCATAGCTATGCGGCAATGTGTGTGAATCGTAGATGACTTTGTGGTCAGATTCATGGATTTATGTGTACCAGCCTAGTATTCTTTTTCCTCATTTTCCTATATATAAGGTTTTCTGCCCGAAGGCAGCAAAGCTGAGGTAGTCTCGTTCCCGGACCCCAGGGGACAAGAGGTGTGGTGAGCAAGTCTCTCTCTCACCAATCAGCTGCAGCCTGAAAGTCCTGGAGACGGTAGTAGCAAAATCCCAGGAGAGAAAGTGCCGCTCTTGACTGCACAACAGGAGATAAGTATCACTAGGGGTGTGTAGTGGAGGGTGACTGATACATAGTCAGATAGAGCTTTTGATGGGTGGTTCTATGTTTTGTTCAAAGGCTGACCTTTGGGTGGCTCTGCAGCTCGTAGTTTAGAATCTGCACCACCTCTCCGTAGTTCTGCTCTTTGATCTGCAGTCACACAGGTAAACAGTCATACACTGGTGGACCAGCAGTGAGTGAATGAAACTACACACCAGTCCGTAGATCCTCTGTGTGTACTGCCCCTCTTGTATTCTCAGGTGCGCCATGCTGTGTCCTCTGCAAGGCGCCGGCGGAAAGTCTCGAGCCGGCCCCCCAGGTGATTTTGTTATTTTGCCATAGAAACGAGGTAGCACTATTTGGAATACCCGCACTTTGCTGCTGCAAGAGTATGCGCATGCGCAAATTGGGCCGCGCGTGCGATGAAGCGGATTCTCTCACTGTGCTACAGAAGGGGATTTCTGATCAAGAGAGACACTGCAGTAGAGGGTACGAGAGACTTTGATTATGGTCCCAGCGGAACCGCGCTCAAGCGGAACCTCGTCGACGAATGGTAAGCACCCTTGCAGTTACACAGCAATTGTAATTATAGGCATGATAGGTGGAGATCAGTCGTGACATCAACTGGAAATGTGTATCCTTTGGACTCCAGCATAATCTCTGACTCTAGGCTACAAGAGGTATATATATATATACACCACTCCGGTGGAAGTAATTATTATTGTCATCTTCCTATCAGAATGACAATTTCCTTCTATCGAGACGTGAAAAAACCTCAGAGCAACACTTGCTACGATCAACAGTCTGTAGGTTCACACCGCAATCCCCTCTACATCTTGTTCTACTAATTTTTATATAGGCAGCATGCGTCTAGTTGAGAAGTGTATTGAGATTTTCGGGCAGAGTCTCCCGTTTGGAGTGGCTGAATGTGGTAAGCTCTCCAGTAGCCAGTCGCAGACACCTATACTCATGGCTGTTTTCCCCTATATTCTCTTAGGGAGAGCATTCGGTGCTACTTTAAAACCATCAGAATATCCACTGAGGTAATACACAGTCGAATAATAGACAAAGTGGGTTATTTATTACCTTATAGGCACGAGGAAGGTGAGCATATGGGTGTGGTGTTTCTGTGCCAACCAACAGAAGACCAGCAGTGGTACTACCATTGGCAGAAGGCCCGGTTGAGGTGGTGGAAGAAAGTGAGTTTCTCACTCACACGTATTATACAATACTTAGTAATAGGTCGATTTTCCAGTTGGCTGCCAATCCTGAGAACTTCTCTCTGGTCGAAACCCCAACTTCAGAGCTTCCCGGACACACACTAAAAGAAAGCTTCATCAAAGTGAGCACACGGCACCCTAATTTATATATTATAGAGCCAAACATTTCCATTCCCTGGCTGGTTGTGTATTAGTACAAGTTTCCCTGGGGCCCTGCAGTAGTGGAGCAGATATCTAACACTGGAGACTCTCAGTTTCAGAGGATGGACGATGAAACAAGAGCTCGCTTCAAGGTACATACATAACCGGCAATTTCAGTCTCAGAACACGACGAGAAAGAAACAATTCTGTTTCCAGATTGCGAAAGGTCTCGATGGAAGGACGTATCCTCACCGATTGTCACTGTCAGCCAGTGTTGATAAAGGTGGTTATAGACTTTCTTTGGCTTGGAAATGCAGTGAAAACCTCTTCTTAGGGACACCTTGGGGACATTGAAATTCCTTTATTCAGAAGTGTCCTTTTTCAGAGGTAGTATAATTCAGTATGGAGCAGAACCATAGTGTCCCTTATAGAGAGGTGTGCTTTATTCAGAGCATCTCTTTCCAAAAGGTTGCACTGTACCTTTATTAAAGATTTCTGTTGGTGTTCAGGTCTATTTGCATACATCTGTGATGCCTACAGTGAGACCTGGAGACCCTACGGTCCAGACCATGAACTGAAACAGTGTGTTGTGAGTTGTGTAACAATGATGGGTCATGAAATGGTGCATGGTGAGTGTGTCTTCTGCAGGTCCTCAGACTCCACTCTTGTCTCTCTCCCCGGATTGTCGCAGTTCTTCCTGCCACAGACGACACCAGGGTCTCCACAGTACGTTAAGATTGTTTTTCAACAAAACCTTACTTTTGTGAATGCTAACTTTGGCCGAACACATGTGGTAAACACAGTCAGCAGGCAACCATGGCAAATTACGAAAGTTCATTCGATTGGGGTTTTCATTAATTTTTTTAGAGTACGGTATTTTCGAGTCGAAAACGAGAGCCAGCAATGGTAAACCTCTCTGCTTTCAGTATTGCAGAATGCTGACTGAGGAGTTGAGGACAGTTGGTATAGTCTCGTCACTGAGTAGAGTTGGAGCGTTCCCATACAGACTAGCACTGTAAGTCTCCCACATCTGTTCAATACTTGACGTTAGTCCCATGATCTGTGTAATCAGAGAAGACGAAATGGGGACACCCTATCGTATCATAGTTGACGAGAAGACTCTGGAAGCTGGGATACTGGCTCTCCAGGACAGAGACACTGCTGCAATGGTCTGACACGGAATACGCTACTAATTGATCCTAACGTTTTTTTATTCAACGTCCACAGGAAGACATGGCTGGTCGTGATGTACTTCAGTCCCTGCAGAGAATGCTCTCTGCCGCCAGACTCAGTATTCATTCCCCCACCTTCTCCAGATGACACACCCATCACCACACACACACATCACATCATGGACCCACGACTACACACACAAATCAGAAATCAGAATCTCAATTTTTATCCATAAGACATAAAAATAATGGTTAACATAGACATCTATTTACGGTTTTTGCCTCCTCTCCCTCTCCCTCTGTTCTTTGGCTGTGTCTTCTTTGGTTTGATCCCCTTAGAGAACACTCCCTCACTTTGCTGTTTTTGTCTCTTGCTGCAGAAATGGTTTATAGCTAATTTAATCTTTCGACTTACAATACACAGTGAATAAGCACTTTCTCTTTTTAATGCCCCACACTAACCACGTGACATCTGAATAAGGGACACCTCTGAATAAAAGGACACTCTCCAAGGTGTCTCTGTTCGTGGTTTACCTTCTCTGTTCCTGGGCCATGTGCCGATTAGCAGCTTTCTCTGCATCCACGACTTCCTTTCTCTTGGTCACAGACGACAGGATTTCAAGATTCTTCTTTCTCTCGGCCGCCATATCTCCTGCCACTGGACCCACCTTATTACATCACACACACAATACACAGTAATAAGACTGCCTATAATATTATAGAACTAACTTGTGTTTTCTTAGCTCTCTTTGGAACCGGCTCATCTGGCTACATGAAATTGAGTCAACAAGACAATGAACACGAAAACTGATCCTCTGCAAGAACATTGCCTTACCAGCGATTTTGTAAACTTTCCGATTGAGGCAGTGGCCTCCTTTGCTTTTCCCAGAGCATGCGTCAGCTAGTGGGGGGATGCCCTGATAATATACACTCGTTAGCAGTGACCTCAGGTCTCACTTGATACTTGGACATGTCCTTTGTCAGAGGTGGTGGTAGTGGAGCTGTGTTTGTTTTGTATGCATGTTGAGTGTGTCTGAAGTAACGAGATTTGGTGTAAGTGCCCTGTGCTAACCTTTTAATCTGCCACCTTTCTGAGTTCTGGAAATGTTTTTGAGCCGCTTGTATTCATTCTTTGCGATTTTCTCCTTCTTCTCCTCCGCTTGCTTCTCGAAATAGTCTTCGTAAGGATCTGAAACCACAACACCAGCCATCAAACACTCCGCATGAAGTATGCTTCGGAGCTTTTTACCCGCTCTATCTGGTATTTCAATCATCCACTTGTCCTTTGGGTCATCAACCCTCTTGTACCCCCATCTCGGCTTCCACTCCTGCAGAAATCAGGACACTATTTCACACAGTATGATGTACAATTATACAGAGTGGTAAAATGTGCAGCTACCTGGCCAGATTCATCAAACACCATTCGCGATCTCTTCCTGTTTTTGATGCCCTTCAGGAGGGGGGGAGGAGGGCGGGACGAGAGAGGAAAACAGTGAAACAAAAGCCGAAATAAAAACACCCACATCACACTCACACCTTTGCTTTTGCAAACGTCTCCCACGCTGTTAGGCCTTTCGGTTTCGGAATCTGTTGGTTTCAAACATAACGACTGTCTTATTTCAAATTGCCGAAAAACCAACACTTAGCGTACTGGTTTCTCTCTGGGCAGAACTGTGGATGGTGTGGGGAGCTGTTGAGCGAGGGAATTATCTCAGTGAAAAAAGTTTAACTATTCATTACATACATACCTCCACTAAAATCATCCCATCGGCCTTTTCAACTGGAAGCTTGAATTGAAAATGACAAAGCAATCAGTCGCAGTATGTGAATACACGTGATCTGTACATACCTGCCATATTTTGTTTATAAGAAGCTGTGTATTATCTCTAGCCAACCCTTTCAGGTACTCATCTCGCCTACTCCTACACAAAGAAACGAAAGATCGATCGCTTGTCTGTCACACCGTGTAGGTCGTGGTTTACTTCATAGCATGGTGGTCCAAGGGGTTCAGATCCGTGGCTAGCAGGTTCCCTACGTCATACTGTAACTCGACGTCCTTGCGCACTTCTATGCTCTTGTATTGGGCCTTCTTCGCTTCCAGGACGGCCTCTAAATCCACGTCCATCTCTCCGTTCTTCTTCCACGTGTGCGAAATTCCGATACTTTCGGGTTAATAACCGAATTACGTCATCAAATAAGTGTCATGACCTTCGAACTCTTGTGTGTGCTGAGTAAGCAAGTTGCGGTAGGCGCTAGGGGAAGATGCTAAAACCGAAGGAACTCACCAAGGTTTTGGAGCAGGCCAACACTGGAGGTTTCCAGTGCACGCTGTAAGAGGAAGACTACATATACCAAGGCCATTGACTTGTCCAAATCTCTACCAGGCATTAGAGAGTGGGCGTGTTTATTTCCCCCCATTTTTCTCCCGTTCCCCAAGGTTGTTGAACCCTGAGGGGTCACTGATGGCGTTCGCAGGCAAGTGTGACAAGAAAGAGAACATTACAGCAGCTGTAGCTGCCAATATATGGATGTCCAATGCCAAGAGTGCCAAGTCAGCGTTTCAGGACGAAGGTCTACAATATATTGTCATGGACTGTGAGGTAGGTATAATACACAGACAGTAGACATACAGTGTAGTACTGTGAGGTATAATACACAGACAGTAGACATACAGTGTAGTACTGGTGTATAAAGCATTATAATACACAGACAGTAGACATACAGTGTAGTACTGGTGTATAAAGCATTATAATACACAGACAGTAGACATACAGTGTAGTACTGGTGTATAAAGCATTATAATACACAGACAGTAGACATACAGTGTAGTACTGGTGTATAAAGCATTATAATACACAGACAGTAGACATACAGTGTAGTACTGGTGTATAAAGCATTATAATACACAGACAGTAGACATACAGTGTAGTACTGGTGTATAAAGCATTATGTGGTTGGGTATCCCTTGTCTACTACTACCAGCTCCAAATAAGTCTTTATACTCGCCTATATAGTCATGTCACTAAGTATGGTATAGGAGGGCACAGGTTTTTATGCCAATAGATTTGAGATCTTCATGTTTAATTTTCAGTTTTTCAATGCTATCCACCTTCTAACATATCAGTCTGATCCGTGTGGTCAAGCATGTTCGTAAGAAAGGCATAATCGGTAGGTGAAAGATGGATTGGTGAAGCTGGATAGAAAAAGGTGCAGGAAGACAAAGCCATTACTATTCCATACTCCAATGATAGTCGAATGATTAAGGATGGTTGGCTTGTCTCTTCTTCACCCGACTTACCTACGAAAAATGCAAAATCGTTGATACCCTTATTAGGCAAAGGGACAGCGAAAGAGAGGTGAAAGAGGGATTGGTGAAGCTACATCGAAATAGATGCAAGAACATAGAGTACATTACTATTACATACTCCAATGATAGACAAAATAAAGCGGATGGTTGGCTCGTCTCTTCTTGCACTGATGTTCCTACAAAAAATAGCAAAATAGTTGGCGACCTTATCGGAGATTGGGGTAGATTGGCAGAGGAACAGCAAAATCAATCAATGCAGGACTCTCTATATAGTGTGGCGGGCACTGCCACTGCATGTTTTACGTGATTCCAAGTACGTGTGTGGGAAATTTAACTACTCACGTTCGCTCGCCACCAAAAAAGTGTTCCGGTAATATGTTTTCCCTGACAGGATGGAAAGGTTGCCATAAGGAGAGTGGCCAACCTCTTGCTGTGTGTGTACACGGCCGAGAGCGTGGGTCTAGGGATGCTCAGAGCAAAGGTAAGACTGTTGTGCGAGAGACCTTGTGTGAAGTTTACTCTCCTGTGAATCCCTGCTGTGTACACAGGTTGAAGCACTGGCCAGGTACTTAGAGGAACCCTTGAAACAGATTGCATCTCCATAGAAACGTGTGTTTTTGTTGTTGATTTCCTTTCACATGTATATACGTATTACACAATGTATGCCATTATGTAAGTTGCTTAAAAACAGTGAAAATGTGGCATATAGAAGGTATTCCACCCATATCCCATTTTAGCAACAGCCCTTGCTGGTCTGCGAAAGAATCAAACTCCGGCTGAAATGGCGGTTTTGACAAGTTTGAGACTATTTCTAGTGTTCTTTGTCTCTTGTCTGGCAGATGAACAGTCTAATACTCTTTACGTGTTGCCTGAGAATGAAAGCTGAGTCGTGTCCAGTATTGAATACGAGTCGCTGTCTCACCCTCGATAACTACGTCAGACACTCAGTGTCTTACCTTCTCTCTGATACCATCTTCATGTTTCTGGCGGGTACCCACTCCCTGCATGGTGTTTTCAACGCTCAGAACATCTCAAACGTCAGTCTAGTGAAGTATAGCACCACAGAGCTGGAAAATCCAGAGATAGTTTGTGATTCTGGTACACATGGTAGTGGCTTTTTCTTTTCAAACGTCTCTCGAATCAATGTGGAGAGTCTTTCTTTCTTTGGATGTGGTCACTTGGTACACGGTACTGGTGCTGCCATCTCAGTTGATAGTGTCACGAATTTTTCTGTATCATCTGTTCAAGTAAGTCTCAGTGTTGGATATGGACTCTTTGTTTGGAATAGCTACGGATTAACTACCATCTCTTATTCCAACTTCACATACAATTCTCGGGGAGGTAATCTGGTTCTGAACTATTTCAACTGTTCCTCTGAAGCTACAAAGACTCAATCGCTGGTCTCGATAATATCCAGCTTTATTGGGCACGGTGTCGCTCAGGAGCACACAGTTTTTTCTCCAGGAATTGCTGCTTTCATATGGTGCACCAATATTAGCCTCGAAATCAACCGTGTGACTGCCTTCAATAATACAGTGTATGACAGTCGTGCTGTTGGTGGAAACATGGCGATAATTCTTCGAAATCATACAAATCTAATCTCCAACACAGTTACAATCACTAACTGCCATGTGGAGGCTGGTATAAGTCACTACGGTGGTGGTATTTTCCTGAGCTTTGAAATAGTTCCGGCCACACCAGTCAATAACTCTCTGACTCAGATTGTCAAAATCGAGCATACAAAGTTTACAAAGAACCACGCAACAGGTGAAGGCGGTGGGCTCTACATCATCACACATGAAGTAGTTTCTCTGCTACACCCAGTGGGTGTGATCACAGTGGCTGACTGTGTCTTTGATAGCAATACGCTGGACAATAGGCTTTCTGCTGGTGTGGCCTTGCATGTCAATAGTCACAACATCCCTGGCTATGTAGAGCATGTACAGCCACAGTATCAACTGAAACTGAATCGCAGTACATTCACCAACAGTTCCTTGTTGGGATCGGACAGTGGGACAGCTAGCAGTGCTGTTTCTGTGTTTCATAGCCAGTCTGGAGTCCACGTGCAAGACTGCATCTTCGACTGGAACAATGTGACTGGGCTATCGGTTGGGGAAAGCAACATTATTTTCAGTGGGGAGATAACATTTGAAGGCAATAAGGGGACAAATGGTGGTGGGTTGTTGATGTGTGACCGGTCTTTCCTCTATCTGACTCCCTACACAAATGTCTCGTTCATTGGGAACCACGCGACAGGTACAGGTGGAGGTATCTACGTCAGTGGACTGTGTCTGGAGTCGATTCCGGAATGTTTCTATCAGTTTAGTCGCTCGATTTTGAGTATCAAGGACATGCCTCTCCTCAAGACAGTATCTGTCTCCTTTGCCAATAACACAGCCAGGCTGGCTGGTAGTGCAATATACGGTGGGTCTGTAGATTACTGCCTCATAATGAACCCTTGGGTATATACTCCAAAAGAATTTCTGGGCTTTAAATTGTTTAACAAAGTGTTTGACGTTACTCACAAAGAGACAGATTATTCATACATAACCTCCGATCCGTATGAAGTTTGTTTCTGTACCGATTTCCCATTTGTGGAGGGACACTGTTCCGTTAAAACAGTGCAGAGAACAATCTATCCTGGCTCTACTTTCACAGTCATGGTAGTCGTTGTTGGCCAGAGGAACGGAACAGCTCCCGGAGCAGTAAAAGCTATTGCCGGGACAAACACCTCACTGGGGAGCCTGCAGACAACCCAGGATGTCACAGTCAATTGCACACCTCTCAATTACACAGTCTACACGTCCCTCTCTCGAACAAAGATTGAACTTCGTGTCCAGCACTCTCTTTTATCGCCCGCACCCACTCTTAAAATCAACCGAACTTTTGTTAAAGTAAACTTAAAGGGGTGTCCGATAGGATTTGTACTCTCTAGTGGGACGTGCACATGCTCAGAGACACTGGCTGGTAAACCTGGTGTAGATTGTTTTCTTGAGCCCTATCCCACAATCAGACGCAGCTCTTACTCCTGGATTGGATACCACAACAGCTCAGACCCCAGTAAATCCGGGATCATCTACCAAAAGTATTGTCCCTCGGGCTACTGTCATGTGGGTACAGTAGACATTAATTCTTCTGAAATTAGCTTTGAGCAGAATTCTCAGTGTGCCCATTTTCGTATGGGGTTACTCTGCGGGAGTTGCCCGCCAAATATGAGTGCAATCTTTGGGAGTCCCAAGTGTAAGATTTGCTCAAACAAATTCCTTTCACTAATAATTGCGCTTGCTGTGGCTGGAGTGGCACTTGTGGCCTTTCTGAACCTATCAAATCTTACAGTTACCAGTGGGGAAATAAACGGACTCACTTTCTATGCCAATGTAATGCAAATAACCCTGAAAAACGTTTCAAAGACAGATTATAATAGAGGTGTGATATTTAGTTTCATATCATGGTTAAACTTAGACCTCGGGGTACATACATGTTTTTACAATGGAATGGATGCATTTGGCAAGGTTTTCCTCCAGTTTGTCTTTCCCACGTATCTGTTTGCTTTGGCCTTCCTCATTATTTTTCTCTGCCGCAAATACCAGAGACTTGCAAACTGTATGGGTAACAACGCAGTAAAAGTACTTGCAACGCTATTTTTCATCTCCTATGCTAAACTCTTACGCATCATCATCTTGGTGTTTAACGTGTCGATAGTCACGTACCCAGACAATTCATCTGAGTGGAGGTGGACTGAAGACGGTAGCATTCTCTTTGCGAGAGGGAAACACTTGGCCCTTGTCGTGTGCGGCTTTGGTGCAGTATGCTTCTCCCTTCCCTTCACCGCCATTCTAACGTTCCACCCGTGCATGCAGAGGTCTAGTAAAAAGTGTTTCAAGTGGATCCACAGACTGAAACCACTACTCGATGCCTACAGTGGCGTTTACAAAGACAGGTACCGGTTTTGGACCGGACTTCTTCTCTTTGCCCGTCTCTACCTCTTTCTCACCTTTGCAGTCGACGTCCATCAGATTTCCTACTACAAGTCATTGTCTGTTCTATTTGTCTGTCTGCTTGTGCTCTCGCTGGGCTGGATGTTTGGTGGGGTGTATAAGGACTGCAGACTGGATGTGCTTGAGGCTTCCTACATCATTAACTTGGCCTTATTCTCTGGGGCTTCACTGAATGGCAGTGTGTCACAAGAACGAATCGCTGAAATTTCAATTGGAGTGGCGTTTGCTACTTTTTTGTTCACTCTGATATGGAAATTTAGAACGCTGCGTGTGTTCAAAAGAGTTGCGGCATTTGTGTCACAGAGAGAAGACGCCACAGTGGGAACTGTTCCTTCCCGCAATATCTCCTGGTTTAGTATCTCAGATCATCATGGAGAGGGGCAACGATGGTTCGCTTGACAGAGAAAGCCAACCTCTACTCCCATGATAACATTTGTTTACTATATACTCGCGTGACAAAACATTTTAGAGCACCTTACTTTTGTATACACTGGCATAGAAAATCACTGGGCAAATAGAATGTGCTTCTGTGTACTTAGTGTATGTTGAAACTGTTACTTTCAACATAAACGAACTTTTTGAGTGCTGCGTGTATTTAAGAGGGTAGTGGGTGGCAGTGGGATCGAGGGTTCCTTCTCCCAATTATCTCGCAACATCATGGAGAGGGCAATGAATAACTTGACGGGAAAAGCAAGCCTCTGCTCCCATGCCAATAACAAAAATTGATCGGCGTACTCCCATGACAAAAGAACCCTTAGGTTTTTGTATGCACTGGCATACAGAATAAGGTAAAAACTATATTATTATACCTTACGGATACTGGTATATGCAAACAATATTGTTTTTCATGCTACATTGAACTGTTTTGCATTCCACAACATGAATACTTTCAACTCCCACATATTGCCACAGTAGAAATGGCGGCGGTGGCTCTGGTTCTGTGTGTGTATCTTCTCTCAGTAGCCAGTCAAGGAGTGGTAGGAGACAAGGTGTACACTGTGGTGGCAAACCAGTCGGCCAGTAGCTGTCTCAGTGAGAACAAGACAGAGTGCAGTCTCATGTACTATGCTGCTCACCCAGACCAGTATTTCAGAGAAGACAACACCACCTTCCACTTCCTGCCTGGACAGCATGAACTGGTGGACTCAACTCTTGTTCTGATGGCCAACATATCAAACCTCGCTCTCTATGGAACTGATGTACATGAAGTTACAGTTGTGTGCAGTGGAGAAGATTCAGGAGGATTCTCATTTTACAACATTACCAACCTCACCATCCGGGAACTGAGCGTTTCGAACTGTTCTAAGCAATCCTCATATTACCATGCCTTGGTAGCAGTGGATATGAATCAAATTGTAAACATTGAAATGGACTATGTCAATATTCGGAATACGGCCGGTGTTGGTCTCTCACTGAGTGATATTTATGGCAACAGTTCTATTAATAACATCAAGGTTGATTTCAGCCACAGTGCGCACAGATCCATTGGCGGAAACTTCTTCCTTTATTATTCACGTTACTTTAGGAATGATACGGTGATGATGAACAATATAAAGGTTTCAAACTCATTCTTTAGAAACGGGACAAATATCGTCTATAGTAACTCACCAAGTACCGGAATTGCCATCGAAATAAACTGTTTTGCCAATGTTAGCATTGTCTTTGACAATGTCGTCGTCTCTGGGAATCAAGCCGGAAGTGGGGGAAACATTTTGATAAATTTCGGAAGCTGGTCTGGTCTGTGGAGTGTCTCAGTCTCCATTCTCAACAGTCACATACTCAACGGTACTGCCAACTCTGGTGCTGGTATATGTATATTTGCAACAGCTGGCGATAAAGGCAGTCCTGGCCCCTTGGAAAGTACCACCACCTTATTGAATATTGGGAATACACGTTTTGAAAACAACACTGCACACTATGACGGTGGTGCAGTGTATATGAGGCTACACGAGAACACCCAAAGAAACCTGGGGAGAATAGCATTTGACAACTGTACTTTCAAAGATAACAAGATAGTTCATAACACCTCACACGGCGGAGTGGCTGTACACATTGTTACGTATACGTTACCGAGATATGTCCAACACAGCATGATATACTTTGAGCTGGAGTTCAGTGACTGTAAGTTCTTGGAAAACTCTGCGTTGCACAACAGTAGCTCAAGTCAGCCGCGAACTGGAGCTCTTTACGCTGAAAACACCTACAGCGTCACTCTTCTGAACTGCCAATTTATTGACAACGACTGTTCCGGTATTGTCGGTATCGCGAGCAACTTTCTAATGCACGGTGAGAATGAGATTAGGGGCAACACAGCAATAAAAGGCGGTGGAATATTTTTCTGTTCCGGGTCTGTGATGCACCTATACAACGGTACACAGTTGAATATCTCTGAAAACAATGCTACACTGAGTGGAGGTGGGATTTATGTGGATGCAGAATGTTCTCCAGCTGTGGAGTTTTGCTTCTTTCAGGTGGACAATATAACGGCTGACAATGCTACCCTCCAGCAAACACAAGTCTATCTCGTTAATAACACTGCTGATTCTGGGAGTGCCCTTTATGGAGGCCTGATAGACTGGTGTATCCTATACGACAAACGTGGTCAAGACTATAATAAGTCGTACCCTTCAATAATTTTTAACAATACGTTCAGCATAACACATGGAAAAAACGACCTATCTGTTGTATCATCTGACCCCATGTATGTTGGGTTCTGCAATGTGACACAATTTGAGCAACGAAACTGTCCACTTAACACAACTGTGGTAGTTAAACCAGGGAAGACATTTGCCGTCTCTGCTGTCATAATGGGTCAACACCACGGCCTTGTTGCAGGTGTGGTCGTCGCACAATGCATTGATGAAGACTGCTCAATTTCAAATAATGAATACAGTCAGTACATTAACACGTCAAGTATTTTAAGTGGGAGATATTTGACCTACACTGTGTTCTCCAGAGAGAAAAGAAATGTATCGTTAAAGTTGGTAGCAGAGGATTACTTCTCTGGATTTCCATCCTACCAGTACCAACCTTCGTTCGTTAACACCTTCATCGAAAACTGTCCTCTTGGATTTATTGAGCATGACAAAATGTGTTCGTGCTTAAAAGGTATTCCATGTAATATCACAAACCAGACGGTTTTTCGATCAAGTCCTCATTGGATTGGATACCGAAAAGAGTGTGGTATCGCAAATTCTAAAGACATAATTTTACATTCGTCCTGTCCACTGGGATATTGCTTCGATAAAAGTGTGTATATTCATGCAACTGTCGACCACTTTTACCAAGACGTGCAATGTGCTAAACACAGAACTGGTCTCCTCTGTGGGAAGTGCAAACAGAACTACAGTTTGGGGTTTGGGTCTTCTCAGTGTCTGGCTGGTTGCAGTACACCTCACAGGTATGTCCGGGTACCTCAGAGTCATTGGACTGACGGCAGTGTGTGCTGTGGCCGGAATCTTGCTGGTGGTTCTGCTGACTCTGCTCAACCTCACTGTGGCTGAAGGAACACTCAATGGACTCATCTTCTATGCCAACATTGTACAAGTCAACCAGGACCTGTTCTTCCCTTCTGACACTCACGCTAGATCCTGGACTGCCTTCATTGCATGGCTGAATCTGGACTTTGGAGTCACAGTGTGTTTCTATGATGGCATGGATGCCTACGTGAAGACTTGGCTACAGTTCATTTTCCCTGTATACATTTGGATCATCAGTGGAGGAATAGTCTACTTCAGCAGGAAATCTAGAATGATCTCAAAACTTGCTGGAAAGAATTCTGTAAAGGTTTTATCCACACTTTTCCTCCTCTCATTTGGCAAACTGATTCGTACTGTTATTTCTGCAGTATTTTTCACTAGTGTCAAGTCATATGATGAAACAACCTACACCTCAGTGTGGCTGCTTGATGCCAATGTCCACTATCTTCATGGGAAACATACTATACTGTTTGTGGTGGCATGTTTGGCTGGGGTTGTGGCTCTCCTCTATGCCCTCATCCTTACCTTCATTCAGTGCCTGAGAAGAGCTCCCAACAGCAGAATGTGTGGGTGGATCCAGAGACTCAAACCTCTACTGGATGCCTACACTGGTCCTTACAAGAATAAGTACCACTTCTGGACTGGGTTCCTGCTGCTTGTGAGAATCTTTCTTTTTACTGCTTTTGCACTAAATTTTGATAACAACCCTATACTGAACTTCACTTTGATCATAACTGTTTCAACCCTGCTGATATCTGGAATCCAAAACGGCATCTATTACAACAGGTTCATTGGTTTGCTGGAGACTTCGGTCTATGCCAACCTAATCCTCTTTTCGGCATTCTCAATGCTGTCAATGAAGTCAAGTGATGGTCACAAAACTGTTGTCGTGTGTGTGTTTGGTGGATGGGCTTTCCTGACACTAGTGGGCATCATCCTCTATCATGGCTACAAGAACTGGCTTAAAGACTCTCTTGTATTGGGCCACTTGCAAGTGTGGTTCTATGCAAGGTTGAGGGGCAGTGGTGATCCTAACAGAGCAGTCGTACAACCACTGATCATCGGGAGAGATGGAAATGATGTTTCACAAGAAAGTGATAGTGAGTTCGAGTCTGGAGAGGAACTTAGTGACCAAGTCACTCCACAGCTTCGGGAGTCCCTCATTGGGAGCCTTAACAGCTAACACTGTAGTTTAACAAAACCCACTTTACACAGTAATTCTCAAGTGCATGCATTTATGAATTTTAGTGTAAACTATTGGGAGTGAGTTGTTTATGTTTTAGAGACTTTACTTCAATGCATTTAGACTTGGAGGTGGTAGGTATGACAATGCAAAACTAGGCAACCGTCTCATTACAAACATTACAACTGACACTATTATACCAATCCTGACAGTGAATGGTACACATTTTCTTGAGAATGAATCCATATATGGAGCTGGAGTGTATGTAAGATTCCGTGAAACAGAGTGGCGTATGGTAGCGAAGGTATCCTTCAATTACTGTCAGTTTGAGAAACAAAAAATCAAAGAGAGCTACGAACCACAACACGGAGGAGTTGCAATACACATTCGCAACTTCCAGCTCCCAGTGTACGTCCCACACACAAGACCTCTTCTCGAAGTAGAGTTTTCCAACTGCACATTCAGGGACAACATACCAAAACCGAATGCTTCTTCTACCTCTCTCTATGCTGCAGAGTCCCACAACGGAGTCCTGTTCATTCAAGGGATTGACAGTGCGACATTTTCAGGGTGCATGTTTGTCAACAATAATTGCAGTGGGATTGTATCAATTCAGAGTTTGTTGATCATTCGAGGTGAAAACATCATTCACAACAATACTGGAGTAAGAGGTGGTGGAATGGTCCTCTGCTCAAGGTCAATCATATTCCTGCATAATAATTCACTCCTCAATATCACCGAGAACAGAGCAAAGGAATTTGGTGGTGGGATATACGTTGAGAGTGAATGTGACCAGGATGTTCCCCACTGCTTCTTTCAGGTCAACAATACTCATATCACTTTCAATGACACACGTGTGTCTCTTGTCAACAACACTGCACTAGCAGGTGAGGCGATATATGGCGGAATGGTAGACTACTGCATCATATACATGAATATCAACCAAAACTACACAAAACAAGAAGCAAGTAAAATTTTCAAAGAAACCTTTTATATACAGTCCAAGGGTAACTCTCCGATCTCCTCTAATCCTTCTTCTGTCTGTTTCTGCTCTAATGAGACATATAACAAAACTGCCTGTCTCAGCAACCACACCATCCATATTACCACTTACTGTAGATTACTGCCTCATAATGAACCCTTGGGCTTATACTACAAAAACAATTCTGGGCTTTGAATTGTTTTACAAGGTGTTTCACAGTCATGGTAGTCGTTGTTGGCCAGAGGAACGGAACAGCTCCCGGAGCAGTAAAAGCTATTGCCGGGACAAACACCTCACTGGGGAGCCTGCAGACAACCCAGGATGTCACAGTCAGTTGCACACCTCTCAATTACACAGTCTACACGTCCCTCTCTCGAACAAAGATTGAACTTCGTGTCCAGCACTCTCTTTTATCGCCCGCACCCACTCTCAAAATCAACCGAACTTTTGTTAAAGTAAACTTAAAGGGGTGTCCGATAGGATTTGTACTCTCTAGTGGGACGTGCACATGCTCAGAGACACTGGCTGGTAAACCTGGTGTAGATTGTTTTCTTGAGCCCTATCCCACAATCAGACGCAGCTCTTACTCCTGGATTGGATACCACAACAGCTCAGACCCCAGTAAATCTGGGATCATCTACCAAAAGTATTGTCCCTCGGGCTACTGTCATGTGGGTACAGTAGACATTAATTCTTCTGAAATTAGCTTTGAGCAGAATTCTCAGTGTGCCCATTTTCGTATGGGGTTACTCTGCGGGAGTTGCCCGCCAAATATGAGTGCAATCTTTGGGAGTCCCAAGTGTAAGGTTTGCTCAAACAAATTCCTTTCACTAATCATTGCTCTCGCTGTGGCTGGAGTGGCACTTGTGGCCTTTCTGAACCTATCAAATCTTACAGTTACCAGTGGGGAAATAAACGGACTCACTTTCTATGCCAATGTAATGCAAATAACCCTGAAAAACGTTTCAAAGACAGATGGTGTGATATTTAGTTTCATATCATGGTTAAATTTAGACCTTGGGGTACATACATGTTTTTACAATGGAATGGATGCATTTGGCAAGGTTTTCCTCCAGTTTGTCTTTCCCACGTATCTGTTTGCTTTGGCCTTCCTCATTATTTTTCTCTGCCGCAAATACCAGAGACTTGCAAACTGTATGGGTAACAACGCAGTAAAAGTACTTGCAACGCTATTTTTCATCTCCTATGCTAAACTCTTACGCATCATCGTCTTGGTGTTTAACGTGTCGATATTCACGTACCCAGACAATTCATCTGAGTGGAGGTGGACTGAAGACGGTAGCATTCTCTTTGCAAGAGGGAAACACTTGGCCCTTGTCGTGTGCGGCTTTGGTGCAGTATGCTTCTCCCTTCCCTTCACTGCCATTCTAACATTCCACCCGTGCATGCAGAGGTCTAGTAAAAAGTGTTTCAAGTGGATCCACAGACTGAAACCACTACTCGATGCCTACAGTGGCGTTTACAAAGACAGGTACCGGTTTTGGACCGGACTTCTTCTCTTTGCCCGTCTCTACCTCTTTCTCACCTTTGCAGTCGACGTCCATCAGATTTCCTACTACAAGTCATTGTCTGTTCTATTTGTCTGTCTGCTTGTGCTCTCGCTGGGCTGGATGTTTGGTGGGGTGTATAAGGACTGCCGACTGGATGTGCTTGAGGCTTCCTACATCATTAACTTGGCCTTATTCTCTGGGGCTTCACTGAATGGCAGTGTGTCACAAGAACGAATCGCTGAAATTTCAATTGGAGTGGCGTTTGCTACTTTTCTGTTCACTCTGATATGGAAATTTAGAACGCTGCGTGTGTTCAAAAGAGTTGCGGCATTTGTGTCACAGAGAGAAGACGCCACAGTGGGAACTGTTCCTTCCCGCAATATCTCCTGGTTTAGTATCTCAGATCATCATGGAGAGGGCAACGATGGTTCGCTTGACAGAGAAAGCCAACCTCTACTCCCATGATAGCCTTTGTTTACTATACTCGCGTGACAAAACAGAGCACCTTACTTTTGTATACACTGGCATAGAAAATCACCGGCAAATAGAATGTTTTTGTATGCTACGCTTCATGTAACAATAGACCATGTATGTTGAAACTGTTACTTTCAACATAAACGAACTTTTTGAGTGCTGCGTGTATTTAAGAGGGTAGTGGGTGGCAGTGGGATCGAGGGTTCCTTCTCCCAATTATCTCGCAACATCATGGAGAGGGCAATGAATAACTTGACGAGGAAAAGCAAGCCTCTGCTCCCATGCCAATAACAAAAATTGGTCAGGGTATATACTCCCATGACAAAAGAACCCTTGTGTTTTTGTATACAGAATACAGGTAAAAACTATACTGTATAATTATACCTTACGGATACTGGTATATGCAAACAATATTGTTTTTCATGCTACATTGAACTGTTTTGCATTCCACAACATGAATACTTTCAACTCCCACATATTGCCACAGTAGAAATGGCGG